TAAAGGCTTTGGTCTAGGAACCATAATTTTACTATGGAATGTTTATATTAAACCTTAAATCTTATATATACTTCCGTTTTTATTCAGTTAAACAAAAGAATTATAAAACAAAATTAATGCTATATGGAAATAAAACGTCAAGAGGAATTTATAATTACCCTAAATGTACAGATGATTGGTTTCTTAAACTAATTTAAGGATCATGTTTGGACATAGCAAATGAAAAATAATGGGAAAGATCAATAAAGAGTTTATTTAGACAGGGAGAGGAAGTGTAAATTATGGATATTAAAAAAAAGGCAGATCTACGGATTTATGAATTTCCCAAATAATCTTAAATGTTTATTACTATTAAATTTAAACAAATGCAAAATTCATATCGATAGGAGATGTGGACTTTTGCATTTATCTGAATATCATGAAATAAACTTCTATGATATACCTGAAAAAGTCATTATAAACAAACCTAATACGGATATGAAGTGAAGCCTGGAACAATAAATAGAAAAGATACTAAAAGATGTATAAGTTGATTAATTGGAGTTATGACTTGACTCACAATTTAGTATAATATCATGTCTTCGGAATATATGTGGTCTTGAAAAAATATTGATTGTCTTATTTTTGAGATATTTGACTTATAAGATAAAATAGAAGATCTCTCCAAACTAATTTTATGACAACCTCCATTTTACTTAGATAAAAACAATTCATTCTTTGAGTGTAAATGTTAGGCATCTACTAATTATTTCAAAATTAATTTTTTAAACATATTTTTAATTTTTATCAACATTTAGAGATCAAATCTAACCAAGGTTAACCAAACAACTATCTCATCGTTAAACATGAGGTTGCAATCCATAAATAGATTAGAAAAAAAAACAAGAGTAAAATATATGAAATCACTTTTAATATGCATTATTTTTATTGTTGAAATCCAATAAAGTGTTTGTAAGAGATGAAAGACAAGGTTTATTGCAATTACCAATTACCTAAGTGAAGTAGATAATTATGCGAAAAACTTTGATCATTTTTATAAACTAGGGCACTGAAAACACTCTTAAGATAGGTGATATTTTTTAAAATATGTTTCAATATTAATAAATCATTCTTTTGAATCGATATTGATACATTAAGAAAAATAGTTTAGCAATTATTCCATGATGTAAAAGTTATGTTAATTCTAATCATGACAATTAATTACCATAACTTTTGAAATCCTAAATTCCACTTTTTAATTTACCTATTTTCATTACTTTATTATTTCATTATTACATTATAAGATTTTTATATGTTTGATATATTTTTGCCTTTTTTTTGTATTCAATTTATCCTAAAAAATTTCCTCCTCATTCTTTTTTTGTGCTTTTCCGATCACTTCTTTTTGATTTTTTCTTACTACTTAAATCCTAAATGGTGACAATGATTTATCAATAATAATTTACTCATAGAATAAAATTGATTTGCCTAATTATAGACAACATATTTAGATAATGCAATGATTTTTTCTGAATTTATTTTAATGATGTTTTTTGAATATTTTCCTTATATTACAAACACCAATCATGGTGTAATAACATTCTATTATGATTACTCTCCTTATTATTTACCTAATTATTCTTCTTTAGATTATTCATTATATTTAATGATTGATTTTCTTACTTTTACTCATCTTCAGGTGTTTTGTTTCTCCTCATCGATAGCTCTCACCATTATACTCTCAATTAAGAACACCTTAACACTGTATCACCTTTTGTTAAGAGGAACAAAATGACAACAATAGATTTACTATTTGTTACAATTAATCTTTCTAAGAAAAATTCATGGTAGAATAGGCTCATTAAAATATCGAACAAATAACTCAAAAACTTAAGCTTTTCTTTAAATAAGGAAAAAAATCGAACAAAAAATAGAATTTTTTGAAGAAAAACAATCAATTAATTCTGTTCTTTAAGTACCCTGAAGCTCCTTCTAATTTAGTAGCCAATATTTCTTCAACTTATCTTGATAATTCCAATTTCTTTGGTTCTCTATTCACTGTCTCTGGCATATTAAGTCCTAAGAGCTTCACAATCGTTCTCCTTTTAAGTCTTTCCAGCAGTGGCGGTGGCTAATTCTCTACCAGTATCCTCCTTTCTCTTTTTTTATGCTCCCAAAGCATTTTGAGTTTAGGTTAACATTGCTTCATTATCTTTTAAAGCATTTTAGCTAAAATGATTATATGCTCACTTACAAATTCTTTCTTTAATCAGCAAATTAAGCCAACAAGTTTTAATAATCAATTTAAGCTTAGACTTCAGCTTCTTAGTCATCAACAGCAGATTGTTCAATTGATTATCTGAGTTCAGCAATCTTATCTTATGTTTATTATAAACTTTCCTTTAAGAAAGCTGAAGCAATGGAAACCAAAGCAGCAATAGGGTTACTCTTACCCATATTATGTAATTCTAAGAAAATAGCCTTTGGGTCTTATTCTGGTTGAATTGCCGATAATTTGGCAGCAACAACATTCAAAGCTTCAGCCACATCAGCAGTGGACTTGATTCTTTTAGCAAATGCTTCAGTATCCTTTGCTCTTTGTGTTCTCAAGGTTTCTTCTTAATCGTTAAGGATTCCCAATTGCACTTGGATGTTTTCAATTTCGCTTTCCAATTATTAGACTTAGGCAGATAAGGCTGTGATTTCAGTTGTTGATTCACTGATTTCATTGGAAGCATTATCAATTCTTCTATTATAATCAGCAATTTCAGCAGCGCAATCAGCTTAATCAGCTGCGTGTTTCAATTCAGCTTATTATTATTACAATAATAAGTTTTCCCTCAATTCTTAAAGCATTCTAGCAATATCAGCTAAAGGAGCTTAGTTTTTCATTTAAAGAGAATTGTGTCAAGCAATTTTCTTCCTAATGCATGTTCTTCAATCTATTTGCCTAATCAAATGTGTTACCTCTTCCAATTCAGCAAAGACTCCTGCATTTGGGTTAGATGGCTTTTTGACAAAGACTGCATTGAGTGTTACCAATCCAAATAAGAAGCAAATTGCGAATTTCATCAAATTAATATATAAATAAAAACGGATTAAAATACCTCAAAAATAACAATTTAATTATCAATATGTTCTTAACAAACCGATAGATGTATATTTTAGGTTCTCTACAATAAAAATATTCTCAAAAAATAATTTTTTGTTATCACATATATTTGAAGCGTATAAATATAATAGCTAATCTAGTAAAGTGTTATTGTCTTCTAGTATTATTTTGAATAAGAAATAATTATTAATTAATAATGAGTCCTAAGATTTGATAAGTGTTATAGTAAGGCTATTCTAATTTTTCATCAATTTAATGGAAAAAAAATTGAGTATGTACATTGGAGAAACTTAAAAATTATGATTAATGCAAGATAATTACAAATATGTTGCATAATATATAAAGTATTTATTTCGTTAATAGTATTATTGAATATTACTTACTCACTACATAAACACATGATAACATATACTTATAAATATTTTTCACTTCTTATTTTGTAAATCCACCACCTAATCTTTATTATAAACCGATATTTTATTCTGGAAAATGCTAAAAACTAATATCATATCCCAAGACCATCTAATATGATTGAGAAATGATTGAATAGATTCCTATAATTCTGTTTTCTCAACAGATAAAACAGGTAAAATGTTTTACCTCTTTTTCTGTGAATTATTACTTAACTTATAATTTTGTCATTCTTGATTCCTTCGTTTTCTCTGTGTTTGGACATTTCTTCATTAAATGAGAATATCCTGAAATCTTCGTTTTAATTCACAATTTTCATAAGTTCCTCTTTTAAATAATTTTACATTTTTAATCTATCTTCTAAACTTTGTTTATGTTCATCATGAAAATTAATTTATTTTCAAGGGTAAAAATTCCTTTTTTTTTTAATCCTTGCATCCTTTTGATAATTTCCTTTGCTGGAGTTTATTAAATAACTGTTTCTGACAACATTTAATTATTATTCTTGCTAAATTAAATTTGCAAGCCAATTCCTATAGTATCGAATTAAGACCCTACCATGTTGCAGTGCAAGATATTTAGTATTCAATTTAGAATAGGATTTAATGATGAAACAAAAATAATGAAACATTGAGTTATATATTTAATTCAAGACTTCAAAGAATACCAACTATTTTTAAATCCTATTTAATCTTAACTTGATGAATTTGTAATATTTTTTTTTGGAACATCTTCCAATTGTACAGGAGTTAAAGGAGTAGACGTAGTCATGTAATTCATTATCTAAATTGAATCATTATTTTTAGGCGAGGACACAGTAGTCGATTGTTCGATTGAATTGGATTATATAACTGATAGATTTAGTTGAGCTATTATTCTCTAAAAATAAATTAATATATTTCTACTTAATATATTCTCTAGCATAAATCGATAGATTGTGATGAAAATTCATCATCACAAATTTCAGAGTTTTATAACGAATACGTGTCTAAAAAATGTGAGGGCTCTTTAATGTCTTAAATATATTGCTCAATATAATCATTTAATTTCTATTATAAGTCTTCAAACGAATTTGATCTATTTCGACCTGTTGGAGAGTGCAGTTATAATTATTCTTATTGCTATAATTTTTCTTATGATTTATCTATTAGTAATTATAGGTTAATCTCTTGAATCTTAAACGATTACGCACAAGAACTTTACTAATCATTTATCTAAATTTATTTCTAAATAATTGACCTATTCATCCTTCTCAATTATTTTCCCTTTTAACACTTATGATGATGTTATTTCCAATTTATTATAAGCTTCGTTCTGATAGTTCGAGCATCTCTGTGAATTTTTCATAATGAGATTAATAAATTATTTATAAGTCTAAGATCAGCATCCGAAAGAATAGTATTATAAACTGTGTAAAAAAACAGGCAAAATTTAAAATGAAAAGGAGTTATCAAATCCCTTTGAAAACAATTGAAGATTTTACTGTTAGAATTAATTTGATCATCAAAATAAAATAAGTTCAAATCATTTTTATAAACAATTTTTAAGCATTTTATAATAAATGCTGTTAATCCATTCATTGTACTATGCTATGGTATTAAACTATTTTATTATCTGATTATTTATCTTGACCAATTTTATACTCTATTAATTTTGATTAATGTATTATATAATATTATAAGAAATAATTAAAATATAATAAATAATTATTTACGCTATGAAATCGAAGGAGAACGGCTCAATTATTAAGTTAATCTTCAATTTGAATATAATTATCCAGAAATAATCGAGTAAGTGATAATGAAAGCTCAATTTGAAAATTAATAATGATTGCAAATTGCATCAATAAATTAGAGAATAATTAATAAGAACTTTTTAAGTCATGTACGATGCTGAAAATGTGAAATCAACTTCGAGCATAAATTAATAAACTACTACTTGCATTGAAATAATATATTATACAACATATTGAGTATGCTAAAGTGAATCATCATTTAATATGTATCAACAATGAAAATCAAAATAGGCTAAAATAGGTACATGATCACTGGGAAAATTACTGTTTGGTAAAGCAACTTCTTTTTATAATAAACTTTAATTTGGAATACTTAAAATCTTTTCTACTTTTGCATTATGATAGTAGATGTAATCAATACAACCTTTAAACTATTATATTTAGGTGAATGTACATTATTAGTATAATTAGTAAACGTAGGAAATGGATGATATGCACTTTCCCAATTTAGTTTAGGAGGACCATAATGTTAAAATATATCATTTTGAAGCTTTATTTAATTTGTAGACATTTCTATTCTTTCAACAATTGGATTATTTTTTTATATATATTGAATTGGATTCGATTTGGGTAAACTATTAAAGTCTCCGCAAAATATTAGTATTTGATCTTCCGATTCTTTTTATGCTTCCATGAATTGAACAAGTTAAACAATCTAAAAGAATTTTAAGTCGTCTTGGTTTGGATTCCAAAATGTATGAATGTTTCCTATTATGAATTGCTTTTTTGTTAATCTTATGATATGAGAAAAATAATTACAAGTGTTCCAATCTGACAATTTGAAATACATTCTGCCTTAGATATTAAAGAGGAAGTCCATAATCTAAAGCCAACTAATCAAGTGAATACTCTTAAGATATTAGAATTTTGAATTTTTCAATTTTGAAAGCAATTAAACACCCATCAGATCTTTAAGGTCTTTAACAGTAGCAGATGTCATATTGCAGATTCTTAATATTATCTTGATAAAATTCGATATTATCCACCTCTTGCAAACATAATATATCAGCGTTGAAATTTTTCAATTAATCAATAATTTTAGTACTTCTATTAAGAAACTTTAAATTTTAAAAATCAGCATAACTAAAATATGACTGTTCACAATAGATATCAGCTAAAATGTTATAAGATAATATTGAAATTGTGTGCCTAAAATTAATGAATTCCAGTTAATATTGATTTTTTAAAGCTTAAATATTACTTGGCTCCTTTTAAATACTTTGAGGGATTTATCCCATTCTTAATTTTTATTTATAAATTAATTTGCAAGAAAACATTCAATAAGTTTAAATTTCAGGATCAGAATTTGTTGCTTGTATGATAAATTTTAGAAAGCGCAAGGAATTATTCTATTTTAACACTTATAGTTGATTTGGTATGCAATAAGAAAAAAAATATGATGTGGAGAAGAAAAACAGTACTTATTAGGGATAATCTTCACCCATTTGATAAAATGGGAATCTATTGTTTGTAATAAATAATTGCAATATAAATTAAATCTTTTTTAAAATAAAAATGGTTAAAAACTCTGCATAGGACCCATAGGATAATTCCTTATAAATGAAAGTACATTAGAAGAAAATAATCTTTAGATTAGACAATACTTAGTCTCAGGCAGAAGACTCCCATCAAAAGAAGATCCAAATCCAAAAGTTATAAGCATGAGAATTTTTGCAAGAAATACAGTTGCTGCTAAAAGCAGATTCTGGTATTTAAATAATGCATATTTTAGGTGGAATTTAAGAAGATTAAATAAACTAAGACCTTCTCATGGTTAGATTTTAGCAGTTCAAGAATTATTTGAGAGAAGAGACACAAATGTCAAAACTTACGGAATAGTTCTTAAATATTAATCCAGAACAACCATCCACAATATGTATAAAGAATTTAGAGATACTACATTGAATGGTGCTGTCTCATAATTATGTATCTACAATATGAGACATTCTTAGATTAGGAAATGGCCGGAAATCACAGAGCTTAACCATAAACAATTCACATTCTCAGAACTTCAGTTTTAACAAAGAGTGCCGATATTAAGAGAGGAAAAACTAATTAATATAGAGTAAATTTAGTCACAAATTTAATTAGGGAGATTCAATTAGATTTCCTATTGTTAAGACAGTTCCTAGAGCTAGTCATAAGAAATTCAGAACTGTGTTCAAAGCCAAAAGACCAAATCTATATAGATCATGATTATCGTGATTATTTAGTACAATAATAATAATTCAATAAATTATGGTTATAAGTAATCAATAAAATGCTCTGCAATTTATATTTCTCTAATACCCAATACACCTTTTATTAGTGGACTTCTGTCATTAGCAATTAAATAACATTTACTCTAATGAAATAAAGGTTGAATTTAAATGAAGGTTTTAAAAGTGAGCCCAATTTTAATCCATCAGAACAATGAGTTGATTTACATATTTCATAAACTCAATCTATTTTAGTATTCTTAAAGTTCTTAAATTACATTAACATAACTAAAAAAATGGGAGTAGAACTTTGATGACGGTGTACTTTCTTAATAGTTTTTAGGTAAGTTTTCAAAACATTAAAAATATCATAAGTCTTCAAGGAGCAATAACACTATTTGGAGCCATCAAATCAATACAGTTTTCTACACTTAATTTTCCTCACAATAAACTGTAAGGATGAATGGATTAATTTCTAATTGTTTAAATTAAAAGTGCTGCTTCGAAGCCTTGCAATAAATTAAATTTTTAATTTATATAATTAAATCAATCATGTGTAAATTACAAAAACTCAATGTTTGTTGTTAACTAAATAAAATTGTGAGTTTGATCATGGTGGAACTTTTTGATGCAAGTTTAACACAAATCAAAATCTGAGCATTCACAGCAATAATATCGATAACCTTAAATTGGGAAACAATCACAACCATCACAAGCAATTTATTCATGAATATTCAGTTTATGTATCCTAAATTTCTTCGTAAGATTTCCCTTTTGCTTCATCATTTTAATTTATGAATCTTATTTAAGCTTATTCCAATCTATTACATTATTGCATTAAATAAAAATATGAGCATTACTATGCTCTTTTTCTCTCTTTGATGAATTGCATTTCTCGCAGATCTAGAAGTAGTAGCAAACAGTGCATCGAAAGTAGTTATTCCTCTCTAATTTCTCATAACAATATTAGCATTTATGATAATCAATTTCATCATTTTAATGGATTTAAGATATTGATACATGTAAAAATAGTTCATCTAACTGTTATATATCTTAATTATCAGAATTTATCTAGGAATAACTTTCTGATAGTTTTTCCTGCCATTCCTCGGCTTCCTTTATCATCTCCTAAGATACAAATTCATCTTGCTCTAATTAGATGATTTAAAGCAAAGGAAAATTCCTAATATATGAATAAAATAGTTACTCATTTTTAAGTGGTTATAACCTATCTAAGAATAAATAATAGTCAATTGGACAAGCCAGATAGATCACTCTATCTTTGACTTCATAGCAATAGCACATTGTAAACTTCTAAGGTAATTGAAATTTTTCATTCAAGCTGTTCAAGAATTGCTTAAAATCCTAAGTGATTTTGATTTAAGCTTATTCTTTAGTAATAGTGTTGTATACAGAAATTGCAGCTGCTTAGGAAAATCTATAATTATTCATTTAAATATATACATACACATTTTTATGATAAAAATAAATTCATTCTAATTCAACATCATCTAAACAAATTTTAAAGAGATCAGACATTTATAACGTAGCGATTGGCTCTTAATTTTCATTCAAGCAAACTAAACTACCCCTAGAAGAGAGCAGTAGATTTTCAACAACCTAATTAGAGTTAGCTAATACTTCTTTTAATGTTTATTTCATTTGGAACAGTTCTTTATTGCAAATACAAAACCCGGCAAATTTTTTTTTCTCAATTTTAATAAAGTTTAACAAATCTAATGCAGGTCTATTCAACTATTCATATTATTAAGTAATACCATATCGAATACTTAGTATTTGAGAATAAATAAAAAGTCTCTTCGGTCTATCAATCCTAAGTACTTGTTGTTGTTATCAACAATAGGAATAGCATTTCGCTTAAATACATAAATCAATTTATAGAAAACACTAAATATCAAGATATAGTTACTCATAAACATTAGTGTCGAAAGGAAGTTTATCATTTAATTGTAAAATCCTATCACTAAAGTAGTTGATTTCTAGTTCATGCTATTCTGATTGAGGATTGTTTTCATGATGAACTTCAATTCGATGTGATTTTTATGATAATTATAAATGGAAATATTAACTAAATCCTTTTACTAGAAATGCTAAAATATCCTTTTATTATAGAATGCCCACAATAATTCTAGATTCAGTATCAATAACTACAATTCTTGTTACACCCTACTTTAAAATCTTCTTCATCGCATCATTAAGATTATCAGCCATATCTGCCTAAACCAAACTACTTTGATGAAGGCTTTCTCCGTAAGAATTGAACCAGTCTCTTACTGAAATTGTTTGCAAATCAATCAGCAATTTGTTTATCTGCTCCTATCCTATTAATTAATTTTTATGCACAGGAGTAGCACGATCTTCATCCTCTTCTTCCATAATTGGCTAAACCTATATTTTGCTATTTCCCCACACTGACTAAAATATGTATTAGAGAATACCATTGGGAACACCATTTAGAATATTTTGATAGCATTTAAGGATTATTCGAATCAAATCAGTTTAAGTAAATACTCCATCATAATAAGCTACATCTGGATTCCAAAACAATACTTCATCAATATGTGTATCGATAAACACATTAAAAACATCATAGAGAGAGAATGACTAATCAATCACAGTCACTTAATTATTAATAGATAAGCAATCGTAAAGAGTGCTATCTTGTAAGAAGCAAGTTAGAGTTTTCATGTATTAATCCTTAATTATGTCTTCTTTGCTTTACATCCTTTTCATTCCTTTTATATATTTAAAATTGATAATAATTTTTATTCAAATTTATTTCCTTCCAAAATGTCATTAAAAATTAAAAGTAATATCACTGTTATCTGCTTTGGCAATTTGCCACTTTTATTTGTTGTGTTGCTTATAATAACTTGTATAAATTCTTTGCTTTTATTTCTTCAAAAGTATGCGCTAATTTATAAACTAATTTTCTAAACCTATTCTTTATTAATATAAGGGAGGAGGTCTTAGTTAATATAATTGAACAATTAAAATAGTGTTACCAACGAAAATCAAGTAAAAATATCATAAAAATTCAAAAAACAATATAAATAATTCTATTAATTGTTTATAATTGAATACTTATTGATTACTTAACTGCTCTCTTTTTAAATAATGAATTTTTGAAATATGCTAATTAATCTAAATGCCAACAATAACTCTTTGTGATTTATTGATTGTTGATCAATTCAAGATCAAAAGGTATATTATATTTAAACTATCTGAATTTTTGTCTCTTTTCTTAGCAGACTTTGAAAGTGAATTGGTTAAGAATAGACAAAACCTCAAAGAACACTTGCAATAGATTCGCTTAAATAAACAAAAACATAACTTTACTTTATTATTGATAAATAGAGAAAATAAATTATGTAAACAAATAATTATACTAATTCAATTATTAAAATAAATATCAAATGATTGATCTCACTCCACTTTTTGAACCTTGATAATGACTGAGGAGTCATTAAGTTTTGTTCCACTTTCATCAACAGATTTTTATTGGTGTTAACTAAGTTCAGTATCTAATTATGCCTCTTGAATTCTATACTTTCTAAATTAGAATAAAACTATTCCAACTATAAACATAAATTTAATTAATACCAGAAATTAATATGATTCCCCCTAATGTTATGAGCAAGATTCTAATTAGTTTCCATTATTAAGCAAATAAATAAGTTGTTACGACTTACACTGCGAAATTTTTTGTTGTTCGAATCAATTAATTTGCGGAAATACTATTATTTACGACTTGTGATTTATTGAATTATAAAGTATAATATTATTTCGACCATTCCTCCACATCTAATGTTAATATTATAATTACTTTGATCTGCAAAACAAACTACTCTTGCAGGAACAAATCTAAATTTGGTCAAAAAAGCATTAGTTGCAGTTACTCCAAAAAAGAAGTCATCATATTAATATTCATCTCTAACAGCCTCCTTTAATTGATCTTCTTCGTAAGTGTACTAAAAAAATTGAAAATCTCTCATCCCTATTTAGGTAAATAATATCTTTTCTTTATTTGGGGCTAAAAAGTCATAACCATTATTAAACACAATCTAATGATGATTAACACCGCTTATAATAGCAAATTCATCTGTAGCATCAACATCAACTATTCTATAATTGCTCACTTATTTTGTAATAATTGAAAATATTTTCTAACTAAAATTTACAAGGTATTCAATATAAAAGTAGATTCCATTCTATTCAAAAGCTGCAAATATATTCTGACCATTCTTTGTATCCACAGCTATTCCACCTCTTTACTCTTCTAAACTCATTACTAGTTCAAATTTAAATTCCGATGAATTGATATACATATAAGCTAAAATTAAACCTTTTTTAGCGTCAAGCAAATATAGTTAATATTATCCATCTTTTACTTTGAAAACTGCAAAATCCTTTAATTCTAACTGAGCCCTCTACAATTTCAAATCTTTTTATGTTACTGTATACCTAAAAGTTACGTCGCTCTCCTTTATTTCATAGATATCCATTCCTGCTTTGCCAACAGCCGAAAATACATAACCATCTATTTCTTTGGTCAGTCCTCTCTCCTCTCTTTGAATCCAATTAGAAATCTAATTAACATGCATAGTTTTCTCATTTTTCTCCATTTCTGACACACTAAAGAATTATGCACTATCCGAATATAATACAAAGGCTAAATTATTTTTTTTTGAATAGACCAATTGTGGTAACTCATCTCTTGACTCTATCGATGTTAGTACTGGTTGAAGATTGGCCTTCCAAATTACACCTGCAAAATCCTTAGAATTTCCATAACTTGTAAATCCTTAACTTGATATAACATTATCATAGTTGAATTTTATTAAATATGCTATTGCATCTGAAGTTATTGCCAACATTCCATCATTAATGTGGACCATCCCAATAAATTCTCGAAAATTTAATGGAGTATCAATCTCAAATTCATAACTAAACAAATTGTATTCTCATATTGTTACTCTTTAAAATCATCTGATTATATAATTGTAAATTGCTAAGTTTCAGTTTAAACTGTTTATTGTTTCACTTAACAAAAGCTCTTGTCTTACAATGGCATTAATATGGCATTATCAGCTTCTGGCATCCAGTAAATGATATTTGGTTCTCCTTAGTGAATTGTAAAGGTTTCTGAAGATTCCTTAGTTTCTAAAATCTTTAAATCTTCAGAACATAAGCTCATCAGAAAGAGTAAACTCAAATAAAACATTTTTAGTTTAATTTATATAATCATAATATAATACGAATATCGTCCTTAATCCTTTATGATGTTATGATTATTCCGATTAGTTTCATTAAATTCTAACATCACTTAATTAGTTAATGGCAATGTTCAAAATGAAATATTTCTCGATATTTAACAACTCGTTCAATTCTCATATTTAGAAAATGTAAACGTGGAATGTCACTAAATATTGGACCTGAAATACTATTGCTCAGAGATTAAGTCTCTAGTGAACAAAACGTAGCACTATTAGAAGCTTGAGTAAATGTAATAAAAACTACTCAAAAAAAAAATAGAAATATTCAGATTCACCAGGAAACTTTTGGAAAGATAATAATGGAATGGGCTATACAAAAATAACAACCTTACTTCGATGAATATGTTGAAAGTTATAATATTTACAGGAAATCTAATAATGAGATAAATTCGCATAATATAAATTAGAGAACTGAATGATTTTGCATTTAATAAAAAGGGTTACACTTTATACTATAAGGTGGTATAGAAAATGAAATAGAATATGTATTAATAGTATATATTTTTCAAGCAGAAGTAATATTTTATGTAAGATTTGAATTAATTATAGAAGATTTAGACTGATCTTAATTAAGTTAGGATTTAAGTTAGTCTACCTAAGTAGAGATTATTAAAAAATAATTGGGAGATTGATATTAGATATTATTATGAGTGAAAGGAGATGTACAGTTTATAAAATAGAAATCACATTCAAGTTTAAGTCTATCTGCTGTTTCCCTCTCATAGAAATATATCGAGTATTTTTTTTCTGCTTTAATAAGTTATTAGACCTTAAATTTCATTATTCTCTCACGAAACCAATCCGAATTATATGGAATGAAAAACTTAGGAATAAAATTTTCTCTATTTTTACAATAACCAAAATTTATATTTGTAATTACTTTATAATTAGAGTTATTAGAGATAGTATTTGTATTATTACTTTTTGGCATAATAAATTTCTTAAAATAAACACCAGAATTACTCTAGGCAACCTGATTATATTGATGATTATTCTGTTTAAAATGATTTATTGCTATTATTATCTATTGAACAATTTCTAGAATTATTCTACTCCAATAAGAAATACTCAAATGTAATTTGATAGTTTTAAAAATTCTTTTCTATCCCAATAGCTCATTCATTTAGATTTTCAAAATATAGAGTTTTTTTCAATTTTCTTTGGTTTAATTTATATTGGTTTTAAACTAAATTGATTTTATTTATTTCTATGTTTTACTTTTTGGTTATCATTTTGTCGTATGATGTTAGCTAAACTATAAATATCATTTTCTTAAATCCGTAATTTTTTATGCAATTAAATTTAATTCAATTTAAGAATTCTCATCAAATCTCTTTAAAGATACATTCTCAAATTGATAGATGCTATCAGCTATGAAATATCTTTTTATGGAATGAATCAAGGATTCAATTTCAAGCTCAACATTTCAAATTAAGATAATTATTGAAAAAAATCAATTAATACATTTATTAATTTAAAAATAGTCTCTCTTTATTAAATATTGATAACCTATCTCAAACTTTATGATTTTAATTTGTTCAACTAGCCTCCATTAAATCTCAGGTTACCACTTAAATAGAAAATACTTGGAGTATATATATTGTATTATTCTAAAGAATCTAAGATTCTTGATTATAATTGCACTTTATTTCAAAGTTATTTATTCACATAGTAAATTTTAGGCTTGTATCTTTAAAATTCTATTCTTTTTATTTATAAGATTAATGATTATCCATAGAATGCTTTAGTAATAATTATTTTATTCTATAAGTCAAATAGTATTAATTTGTTTGCATTACAATGTTTATTAATTTGTTTTTAAAAATTAAATTTATATTATTTTAGATTTTACAAAACGCCGCCAATTTGTAAGATCATATAATCTAATTTCGAATTTAAAGAATTAACATTAACATTATCAAATAATGGATTGTTTTGATTTGCCTTAAATTTTTAGATATTCTATTATTCACTATATTGTGTTATATTAATTATTTAATTATATGAATACTACATCTGCACTCTAATAAACAATTCATAATTATTGTTTACAATCATATTCTGCTGGGGATTTTGCGGTATCGATTATTTGATAAAATCTAGAAAAACCAACAAGTCTTAGAACATTTAAGAAAATTCATATTGGATTGGAATAATATACAATTGTTGAAAAATATTATTGAGGTGGATTGTAAATAAGAGACAACTTTTGTGATTTACACATTACTTCAAAAAGCAATTGGTGCAGGTTGTAAATTTGTAAATGTACTTCCGAATCAATAAAGAAAAACATAAAGTTATGAAGAATATGAAAGGTTAATAAAATGCTCAATATATTAGTAATGAAAGATAACATTTTACTACAATTGTGACAAACCACTTGGAAATAGTGATAAATTATTTTTCAAAAGGATTGTAGCATCAAAATTATGTTTAAAACACAGTATTGTTTGCTCTAGCCTTTATGTTGAGAAAATATTGGTCTGAAATAATTGCACCAGAGTAATTGGTAGAAAGACTTATTAACACATTCTTTTATACTCAAAATGTTCAAATTTTATCTTTAGGATGCAAATTATTTGAAAATCTACTAAGCTGTGTTCGCCAATATTATTATGCATCTGGATATCTAGAATTTAGAAAAGTTATGATGGGGTTTCAAAGGTAGATATCAATATATATTAAATATTTTTAGATAGTCTTTATCAAGATTATTAGAATCGACTCATAAACTTGTTTAAATTTAATTGAAAATGGGAACGTTTTTATAAATATATCAGTTAGATAAGTCCTATGCTGATTCATTATTATTGTTGCTTAATTCATTCTTGACATTTAATTTTAATCTGAGTTTTTATGAAATCGACGTTGATCATGATTCTAAAGAAAACTTGATTATTAATGTAAATATTTATCATGCCAAATTTAGTTCCCTGATTCATACTTTAATATACTGAATGATGAAAAACTTAATTAGGAGTATTTCAGAGCGATTATTGAATTCTATCCATTTGATTAAGGCATTTCAATTAGAATCCTAAATATTGTTTAAAGGATAGCTTCTGCAAGATTAACCTTATTTTTTTCAAAACACAATTTTAAAAAGATTGTTAGAAAAACACTTTGGGAGGGCTTACTATATCTTTTAAATAATTACGAATTATACATAAATAACACCGATTTTTCAAATGAGGTTTGCTCTTATGCTATAAGATTAGTTGTAAGTGTCTATAAGCTATTCATTAGTCAAATTTTACTTTAAAAAAATTAAGAAAATTTTAGGATTTGTTTGATCAATGTGTTAATTAGCTAAATAAAATGAATCATATCATTCTCAATAATCAAGGAATAAAACTATCTACAAACAGTGTTTTCATCAAACTATAGGAAGTTTGGCATCAATTTTTATTTTAAATTAACATTTACAGTTCTCAATATTTACAACAGTTTAAATTATTGTAAAACTCTGTAAATTTGAGTTTTAAGTTATTAATTCATGCATTTTATAATGGAAATCCTTTTTCTGAAATACCGCCCAATTATCCTATTAAAAAAATAAAAAAATTTTTGGACAAAAGCTTCCACTTATGCATTTAGGTCTATCAATAGAATACTGTTGAATGTGTAAATGTGATTTCAGACTTATTAAAAAATCTACCCATAATTGTATTAATTATTAGTGAATTTAGCAAGTTTCAACATTGTAACCACAAGAACAATTAATAACACTATGTAAAAATTTATACGAATTTAAGAAAAATTTAGTGCCTTATTGTGTCTAATATCTGCTCTTGTGTTAAGTCCAGCCTAGGTTGAAATACTAAGTGGAGTTGATTCTCAATTTTAATAAGGCAAGTAGGAGGGTCATCCTTAAACTCGTATATTGTTGTAAGCTATCCTCGACTTGATTGCATTTACAAACAAAATTCATATCCCTGCCGATGTAAAAAATCAATAAAGTTAAATCATAGAATTATGTTTGCAAGTTATATCACACTAGTATATTAATCTTTATTTAAACCTACATATCATAAACTATAGAGAATTTGTACTATGAGGAAACATAAAAGATAGTGATATCTCAATCATAATTGTAATAAATTATTTATAATAATAGATCAATGACTCTAGGAAAAGATAATAAAATATCATGTAATTATTTGATAGTTATTGAAAGTTGCTTAGAAAAATGGTAATGTTTGATATAATTTAAGCTTCTAAATATTTACATTTCATGATCCAGATTTAGTGGAATATAGCTTTATTATTTTATAATATACATATGAAAAGTATTCATTGATTAAATTTTTAGATTAAAAAGATAATTAGATAGAAGATTCTTTCGATAGAGTTCTATCAGTAGTATGTTGAAACAATTCTTCTTATAGATGGATTTAACATGCTTTAATGAAGTTCTATATATAAAGAAAAGAAAACAAGTATATAAATTGGTCTCTCTGGTTTGGGTTGACGACTAATTGGATGATTATGTACCTGCTTTGGTAGATATTTACTAATAAATAAAAAAATCTATTGCTAATGAAACAAATAAAATAAATATGCTCAAATATTTGTGGGATATGATCGGAGTAGTTGATGAATTAGAAGTGGATAATATATATAGAGTATTCTTAAGGATTGTGTAATATCAATTATATAGTTAGATTTCCAGATTTATCATCTCTATTGTCTACTGATAACACTCAAATATTTGTATAAGACTATGATTCCTCTTTAGGATTGACAGCTCTTTTGTGTGCAATCTTTAAAAATAAGTAATAAAATCCAATATAACTAGAAATACACGATTGTCAAATGAAAACATTCAAATTCTGCTTTATTAAATCTATGGCAAAGCTACAGCTTTCTTTATCACCTCCATTGATTATTTGATATTACAAGCTCAAACTAGTTTGTAATAAGGCTAGCAAGTTAAGGATCAAATATTGAAGATGGCAGCTAAATTGTTAAAAGTGATGGGCTAGATTTCAAGTTCTAAACAAATTAATTAAGGATTTTTTGTCATCTATTAAGATTCTTCATACTTAAATTTGTTCAAAAAATAATTGCAGTTAATAACAGTCTATAAACCTTTATTTCTTAATTTAATAAAATATAAAAAGTATTTGTTTGAATGCTTGGAAGGGATATGTTCAGAGCATAGTGAGACATTAGCTTATAGATGTGGATCAGATGTTTATTTAGATTTATTAATGATATCAGAAGGTACTTTAAAAGAGATTTTAAATTTCAAATAACTTAAAGGTGAAGACCAAATAAATGAGGAAGCACTTCAAATATCTTAAATTGCTAGTATTCTATGCAATGTGATGTAATTCTTAATACAAGAAGGAGTCATTGGGGAATAAGTGGATACTGATATGATTTAGACGAAAACTTTAGAGATATACTCTACTGGCAAACAACTATTAACTTCAATTTTTTCATTGGCCTTTACAATAATTGTTGCGTTTCCTAAAGTTTTAAAATTTTCAACCCCTAATAGTGAGATTTTGTTTGCAATTTCGTTATTTAATCCAACTGAAGTATGTGTATTGATTTAACTTAGTTTCAACAATTACTTGTTTAATTGTTTTAAGAATACAAAAATATTCTTATATTGCCATAATAAACTTTAGAGTTGATTACTACAGGATACCAAGGTATGTATCATAATTTCTATGATAGTTTTAAATAACTATTTGAATAGCACTACTAAGGAGTTGTTTACTAAATAAATAAAATAAGCTTTAGAATAGGTTTGTTCTTAAGAAGAATTCTGAATTATTGTATTTATCAATTATAATTATAATTGTTTATCTATCTTATAATAGAGGACCTACTTTATTCGTAAAAGTCTTAAAATATTATATATAAATTAATAAGTAAAATCATACAATATTGAATCGTGATCCAATAACTCATAGATTTTTTTTTTTATTCAACAAGAACAAGAGTACATTCAATGATCCCTAAGGTTTAACAAAGCATTCATTCTGATTTGTAATTTTAAGAATTCGAATTGATTATTTTGAAACCTATTTTAAATATACATTTATATTGTTAACAATCATAAAATTATATTAATCATATGAGGTAATAGCCATACTTCATTAAACCTGTGAATCACTTATCCTATAGAAATCAATCGAGTAAACAAAGCTTTAGTCAATAATAAAGTGAGGAATCAAAATCAAAAAGTTAAAATCGATTATCAAATATTAAAAGACCAGCTCCCATAATCACTCAAGCTATTACTTCTCCTTAATTAAAAAGGACTAATAACTAGTATAAAATATGTCTATGATATAGATTGAGAATCTTGAAAAGTAATAAAGTAGATTTGCCATCCCTGCCTTCGCCTCAAATTCAATAATAATGTGATTAATCATTGTCAAAGTTTAAAAGCTTTGAAAATCTGAATATCCAAATGAGGTAGCCAACGCCAAGAAGATTTAAGTCTGATGAACCTAACATCAGTGAACTTGTCACCTAGCCAAAAAAAACTATTCGCTTCAGTTAGCATAGCAATATAAGATTGAGAAATGATTCAGCAAAAGCTCGCAATAGATCAAATCATGTACCTTTTCAAAAAACTAACACTGAACCAAGCGAAATAGTTCATTCTCCAATTAAGCAAAAGGCAAAGAGAGATTTTGATGATTCAAGAGAAATTCTATATCAATTGCAAAGAGGTTACTCAAAAGATAAGTAATCAATTTTGAAGACTGAACCTGATGACCCTTATAGAATTGGCAGCATATGTGAAAACAGAAACTCTACAAGTTTGAAAAGACAGTTTGGGCATCAATATATTAATGAATCATAAAGATTCCCAACGAAACATCATATAGATATGCCATGTGATGATGAGTTTTCTTAGTTTTTTAAAGAAGATGATATTTAAAATAATTTTAAGAATACCCAAAAAAACACAAGCCAATAAAATTAAATTAGTTAACAAACAAAAGAGAAAATTTTAGATTTGCTTTTTCTTTCAACTGGAGAATTAAAAAAAAAATTTAATGAATAAAGCAGAATACAATATTCAAAAATTACTAGTAAAATATAGCAAAACAAACCAATAGTACCTAAAAGCAGATTTCCCAATGACTTTTTTAATGTTTTGCATTCTAATGAATCTCAATTATTTTGATTTTTATAATCCATCTCTTATTATTCTATTTTTCATATTAATTAGATTTTGTTATTGTCTTTTAGCGTTATAAACAAATTTGCAATAATTAATGAATCCATTCATAAAATTACTTTTCGTAATTATTTAATTTGATTAAATTTAAGATTATCCTAATTAGATGAAGTTGGAGTTTAAGTTAATGATCAAACATTAAAAATAGTATTATTAAAATAAGTCAAAAGCTCATTATTAAAATAAAATAAGACGTCATTTATTGAGGAATAAAAACGACTAACTTTTTTTTGATTTTCAATATTATTACAAATGAAGACAATAATCCTTGCCTTAGCACTCATTGTGTTAGCCTCATCAACATAAGCTGATGTCATTGCTACAATCAAGAAGATTGATCAATCACCATTCGGAAGAACATTGTTCGATACCATCTGGCTCGAACTCTAAACAGGAGATCCATTAGACAGATTACTCTAAACCTTGACCGATTTGGAAGACAGATATGTTGCTGAATAAAAGGAAGACGATGCCAGAAACCACGAATACTAAGATGCATGCACAGTCGTAAGAAACTTTTCTTATACCTTTCTAGGACATCAAAGCTTTCGATAAGGATTTGGCTGAATCCAACAGAAAGAAGATTGAATTAGAAGCTAGATTAGAAGGATAATTATATCCATAAAGAGGAATCTTATAAGGATTAGTTGCCTAAAAATAAGCTGAAGTCAAGGGATACTAAAAGGATTTGGATGAGCTTGATGCTTAAAGAGCTGAAGAAAAAGCCGATTTCGAAGAGAAAGTCTTGGAACACTAAGAAGCCACAGCCATCATCGCTGAAGCCAGAAGACTCTTCGCTGATAACATCGAACACGAATCCTTCATCCAAAAAGGAAAAGCCACAAAATAACCAGCTCACAAATTCACCAAGGAAGTTGCTAGCATGATCTAAAAGCATTTCACCACATCTGCTAAGAAGGCTGCCAAATTCTAACACAGAAAGGGATACAGCAAATTATTCAAAGCTTTCGCCACCATCGCCTCAAAGGTTGAATAATTAGCTGATGCCGGAGCCGTCTCAAAGATCATCGATTTAGCTGATGAATTGTTGGCCAAGATCGCTGACTCATTGTCCTTATTGAGATTCGCTGAAGACAAGAGAGTTGAAGCCTACAAGAAATCCAGAAACTTCATCGTCATCTCCCTCACTGTTGCCGGAACTGCACTTGCTAACGCTCAATCAGATTTGGCTGCTTTGAATGATGTCATTGCTTAAGTTGAAGCTTCCCTCGACACCACCAACTAAAGAATTGAAAACGTCAGTGCTGACAGAAACGATAGATTCACCTAATGTGAAGAAGCCGTCTAAGATTACTAAGACGCCAGATCTGCAAGATCCTCTGACAGAGATGTAGTTTCATAAACCATCGGATTAGTCAACAAGGAATTAAGAACCTTAAGAGAATAATTAGCTTTAAGATAATCAGCTGGAGAAGAAATCTGATAATGATTCATATCAATCAAATATTCTAAACCAACACCTAAATTATTTTTCAATATCTAATTTTCAAGATATTCCAGAGTACTTGTTATTTTATTAACAAATCTTCTATAAATCTTTATAAAAACCTATAAACTGCTGAATTACTCTTTGAAGTAGCCAGTTATTTCATAATTAATAATTATTATAAAATTTAAAAATATTGAATAATTAGTTGATTATTTTTTAATAATTCAAAATCTTGAGGTTTTTGTAGTTTTTCCCCCATAATAGCTTATTAATTTCTTTGTAAGGTTATTTTAAAGAATCAAAATATAAATGATTAATATGTCTGACTAACTACTTCCTTTAAATTATACTTTAATTATGCTTTCAATAGTTTTAGTTTTTAGATATTATGACATATCCTAGAATTGATTATTTTACCTTAAAATTAGACTCTAAATATATAGACACATATCACCTACTTTGTTGTAGACCTTTAAATTTATTAAAATCTCATAATTTCCTTGTTAAATATATATTTTTCCAATTTTGAATTATTTTATATTAAATTCCAAATTCACTTAATTCTAAATCAATAGATTCATAAATTAAAATGATATTTCAAATATAACACAGATATTCAAATAGTTAAAAGAGTAGAAAAACAAACCAATTATTTAATGTGTAACAAAATTAAAAAACAACTTATACAAAATTATCTGAAAATTAGTTATAATATCATTTCATTTCATGTATTCCATATAACACAAAGGCAGCTCCATTTAATACTTTCAAATTACATTTTGGCTTTGTTTACATAATTATTAATTCTGGTTTGAGATCCTGGTTTTTTCCATATTCATTAATGAAATCTAAGGCATATTGATCTGCATCTTTATCAGTAATAGGCCAAAGAGATCCGAATAGAGATGGGCAACCTCTAAGTAGATATGAGACAGCCAACCCATGCCAATCAACATGATCCAAATAGATTTCTTAAAATGATAGGTTAGTTCCCTTGAATTTTCCTAAATCAATCATTTATGCACTACTACAACCTAATAAATAGGGTCTTCCACTTAAATACATTTATGTTTAAAAAACTTACTTTTCATTAATATATTATTCGCCTCCTCCATGTCCAATATAAAAATAATAGTCTTTTTTTTATAAGCATTCTACTATCAATTCTTTATTTGGTTTTTCTCTAACTATTCCTTTTAGATTATATTATTTTAATAAGGGAAGTATTTTCTTTTCTGATTTTTGTAAATCATTTCCTGGATTGAGGACATAAAATAAATCTTATTTTGGGTCAGTAGGTAAATTGGTTAAATCTAAAATATGGCCTAACGATAACACTCGATTGAACACTGTATTTTTGATATGATCCCATGGGAGCAATTACAATTAAGGACTTAATATAAGTAGAGGACTATCAGATTTATAAATAAAGTCAATGTGTTCTGATAAGGCATACTCTATACTGGATTACCTTTTTAACAATTACTATTCATAATAATCTCTCCTTGACCACCATTACCCAGGAGCACTCGATGTTTCATCCAAACAATCAATATTTTCTTAAATTAAGTTCAGATAATACATCAAGGCATCTTTGAATTATAAACATTTATTGATTAAATTGACTTACTTATTTAGACATTATTTGGAAGCATGGCAATATTTAGAGATTAGTATGATTTTTTCGCCATTAAATTCAAAAAAATTGATCACTACAATGTCTCTTTTAATTGAAATATCAATTATACTTGCTAACTCAGATGTTCTACTTAGATTTTCACATTTCATAATAGAGATATCTTCTTATTGTAAAAGTATTCTCTTCTGGTTCATCTAAAAGGAAGCCAAAGTTGCAATCAAATCAAACTCAAATTTATTTTTATCATATTTTTTCTATTGTGGACATTTACATTGTATTTATTTGATGAATTAAGGTTGAAAGTCAGCCAGAAATTCTTTTAATCTTAGATATAAATACATATACAATTTAGATTGATCGATATTAGAATGAAGAGATTATGCTAGTTGATTTTGTATAAAAAGAAACATCTAATATCCATAATTGCATACATTTTAATTAATTTGTTACTCACATAATCCCAAAACAAGAACAGGAATTATCTATTATAATATGACTTAATCCAAAACTAATTCGTGTCTACAATTTTCATCCACCAAAAAACAATATTATTTAGCATCTGTACATCTAAATAATTACTTTAAGATTATGCAATTTGTTTTCAACTCAAATGATCTTGTTTACTTTAACAGTAATTTTTCGTACAAATAGGGATTTGAATGGTTCAATAAACATAGATATTCTAATGTAAAATTAAAAAAGGCCCGATAGAATTTTCCCTTCAATAAATTGTTCTCATCAAAACATTATACTAACTTAGCATGAGATTCTTTTAACTTAGCCCATTGACTTCTTCTTTAACGATACAAGGATTGTCTTGTATTCTCACTAGTAGCTTATGCGTAATCATGCTTTTTATTCAAATATTTCACGACATTACACACTCCATCTGTTATCTATTACCATTACTAGGTTTCAATTTACCAAGGTATTTGTGAATATATGTTGACTAAAACAGCAATTCCTAACGCCCTTTGTGAGAATAAAATGATAGAATTCGATATCGTATTAATAGTTTTATAAAACCCTAAATATTTTAAAAATTTTAAAAGCTTGTAACATATTTGTAAATAAACATAAATAGCTTCTGCTCTATAGTTTATAAATAAGGCTGGAGTGCACAATTCACCATTACCCAAATAAAATGAAATAAACTCTTTATGTTCTATTTTAAAAATGTGAATATCTGATTATTAAAATAATTCATCTTGATATTTTGGTTTTTCTTAAAACTCAAATAAAGAACTAGTAAGCTGGGGCATTAGTTGTTCCAATATTTGCACCCTTGTAATTATACTGACTTGTTTTTAGAGTAATAGTTTCTGAGCATGCTTCAAAAATTTATTTAGTGTTGGCACTCCTTACAAAGATTTCAATTTTATTTCAGAACCAAAATTCTTTTTTAACTTCTCAATTTTAGAATAAAAGTTGACTTCCTTTATTGTAGGTGCATTAGGATATTATTTCTTTAGTTCTTTAAAATGTTGTGAAGATTTGGATAGTTGTAAAAGCAAGTATTCTGGCACACTTTCATGATATGACAAAATAGATAGTTTCAATAATAAAATTTAATGGCTGTCTATTTTGTGTAGTTTATAAACTCTCTCTATTAAGGCTAAGTTCAAGAGAAGTGCCTTTGCTTTTTTGACGTCAGCTATTTCATTGCTAAGAGGACAATTCAAGATTTTGCCTTTATTCTTGTAATCAGACTCCTTGGGCAACTTCTTATCAAAATTATTAATGAATTGCATCTGCATAGAGAAGTATTCCATGTAAAGATTTTTGTTTTTTGGATTCTGACATATGACCAAAATTAAGTGTAGAAGCTTAGATATTATAGAAATATATTCAAAGGAAAGACTTTAAGGTTACTTGATATTTACGTCTATTTCGAGTTGCTGATAAATCATTAACAGGGTACTATTCAAATCTTCCTAAGAGTAAGAAAAAAATTCTGTCAACTTAGTTTGAAGAAATTTCTAATCATATCGATACTGTAATAAGTAGACTAATTCAAGGAATTCGCAAATGTCTCTTCTGGGATTACTTGAGTCAACTAAATTTCTATAAGTTAAATACCATTACACATTAATTCATATAACTTATCAAAATTGGCAGCCAAATAATCTTTGTCTTGTTTAATAAATATTGAAGTGATTAAATTATGTATAGTTTGTTCTTTGGAAACAGTGGAAAAGTCAATTTGTTGATTACTGAATATTGCAAATCTATGATATATTTCTTAAGTGTATTTCTTAAAGACTGGTAATAAGGAATCAATGATCTATTGATTTGGTTATTGCTTTAATAACAGATTGGCTGAATCATTGACTTTTTGTATATCTTCCATCTTGCTAAATTTTAGATTGTGAATCAAGGATAGGACTTTGACGATAATTTTCTCTTAATTCAATTGAATTAATAAAGTGATTATTTAGAGCAAATAAGGAAAAATCTACTGTGGATCATTCTCCATATCTAGATATTAAAAGGAGAGATCTGTGTCACTATTATACTTGTAGAGTAAGTTCAGTAATTACATATTAAACCGAATTATTTAAATTGAACTGATAAAACTCAATTAAAAGTTAGAGGCAATCAATTTATACACTGTTATTTCAACAGTAAAATGATTAATTATTTTTTTATCAATCTGTGAAAATTCTTTTTTCTTTATTAAATTAAGTGTGTTTCGCTTACTATATTGAGAAAATCCAAGTTCGTGCAGTTCTGATTTCTAAAGACGGTTGAATTCACTTCTTAAAAAGAAGATAACATCATCATTTATAACTATTTTTGAATCCATAACAAAAAAGCGGGTAAATTTTAAAATTTCATTCATAGGTCCAATTTCTGAATCAGGAAATTCCAATATCAATGCCAAATAACATCTACACAAATACCTAATTCTTTAATTCTTTATCTGAGCTGTGTCTTTCATTTAATCTTAATATGGTTATGTGAAAAATAGATGAACTGCACAATCTGGTATTTGATAATTATTTGCTATGTCAATTAAGAGTTGGCATTACTTTTAAATACCTAGAATTTCAAAGACTTGAAAGTTTATTGCTGCAGTATGCATAACACATTTTACATTTTATGATTCAAGTCCTATTAAATCAATTAATAATTCATATGCTTCATGTATGTCTTATTAAAATAAGATTAACTATTAAGCTAGATTGGCTCTGGCAACAACATTCACCATATCATTGTTTCGAAAATCCCTAATTTAAGAGATAACATTTATTTTATCGTTGCTGCATTAGCAAAAATAGTTTAAAAGGGTTTATTTCTACTTTTAGTTCATAATATTAATTATAAAATATTTTATAATAAGTTCAATAAGTAAATCTTCAAACTATTTCCAAATATCTTCAAATAATATAACTAAAATTTAAACGAAATAAACTACAAACATAAAACGAGATGTATTAAAAAAATGAACTATTTATACAAAAAATTAATTTTATACTTAGAATAAGAAATTTATATTATAAATTCTGAATTAAGATAAATTATTTGAATTCTATCATAGGATGCTGCTTAATTCTCAATTCAATAGAAAATATTATTTTGTTCAATTTGAATGAAATTTAAATCTATTTATTTAACTCATTTTAAATTGCAACTTCATATGACAATAAATTGTCACATTATTATTCTCCCCTGCTTTATTCATAAATTTTCTTGTATAAGACTTAAATTGTCTTTATTTTTGATTTCATCTTCAATATTCATAATTTTGTTCTGCTTTTTCATCTTTCAAGTTTTTAAAAATGCTTATGGTTATTATAATATTATTATTTACTTTTTACTATTCATTACACGAATTATCTTCATAATTAAAACAATATTAAAATTATCTAAATTTTTTCATCATGAAATATTTGTTGTTCTTAGCAATTATCTTAATAGCCTTAGCTAAAAGACACCATTAGCCTGATGTTGTGCTCTAATGTTTATAAGGAACATGCAAGGAGGAATTTGAAGCTTGTGACAACTCATCTGGCTGCGTGAAATAACTTAACAAATGCATGAAAGTATAAGAAAGAGACCCATTGAATTACTCTGCTGTATATAAAATTCATTATCATAGGGATTCGAATGTTTAGAGAAATAGAGAACCGCCTTGGATGCCTTTGAGTGCATATTTGAAAAATGCCTTGGATTACATGGAAAATGAGGTTTATTAAAATCATATCAATTATTCAATTTTATATCATATCTAATCAGAGGATCTTCATTTTAGAATCAGTTTTTCTTTAACCTTCTATCAATGAATCATATTTACTATAATTAAATTAAAAACTGATAATAATTGGGATCTAAATCATGAAAATTAACAAGAATATAATATCTTTATTTTAACTCAAATTTACCATACAGCTGAAGTTTGCTAAATTCCACTTTGATAAGATGTTAATCTATCGGGAGTAGAGAGTTTATCAACTCTTGATAATTGCTTAACGGGAGAAAAATATTGGTAATAGGAAACAATGCTATGATTTTACTGAGTTCCATTAATTGGATGCAAAGGGACAGTAATATTTTATAAATTACTTTGTGATGAATTTTTAGATATTCTAGGATGGGTTGACGGCTGAAATTATCCCCCAGGTTAAGTGATTACTCTTTACTCCTAATTCCTACTTTACAATCTTTAAGCGCAATTGATGATTTGTACAAATGCTGGCTCACTCTAATTCTAGCAAGGATTGTGTAGGATTATGGGTTCTTTAAATCTATTTTTAATAATTTCTTGAAGTTAAATAAAATCAGGTCTATGTAAGGCATCTCTCTATAGCATCTTACCTACTAATTGCAATAATTGAATCGAATAGATTCCCGCCAAGGGCTTTAATGAATCAAAAAAGTTAAGTTGATTTGCTTTAGCATATTTATTCATTTACCTCTACCGGTAAGCATCTCCATTATTACTAATCCTAGATCGAATACATCCTTTTTTATCTATTATCCATTTGGTTTCTACTCAAGTTAATCCAATATTTTAATTTAATCTTTCTCATTAATAAGTATTGATTCGGTAGTCAAATTACCATGAAACCTGTTCAATCCTTATAAATAAGCCAATGCACTAACAATTTATTCGACTATCTTCAAAATATTTTTTATTTACATTCCAAATTTCAATTTCGGGCACAGTCTCGTATTAGAGCAATTTCTATTTTAAATTTTTATCGTAATAAGCAAAAAAGAGTTATAATGATTAAACATTTCCAATATTTTAAGCCATTGAGGTTGTACATGCAAAATATGCTAAAAGGTTTGGATGTTTCATTTAACAACGACTTCTATGAAAATCAAAGAGATGGGAATCATTTTTATACAGATGCACATGCTAATTTTTATGATAAAGGTAATTTACATATGAAAACATCATAGGCGAATTTGATTGCTTAATTTTCCATAATTAAATTGGTCCAAGCCCAGGATGATTTACCATTCCACAATCTTATATTTATTCATTTAAGTCTTAAATATACGATAATGGCGAATGATAATTTATTAATGTTTACAGATTTCCCATATAATAAATAAAATTTATTTAAATTGATCATAATCACTTCAATTTTTCGTTTTTGAATTGCATTCTAAATTGGTTCAAAATTATTAATTATTTTAATTGTCATCTGTCTAACATAAAGCAAACAGTTGCAAATCTAACAAGTATATCTAAATAATCTAATTCTGGAATTTTATTAATTTTCTTACTAAAAAATAAATCTTTTAATTAACTATGCTTCTCTCATTTAAAATTAAACTATTGTCAATTAAAACTATTTGTTTTGAAAAGAAATTTAATATCTTATAAAGAGAATAAAGTAGATTTGTAAAATTATAAATCTTATAAATTTACAAAGAGAAATTAGCCAATTAATATTTAGATACTTATTTAAAATGGGAGAGTGAATTGTTTGAGCTTGCATAAATCTCAAAGTTCATGCACTTTATTTGAATTATTCATTATTTATTAAACAAAAATAGATGAGCATCATAATTTAGAATTAATTATAAAAATAGAATATTAACTCACAGTATAAACTTCAATACTAATTCCAAGGTGATTAGCTTCTTTGATACTTATATTTATCAGCTAACTATCTGGATTTTGAATTGATGCAAGGTTAAAAATTATAATTTTCTTTTTAAAAAGTAAAACTTTGCCTAATTGGCATAGCTAATCGATCAGCTTAATCAATTAAGTGGAGTCCACTTTTTTTCATTCTTTTATCAGCTATTTCAGCGGATTTTGGATTAATTAATGGCCTAAATGGTTATTCATTTTAGTTCTGAATTTCATCTGCTAATTATTATTTCTTAAATTCTTTATATTAGACCCAATCTTAGGAATCCTTAATGAATTAAGAATGTGATCTTGATGGCACCATTTTCTAAGATTCAAATTCTTCTTATTCTTGAGTTGCCAAAATCTTTTGTAATTCTGCTTTCATTTTTTTTTCTTAAATCAATTCATTTTGTCTTTCCAAAAAGGGCTTTAAATTCTTAGTATCAAGTATTTATTAAGACTTTTTGTTTATAAAGCAGAATTTATTTGGAGTCAATGATCTTTCCTTTTCTTCTTATAATCTTTAGATTTTGTCTCTCTTTTTTTCTTCTTATTAATAGAGTCTATCCACAACATTTAAGCTTTTGTAATTAGGAATGTTTTAATCATGTGATTATAAGAATTGATCATTTGTATCAATCTTAACAGCAGGTTTGCTAGGATTATACATGGTTTTTTGTTTTGGGTATTAAAGAACAAGAGTTTTCATTAAATTACGTTAAAATTATATTTATATAGTACTTAGAATAAAATATAAAATAAATTTGACAAACCAATAGGGATGCATACCTAAAGAATTTTGCACATTGTAGCAAATAATATGTTTAATTTATATTATCCAAATAACTAAAAATTACAATAGGATTTACATGTAAAGCTACTAAGAGTATTGATGTACAAAGTGAGTTTCTAAAGTTGCATGGGTTAATGAAAAAAGAAATTAAATAATGTATATCAAACAGGACGTATTTCTATTAAGAAAGATTAAGGAATTTTAAATAACATAGGCTCCATTTTCAATTAAGATTGATAATCAATGTGTTTAAAGATACCTTAATAATTTCAGACTAATGAAGAGTCATTAAGATTAAAAAGTCTTTGATATTGACCCTTTTTAATTGATAATAAATAAAGCGAGCCTTACGAAAATTTATCAATATAAACCGAATATTGTTAATGATAGATATTATCATTTAATTTTTTTAGAACAAAAGGTTTTTACAGGATCATAAATGGGGCCAGGGGATTAGGAATCTTCATTTTTGATTTTTTCATCTATCCAACTTATCTTTGGGGCTTTTCCTATTGTTGCATTAGGTGAAGTCTCTCTTATCACTAAATATTAATAATATTGGTTATTACATTTCAAACTCTAATCTAGTTTATACTTTCCTACTCCTGGAGAACTTGTAGTTAGACTATTGTCCAATTGTCTTCTAGCTTTAGGGAATGTTGTGGGTGATCCATTCGACTAATATGACATTTCACTTAATGGGATGACCTTGGATGACATTTTGCTTGGTGATCTGCTGCATATGGATTGATTGGATGCAAATTTTTTAAAATCAGAAACAGATTATTTTGTTAGATCGTTTACTCTTTTAACAGTTTGAGATGTATCTATATTAAAGATCTATGACTGTTGATCCTAACCTAAAACATTTAATTCAATCAAGAGTCTATTCCATATTTAATTCATGGTAGCTGTAACTATTACATCAAAGTTAGATTTAAATATTTGCAGATTTCTCGATAGTTACAAATTGTATTCAATCTTTTATCCTTATTTTTCCATTACACTAATCACTTCCCTCAATCCTTCAGATTCATATTACATTTACTTTGTTATGCAAAATTGATTTCTTTCATAAAAATATCCTCAAATTCTTTAGAAATCTGACTCAAGTATCCTTTCTTTTATACTGTTTCATAGATATGATTGATATCTGCAAATCTAGCAACTTCTTGCTATATATTTAACTATAAATTCATAATAAAAATAAATTTTCATTTAAACCATTCATGATCTAAAATTTCTTATATTGTTGGTCTATCCTATGGTTTTTTTGCACAACAACTATTGATTAGATTGATTAGTAAATCATCCTAAATTTCGAATTATAATGGTTGATCTCTAGCTAATAAATCTGTTTCTAAGTCTCCCTCACCCCAAAATGGTAGCTAATTATATGGATAATATGAATACTTTTTCATGAATATAGACATACAAACAGATACCAAATGACCAAACATCAAGTTTAAATGGAGAATAACCATCATTTAAACAGAATTACACTTCAGGTGCTCTAAAGCCTGGAGTGCCAGCACAATCATAGAATATGCTATCCTTCTCAGCTATTCTTGAGGTTGAGAAATCGATTAGTTTACAGCACTCATTTAAAGGATATAAAGTAGTGCATATAATGTTATCTATTTTGATATCTCTATTAACTATATTGTGTTCATGGAGATACTATATTGCTTAAGCTAGCTATTTGAATAATAATTTGGCTGCTTGCATGTAGTTCATCTTCAGGTAATCAAGAATAGCCTAATTTCGAATATATTTGAATGTGATCTCACAGAAGTTCATAATACATCCCAAGTCACCCAATTACATAATTAGATAGATTTTCTGTTATGGATCGTCTTCGTCATCTATTACCTCATACAATTTGCAAATATTTGGATGATTGAGATATTTATGAATATTGATCTCATTATCAGCAAACTCCAATAAATTGGTCATTTTTGGATCATTTGAATTACTCTCATAAAAACAAGTTCTTTGATGAGATAAGACTGTCTTGTGAAATATTTTCATTGCATAATCGCTTTTGTTTTGTTCCGCAGATTCTTCTGTCTCCTTATAGTATCTAGTTACTCTCTTCACTTTTCCAAATGATCCTTCTCCCAGATCTTCCTTCAATTCATATTCGTTAATGAATTTCTTGCCTTTTTCTTTTCTAAGTTCTACCTTATCTTTGAATATTGCTTCATATATTTCATTATCCATCTAAATAATAATATTAAAATTGATATTTAATAACAAATTCTATTGCTTTAAACATTTATTCAAATTCTGTTTATTATGCTCTTTAAAAAAACAAGCATCAATTTTATTAAACTAGAAATATATTTATTTTAATCTAATCGTTATGAAAAAAACAAATTTGAAGATAAATGCCACTACTACGATTTAAAAAAGACAAAATAAAGAAAATACAATAAAATCCCCTCGAAAAGCTATTTCCCCGAAAAACTTTAGATAAAAATTAACTTGTCCAGATTTGTGGGATAACATTGAAAAATAATAAATTACTTCTGAAACATTATTTTAACAAATATTTCCTAATCCTTATAGAAAAAGGTTAACTTACTTTTAGTTTGATTAAATCAAATTTTTGAGTGCAGAAAAAAATGAAATGTTTGAATTATTGTAATAAGATGACTGGATTGAATATAATAGAGCTGGTAAAATTCTGGGAGACAAATTTGGATTCGAGTAAAGTCAATTAAAGTAATGGTTTGATGAACATTAAGTCAATTAAACTATTAGGAAAGAAGACTTACTTAAAAAATACAAGGAAAAGAGTAATTTAATAAATAAGTATATTGTTTTTCTAATTATAAGATTATTTGAAGAAGTTGATTTTAATAATAAGTAAGAATTATCCTATTGGGATATATATATCCATAAAGATATTTATGTACTTAAATAAATTATTCCACTATGATTATAAATCTAATTTAATGATATTTTAAATCAAATACAAAAAGCCAGTTGTTTTTCTATTATTTAATTTTTACTTTTTGTTCTCTTTAATGGTTATAACTTTATAAGTATTATTATTAAAAATTCACATTTAGGGAAGATAATTTTAGTTTTTTTAAACTAAACTTTAGATATCCTTTTTTTAATTATAATTGAGTTAGGGTAAAGAATATCATCAAAATTATTTTTGATTCTTTTCAAAATCAATTCTCATCTTTCACAATAGCATCTAAGGGTAATAAATAATTTTCCATCTCGATCAATAAGATTTAAAGAAATTGATTAAGAATTCTATAGGTTTATAAAGAGATTACATATAATAATAATTTTTATTTTATTCAAAATTCTTAAATCAAATAAAATTTGATTATTTCAATTTACATATTTAGATTATTCAAATTTACCAACTTTTAAAAAGCTTCCACTTCCACTTAATGACGAACTATGATCATATTTATAGGGAATTTAAGCTTAATATTGATAAGATTATTAAGAACCATTGCCAACTTATTATGATGCAATTCTGTCTAAATTGAAAGCATCATTCTGCCTTGAGTCATTTGTAGTTTTTACTCGCTACTAGCTTGAAGTGTTGATTTAAGAATAGCTATTCTAGAAATCCTAGAATGAATTTCTGGTCAATCCTTTATATGAATCCCTTTAAGAATTATTTTCATAATTATTTGTATATTCATTAAGTTGCGTTTTGATTTATTTTTTTGTTTGACTTTCATGCCCACTCGTTGTTAATAATCCTTTGATCAAATCTTTATCATTTTTTTACAAAAGTAATGTACTATTCTGATCTCTCAGATGTTATATTTCTACTCCCATTAATACAATTAAACTCAATAAATCTTCTTCTCTTTTAGGTTGAATTTAAGGAGTTTCTGAAATATCACCAAAATTTTAACTATTTGGTCTAGGTTATAAATTATGAGTCACAGGTATTGATTAATATGAACTATAAGTTTATTATTTTTTTAATCTACTTACTTCCATTGTCAACATTACTATTTTATTTTCATAATATTCCTTTAATTTCTCGATTTCATTACCTTGAGTCATTTAAGATTACAAAATAAGTTATTGCTACAATTATTGACTAATTTGTTCATACTTTTATTTGTAAGTCTTCACTTAAATCTATAATGAATCATTTTCACTATAATATTTATCAACTATTATTCCTAATCTTTCAATTTCAGCCGATTATAGTAGAAGATTCAATAATAAATTAGATGGTTAGATATTAGAGAAAAGAATATTTTCCTTAATATTTTTGGCATTCAGTTTTCTTTTTTTAGGGTCTAAGTCATCATCCGTCAAACCGAATTCATTTTTAATCCACTCAATTTTATCATTAGCTTCCTTTAATTTATTACCTAAATCCTTCAATTCTGAATTCTTTTTGTTTATATCTTATTGCAAATCCTTTAATTTATTATCTTTATCTTATAATTATCTCATTAAATCACTTAATCGATTTCTTAGTTCTTCATTTTCATTTGATAATCTGTTTTTATCATCATTTAATTAATCTACCTCTTAATTTAATTTATCATTTTCATCTTTTAACTGAGATGCAGCTTCCTTTTGCCCATCTGCTGAATCTAATTCATCTAGACAATTGTTTAACTCTGACTGTAATCTTAATTTATCTTGTTCTGCCGATCTAATTCTCTACTAAAAATCTCCCAATTATCTTAATTAATCCTACAATTGTCTTTGAGTATCTTATAATTATCGTTATGAATCGGATAATTAATTTTTAAGATATGCTAATTCTTAATCCTTCTTCTTTAATAACTCTTTGTATTATTCAATTTCTAATCTTAATTGATCTGCATCCCTTAATTTATTTTTCATATCATTCAATTATTAATTTAATTGCCTATTTTCCATTTACAAATTTTATGCGTTTTTCTAATTTAATATTTTATATTACTCTTAAATCATCAAGTACATCTAAATCAGTTTTCTATTTATCATTCTCTCTTAGCTATCTATCTAATTCTTTTTTGAGATCATCAGCATCTTTTGCCTTTTTTTTCAATCTTTCTAATTCCTAAAAATAATTTTTATGTATTTTACTTTTAATAAATCTTCTGGACTTCCTCCAAATGACTTTTACAACTTCTCTAATTCCTTCAGTTTTTTGGCTAAGGTGTCAGGATCCATTCCTCCAATCTTATTTTATATATCCTCTAATTATTTGGCCTTTCTTTGTAAGTCATCTAAAATTCTTTATAATTCTTCTGGAGTCTTGCCATTAAACTGTTTTTCATAATCCCCTAGCTTCTTTTTCAATTTGCTTAATTGAGACCTCAAATCATCTTTTATTAGTAATAATATAAGTTACCAACATCATCATCGCCTATCTTTTTTTACAATTATACTAGCTGTTTTTTTTATTGTTCTAATTCTTTTTTCCAATTTGGATCATAGTCACGTAACTAAGTTTCGTATCGTTATAATTAAACTTCATAGTCTCTTATGAGTTTTCTCAGCCTCTCATTATCACTGCCTATTTTATAATTGTCTCTATTCTTTATAACATTATATACTGCTGTAATTATTGTAGCTTCTCCATTAGATCTCTTATTTACATCTCATAATTAATTCTATCTAATCCACTATCAGATTGCTGCTTGATAGTAATTTTCAGTTCTGTGTTTTCAGCAATCAGACGCTAAATTTCTACAGCCATTAAAAAACATGTCACATCAAGTTATCCATTCAGATTTCTTTTGACCTCTTTGTCCCTTTTGTTAGCATCAATACTTACTGATATCTCACTCTGGTACGATATTGAGGATGATTAATTTCCTCCTCATATTAACTATAATTGAACATTTAATAATAACACATTCATATTGTATCAAATTAGGATTAAATTCACTTTCTAATTCTATCTATTGCATTGCAACGTTAAAATTGCTAATTTTGTTTCAACTCCTCCAACACTCTATTGTTTTATTATTGAAGTCCCTAAAATAATTACTATTTGTATTTAATTTACTAAATTACTTAAAGTATCTAAGCATTAATTAATTTTGTAGATCAAAATTATGTTTCTTGAAAATAGTTTAGCTCTCTCAGTCGATTCCCTGTGATATCAACTTTTTAGAATAATCTCTTAATCTTCATGATTTAACAGATAATAAGCTTTACCTTAAGGTATTTCAATCTCTGAGATATCTAAATCTTGATGTATTAGACCCAAACATAATGATATTTTTATCCTTTATATTTATTATAAAAACTAATTGGTTACTAAAGAAATTAATAATTCATTATTGCATTTGAATGTAGTTTTAATTTCCTGTAATTTTTTCATATTAATATTCACTTGTTATTCAATTCTTATATCCATGCTAACATACAATAAGAGTTATGTGAATAAACCTACACATATTATTTTTGGAATAAATTGGATTCCCAATTAAATCCAAAATAATAATTATTAAGCCATTTATAATTTTATATATATAGTAGAATTTAGTACCAGATTAGGCTGATATCAATAATATATTAGCATGAGATTAATTAATTTTGGCATTTAATTAACTATTAATAAAAAGATTATGTTAGCATGGTAGAGTATGGAAAATTATTAACTTTTTTTTCAAAGTAAGTTTGCATATAAATTGGTATTACTTCTAAATTTATAAACCTCCATTGTAGGATTTGAGAATGCAAGCATATCAGTTTTACAAATATTCTCTTTCCTTAATTTATAAATGCAGCATTAATAGATTTGTGATTTCGAATCAAAAAAAATGCTCCGTGAACAAATTTATCTATAATATAATTGATTTTCTATTTATCAGTATTGGGCATAGAATGACTTAAAATATTTTAATCATTGCGCATATAAATTAATGTATTTATTACTTATATTTGAAATCCTGATAGTAACTGGCTTAATTGGCTATTTGATTCAAAGTTATTGTAGCAAGGATGTGAATATATATGTAAAAGGGATGGCACTGGTTTCATGGTTAATTAATTTTTTGCTGCTACTATTTTTACCCTTTGACATATACATTACATATAGAGATTAAGGCGTTGGAAATATTTCGAATGATTACCTGAATTTGGCTGAAGTAATGACATTAATAATAAGTTAGACTTATCAAATTCTCTATTGGACGAATTTCATATTGTGTTGGACTGTCATTCCCATAATGCAGGAATACGAGGAATCAGTTGAGTTAGATAAGAAAGATAAAATCAAGAAGGCTCTGAAAAACAACATGAGATTCTATATAGTAATTTCTGTAGTGGGTTTGGTTTTTGTTCTAGCAATTTTCTATACTGGATAGGCCCAACAGTGTGGTTTGGGTTCATTTTTGAAGAGCATGGCAAATTCATTTGGAGTGGCTCTGATCATAGTATTGTTGGGTTACGGATTGGTTATAATCCCAAAGGCGTAAATGAGGACATCTCAATTGGATGTACAGCTGAAATATCTTTATTTCAGGACTGCAAGCATAAATGGGGAGAAGGATGATGCTCATCATAAGTTGTTGGAAACATCGATGAAAGTGTTTCAAATAAAGGATCAACGATTCGAGAACGATGATATGATGTATTACCTCAACAAATGCTTAAATAAGATCCCAAGGAACATGCACAAGATCTTAAAGAAGGAGGAGGAGAAGAGAAAGTCTCAACTCCTCATAACCATAACTGGGGCTTTCTTTAAAAATAAGGGACCTGAATCTGTGGAGGAGATGATGAATCTCTATTAGGAGATAAGAAAGAACTCGTTGGAATACAAGAGAATCAAAGCGCAATGGAAGGAGAACTGCAAATCTGCTTATGAAATGGAGGATATCATAAAGGCTATGAATAGTTAGGATAAGAAAGTTCATTTTTCTTTTAAGAAGCCAAGAGAAGGTTCTTTGGCTTAGCAATTGGATTTGCTGGAATGGCAATGGCTTTGTGTTATCAAACCGCAGTTTAAGATAATTATATCTTTGATCTTTGGGATCTTGTCCATTTTGGTGTTGATATCTGAAGTGACCATCTTTATGGGTACATAATTTACGATATTCGGTTTGCCTCTCAGATACGTCGATGGATTATTGAGCATTTCCTTTTATTCTTTTATTCCTCTGTTGTACATAGCATTCTGTGTTTATTATGGTCTATTCAAAATAAGAATCCAGGGATTTTATGGACTCTACGGGGATCATTAGACAGATGCTCCGAGTCTCATGTTTGCCACCATCAACTTTAGTAGAGTGGGAGCACCGTTATGCTAGAACTTCTTGAATATGATTAAGTTGAAGTAGGAGACTGCCTTTAGATATGCGATGGGGAATGTATGAATTGAATAATTTAACTATTTAGATTGAGTTGTTGCCAATATTCGGGATAAGCATCACAGCTTTGATGCCTTGTCTATTGATTGTGTTGTGTTTGATTAATTACTTTGATTTGTTCGACAAGACTCTCTAGTTGATTGGGATGAAGCAGTTCATTTTCAACAATACATTTTCGGACAGACTGATCTTTGAGGGGAGAGATGCACTCAAGAAAAACAGATAATATTTTGAAAGAAAAATGAAGCCAGAAGGATGGTCAGACTCATCTGAACCTTACGATATTGAATTGCAGCAAAAACTAATGTGAAAATTAATGTGTATAATTAATTTGATAATAAGAGTATATCTGGAGTTCATTTGTGTAAGAAATAATTATATATTATTTATATTATGAAAATCATAATTAGATATTATAATGAATGGGGAATTTTGAATGTCGAGCAACTCAAAATCTCGTCGAAATATAAAATATCCGAGTTGTATGATTAAGTTTCAAATTTGACAGGAATTGATTAAAACCAACTGAAATTGATTTTGATATAAACCAATGAGAAAGTAACATTTTAGATTAAGAAGATTGTTCTTGATGAATTAAACCTTTACATATGTGATTATTAGATTTAATAAGGCTCTGCCATATTCGCATAAAAAACCACAGATCCCTTCTCCGATATGGCTTCTTCATTTTCATCGTAATTCGATCCCTCGCAATTTCTTGATACTTCAGCTAATTCCACTCCTGAACAAGAGACCATGTTCTAACTAATCAGAATGTCTCTTCTGAGTGACCTGGAACTCTTTTTGGAAGACAGAAATGATCGAGCCTAATTGATAAATGGAATTGAATTGACAGGATGGAATGCACTCCATCTAGTCACCTTTTTAGGAGATGACAAGATGTACTTATGGTTAATCAGTTCTGGAGGTGACATCTCTATTCTCTCCAAAGATGGGTGGAATTGCTTATAAATAGCCATTTGGTAATCAAACATCAAAAGTAAATTATTCAAATCTACCTAGCCTAGTGGCAAACCTCATCATAGGTTCCAACTCAATCAACGTCAATCAGATAACCACCAAAGGAACTGCTCTACATATTGCTGCCTAAATCGATGATCAAGAACTTATAGAGTTGTTATTGAAACACCCCAAAATAGACATCTCAATAACATTCCAAGGCAAGTCTGTTGTCGATGTGGCAGGAGAAAGAACTAAGAAAATCCTCCAAAAGGAACTCCTCATTCTAAGAAACAAACAATTTGACATCATCAATTCCTTTAGGTAATCCATTTGCACATTCTATTCACTCAACTCCTTCTTCACTAATCGACCACAAAAACCTCCCATTATTAAAGGAAGTGCAAAAGTAGTTTCCTATTTCAAATTACTTCTAATTGATAACTACCTTATTTGCGATCCAGACTCAGGAGCCATTGCAAGATATAAGACATCCATCTAATACCCTTTTAATCCCAAGTATTTTATTACTATTTTTTGAGAGTTAATTCCCTTGGAGTTTATCAATGAAATCAAGTTATCAAAGGATCTTTGGTTCCAAGACAAAAAGCTATTCTATCTAGAAATACAGTACTTTAACAAGCATTTGCATATTGCATTTCAAACCAAAAATGCTGCTCGATAGTGGCTGGAATCCATCAAAAATTCAATTGGGTATTGTAGATACACCAATCAAAAATTGAATTAATATGAATAAGAAAAATAAAAAAAAACCATTCTTTAAGTCATGATGGAAAAATAAAATCAAGAAATTGAAATATTTGATGTTGAAAAACAAAGCATCTAAATGAATCAATATGAAAAATCTATTTTAAGTTAGCATCAGATCTACAATTACACTAGAAGTTCCATCAAAATTAAAGATGTCCAAGTACTCTCACATCTTGGCAAAGGCGCTTTCGGATAAGTCTTTAAAGTATTTCATTCCATTCTACACTAGGTTATCTATAAAAACAAAATATATGCCCTTAAATAGTAATTGAAATAATAAGTCTTACAAGATGTCAAGTACATTTAAAGTGAACTAAGCATAATGAAGTATCTAAATCACCCATTTGTTGTTAAACTACATCATTCTTTTCAAGTGAATCTAACATTATATTAATTAGACTTAACACTATCTATACATGCTTCTAGAATATTGTGATAATGGTGATCTCATAAATTATATGGCGAAGGGCACAGTTCTATAAGAACCCTAAGCCGTTTTCATTATAGCCTAAATTATACTAGCATTAGAATATCTTCACTCCTTAAATCTCATATACAGAGATTTAAAGCCAGAAAATGTGATGGTTACAAAAAATAATTACATAAAACTCATAGATTTCGGACTTTCCAAAGAAGGCTTTAATGTAACTCATACGTTTTGTGGTTCACCTGCTTATTTATCCCCTGAGCTATTGAATGGCCATGGAGTAACATAAAGTACAGATATTTATACAGTGGGTCTTTTGTTGTATGAAATGCTATCAGGTTATCCTCCACATTTTAGCAACAACATTAGAGTACTATTAAATGGAATATAAAATGAAGAACTCAGAATTCCAAAACATTTTTCTGGATCTATCAAAAATTTCTTGGAATAAATCATCACTAAAAATCCAAATGAAAGATTATCCATCAAGCAAATTAAAAATCATATTATTTTTGCTGAAATCGATTGGTTAAAACTAAAACAATAAGAATACATAGCACCAGTACTCAAAAGAAAAGAGGCAAACAAGTAATTATTATCAACCAGATTGATTGATCATGACTATCCCTAAGATGGCGAAAGGATCAATGAAGTATTTGGTTGGGATTATTCTTGTTAAAATTGATTTATATGTGTATATTTAATGTGTTACTTACAAATTATTGTGATTGTAGTTCAATTCATTTAGAAAATCAATTATAAATAATTTATGATTGAAAACGAAAATTATGTAATCTTTATAAATGATTTATTCTGAAATATAATTTAATTGTTTTGTTATCACTTAATTAAAGTTTCAATTATATATTGTTTTATAAGTTATTTTTTGATTTTTAAATTTCTTAAGACTTTCTTTTCTGAATCCTCGAAATTGATGTATTCAAGCATCGTTCTCTCTTTTAAAGATTCATTGTCTTGAACTTCTAAGACCTTCTTTTGAATAATTATTAAGCAACTATTCAATTCCTCTTGAAAACATTAGAATGTTTATTCGCACATTTAAACATCCTTATTCTCCATTAAATGGAATTTATAAAACAAAAATCTAAATATATAATCAATAAAATGTTACGATTTGGATGTTTTGAAAAGTTAAATAGCCTTTTCTGAATACTCTAAAAGATCATCTAACAAGACTTTTTTAACTTACTATTTCAAAGTTTTTACTGACTATTCGATGTTTCGAATATTGTTATTGATACTCTACAGTTCATCCTTCAACTATAAGGCATATTTAGATGGATTCTTATTTGTATTCATATAAGGGCATGTATAAAAACTCTGCTCATGATCCTTTGCCCATGGTCCTGAGCATTTAAAGCAGAAATGTTATCCACATAAACATTTCAAATGAAAGCAACCCTCTGTACGTTAGATTAGTCTTCCACATTAGGGACACTTTGAGGCATGTAAAATTGCCCAATAATCATTTGATTGTTGGTATTCTAAGACTTTTTTCAGAATATCACATGGGATTGGATGGTGTTTTTCATTTCTGCATTTAGAACAAAATTTGATACCACAGGGACATTTAATTGAATTCGAAAAATTCAAACACTTAAAAACATTCTCACAATTCAATCCTATCGTTCTTACTTAAAAATTTACCTGGACACCAAGTAATTTAATCATCATGTTGCATGAATCTCTTAATCAATATTTACTTATATTTAGGGTATTATTCTAAAAACTAATGAGGCAATCTCTCAAAACATTAATCCTGTAAACATCTCACCAAAGGTATTTAACTTGAGAATTAGATCTCAATCATTTGATTCCAACAGCTCTTACAAAACTTATGATTGCAATTTAAACTAAAACCCTAAGCATTAGTCTATTCACATATTGAACAAATGAGGTTGTCATTAATGTTCACTTTAGATTCCTTGTAAATGCCTTATTCTTCAAGTTAAACTTTGATTTATTCAAACTCATCATTTAGCAACAGTTTCTCATATATGGTTTTAACTTCAAAATTGAAAAAGATTAATATCTTGATATCTTTATTTAAGTACATTTAAAACAACTTAAGATGTCTCTCCAATCTTATCTTTGATAATTTCTAGCCGATCTTTGAATTCTTAATAAAGGTCATTAGCACTCAATAACGTGACATTATTATAGATGCTATTGTCATATTCATCCTCTAATCCCAAGTACTATTCTTCATCTAAGTAATCGTCCATAATGATAAAAATACAAATTAATTTAAACTAATTAATCTGTTTGAGAATAAAATAAATTGACAGGAAAGGATTGTTAACATTGAAGTAAGTGATATATTAGAAATGAAGTATAAATTAAACTATGTAAATTACAAAATAAGGAAGAAATTACTTTACTTAATTATGCAAATAAATTGATTCAAGATAATTTAAAACGGAGTCTTATATTCTAATTGAATACATAACAAATAGTTGTATTTGATATAACTTAGAAACTTAATCCAATATCTTCTGCTTTCTTTTTTTTGGATCCTTTTAACTGTTTTAAATTTAATTTCAATATCTTTATTAAGATGGCAAATTAAAATGCTATTCAAATAAAGATTATCCTTTAGAGCTTATCTGTTATAATTATTAAAATTATCTTTATGTAGATTAGAAGTTTATTACTTCTATGTCTGAGTTAAGATCTTTTCTATATTTCTAATTATTTGATTATTTAGGATTCAATTTTATTTTCCTTTAAATTATTAACTTCCTATCATAAAGGGAACCCTAAGAATTCATATATTTTAATGTATTATTGTTAATACTTTTCTTCTACTATTTTGAAATTAATATAACAATAAATTATAAATTAATAAAAATCAACAAGAAAAATAGTAAGAGTTCTAAATAATCAAATTAAGCTAGATTTAAGGGAAATCTTAATATCACATTAACATTAATAAAATTATAATTTAAGCTAAAGAACTAGTATGAAAAAGGGAGCAAAGAAATAAAATAAAAGAGAATCTGAACTTTAACAAATTGAAGAAATCAAATTGGTTGAAATTTATGGTAATAATAAACTAATTGTAGAATGTATGAATGATCCAGACATTGAATAATCAGGTGTGATAATCAAACTAGAAGATTTATTACTTGAAAGCCCATAAGGAGTTTTACTTAGTTTTGTGTCTTTTTATTTAAAGTTGGTTGGAATGGATCATTGCAATCAATATTTGAAAGGATTGAGTCTTGTCAATGTCAATTTGGAAGAAATAATTAATAAATTGGAATCACTCTAACTTGAAAATTAGTCCAATTTAATTGATGAATAATAATGCTAATAAATTGAAAATAATAAAGTCTTAAAACAATTTTTTGATACCCTATTTTCAACCTAGACGTAATTGCCCTTCTAATGTGAGGGGTTTTTCAGATATACCTATAACTGGCTTACAACTATCTCCTAAACTAAGTTTAGAACTGCGAGATTGGCTGCTTTGGAGGTCATAGATTTAGTAATTAATTCGATATCCCATTTCTTAGAATTTATAAGTATAATTTTAATAGATTAATTATAGAAGATGAGCAGGAATTGAAAGAAGCAACTAAATTTATTAATAATATTTTCGAATATTTAGTAACTAATAGAACTTAGGATGTGTAAACTTTAATTAAGAGAAAAGCAATTCAAATTTTATTCCATTCCTTTTTGAATCCAGATATTCCTACAGACCCCTATTATAGTTACTTAGGGTGTTTATTTTTAAGTGAAAATCATGAATGCAGGGAATCCGCTTTGAATGAATTAGAAAAAATCTAAAAGTCTTTGATTGAAAGCAAAAAATCTATATAACCAATAATTGATTTTCTGTAAGAAGAATAAGAGGCTGTCATAAGCTTAATATTCGATCCCAATGAGAGTGTTCAACTAAAATTGATCAATTTCTTAAAGGTATAATTTTAATAATATTTATAGATGTTTTCAAAAAATACAAATGTAGTGAGTAACTTTTTTAAAACCAAGACTTGTTAAGCCTTCATTAGAATATTATTTGCAAAAAATCTTAGAGTGAGATATGAATCTTCTTTTTTACTGCATTTATTTGAAAAACCAATTAAAAGTGTCATAAAATTGACTGAATTTTACTTGACTTATGCACCTTTTGAAATTCAAAGCTATGAGGAATGCTAAAATTTTATATTTTCTTTTGTTCATAGTCATCCATTTGTCTGCTTGCCTGAATAATACTCTCAGTTTTTTGAAGGGGATTAATAAGAATAATTCTAGATTATGGGTTTCTATTTTTATGCATCGATACTATCATATCAAAATACTTAAACGAAATTCTGGTGGTTAGAAGTGAAGGATGAAGAAACCCAGTTCACCGATCAATTTACTAGTTACTTTTTGAGTAAAGTTAAGTCCTCAATCGATTTGATTGATGAGGTATTTATATCAATCTATAATCTTTTAGAATTTGCTATTTCCTTATCTACACATCTATTAAAACTTAAACTCTAAATCAATACCTCTTAAGGATATGAAAGCAATTGTCATCGGAGTGTAAAAGATTTTTCAAAAAAGTCAAAATATTGGGATAATTAATCAGGTCTGTAAAATGATGTTTATATATCAATAATAACAATCAGATTCAGAAGTGGTTAAAGATTGTCTAAAGGAATTAGTTAAGTATGGAATAAAGATTTACAAGGAGAAGTTAAATTTTTTGAATCTTTAGAAAATTGAATGTTTGATTAAACAAAACTTAGTCTTTCCAAAATAAATTCTAAATCCAATTAGTTCCATTTTTGAAAATAAAGATGAAAAATCAATCATCATAAATGCTAATTTATTGGCCAGTTCACTTCAAAATTAAATCAGAAATCTGTTAAGTTCTAGTAAACCTTAAGAGAATGATCATGAAGCTAATTACAAAGAAATAAGGGATCTATTTTTTAATTATTGCTTCTAAATTTTAGAAAATAAAAACAAGGATCAACATCATATCACTATTTTACAACTAGTAATCAATAATTTAATTTATACTAACAACTTCAAATTATAAAGATTAAACTTATAGTACTACATATCTTCCTAGACATATTCATTATTGTACATCCATTTTCATAATTTTGTGCTTTCTGAATTATCTAGATAAGTTAAATTAGAAAAAGAAAAATAAAATGATTTCAAAAGAAGGAAAAGTCGCCCTTTGATTGATAATTTACCTTAAATCAGTACTTTATAAATGGAATTATTCAACAATTCAATAAAATTGATGAATCAATGTCCATAAATACTAACAAATAAAGAATTTGGCATTCAATTCCTATCTTATTTATTTGATCTCATGAAATCCAGTTGTTACTTTAGTGATTTAAAACCTACAATTTTAACATCCATTTCATAATCATTATAAAAAGTTATTGAGAACGATCAGGGTTCAAAAAAGGAGGATTTCTGGAAATTTGTTGTTGACTATTCCTCAATTCACTATTAATCATAAAGTGAGGAAAACTTTAATGAATTTATCAAAATTATGCATAAACTCATACATTGCGTCTGTTAATAAATTAAACGTTAATGAAAAGAGAATGAAATTTATCAATAATTGTGCTGAAATGATCCAAACTGGATTTTAAGATTTATCCAATATATTTCTATTTGGATTGTTAAGCCACATATTTTATAAGCCAACCAAATTATTAAAAACATTGTAAATTGATAAACTGACCTATTAAAAATTCTATGCTTTTTATGAATCGAAGAGTTCAGAATATCATCAAAGTAATAAATAAGAAGAGGAGAAAAAAGAAATCCTGAAATCAGAGCAATAATTAAGAAATAGATTAAAATAATAAACTGGACTCACCACAAAAGAGATTAACAAAATCGTTAACAGAGTGTCAAAAAGTCCTGAGAAACTTAATGTTGTCCAAAAATGCATAATTGATAATAGCCAAGTTAGTAACAGTAAAGAAAAACATAAATAAGACTCTGATGAGGAGTTGGAAATCCCTTTTTCAAAGTAGAAAGCAACTTAATGAATTCTCTTTATAAGCAAATGATTTTTATACATTTTTAATGACTTTGTTTAAATTTTCTTATCAAATGAAATATTAAAATTAAAATTAAATAAATGTGTTCAAGAGGCATATTTTAATTAAAATTCCTTCAAATATTCTATTGTGATTATGGCGGCAGCTCTGCAAAAATCAGACTATTCTTACCAACTTTGATTGAGCATCCTTTATTGAATCAACCTAAAATAAACTTGCAAATTTATATGAAAAAAAATACTCATCCATATTTAAATGGAATATATGTTAATGGATACTAAAAATAAATATCTTTAAAGGGCTTGGAAGAAGATCAAGAGATTATAGATAGAATTGCATTATTGAGAAATTCCTGTATAATAATTTAATATTAATTAGTTGGTTAATAAAGTGTAAGACACGCTGGAAGAAAAGTGACTACACTCACACCATCAATCTAAGGGGGTTGGAATGAGAATCTATTTAAGACAAATATATATCCTAGACATTAAATGGAAATATCTAGGTCATATCCTCCAGTTGAAGTGCCAGAGCCAAGGATTGTACCACGTGATAAACCAATTGATTTTTATGAAAAAAGAGTGGATCCATATTAATAAATATAAAAGCCAAGATTGGGAGTTAAGAAAGCAAGTAATATTTGATAATAATATTAAATGTTAAATTTATTGCAAATAAATTAGTAATTCCAACAAAACTATATTCAATAAACAATTAAACAGGACATAAGTTTAAGTGCCACAGTTGAAAGCATAGTAATCCTATACTCATTTCCTCATTGAGTACTTTCAAGGTGTGAAAAAAAAATAGAATGATTTTAAAGTTCTATGAATTTTTAGTAATACCTGTTTAAATATAATTGGTTCTGAAAAAGTACGAATAATTATAATATTAACAAAACTTTTCATTTGCCAAGCATAGTGGAATTATTATTGCATATTCTGAGAAATTTAAGATTTAGAATTTTGCTTATCATTTTTGGTAAATGTATAATTAGTACTTAAACTCAAGAATTAATATTAATTGATGTTGCTATTAATTTATTTATCTAGAGAAACAATTTGGAAAAGAGTGCTATTGAGCAACTTGAAAAAAAACGGTTTATTCCTTAAATTAATTATTAATCACACATTCATAATCTCACCTTGAAAGTGAATAAAAAGATCTCAATTGATTAAGGAATTAGTCACATTTAAAATTAAGAGTTATTTCATAATAAGCTCCTATTTAGTAATTTGTAATTTAATAAAAATTACAGAATTTTGATTACTTAATAATAATAGTCTTTTATCATCTATAAACTCAGTTAGCACTACATTTAAATCAAAAAAGAATAGGAGCAAATTAATTAAATTAATTATTCCGCTCTCAAGAATAATCTTAATTAATTATTAAGAAAGCTTAAGAGTATGTCTAACAGATAATCTTCATTATATTTTTGTATTGTTTGAGATTAGAAAGACAATATAAAAAATGATTAAGGATCAAATAGAAGGATACATAGACATCCTTAATTATATAATTTTTGTAATAATAAATAAATAATAATTAATGAAATATTTTATATAAAATATCTAACTGAAAATAATCAAAAATAGTATTTTTAGAAAATGTTTGAGTATTGAGTGCATTGATGTCCTTAATAGGTCGAGATTTGGCTACAGTATTAGATTTAATAATAATATGATGATAATCAATCTTGTCTGACTCTTTTTCCTTCAACCCATTCAGCTTCAACTTCTCTTTAATCTTTGTCAACTAGAATTCCCTTGCCATGCTATTTGCCATCCTTCCAATAGCCTTTATATTGTTTTCCATCAGACCATTTAAATATTCCATAGCCTTCCTTTTTATCTTCCACATAATCGCCTAATTTTAGAGGAGAGAATACCACTATATTATTTTCCATCTGGCCAATTGAAATCTCCTTTTCCATGCATTTTGTTATTTTACCATTGTCCTTTGTATTTCCTTCCGTCAGCCCAAATATACTCTCCAAATCCTAGAGTTTAAAAAATGTAAAAGTACCTTCAATGTTATTATCCCTGAAATCCCCTTCGTAAGTTGCTCCATCACTCCATTTAAATTTTCCTTTTCCGTCCTTCTTACCATTAACGTAACTTCCAATATATTAAGCCCCGTCTGGCCACATTTCAGTTCCTTTACCGTGTTATTAATCTTCCAACCAATCTCCTTCATACTTGGCTCCATCAACATGATAGTAGGTTCCTTAGCCTTAGGCTCTATCGTCTACCCAATCACCGTCCTACATTTAAATAATATTATACATATGCATCACCATCAGCATGAATCAATCTTCCTTTTCCATTGGCAGTGTGAGCACTCCAAAATCCTTCATAAATGGACCCATCAGGCCAGTATTATTTTCCCTTTCCCCATCGTTGATGATTTTTCCATTGCCCAACATATATAGCTCCATTCTCAAATTACTATAAGTTAACAATTAGTTAATACATAGGGTTCTAGTTCAATGCATTCTACATACTTCTGAAGAGATTCAGGATCGTATTGATATTCTCCAAGTTTTTCTAGAGTTTTGCGCACCATATCATTTTCGATGACGGGTACTTTATCATATGGTTTTGCATCCTCAGAGTTTGGGCCGTGGATAGATATCATTTATCTCTGTTTTTCTCTTGAGGCCTAAAAGTTAAGTAATTAAATACATCATCTGGGGGATTCCCTGGCGCTGGTTCTTCAACTGGTACGTGAGGAGGGTCTTTGACCAGTTTCACGTGTTCTAGTTCTTCGTTTTAATGATTGCCTTCTTAAGGTTTCTCCGTTTCAACTTGCTGATTGAATTCTTCAGGAGCAGCATTAGTTAACTCGGTATTCCCAAGTTATTTAGCAGCACAACATGTAGCTCCCATAACTTTAATATTTTAAAAATAATATTAATTTATCAAAACAATATAATAACACTCTTAAATTGTTATAATAGCAAACATTATCAGATCTTATTACTTTTTTTACCTTGCATATACAAACCATAAAAAATGGAAGATTTGTCTTCTAATAATTTTTACGGTTCATCAAACTCTTTGGCCTCCCCTTAATCGATAACTAAGATTCTGGCTAAATTAATAACATAGATTACTTATCACAATGCATAATAGTATTGATTCTATGAGCGATCGTTATTACTGAGCATTTTTTAAAGGCAGTTTAAATTGTCTGTTAGATTTTTGATTCTGTATCAATATCAATGTTAGCCGTTGCCTCATCAATCAAAATTATCTAAGACTATTTTAAAACTGCCCTTGCTATTGATATCAGTTGTTTCTCTCCAGCACTCAAGTTATCCCCGTTTTCTGATATTTCTGTGTCCAAGCCTTTCTTTTATAATAATAAATCTCCCAAACAACATTGCAAGGCTACATCATTTAGATCTTAATCTGTATGCTGATGCAATGGGTCAAGATTCTCTCTTAAAGTTCCTTCAAATAGAGTTGAGTCCTATAGTATCATCGTTATTGATTCTCTGAGTTATTTCAAATTTAAAGTAGATATATCCACTCCATCTATTTTAATAGAACCACTTGAAGCCTCAAGAATCCTTAACAATGATAGAGTAACAGTCGATTTTCCAGCTCCAGTTCTGCCGACCACTCCAACCTTCTCTTAACTCTTAATCACAACATTAAGACCTCTTAAAGCAGGGGATAGGTTTTCTCTATATTTTACTACTAATGAATCTATCTGAATATCTCCTACTTGAGGCCAATTTAGGACATAATCCTTCTTTAATTTATAACCATTCTCATGTTCAATCTTAGCAAATGCCAAACATCTTTCAAATGATATAAATTATGTTTCTGCTTAAGTGATCGAATTAATTGCTGATTATAAGCTATTGTCAATTACAGTAGCTACTGTCATAAGTAAACCAGCTAATGCAGGATTCTCACTTCCAAAAAATAATACAAAACCAATTGCAGATATATTTACTATGAAACTTGTGAATGTTAAATTCATGGAAAACCATGTTGTTGTTTATAATTAAGCTACTTGTATTTTCCTATTCAAATCAATATTTTTAGTGTGCCTCTCTAAAAATTAATCTTGTTTCCGAAATGCTCTTATGATATTCAATCCATTCACTGTTTCAGAGAAGAAACTCAAAATTGGACTTTTACTTATAGATTCCAACCTATACAACTCTCTATTTGCAGCCATATAAAATCTTTACACCTTCCAAACCGCATATAAGAATATCAACACTGGCAAAATAATATAATAGGAACTGCTAAACACATTTATTAGTGTACTTGCTACAATTTATCAAAATTATTATTACCTACGAAATTTGAGCAACTGATATATAGAATAGATATGGTCCATAGAATTTCTGTATCTAGAACTGATTAATCTTTAGTCAAACGATTCATCAACACACCTAATGGAACCCTTTCAAAAAATTAGCATAGAGGTGCGTAAAGTAATTATCTAAAATATTATATACGTATGTTTACTCTATCATTCTAGTATGTACTTTATTTGCAGTATTCACACTTTCCCTAGAGAGAGTTAGAATACGAATAAAAGCAAAAAAGCCGAAACTAAGTGAAAAAAAAGAGAAGATCATTAGATTATGTAAGTTTTCATCATAAGATAAGTCATCTTATCCAGACCAATGTGCCAACCATATTTGGGATCCAAATCTGGCTATAACTTAAGTAATGACAACAATTAAATTAAATGCAAAGAAGAAAAATCCTCCATTCATTTAAAAGTATTCTTTGTATACATCTAACTAAACACTACCAACTTTTCTATCTTCTAATATCATTAAATCATCAACCATATCCTTATTGACAGCATTATTCTATTGGATAGATGACTTTTTTTTTTTTAAATTCAGTATTTCTAATTCTTCATCTTATTGGTCTTTCTCTTCATTTTTTTATTCTTTGAAATATTTCTAATAAATTTAATCAAATTTATCGCACTCTTTAATATCCTCAAGAGTGCCTTCCTTAATTATTGAGCCATTGTCCATTAAAATGATCCTATCAGCAAATTAACAAGAATATAGTGCATGAGTTATTAATACTATAGTTTTACCATTCAAATATTCACGAAGACATTTTTCAATAATAAATTTACCTACGTGCATATCAACTGCACTTATAAGATCATCCAATAAATAGATATCACAATCACTATACAAAGCCCTGGCTAAAGTAATCCTTGCCTTTTACCCTCCACTCAAATTAACACCTTTTTCTCCAATCATAGTAGCTTCCCCTTTGTCTAGAATTTTAATATCTTATTCCAGACAAGAATATTTAAGAGCATCTCTGTATCTCTTTTCATCATACGGTAGACCAAATAAAATATTATCCTTCAAAGTTGCATTTTATATCCAACTTTTTTAACTTACATAAGCTATATTTCCATTTATTTTTATCTTTGGTGGCTATCTAGAAATGTTGTAAACCATTTCTCCTAAAATTGCACTTATTAACGAACTTTTGCCACTTGCAACACTAAATTATATCACTTAATAGATTACTCTCCGATTATTGTAACAAATTCACCAATTTCGATTTTTAATTTGATATTTTTTAGAATGGGATCTATCTCTTGATTCACTGGCATAACATCTGTAGATTTACTTGGATTGTAATTATTTTTAACTTTGTCCCAATAGAAAGTTCCTTCAATCTCAATTGAATTGCCATGGTTTTCATTTTAAATACAGTCATCCATAAGTTCATCAGTAAATAAAAACTTCTCTATTCTTTTTATACTTATATTAGCTTCTATGATTTAATTAATGTAGCTCGGTAAAGCACTGGCTGATTATTGTAGGATATTGAATAAACTTATTATTGTAAATGTGTCAGCAGGTGTGAGATTATATTAAAGCCATATATAAACTGCCAAAGTAACATTCAATGTAAGTTATGGTGTCATTAAAAAAGCTAATGTAAATAATCCACTCACTATATTTTTCATTTTGATTAATTGAATCTCCTTCTCTCTGAATCTTAGTAACTTATTTTTAAAATAATCTTCAAATGCATTTGCCTTAATAAATTTAATCTAAGAAAATATTTCATGAGCTTATTTCGTTCTATTATCTTTTGCAACCATCACTTATTTCTATAATCTCCAACCCCACCTTCCAAGTAAGAAATTGGTTAGTAATCCTAAGATCATTACGCCAAAACCTGCAAGACATGAAATCCCAATAAAATCAAATAGTAAATAAAAAGAAATTCCAATCTAAAATGGTAGAAATATCACTGAAGCCACTGCTATATTAAATTGTAAAATTCTTTATAAATCAACTTACATTATATTCATTATTTCCCCTGTTTTGTATTATTTATTACTCTGAAATGATACATTCAGTGTTTTTTTCATCACAGATACACTAACTGCTGAATGTTGGTCATATCCCAGTTTTCTCTAAAAATTTTTCATTTAAATACCAACATATAGAAGCTATTTTAATAGGATATCGCATTAAAAACTCTAACTACCAGTATAATCCCCAGCCATTAGAAGCTTTTCCCCAAAGTATGTTCAGAATTATCTATATAAGAGAGAGTTTATCGAATCATTATTGGACCATACATTAAAGAAATATTCCAAATTAAGATGATGATATACACAATAAAAAATTGTTCTATATTTACTAATAAGAATATACTTTTAAATGTAATAAAGAGGGATTTATAGAGGGGATATGTGTTATTTTTGTAAATCTAAAATGTTTAGTTCATTCTGTTAAACAATGATTCACTTTAATCATCTAATTATAGGTCCTTTACCATATTGAATTCTAAAGGGGTTTTGTTAGCAAGTCGAAGTAATGGAAAAACATAAAGAAATAAAGTTCTTGACAATAAGCCAGGAGGTCTAGAAGATTTATCTTCAAGAAGAGGCTCTTCTTAGTCAATTTTAGCATTATTCATTTAAATATATTAAATTAAATTTTGGCACAATCATAAATGTAAAATTTCTTTGATAAATACTAAATACATCACTTAAGCAAATAATTAATAAATTATTTAAATTCTGTTAATTTCTTAGCTATTAATGCTAAAATATATTTCTTATTTTCTAGACCATCAAACAGCAGATTATTAATCTGGATTCCATCCATGATATTTAAACTAAACATATGAATTTGCTATATACATGTCTTTTTGATTTAAGTTAGGGTCTTCAAGTATAAATGTTATATACTTAGTAAACCAATAAACGGGAATTGTAAGGTCTTTAATTAAGATTTGCATTCTTTCAATTTCCTTATTAATGTAAATTTGAAAATACTAATTCTCTTATTCTTCCAAATCTGGATATTCTTAGAGTAATTGTATGAAAGTGTTTTTGAAAAGGTCAATATTCTCAATAATATAAGGGAGGAACAACCATATTTGTTTCTTTTTCTCATTGTAATCAAAATATTAAGAAAATGAAGAAGAAATTAGCTCATTTTGCTACATAGGGCTTAATGCAGTAAATCTAGCAAATGTAATAGTAGTAATCAAAACATTATTGAATTTATTATCGATCAATAATTGTAAAATTGAGGATAATGAGCTTCCTAATTAATTAAGGATGTTTTGGCATATTTGTTGAATGAATTCATTAAATGTACTTAGTCTGGTCAAAAGACTTAATAAATGTATTAAAAATTGATATTTAGTAGGAAGGTCAAAGATTTCTGTTTCAATATTTTAAATGATCTTAGTAATCAATATTAAGAATTAATATTCATCATCTTCATTGATATCCAATAGATCATTAAGCATTAAAGCAATTTTATAAAAGCAATTGGCTCTTATAATTGTGTACTAAGGATTCATTCGTTTACTGACCAAAAGATCAATAGCTTCTTCAACCAATTAAATTAATTTAGAAGCTTTTGATTTTTATGTTAAATAATTAATGATTTCAATGATAAATAGTTTACCCAATGTTTCAATTCCGAAATTCATGTCATTGCAATTCAATTCATACCGTTTTGGTTACCATACGTATGGTTTATTGATTCCAAAATTGATACACTTCATCATTTTGGGATATATTTCTGCATGCGCAGTCATAACCTTATAAAACAGATCAGCTCTAATGTTAAGCCAGAGAGTTTCATTGAATTTTGAAATATTTGTGCTCCACGAATCACTTTGACATGTGGCCCATTTAAATAACTTAATTTTATTGTGGGAAGCTCGACTTGAGAAGTTATTGAGAGTTTCCAAGGCTAAGACCCAATTTTCACTTTAAAAAGTTGATAAACGCATGAAGTCAAATTAATTTTTTCCCGCTCCAAATGGTCTCAATGAATTTAATATGCATTTTTCATCGTCTGCTAATGAGTTTTAAATTTGATCAAAGTTATTTGAAATGATGTTACTCCAGACTTTGTCTTGCTCCCTCACATTTTATTATTTTACACTTTCATGAGCCCAATTACAGATTTAAAAAAGGGTGTCATGTTCAGCTATAAGATCTGATATAAATTATGCTTCTGTGTATGATTTGATTACCAAATTATGATGACTATCGTAATCGTGAGGATATTTGCAATTTTGGCAAATTCGAGGGTAGGGTATATCCTGACCTCTAATTTTCGTAAGTGAGAGTAGATGATCTAGATCAGTTGAGAGCAGATTGATTTGATGTCGGAAATCCTAGTTTAGTGAATTGTGTTCATATTGCAGTTGTGAATTCATACACTTATTAATTTAAATATCAAATTACTTAGAGATGTTTTCATTTTTAGTCAAGAAGATAGGAATGCTTAATTAGGGCAAGGTTCACAGTATAGCTTGGAGTCAGGAAGAGGGTTGGATAGCAATAGGAGGAGAGTAAATTAAGTTGATAAATTAGACATGCGCCATAAGGATAAAAGAAAGGGTTATTGAAAATAATAAAGTTGGATGATTAAAAGGCAGGTATTTAAGGACAAGTAAGAATCACTATACATATTTTTAAGCAAGCCAAATTACCATATGAAGCCGCTTTGGAATAACATATGGGTAAGGTGAATATAATAGTATGGAATGAGAGATATCAGAAATTGACTACTAGTGATGATCAAGGATAGATTATTGTATGGATAAATTTGGGAGTAAATAATGAATGTATAAAATAAATAGAATGAATGGATTGAAGAGATGGTCAACAATAGACAGAAATCGAATGTAACCGATATGAAATGGTCACCTGATGGATTCAAAATTGGAATCATCTATGAGGATGGTGCTGTCATAGTTGGATCAGTTGAAGGTAATAGACTTTGGGGCAAAGATTATCAATATAGATTAGGATTGATTGAATGGTCCCCAGATTCAAAGTTAATGATATTGGGAACTGCTGATGGATAAGTTATCATACATGATTAGAATGGTAATCAGTTAAATTAATTGAAAATGAGTTGTTTAATGGGATTAGTCGATCCCAAAAATTACAATAATCCTAATTAACAATTAGCAGCTGTCTAATGGTATGAATATGGCAAAATGTACACTGATGAAACACCCCCAGGTTTGCTAATTGCTTACGCCTGTGGTAGGGTTTAGTTAATGAAAAATGATAAGGATGATTCACCTATATTAATAGACACAGTCATGACTATATCATCAGTCAGATGGAGTCCCAATGGTTCCATGTTTGCTGTTGCTGGTAGTGCCAAGGATAAAGATGAATCTAGAGCAGTTGTGTAATTCTATTCGAATATGGGTGATCATCTAAAGACACTCAGAGTTGCTAACACTGACAAAGTCAGTAGTCTTAGTTTTGAAGGAGATGGCTTAAGATTGGTAATGGGAGTTGGTCAAACTGTCTATGTTGCCAATCTCAAATTAGATTACAAGTGGAGTTATCTAGCATAATCGGAAACTCTCATCTTTGCCTACCAAAGATAAGATAGAATGGAATTCACTATCATCTTTTGGGATACGAAAAGAGAATAAAAATCCATCAGATATATGAAAGGATTACTTGATATTAAGGGTTCAAATGATTGTTGTGTCTTGATAAGTCTGGTTGAGTAAGACACATGGAAGGTGGAACTTTGCAATTCTATTGGTAGTCCTTTGGATACTAAACTTATATCTATTGAACCTAAATATAATTGTATGACAAAAACTCATATTATTATTGCTAATAGTGACTATGTCTATTTATGGTAATACAGAAATTAGGTTTAGAGATTAACCACCTTTGAATCGAATTAGAATACAGGAATCAGAAAAATTGGTAAGGAAATGGCTTGGTTCATTGATGAAAATCCAGACACTTAAGTAATCTACGATAAAGATACATTTAACTTAGAAAAGCAAACAGAAGAAACTATTTGTGCAATACAAGCTAATGAAAGTTATTTGTTTATTGGTAGAATCAATGGGAATATATTAAAATTCACCTTGCCTTATGTCAGTGTGGAGCCTAAATATTTCTTAGAAAATAGGGCGAACATCATCAATATCAACTGTAATTCAACTCGATTGTCTATAATTGATGTGATGGGAACTTTGTAGTTATTAGACATTTCTGTTAGCGGTGGAAAACTATTAGATTTTGATAAAAAAGAATGTTGGCAAGTCGTTTGGTCTGATAATGATCCTCTCTAATTCGCTGTCATGGAAAAAGGTAGAATCCATTTAGTAAGAGATATTACTGCCGATGACCCTCTCCCTTGTGATGCTTTCCTATGCTCGTAAATCATAGAATTATTATTAGATTTTCAGAACTTACTGTCAAAGGAGCATTATTAGATGATATAATGATGAGTCCAGATGGCTAATTAAAAGCCGATGAATTGCTTGTCTAATATGAAAGTAGATTATTTAAGGAAATCAAGGAGTCCATTGAAAAAACTGCACCCAAAGACATGTTTGGTATCATCGAAAAATAACCTGTAATATTATGATTTATTTTATCATAGTCTAACACTTTGTGGTAATTATTAGCTTAAAAGGCTTTGGAAGAATTAGACTTCTCAGTTGCAGAAAAGTGTTACCTGAAATTAGAAGATTATGCTGGATTGCAATTTATAAAAAGAATCTTAGATTATGATGAGAAGGAAAAATAGAAAGCAGAAGTTTATGTGTTTCTGAAAAGATTTGATGAAGCTGAGAAAATTCTAAGAGAAATTGAAAGAAAGGATTTAGCTGTTTAAATGAGAATGAAAACTGGCGATTATTCAAGAGTGCTATTTCTATCTAAAGATCTTGTAGGCTCAGATGAAGTTATAGTTCAAACCTAAAATAAATTGGGCAACTTATTTTGTGATCAAGGAGAATGGGAAAAAGCATAATAACAATTCAAATTATCTAATAATGTTGAAAAATTAATAGAGACTTCATTCATGATTGAAGATTATCAAACACTTGAGGAGTTAGCAAACTCATTGCAAGAAGGAAATACATTGTTATTTGATTTGGGTGAAAGATTTCAATTGTTAGGGATGGCAAAGAGTGCAATTAAATGCTTTGAAAAAGCAGGTGATATTAAAAAGGCTATCGATTGTGCAGTTCTTTTGAATGCTTGGAATTTTGCTGTTGAATTAGCTGAAAGACACAATTTTGTATAAATTGAAGGATTGCTTCAATAATATGCTGCTTAATTGTTGGAGTAAAGAATGAAATTAGAAGCTGCAGAATTATATAGAAAGGCCAATCATAATTCAGATGCTGCTCGATTATTATAATAAATTGGCGAAGATCTCATTAAAAGTGATTAAAGTCCACTTGTAGTGAAGAAGTTGTTTGTCATGGCTGCCTTAGAAGTCGACCTATACAAAAAAAAGTTGTACGATGTTACCATGACTGCTTAAAATAATACTATTGCTCACACTTTAGATTAACTAGTTACAAATGATTTAAATCATTCCGCTGATAAAGTACTCAATAATCCGTGGAGATAGGCTGAAGCTTGGCATTTCTATATTTTAACTCAAAAATTCCTCTATTCTGGAAACTACAAATATGCACTGTAATACATCTATTATATTTATAGAAAATCAGCCATCAGATTATGCGAATTCGAATTAGATATGGATCCTAAAAGGATATATTCTCTGCTTGCTCTGGCTGCCTATTATAATAAATCATATAAGGAATGCGCCAGAGCCTTTGTGAAACTGGAGAACCTAGACAACATTACTGAAGAAGAGAGAGAGAGATATCAATCAGTAGCTGCATAAATATTTGTAAAGTAATAAAAGAATCTCATTACATAGATATGCCCCAGAGGATGCAGTTTGCGATGCTATCCAATGTCCAAAGCCTTCTTGTGGTAATAAAAAAATAACTGAATAGTAACTAATATTATTATTTAAAGTTAATTATTCTGTAAAGAATGCGGAACAATTTTCGGAGTTTGTGTAGCTTCTGGGAAATCTATATATGGGTAGAAGTTTTACACCTGTAAAGCCTGCAAACATAAGATGATTGATTAGGAAGTCTAAAACTAAGCTTTAAAATTTTGTTCCCTTTGTCATACTCCAATAGATTTTAATAGATTTGGAAAACATGGAGACAAATAATTATGAATTAATAATAAAAATATCAATTTTATTCATTTTGTATCAATGGGTGCAATTATAGGTAACTCAAATACTCCTTAAGGAGATACACCAAATCCTAGTCCTGGAGAAAACCTTTCCCCTTAAAAAAACCCTTCCTCTTAAATTGATTTAAATCAATATTTAATCGAAGTTAGCGAGTGGGATAAAAGAAAAATAATAATTGAGAAAAATGGCTCAGGTATAAGCTAGAATAATGGGTAAGACATTGATAATAACTTATTAGTTAAGGAAATGCTTAAGAATAACAACAATAATAATAACAATAATAGTAATAATTATAATAGTAATAATTGTAATAATAATAATAATAACAATAACAACAATAATAACAACAACAACAATAATAACAATAACAATAATAACAATAATATTAATTGCAATAAGAAATAAAAAACTAATAAATAAAAGATTAAGAGAAAATAGACTAGGAAATAAAAGATTAATAAATAAAAGACTAATAATAAAAAGAATAAGAAATAAAAGACTAATAAATAAAAGAATAGTAAATATAAGAAGAATAAAAAAAAGAAGAAGAAGAAAAATGTTTTAAAACAAAGATAGAAGGAACAGCACCCATTTTTAACTTTTTCCAGCCATAAAATATCTTAGATAAGTTGCCTTAATAATTTAAATAAATTTATGATATGTATGAAAAATATCAACCTCCTGATGAAAAAATTCAGTTTGACCCAGAAATGCCTTTATATCCCCTAGATGAGGAAGGCTTTTATTAAGGAAGAATGGTTGATCATAAGAAATAAGGATTTGGCTACTATTTAACATAAAATGAATTTTATGAAGGATATTTCTAGGATGATGAAAGAAAAGGTTGGGGGAGAGTGATAAATTATTAAGGATATTTGGTAATATATAATAAATCATTATATTCTAGAGTGGATTATGGGACAATGGATGCTTATAAAAGGAAATGGATGTAAAATAAAAGAATTATTCGTATAAAGGTTAATGTAAAAATTCAGCTCCTCATGGATATGGAAGACTAGAAAAACCAGAATTTATTTATGAAGGTAATTTTGAGGAGGGTAAAAAGTAAGGAAAGGGCACTCAAGAACTAAAAATTTCAAACGAAAAATATGAAGGTGAATTTTTTGAGGATAAATATCATGGAAAAGGAACCTATTATTATTAAAATGGTAAACGATATACCGGAAACTTTAAAAATAATAAACCTGATGGTAAAGGAGAGATGTTTTGGCCACCACCAGAAGAAAGATATTATAAAGGTATAAATTCATTCTCAAAATATTAGGCGATTTTGTCAATGCTCAGAGGGAAGGAAAAGGATATTTTAGAAATTCTGATAATTCAGAATACGAAGGAGATTGGAAAAATGATAAATAAAATGGTTTTGGAAAATATACCAGTAGTGGTTAAATCGAAATATTTGGAAAATGGAAAGATGGAACTTTTTTAGAGGATGAATAACAATGATGATTATTTTATAAATCAAATTTATTAAGCTGTAAATTTGATTTGCTTAGATATTTATAATCTCTATAGCCTAACTTTAATGGTTTGAAAATTGCTTCAATTATCCAAATTTTATTAAGTATTATTTGCCACTTTCCATATAATTTAAAGCCAAAACAATAATCATCACTGGAGTTGAGATAAAATGCATATCTTAACTATTCATAAAGATGATACTAAAATATATTATTAACTCTATAATTTAAAATAGAATATGGATTTTTTATTCAAAATCGGCTGATATTCTATTTTACTTCAAAAAATATTAGTAAAAAATATAGGTTTTATAAACAAAAAAATATTCTATTTAAAAATGATTATTACATTAGATTTTTCATCATACTATGATTCTTAAATTTTAAAAAGGAAAACTAGATTATTAAATTTGGTATAATTTTCAAGATTCTAACTCATCAGTCTTTTAGTATATCATTCACAACACTTAGTATAATTTTGGGTGAATAGAGGAATTCTCAGTTTATTGATAATATAAGAGTTCTTTCTTTTAAAGAATAATTTTTTATAAAATTTAACAATGCAAAATAATTAAAATTAAGGAGACCAACCGTCAATTAATTAGACATTAGAGCCTGGCAAATATGAATTTAAGTATTCTTCTATCTTAGAAAAAGAGGTTTGGTGTTCACAAGAATTAAGTGGGTTTAAAGTTATAGCAATAACTAAATGTAAATGGAGGTGATGTATTTTCTTTAAGATACGATCAAGATGATCAATATCTTGCTGTAGGGATGTCAGAAGGATTGATTCATCTTTATAACTAAAGTATATGGACGACTTTATAAAAATAGATAAATTTGTACATACTCTTGAATAATTCTAAACACCTGTAACTGCTTTAAGATGGAGACCAAATTATGGTTTAAAGGCAAAGGGGATATTGGTATCAGCAAATGCAGAGGGACACATAATTCATTGGCATGCACATTCAGGGAAATAATTACACAAAATTGTAGAAGAGAATAACAGTGTTTTATGTTTGGACTTTAATTTTGATGGAAGTTTGTTTGCAACTGGAGGCAAGGATTTTTGTGTTAGAATCTACGATGATGACATAAAAAGTGTGTAGCATCAATTTTAATAAGCTGATTGGTACCTTTTATTCAAAACATTAGGGGTTAGAAGGGTCATGCAAATAGAGTTTTTGTTGTAAAATTCATACCAGACTAACCTAATATTCTTATATCAGGGGGATGGGATGCAAATATTTTGATTTGGGATATTAGAGAGAAGTAATGTGTAGGTCAATTTTATGGGCCATCATTATCTGGAGATTCCCTTGATTTCTCAGTTAAGAGATAGTTGATATTGACTGGATCACATAGAACAGAAAATTAAGTATAATTATGGGATTGGAGAACTAGAAAACTTTATTAAGAAATATTTTGGACTGGATCTTAATCGGATGACAATAGATCTTATTATATATATGCAACTTAGTTTAAGTAATTTTTCAATATAAATTTAGCAAAGCAAATGAGGACTATATTTATGCTGGTAGCTCAGGGGTCCATGAAATCAAACTTTTTAGTTTGAAAGATGGTCAAGCAAAAGCTTCTATTCTGGGTTTACCAAAAGGAATTCTGAGCATTGATTAAATGAATACAACTGATTCTATTGTGTTTAGTGGGATAGAAGGAATGGTAAATATTTTTAAGGCATGATTTAAATAAATAATTATTATGATCAAACATTTGATGAAAAGTAGTCTCTCCAAATTCTCAAAAGAACTAGTATTTGAGAATAAATAAGGGACGAGATTGATTTTCTCTAAGAATATTCCGGAAAAGAACATGTTAAAAAAAGCAAAGGATCCTGATTAATTTCTGAAAATAGAAATAAGGCTGCAACTTCTATTTGATTAATATAAAACAGAAAAAGTATTGTAATAAGATTTATCTATTTTATAGCAATCAAGTAAACTATGATAATTTTCTTAAAATTACAGATGAATTTCTTAAATCGAATAAGGAGAAAAGCATTTTTTACTCTTTTGTTAATACAAAATTCCAAAAAGAAAATCATCCTAAATATTTTTATTTTTAGTGCTCAATGATTAATGAATTTCTAAATCGGTTCGATAAAGATATAACAGAATAAGAGATTTATGCAATTCTAAACGCAATTTAAAATGGCTTATTTTATGTAGAGGATTAATTCTTTTAAAAAACAAAACAGGAAATTTACACATAAGAGGAGGAGCAATTTATATTAGATGTCTATTATAAATTATGTGAAAAATTAAGCATAAATTTAAACAACGATAATTAAGTAAGAGCTCTATGCTAAATAATGAAATATATCAAAAGATATAGTTTTTCAGTTTTAGATTAGATCAATCAATAATTATTACCATCTAAAGATTAATAAATTAATTTAGATCAAAAACTTTACTACACTCTGTTTTTAGTGAAGGCAGGCATAAATTATTTTCCTTCAATCATATATTAAGTACGGCTTTATTTTGATTTAGCTAAGAGATGAGGTTCTATCAAATGAGAATATTTTAAGATTGCCAAGTTCTTTGTTATTTTAATTATTTGAAATATTTGGAAGATGTAATCGAGTAGCATTATGCTCAACTGCAACCTATAAATTATTTATAACAATCATTCAAACAGCCAATTATTCATAGTTAAATCTAACCTAATAAGTGCTCCTACTTTATTATGGATCGAAAACATTGACTATCTAGCACAGTACATTAAAACCATTGATTGAGTAAAAATTAAAAGAACTAGATTCTTTAAAAGGAACGAATTTTAAAATCTTCCTTTTGACTTTATATAATACAAATTATAAAAGTTTGGGTTCTTTAAAAAATTTATAGAAAATAAAAATAAGGTTCTAAGAGATTGAAAAACTGCTCGCTTTTCAAATGAGGAATTGAAATTTTTTAATGATTTAATTTATTGTTTATGATTTTATAAGGCTCATTAATATAGCTGTTAAATTAATTAAATCATATTTTGACATTTAACCTGAAGAGCGATTAAGACTATTAGCTAGCTGCATCAAATGACATATTTCTTATGTCAATGAATTAAGATTAATTTCTTCAAGACATTCTCGAATAGAAACGTTGTTTAACAGATTCTATAATTTTCTAATTTCTAATTTATAAAAATTTTTAGGTAATTAAAATTGAAAGCAAACTTAGGTTTTCACTTTACAACTAAAGAGGATAGCAGAGATGTAATAAAACTAGCAATTAATAAAAGTTATTAATTGATTGCCTTAATAATTAATTATTTCATAAGAAAAGATATTCTAGGAAAAAATCATACATTGTTTACCCTTTTATTAATTTACAAAAGAAAATCGACCAATATCTATTCAATAGTGGAAATATAGTTTAAGAAAATCATTAGTATAATAATGAAGACTAATAAAAAGAGTTGTTTGTTTTCAGAGTTCTGCTTAATAAGTGCCACGATAAGCCACATCACTTCACGAGTCCGGTATCCTTCCGCCGCTCATAGCGATCCCTATTGCTTGCTCTGTTTCCAGCCTAAGCCATTGCGAGATTCTTCAACACTAGTGAAACCCTCATTACTGATGGATCCCACAAGTGACTACGAGCTCGGTTAGGGCGGTGACTCTTAACGAAATGACTCAGCGAGCTCTCAGATGACAGCTTATCAAACATCCTCTTACAACCCACATAAAGTGACAGCCAAGTTGCCCCAGCCTGGGTTAATCAATTACACTTTAATCTTTATTTATTACGTGTTTAATTTTTTTTATTAATTTATGGGTTTTGCTAATTCATTAACACTAATGATCATTAATTCAAGTGTTTGGATTTTACTTAAAATACAAAGAAGTATATGATGACCATTTTTGTTAGAAATTTTTGCTTTAATATCTAAACCAGATTGAAACACAAAAATGTTTAATTATAGAAATTAATTTGACATATTTTGTTATTAGTGCTTCAATTGTATAAATATTCAATCTGGGCTCTAAAAAAACTCATGCATTTCTTTACATATAAAATTCTATATGAATAAAAGAATTACAAATTGAAATGATTGTAATTATTTTATACTTATATAAACTCATTAATTTAGTATTTATTCGGAATATCTATCATCAATTCATTTCTTTAGATTAATTAAAGTTCTCTATATTTTCTATCTAATTTATTTCACATATCCATTTACATCTATAAAGTTTGCTAGATTCTAATAATATCTTTGAGAATTCCACTTATTTTATTTCGAAATTTCAATGCTCATAATCACTAATTAATTAATCGTAATTCGAATGAATATTTAGTTTTTTGACATAAACTTATTTCTATGCATTACTGAAAACAATATTAGGTATTTGCTTATTTTTCAATTTGATCAAGCATTTTAGTATTAAAACTCTCCTTCTTTATCATTCTCATAATAGTAGAATGGTATTCATATTTTTGGCTAACTATTTTAATTTTGCTCTAAAGCTGCAGTTAGTTATTTATTTGCAAACATTTATTGATATTCAGAGAATCTTGAATCAGGATATTCTTTGTCACTAGAATTGCATAAACATATCGGTTGATCTGACATAAACTAATATTAAATAGAGAAATAATATTAATTTAACCGAAATGACTGAGAGCAGAGCTTTGTCCTCTTATGATGGAACTTATAACAGTCTAAAAGATGTCTAACGGGTTGGATCATATGAATGTGGAAATATATTAACAAACTTTAACAATTAGAAATACCCAAATTCAAAACCCAATCATTAGATGATGGACACAAAAACATACCTGGAATAGTTAGAATAAAAATATTGCAAGAAAACAAATGGGTATGATGATAGCGATTCTGATGATTTTTCAAATGGTTGTTCTCCTCATAAAGCAGCTTCATAGGTTCCTACAAAATTTTAGAAAAGCAAAGTATCAGCAAATATTCAGAATTAACCTGAATTCAAGATTCCAGTTGATATAAATTTATCAAGGGGTCCAAGCGAAATTGGACAAGATTATAGGACAATATAAGATATGAATTAAAAATATGGAAGCATAACATAATCAAGGATTACAATAGTTGATCAGGATGCAAAAAGAAGATTTTTTGAATTGGCTTTAGAAATGAAAAAAGAGTTGCCTTAACATCATCCAGCTTAATCTCTGTTGGTAGCCCAGTTATACGCAGAAAGTGTTCAAAAATAAATATCTGAAAAATATTGGAGATAATGGTTATAAGCAAGGATGAAGAATTGATTAAAATCTTTCTATATATTTATTAACAGTATACATTCCACATTATTTTTCATTTTTGAATATAAAACAATACACTATATGGATTTCAATAATAAACGTTATTATGGGAAATTAATAAGGATCAGATTTTGGAGGGTTATATATCAGAACTGATAAACCTTTCTATTTTGCAGGAGAAATCGTTACAGGTATGGAGTGCCTAATAAATTAACCTAGGAAACATCTATCTGAATATATACAGGGACGGATATCCTGGTGGTGTAGTATTATTGAAAGTATCTGGCAAAGAGAAATGCAATTGGACGGAAAGTCGAACCCGTAACACTAATGGCCCTGATGGTAAGCCAAAGCAAACCACAGAATATATTACCTATTCCGGTTAAACTTAATTTTATTAACATCGTGTGGCTATTTGGACCTTTAATACTCCTTGTTTACCAGTTGGGTAATATACCTTTCCTTTTCAATTTTAATTGTTGTCTCATCTACCAGGATCTTATTTTGAGAAAGGATCCAGCTATTTAGCTAAAACTTCTTATAGTGTCAAAGCTGAAATTGAATCTTACAACAAATCATATAAAAGCATCGAACATTCATAATCACTTGTTGTTAGAGAACCACTGAAGTAGAATATGGCTGCATTGATGGGAGAAATGGAAGTAAAAGCATCTACTTGGTGTTGTATCGACTAAGGAGTAATCATGTAAAATTATAATTAGACTTCTCATATAAAATGTGTGTTTGATAAAAATCATTATCTTCCTGGAGACACTGCTTACTTATGGGCTGATTTAGATAATTCTAACTGCAAGTTGGATGTCACAAGGATCGAAGCTAGATTAATTAATTACCTAACCTTAAGGGATAGAACAGGAAGAGAAAAGCATCTGACTAGAACAATTGTTTCATAATAAATTCAAGGAATTATGGCAGGAGAAAGAGCAGTTGAAAATGAAAGGAAATAAATCCAACTTATTTTACACAATAAGAGTTCATAAGATGGTCTACGTCCTTCATCTAATGGACAGTTAGTTAAATCTGTCTACAGATTAGAAATTTAAGCAGTTCTAGCTGGTAAATTCATATTGCTTCTATAGTTTAGGTTGTACTTGTTGTAGTAAACATCCTAAAGTAAATGTTCCAATTGAAATCGTTGCACCTGTCCCTTAAATTTATAATTAACCAATAGTTTAGCCTTCTAATTGGAATCCTTAGATTTTCCAACCTTAAATTGTATAATTTACAGACAGTACCATGTATTTGAAGGATCAGACCTAATAATCAAATTACAATTATCCATAGGTTCCACCACCACCACCTCCTAATTAATTTGGATAAATGTAGTAACCAATGAGTTGATAATTTATAAAGTAAATTTAATCATATCAGAATTAATTTAATTAATTACTATTCCTATATTTATCTGGATATTATTTTTAATTACATTGTCTAAATGATTATTTCATTATTTTAATACTCTCAATTATATATAAATTTACGGAGTTATTTCTAAACTAATAAACAATTAAAAATGAAACTCATTTATTAATTTGCTAATTAAATGAGATTCTTTTAAATGGTTATTCATTCTATTTATAAAATACGGTTAAAAAGTCATCTAAAATATCTTACATCTAGATGATCCTTCCTACCAATAAAGTGTTATTTTAATTACAATTTTTAATATGATACCACATAGATATAAAGTATAAATTACTGTTCCCACATAAAAAGTATATAAAATATTTATAGTATGATGTTAACTTTACTAGAATATAAATTAGCTAAAAATATAATAATTGCAATTAAGAATATAATGTTGAGAAGAATCTATAATTATTGATTTAGAGATTCAATTTACAATTCAAAAATGACCAATCATTCTTATTATGAAGTCTTTGTGCTAAATATTAAATTGTAATTTTAAATAGAATAGTAAATTTATGTTGATTTCTTTAATAATAGATAAAAAGGAGAATTTGAATTTCTTCCCACAAGGGAAAATTTCTGCATTTAATGTAAGAAGATAAGATAAAATGAAGTTAAATCCATTAATTTATAATAAATAATGATTTGTCATTTAATATTAAATATCATGTAAGTGTTATCAATATAAGTTTAACATTGATTATTTCTTTAGCTTTACTATTAAACTTTAATTATTTGATTAATTTAAATTACCATATTATGGAGGAATATGTATCTTAAAATAAATAATCATTTAATGTAAATTATTTTATTATTATTTTTGTTTTAAAGATATACGAAACAGAATCAGTCAATTGAGTTCTTTTTGAAGATACTCTAAAGCATCCTATTCTGAGGTATTCTCGACATTTTCGTAATAAGTCCAAAAGTCTTCCATAATGGAAAAGTTTAAATCATTTAAATTCTAACTGTCTTTTAAATATTTGATGGTAATATAAATTTAAACAATTGAATTAATTGTTGGTAGGTTTGATATAATCTCAAAAAGTTAGTTGATTGGGTTTTTTAAATTAGAAACTATCTTATTCTTAACTTCTTTATAGAAATCTTCCAAACCTAATTAATCTTATTAAAGTAAAGATTAAAATATTTGATAGTTTTCAGTTGATTTATATAAATTTGCCTAGACAGCACTTAGTGGGGACAGTTTTTGCAATTTCTGGATTAATGCTAAAGCCTAATTTAAAATTTCTGAAGTAATGTTGTATGTGATGTTATAATCGATGTCTGGAATAACTTAATTTAATCTGTAAACTCTCATTGCCACTTTGTCCAAGAAAAATATTTATTCATGAAAATAAAATAAAATATCTTCAATTTAGTTGATTTATAATTGAGTTTGTAACCTTTTAGTATGAGAATAATATACTTATGATTGAGGTTGGACATCATTTCATTCAAGATTTACTTTTATTCCTTATCTTTTTCTTCAGTTTACTTTTTCAAATCATCTTCAGTTAAGATTTAGGAAACCAACGACATTACTTTTTTATTCTTAAATGGCTGTACTTTGATGAGGGAGACTTTTTGAATGACCATCTATTAAATAAATACTGATGAAGATATCATTTAATTGTTTTAATTAAATTAGGGTTGATATTGAATTTTTATTTGTGGTAATTAAAATAATTCTTCCCACCCTATGCGATCTTTGCTTTATTTTTTAAGCATTCTTTAAAGCAATTAAATGATAAAATCAGACCTCTTTGGTGTCTAAGGAATATTCAAGGCATTATTGACGATGTCTGAGAAGGCAGTTTCTCTGTCGTACTTTTTGTTTTGAATCAAAAAGGGATACTTATTATAGAGCATCCTATATAATATTATGCCAAGACTCCACATATCAATCTTGGGATCAGCGGTTGCCTCTTCTTGAATCATCTCGGGTGCCATATAAAGAGGAGTGCCTTTGAAGGATATTGTGAGTTTATCTATTAGAGTGTTCACTATTTTAGCCAGACCGAAATCAGTAATTTTATAAAATCGATCGTGAATCATGATGTTCGCTGGTTTCAAGTCTAATTTCATGATTAGTTAGGGTGATACCTCTATGAATGATATTTTACATAAAGAGTTCTCGATAGCCACTGCAAAATTGACCTAAGAAGTCCATTACTTCAGCCTCAGACCAAAATTTATTTTTCATTTTATCCTCCAGAGTTCCACCATTGCAATATTCCATGATAATATAACAAGCTTTGCTTGATTACAACTTCTTCCTCCTGTTGATGATCGAAAATTAAATTACTTGTATTGAACAAGGTTCTAATGATCACTTTAGAATTATTCCAAGACTGTAAGTTCGTGTTATAATGTTTCCAATTTGCTCTGCGTCCCTATCTCCATTATTTTAGCCACCAATTATTCTTCCCGATTGTCGAGATCGTAGGCTCTCACCACCTTGCCGAATGATCCTTGACCCAAAATGTCTTCTGGCTCAAGTGAAATCACGTAGGATGACCCTTGTAATCTTTTGATTCTTTTCTTCATTATAATTTAACAATTACAGATTTAAATTAATGATAATTCAATTCTGTATATTTATCGTATGATGGCAAGAAGGACTCAAGATAATATTTAATTAAATTTATAGCCTATGTCCTAGTATAAGCAATTAAATGAGGGCGAGTTCCCACCTAATAACAATCCTCAAATCATTACAGGATATGAAATACTTCGCTAGAGTGTCAATTAGGGATTAAGGCAAAATCAGGAGGCTCGTAAAAGTTCCTTGAAAGCAGCAGCATTGGTTTCTCGATAGAGTTAATTGTATGCATAGGCAAAAGTGAGACTCGTTTTAATATCAAGGAAAAAGGGATTACTATGAATGAATGAAACAATTGTGAATTACGATGATCCTGCCAATAACAAGCAAGATATATTAAAAAAAGCATAAAACAAAGTTGAAGAGTACAGAAACATGGATTAACATAAAATTGATGTGATTGAATGATCATAAAGGTAAGCGATATGTATTGATTATCTCTAGATTTGAAACTTCCTTAACAGATGGATTAACTGAGGAATATGCTACGGCAAAGAACAAATAATATGGAGATAATAAATTGACAGAAAAAAAAGAAACCATGGTGGATTAAGTTGATCCTTGAAATGGTTCAACCATTTTCAATTTTATTATGGGTGGCATCTATATGTGTTTTGTTTTGTATGGTGTTAACCCAAATGCAATTTGGTGCAAAATCAAATTTATGGCTAGGTAAAATTATAAAATTATTGTTAATAGCAATTATTCTATTAGCCATCATTTTATTCACTGGTTCTATAACATACAATTAATCTGCCATTCAATTCCACTAATAAATTCTCATTATGTATAGTCAATTGGGAGACTTAGGATTCATATTATTGTGTATATATAAAAGGAGCACCTGAGAAGTTATGGACATTCTCTAGTTATTTGTTAGTAGAAGGTAGAAACCAACCAATAGATGAGTAGATAACACAAAAATTCAAATCAGTCAATGTATCATTTGGTAAAGGAGGTGAGAGAGTCTTGGGATTTGCAAAACTTCATTTACCAAGATCTGAATTTTAGAAAGGATATAAGTTTAATTTGAACTTAATTGACACATTGAAATTCAAATTAGAAGGATTTACTTTCTTAGGATTGTTATCATTAATGGACCACCAAAAGAGACTGTACCTTAAGCAATTAAAAAATGTTAATCAACAGGTCTAAAGGTGATTATGGTAACAGGAGATCAACCGCCAACAGCTGGTGCAATAGCTAAATCGATTGGAATCATCACAGGAAAGACAGTAGACGATTTGTTAGAAGAAAACCCATGAATATCTTATGAGGAAGCCTTTAATTTGGCACCAGCAATTGTAATTCATGGAGACATGATAGTATATGCTTTGGAGGAAGAGAGTTAAAATGGAGAATACGTCTTTGAGCACATGAAAGACAGGAGACTTAAAAGTTGGTGCAGTAAACCTTAAGTAGTATTTGCACGTATATCTCCTGCATAAAAGCTGATGATAGTAAGAGCATTTCAATACATCTGACATGTAGTAGGAGTGACAGGAGATTTCGTAAATGATTCTCCAGCAATGAAATAAGGTGATATTGGTATTTCAATGGGTATCAGTGGATCTGATGTCACTACAAATATCCCATTAATACTAATGCTTGTTTCAAAACAGCAGCACTTAAATATGCTCAAACCTCATATTTGTTGCTGTTGTACTTGTCTAATGGTCTAATGGTCTAATGTCTTCTCTTGCAAATGTAAGTGATAGTGACCTATATTTAGAAAGTAAAATGACCTTGATTTATTCTCCAATTAATGTAGTTATGTTTTATGGGGTCCTCCTTGAAACTCTTATTTTTATTTTATAGTCTATATTCCAGGAGTCAATTCATGGTTTGGTGCTAGACCAGTTGATATTTTAAAATTAAGGTAAATTAATAATTTAATTATTAGAATGACTGGTCTCCCCTATTCTACGTGTCTATTTTGTTGGGAAGAATTAAGAAAATACTTCATCAGAAATTATGCAAAGCCAGACAAATATTCGCCTAATTTCTTTGAAGCAAATTCATTGTGGTGAATTTTTGTTAATAATTTAATAATTATTTTTTTATAAATTTAAATATCTTTTATCTTATTCTTTTTGAAAAGATTTATTAATATTACCAAAAGAATATAAAGGATATTATTGGAATTCGAAAACGTTGCTTCAAATTCAATTTTACAAAAAATGTTAAGAACATAAGGATAAAATAGTTATATAGTTCTTAAATATAATCATTCCTCCTAATGTAGTTTTTATATGAATTGAGAGGGTCCTCCATACTTTTCAATAAGCTTCTCAAAGTAAACTGCTCTTTCAGCTGACATTGATCTTATTCTCTATTTACCATTATTTTATTTAAATAATTTAAAATTTGTGCTTCTACTTTATTCTTATTATTAATTTAAAATATAATCTACTTTATCATTATAAGCTTTAATTATTTAATCTAGATTAAACTATGTGAAAAAGGCATGCATAAGGCTCATTCTCTCAAATTCATCTTCTTGTTAATTTTATATTTGTTTACTCTATTCAAGCATTTCAAAACCAGCTAAAGTTGGTTCCTCTTCATTATGCCTAATATTTTAACATATTTATTTACTATTATAACTACATAAGCCTATCTTCCTCTTGTTTGTCCTCTGAAATATAAACTTACTTTATTTCATTTGCAACTTCATTTGTGAGAGAGTAGCAACCTCTAGAATTATATTTAATTTTATCATGCCTTTTGTAATTTTTGTTGGCTTTCTTTTAAGCTAATTGAAATTCCTATACTAATTCTTATTTCCTATCAAATTTAACTATGAAATGCAATTTTGGGCATCTGTAAGCAAAGTGATCAATTTATTAACATCCAAAGCAAGGTAGATTAAGGGGTGTGTAATCCTCATTGAGTTCAATAATATGTTTGTTCATTTGAAACTATTCATTTTGAGTTTGAAATTTCTTCAAAAGTTCTTAGAATTTCTTTTTCTTTAATTTCTAAACATACACAAAATCTAAGGTATAAACTGAAGCACTTCTTGGTTTGTTGCTAAAAAATCCTAGTTCTCCAAAAGTTGAACCTTTTTCCAAAACCTTTAGGCATGTAAATGTTTTTTATATACATAACATTACTTTGCCTTAATTCAGAAAATATAAACATCTTTCATCTATATTTTAACCATTTTCCAATTCTAATGGATCTTCTCCCTCTAAGAATATGCATTCTTCAGGTCCAAATATCTATTCCTCTAATTCGAATGGCAATTGAAGCAGCAATTCCTTTTCAAATTTATTCTATTAAAAGACTTTAGAATTATTTATCAGATCTGTATTAACTGCAGCTAGCACCTCAACTCTCAAGGACTAGGATAACACTTCTAAAGCTTCCTTTTCATTAACCTATGTGGACTCTTTCTCGTATTTATATTCTAAATACTTCCTTACTCTTGCCTGTAAATCCTTAGGAATATCATTCGATTTTAAAAATTGATTGGCTTGACCCATCTTTTATCTAATGATTTTCTCATTGTAATCCATCGAAACGAAGATCCCACCTATACTATTCATTATATAGGCAAATATACAACAGGCTAACAACATAACCACTATTCCAAATATTTTTTCAATAGATGTCACTGGAGTAATATCCCCATAACCAACTGTTGTCATTGTAGCAGTTGCCCAATAAACCGATGCAATGTATTTCGCATACCATTCCTTATCCTATATCCCTTAAGCTGTCAACCAACTGTTATCTCCTGATATATTCTCTTAATCAGCTATGAAATGCCAAATGCAAGCCAGCCAATGTGCAACAAACAGCATTATAAATGTCAATTTGATGACTTTGTATAAGGAAATCATGGAGTTTGATAGATCCACATAATCTTCTAATTTAGAAAATATTTTTTTGAGCTTCAAAACCCGTAATAATCTTACAACTTTTATGAATCGAAAGAATTTTAAAATTCTTAAGAGCTTCAGTGTATTTGCTATCTATTACTATTATTGCTATTTATCTCTCGCATCTTGTTTTGAGGACTCGTCAATTTCATCTGAATGTAATATTTCTTGTGTTGATGCATTAATAATCAAATCAAATGGAAACGTGGACACTATCATAGCAATAATTATTACAAAGGTCAATCCAAAACCAAGCCATTAAGTAATTTTTGGCTATCAATTTTCTGTCGTAAATGTACTATCCTTTTTATTAATATGAAGTATTGAAATTTATCAAAATGTCTAAACTAAATATTGTAATTGATGCAATGTTAAAGTTATCGAAAAAGTCAGATTCTATTGTAAAGCTAATATCCAAAGGTAAAATTAAAATAGCAAAAAATATAACTATCATAGTGAATAAATCCCAAAGGATTCTGAATTTATCTTCGGGTTTGAAAACCTAAATATTGAATTTATTAATCTCAACAGGTTTCTTCATTATCATAACTGAATGTCTTTTAAAGCCATTTTCTATGGCTGTTTATATTCTTTAATTTATTTCCTGTCTCTGAGTTTTAAGTTAAGCTTAAGCCGAGTCCTGCCCATTATCGTTGGCTAAGTCATTTAATATATTTAATTGTCTTTCATCAAATAATTGGTTTATATCCTCCAACTCCTCCTTACATTCATTCTTTAAAAAATTTTTGGAAATCAAAGTCTTTCTTAGGTCATATGCTTTAGCCGTCAGCATTCTCTCTTCCTCTACCTAGACAGATCGATATTTATTATCCTCTATGATAATAGAAGATTAATTCATATATATTTAAAATAATTATACGCAAATCAAATTCCATTAATATTTTTAAACTTTAAGATGAGAGTAAGCAAATTCTTATTGTTATTAATAAATGCGTTTCTTATTAGATCTCCAACTATTATAAGTAGTTGCTTAAGAATTTTAACCTGTATTTAATTATTTATACTCCTTGTACAAATAAAGAAACAACCTACATATAATTAAATGTAAATTAGGATAATAAGTTTTTACATTTATTCAAATAAACTACTATAAATAAGGATTCCCTAGTTTATTCTTCTACTTAAATTTAGAGTTATTTTGTTAAAACCGTTCCATCTAATTCTGATTATTTATCATTGGTTACCACAGAATCTATCAAATTATGTTTTTAATTTTAATTCTGTATATACAAATTAACAAAAATTTCATTAATTTTCATCATTGCCTTCTCATTTATTGATTTTATAAGAAAACTTTCATCTATTTCAAGAATTTTTCATCATTGCAATTGATTTCAAATGATGAATTAGAAGAAATTGATTAAGTTTTTAGGACATCTTTCTTTTAATTCTTTTCCTATTTAATTTTATCAAAAATCTTTTTCCATTCCTTCTTATCCGCATTTTCCATATATACAGTTGAATGAATTTTCATATCTGTTAATTTTTACCTAAGTGGTTCAAAATTAGAATATTCTGCCTGCATTTCAGAATATCCAAAACTTATTAGGCTAGTTCTTCTCGAAGCCTACCTAACAAATTATTAATTAAATTTTATTTGGCTATTTTCTAATTGTGCTATTTATTAGGTATCTTATTTCTATACTTAAACTTAATTTTCATGTTATTCTTCCTCTTCTTCTGCTTGAGTACCATCATCACAGTATCTGTGAATGAAGAATAACTAACTCATCAACCCTTAAGGTATTAAACACATTTTCAAATTGTTTGATTATAATAGAGTATTCTCTAAACTATGTCTTTAATCTTCTTTTTACAATTCTTCCTAAGAGTTTTGCATTATCATCACTTATTTCTCAACATTTAGAGTTTCGTTGATCTAAAAATTCTACAAATATTGCTAGAGTTTCGATTATAGCAAATTAGCAATTTCTTTATGACTTCTGTCTAAAACAGTCAAACATTTAGGGCAGAATTGAGTTAATGCTCCTATTTGAAGGATGATTCTTTAGATAGACATAATGGATTCATTTTATAGTTATTCTAGAATCGATTTAATGATCCAACTATCCTCTTGGAAAAGATCTTAGATTATTGAGATTAATAGTGTTATCTCTGAATGAGATGAGGATATGTCTATGTAATTATTCCACTATTTAAAGAGATCGTAAATATCCCCTTACTTCAGTAACTTCTCAAAATCTAAACAAAGAGACTTATTTTTATCAATTAATGGAAATCGAACATTAACTGATTGATTTTAGTCCTAATGTGAAATTTTTATATTACATTTTAAAATGTTATTTTTAATGATGCCACTAACATATTTGATTTAGTATATTCTAATTATTTAGTTTTTCGTTAAATTTCGAAGTTTTGTTAAAGTTTTTAAAATTTATTTAAATCACTTCTGATAAGTTACATATTTTTCTTATATTTATTCCTTCTGTTGATCTCATTTACTAAAAATTTTATTAGGTTTTCATCAGTTTTTTCTTCAATAATTCTTTATTAAGAATTACGTAAAATTGACATTTGGAGGGTTTCCGAGATGTCGTTGGTATAATTATCAAAATATTCTATAAAATAGTCAATTATATACTTTCTTTATTGTAGGTTAGACAATTTAGATAAGAGGTGAGTAAAACTGGGTTACTTTGATCTGGATAGAATTTGTGGTAGAGAATGAATAAATATTCTAATTGGAGGATGAGCTCCATAAGTTCTTTGGTTTCGTTTTCGTCAAATCCGGGAGCACTCCTATTGAATGTTTAATAGATGGAATTGGTTGATTCGTTGATTTTGACTTAAGAGAAGCTCTTAGCTCTTCTAAATTTAGACATTTTATCTATCGTTTTTCCCTACTGTGACTTTTAAAAATTGTATATTGTTTTATTTAAGTTGTATGCAAAATCATCAAAATCTATAGAGTCCAATTTGTATTGAGAATGGGATCTGGAAGCCTTGAATTCTATGAAATCAGCATGTGCCATCATACCAAATTTATTAATATTGAAATAATTTCAAAATATACAGTCCTTTAATTCCCAATTAATGCGCAATATTATTTCATACGAAAGAATTCCTATTCATATTTAGTTTTGGTTCACTATTTTTAGGTAATTTAAAATTAAATTTATTTTCATTTTCATTAAAAAAAAAGCAAAATCTAATACTTGCATATTGTCGCCTTTTGTTTTCTTATTTTAATACTTATATTGTGATTTTCTTATTTTACTTTTCTTAATTTTTTTGATTTCTTTTTTATTAATTATAGTAATTATCTATTGATAACATTCTACTTAAAACTAGTTTGATAGTTCTCCTTTTTTGGTTATATAGGTTCATAAAATGGAAGAAATGCATATTCAAAAACTGAAGTAATAATTTCAAATAATCACTCATATCATAATTTAAATAATTCAATTATTTGAAAATCAACTTACTCGTGTGATTATCATGATAAGGAGCAAATTATATAAAATATTAATTCTTTATTATAAAATTAATTAAGTTACTATTTATTTGTTTAACTCGCTTTATTTTTAAATCTAATTATGCAAAGCTTTACACTATCTAAATCATAAATAAATTTATTGGGCCAATCTCAATAGTTAACGAGGAAATATTATGAGTTCTAATGATTATTTTTAGTAATTCAATTTGAAGTGAAATTTTGCTTACGTGATAGCTGATCAAGAGATATTTATTTAATGACTCCTTTATATTTGGTTATATAAACAAATCAATTCTATGATATATGATAAATATTCAAGATTATGTTATAAATTTGTTTTCCACTTTACAATTCTCAAACAATAAATTTTTTAACGGAACCAACATACCCAATGACTAAGTATTCTCATGAATGATTAATAAATTTCTGGCTAATATTATTATAAAGGAAGCTACTTTCTGCCATTTCCTTTACTCATTAGAAAATAATTCATCAATCAATATTATTAAACAGATAAATAATAAGTTAGTATTCTATAAATTTTTGGAATATAGATTAGAACTTATAATAATTAAGATTAATCAAAACTAGATTGATTAAATATTTTAATAATTTTCAAAAGGGATTAAGGATAAAATAGAAAGATATATTAACAAAAATATTAGGTCTTAAAATTATATAAAGGCATTTCTTGAATAGTTATCACACAAGTATTATAAATAGTCCAATATTTTCCTTCTTTAAAGAAAGAATTTAACTTAGAATATGAGTTTCATAAAGTGTTATTTCAATAATTATAAATTTTGTAAATAATAATTGAAATAGCAAAATTTGCATTTTCATTATAATCAATATTTATTTCGAAATGATATTTTAAATACATTATTTGAGTTATCTTCTCGTAATTAGGTTTACAATTTGATAGGATAACAATTATCTGAAATTTTATCTTATTTTGCAATACTTTTGGTGCTGCTGTTTAATGTGCTTCTATATGAATTTAGAGTAATTTGATTAAATTGATCTGCCGATTCTTCAATTCTTAATCGATAAGTTCGAGGTTCAAGAATATTCATTTTTTTGATTGGAATAGGAATATTAAATTTTGGTGGCTATTATTACATATACAAATTTTTAATTTTATTTATTTTTTATGTAGAATGAATGCTTTTCTTTTAAGTACTTTAGATGCTACTTTAGAATTGAGGTTTGCTTGACGATAAGAGTTTCTAGATCTACTATAATAGGAAAAGGAATTATTACAATAAACTTATACCTATTACAATTATTCACTGATAGTAGGAACTGAGATTGCAGGTTTCTATCTCTCTGAATTGGTGATAAAAGTACGAGATACAATTTTATATTTTAACACTGCAGGATCGATCTTTGGTGCCAATTTCGCTGCTTTATTAGACATAAGACTACATACCTTCACTTTTCTGACCATAAAATTACCTACTTAATTGTTTATAATAGTCCTCATCTTTGTTATTTTTAATAGGAGTCTCACTGTGATTCATTACATAAGAATCTTCCTTTTCTAACATAAAACTAACAAATCCATCCTGCTATTAATCTTATTATTTCAGCATTAATTAATTTATTTTAATAAACAATATATAATTATAATAATCAGAAACAATCTATCACTTAAAATGAATTCCTTGAGCATTCATAGCACACAGTAGCTAAAGAAAACCATCATTATCCATTTTGACTGGTCTCATTTAGAACATATCATTAGATTTCAATATTTCATTTATTTTTAATCTGAATGGATTTTAAGTAGTTTATTGTTTCTCTGGTTGCTAATTGTTATCTTCATCGTCATCTGATTCTGATTCCTCACCTTTTTATTAGTTTTATTTATCTTTTTTATCCTTTTTATCCTTCTTCCCTTTTCCTTTGACATCCTCCTCTTCCATAATGGATGAGATTAATTGTTTGACATTATTAGCAGGATCATTCACTTTAATTCCTTCTTATTCGATTACATGAAAATTATGTTCTAAAGTCTTGAGTACAGATTTGTTCTTAAAGATGGCGGATAATTGTTTATTCTTCCTATTGAAACAAATTCTCAACAAACCATCCCATTCGATATAGTTAATATTTGGAATAGGATTCTTGGGTTCTATTCTGACAACCGATGATTCTACTTTAGGAGGAGGTTTAAAGTTGTTTTTACCAACTTTCATCAAGTGATCAACTCTCGATAACATTTAAACATTTGCAGATAGTCTACAATATAATTCATTTCCAGGTTTGGCAACTAATCTGAATGCAAATTCTTATTAGAACATTAAAACTGCACATCTCCACAGAGGTCTTTAAGCCAATAACTTAAACACCAAAGGTGATGATATTTAATAAGGGACATTCGCTACACATAAATCAAAAAATGGTAATTCTGCTGTTAAAAAATCCCCTTAGATCAACTTGAATTTATCTGAATATTAGGAGTACTTAAATCTTTTAGTCAATTCTATAACCATTCGAGGATCTATTTCAACACAAATCACTTATTTAGCTCTTTACAATAACAATTCTGTCAAATTACCTGTTCCTGGTCCTATTTCTAATACAATGTCTGTTGGTCTAATAGCAGACTTATCTACGATCATCTAGAGAATTTATTGATTTATAAGGATGTGTTAACCAAATGATTTGTTAAAAACCATGTTTGATTTGCTTACTGTGTTTTTCATCTGAATTAAAAAAATAAAACAAATTTAATAAAAATTATTCAGAATTTTTAACCGCAAGTTATCAATAATCTAAATTATTAACTTGAGAAATTAGTGTAAATATTTATATTTAGAGAATTCTATTTCTAAAATACTATATGTATTAATAATAAACCCTATATATACGTATTTCATAGAGAATATTAGATAGTGTTCAAATTTCAACAAGAAACTATTTAGATTATCAATTAAAAATATCATTATTATAGAAATTTAGTATTATTTATAAAAGAACTTAAATTGAGTACAACAATAATTAATTCACATATTAAATCCAATAAGATATTCATCTGAGAGAGAACAGTTCTTAAGTTAGATGTCCTCTTTTTCATTAGAAAAGGATCCAGGCCAATACTAGTTAGCTGATTTATCCTAGTTTAGTAATCCAATTTATTTGTAAATCTTTGCAATTAGTTAAGAACAAAAATAAGTTGGATCTTCATGTTAATTTTATGAAGTAACAATTGTAGATTTATCTTGCAACAGTTTTGTAAAGCTTAATTGATATTATCTGCCCACGTTTTCTTTGACAAATTTTTCAATTTATAATAAAAAATCAATATTCCTTTTTAATTGAAGCTATCGATATACAACCCTATAATAGGCAATTATATTTTACATTGAGTATAATTCATACCATAATTAGTTAGTCATGGAATTCCAGTCAAATATTCCCACTCCATTCTAATCAGTTGCTTCTAAAATATAAATAGAACCAGACTAATATTTTAATATCATGGCAACATGATCTACTTTAGGATGTAATTATACCATAATTTGATCTAGTTAACAATCTTTGTAGTTTAGAACTGCAAGATTTGGTTTGAAATAGAAGAATATCCCCAGTTTAACTCATTTGTTGAAATTAATCATTTGTTATTAATCGTTTTTTATAATATTGGGGAAATGGGTTCAAATAGAACTATACTATTGGCTTATTGCGAACATTATCTATGAATTTTTTGATCAAATAAAACCATGAATTACTAGTAAGTCCTTTAAACTGAAATATTTTATTGTCATTCTTACACTTTAAACCAAACTCAAATATTTCGTTGTTTACAATTGGTTTGTTATAATATTAGAAATAAAAGAGACCCAAATTGAGTATGAAACTAGCTTTTTATTTTTACTAATCTTAATAAAAACTTAAAATTCCATCCTAAAAATGACAATATATCTATTTGAAGGGTTGAAATAATTTTTTTGTTTTTTTCAAAATAAATCCTTCATGTTGTTGACTAAAGTTTTCGTGGGTGAACAATCCAGATTACATGATGGCGGATGTCAATGTTGCATTATTTTCAGTTCTCTCAGAATTCAATCCTCGAATTTGATCATGTTATAAAATTACACTTTTATCTTCCTATCCTTACAAAAACGAAAGTTGAGGTTAGACCCTATGAAATTACATTAACCGGTGCTATTCTGAATACATAAGCCCAGATTTTAATTATATAATTTCAGGAATTTAGGAGTAATCCTCAATTACTTTCGGAACTCCGACATGTGTAGTTATTATTGCAAATGATTCTTATATATCTTAAGGAAGATTTTGTTCAATTATTACAGACTCATTGTTCAGAAAACTCATTGCTAATAATTATATTTAATATCTAAAGTATTGATAAACATTTGGTTATAAAACTTATTATTATTTCAATTTCTACTGTAGAAACTTAATTAACCTTATTATGAACAAACTCCAATTAGAGATCCATCCCTATTGAATCTGACAGCCCATAATTTGTCATCCTTTTTGTCAAAGGGATTAAATTATTCAATACATTATCCAGATGATGTATCCCATAATCTAACTTTGTAGTCAGATGAACAACTGACAACTAATTTATCATCTATTGGATTAACATCGATTGAATTGACAGAATAATGATGTTAAAATGTCTTAATCTCTTTCATTTTAGTTAAATCAGTTAATTTGATATCTCCATCATCTGAACTAGAAAAGGCTTTAAAACCATCATTACTAAATTTTACAGATCTCACCATTTTTTTATGAACTTTTTTCGAATGCAATTTTCTCTTTTCAATAGGATCTTCAACAATATGCAATGACCCACTATCTGTTCCCACAGCAATATTTGCATTATTTGCAGCCAAAGCGGAGGCAAATGAATTTTCAACAGAAAACACTGGGATTTCCTCTTGATTTTGATCAATACCAAAGATAGACAATCTTCCTCCTTCTCCAGCAGTACATATATAATTTTTCAACCAACAAATATTCCAATTCTCCATCTAATCACAGACTATCTCTTTTGCTTTTATGCTTTTCTTTAAATCCCAAATACGTATAACGCTATCGAGTGAACTTACTGCAAGTAATTCCCCATTATTTGAGAATTTGACATCCACAATTCCTAAGAAATGCCCTTCCAATCTTTATGGTTCATTTTCCTTCGATACCTTATCCTTCCATAATGCCACTGTTTCATCTAATAAACCTGCAGCTGTGTATTCTTAACTAATATCTAGAGATGATATTGATTCCCCTATAGTGTAAGTAGATGCCACGGATACTTTTGACTATTATATAAGCTATTCTTTACCATAGTTAATCAATAATATAAAATAAATTAATAATACTATTAAATTGACACATTCACTATTTTAAAGAACTTTAAAAATTTTGTTTTGATGTTAATCTCTTTGTATATTATGGTATTAGATAATAGACATTTTAGCTAATACATTGTTTTCTAATGAAGTTATGTTAAGAAATTTGCTTGATTAAATCCATATTAATTTATTGATATTTCTAGGTAAGTTTAGCAACTCCTCAAATCAAATTTCTTACATCAGATATATATATCACTCTTTTTCAATGATAATATTTATGAAGCATCTTTCCTGGATAAATTTTTATTAAAAATTATTGTTTCTAATATTTAGTAATAGTTCTGTTGTATTTCCATATTGTTTTTAAACCTTAGACCCATTACATTTCAATTAAATACAAATCACTTATTATTTTTACTTTCTAATATTGTATAGATTAGGCTTTGAACAATTTTAATCATAATATTCTTTTTCAGAATGTTGAGGATATCTATTATAGAATTTGAGAACCTGAAAGTAGAAAATTACTCTATTGCTTTAAATAAGTTCATAATATATATATTAGCTGAATATTATATTATTTATATAGAATAAAGTCAAGAAAAAGGAATATATAAAAATGTTCTAGGATGAATTGGGCTCAAAAAGAATTTGAATTCATATTTAGTTAATTTTAAATCAACTTCATTCAAATCCAAGTTTTTTCAAACAAAGTTTATGGTTTTCAATTTCCTTTGAGCATTTTTCTTCTCCAAAAGAAATAATGCATTCATCTCTTAGATTTCTTGTATCTGGGCATGCACAGCAAGGTCTTAATGGCTCTACTTGTTAATTTTCTTTCGATTTAGAATTATCCATATTTAAATTTAATTATTGAATGTTGAAAATATTTTATAATCCAAAAATCTGAATTATCATAGTAGCTTTATGATTTATCGAAAACCCCATAAGATTTTAAGATGGATTATAATAAAAATAATTTGTAATATGAGAGTAATGAATAAATTAGGTTTTTTTTAATGAGACAATAATAATTGTAAATAATAATATCATTAAATTGATTGAAATGGTACTTTTTAGACAAAACTGCGCTTAATAATATCGTCTCTGGTCTTATATTAGTGAATTAATACTTATCTGAATTATCTGAGCTGAATGATTGCAGTGGGGACTTGTTGCTCCCCCTCGGTAACGGATTTTCCATTTTCTTTACGTATTCCAAAATGAACTTTTATTTATTCTACGGAGTGGGACAACTTTCCTAAAATCAAATCATTATTATACCTTTTTTGCTTTTTAAACTAGTTACTGATATTATTTAGTGTGATTACTGAATAATTGTCTATTCATTGGTGATTAATTGGTAGGTTATAAAGGCTTTCTTTAGTGCTAAGAAGTTCCTTTTCCTCTAATTGGATTGGGATTAACACTCCTTGATCTTTGTTAAGGTGTAGTTACTTGATTATTTAATGTAGTTTGAGTTATTTGTTATGAGGATTTCTGAGTTTAAGACTTAATGAATTTTTGAAAATAGATAATCATTTCTTCATCTTGTTTTAGAACAGGACCATTCTGAGTTGAGAGTTCATTCATCATATCAATAATTTCTTTTAATTAATTTTAGCTTAATTAGATGTCATTTTTAGTGTAATAGTTCATCTTTTCTTAGAGTTGAATCATTTTAGCCCTAAAAATCTTATAATTATCTCTGGCTTTATTTAATTTCTATAGATGTTATTCTTCTTCTCTGCTTGTAGGCTATTTAATAGATTTAGATGATCCACAGTATTGTAAACTATCTTTTCTGACTTCGATTTCAATAGAATTCTCTTTATTCATTTTAGATCTATCAGTTTCTTAATAACTAGTATGTGGTCTAGATTGTTTACTATTATCTTTATCCATTTTCAAAGAATCAATAACTAAATCCTTTTATTTAATCTGATCTCTGAGAAAAGTAATTTCTTTTTTAAGCATCTCAATTTGAATGTCTCTTGGATCAGTTCTTTCTTTCTTTTTAGATTACAATTAAGAAGTTAACTCTTATCTAATGCGCTTCATTCTCATTAATAGCTCTTTCATATTGCATTATATCATTCTTTAATCGATCTTCATCAACCATCTCAGAATTCAATTATTGTAACAAATATTCTAAGCCTTCTCTGTTTTAAAATTGCAATTAATCTATTTGCTTTAAATTCAATCTTATTTCAATCTCTTCTTCTGTCAATTAACCTATAATATTATTAATAATTATATACACTAGAATGATACTTCCTATTTTAATGCTTCAATCTCAGCTTGTAATAAACTAACATTTTCTGAATTGCAATTGCAATTACAATTTGTGACCTCATTAATTTTAATATTTTAGACAATCTTTTTTTTTATTGCTCTGGCTCTTGATGCATATTTTAGAGTGTTAATACTCTCCTCATGACATTGAACTACTTGTTATACGCATCCTATCATTAGAGTTTTAGTATTGCCTCCCAAAGAGTCTTTTAAAAGTCTTGTTAATTTTGAATCCCTGTAAGGCACAAACTTCTTGATTGATTAATCACAAGCCAACATATTGATGCAATTGCCTAGAGCTAATAAACTTTTATTGATATTCGCTCCTTCCATTTATCTAATTCCTTTGCTACCTTCATTTACATTTGCTTTTTCACTTCCTGCCAAATCCACTAAGGATAATTTGCATTGATATTGTTAATTTACAATAAATAATTATATAATAGCATGAGATCGAGAAGAGAATTGGTTGGCATTAGTTGCAGCCATTACTCTTTTTTAATTGCCATTAATTATTATTGATTTTGCTTAATCTATCGTCATAATTTACGATTCCTATACATCTTATAACATGACTCCTTTAATAGGATCTTCATTTAACTACAAACCAACCTAATCTCCAATTAAATCTCGTATTTGTTCATTGTAAATTTCCAAATATGAAATACTAATTTTAACGTTCATTTGGAATAATTATTCTAAAACCATTGAAACTAATCCATCATTTTCTACTAAAGGATCATATAAGTTGCCAAACATTGTGTAACTCTTTCCTGAACCTGTTTAGCCGTAAGCCAAAATTGTTCCATTATAACCTTAAGAAACACAATCATAAATCATTTATGATATTGACTAGTATTATATATTAAATTCCCTTACTGTATCATATATGTCTCGTGTGCTCTCTCCTTCATTAAACACATTATCAAATGCAAATGATCGTTACTCATATGTATCAGGATCTCGTATTGTCTGAGTTGGACATTCTACTTATATAATCTATTTCATTATTTCGATAATACAGTTTCTTTTCCTATTCTCTAAGTGAGGAATCTTGATCTTCCCTCATAAGGCTTCACTCTAATACTCACTTTAAATGGCTCTTACATTATTAATTTAAATTTTAATAAAATAAGTAAGAAGTTAAATCTTCAATCATAAAACATATTCATTCTAAAGTTATCATTAAAAGATTAAACCTTAAAAAGTAAGAGACATATAGAGAAAAATAACTTTATTCAGGATTTCAAAATATTATCAATTGAAATTCATCAAATCTATCATTGGTCAAAGAACAATCAATTTAAAGATGAAATTTATTTATTACAATGTAAAAATAATAATATTTCATTCCTATTATCCAATATCTTCTTATTTGATTTACTCTTCTTAATTAGGCTCCTTATCATCTGTTGGTATATGTTATTGTTCTGGAATGCTTTCTTATGGCTTTAGATTATCTTCTTCTTACACTTCCTGAGTGTGAATTACCTCTTCATTAGTATACTATTTTTGCTCTAATTGATAGATTTAAAATTAATCATCTTAATTGTCTTTACCTTCATTTTCCTTGCCCTATTCAATTTATTAATTTTATTCAGTTTTCTCTTCATCCTAAGGTATATTTTATTCTTAAGTTTTGATAATTTCTTCTTAAACATCAGGATTAGAATCGAAATCTAATGGATCCTTTTGGTTATTATTATTCTAATTAGACACTTCTTATTGTTAACCAGTTCCTGTTTCTGTTTCTGGTTCTGGTTCAATTTTTTGTTCTTATTAATCGTGTTAGATTTCTTCTTCATTTTTACCCTCATTGTCCTCATCACTATTTTCAAAACTTTCACATTTTCTGAATCCTGAAGGTTATGTATATGCATATTAAACTAGAGGTTCAGGCATTATTATATTTGGACTTGAAATTTCTTCAGATAATTAAAATGATTTTTATTTTGGATTTACTCCTAAGATCCACTCCTGTTCTTTTTTATTAACTTCATTTAAACCATCCATATATTGACTCCAATTAACATTCACTATTATTTAAATAAGATAGATTACCTTATTATAAACTCAATTGAAATTATTAAGATTAGGTTGCATTCTAATGTAAATAATTTGAAAGGCGTGTCAACACTCCTTAAAATCCAAATTTATTCTTTCGAGCTTCTTCGTTATTATTCTCAATAATAAATGTGATTAAATTGGTTTCTGAGAACATAGATTTTTGAAGTTATTCATTATTTGATGCAAAAACGGCCAATACTATTTTTTCGAATAATAGATGCAATTAATTATTTGAAGGATGCTATTTGACAAGATTGATTATTGATTAAAATATGCTATAGGAATAGTAGTTTTGTAATTCTGATTTACTTAATAAATTATTTATCAGTTAGATTAATGATAATTTACATTCCCCTAAAGGTGTAATGCAAGTACCAACTGTAGATTTAAATGAAATATTAAATTAATCTTATTAATTTAAAGCTTTTGAAAAGTCTTTGATAAGGAGTGAGAACAATGGAACGATATCTGGAATCTTAAGACTTTCTTTTTCTGTATTTTCAATTTAATCCTGATGTTCATTTTAGAATGCCAGTTTATTTAAAAATTCTAGCTATGCTATTATTACATTATAGGCGACTGCTTATTATGTTTATAAAGCAATCGACATAAAATATGAAGGAGTAATTTGTTATACAAATTGTAATAACATCTTTTTGTATTCTTATGTTTAAGTTTCATACTATTATACAGCTTTTCTAAACTATCCCTCAAATAATTCACATATGTTTTAAACTATCACTTATGAGTATTCTTTTGCTTTTAATATTTATGCCAATCTTTGTAATAAGGCCAATCTATCAATCATATATTCATTATGCTATTCATAATTGTCCTCCAAAGAAATCAATCTATCAATAATGTCTACAATATGTTTCAGATAACAATGTTTAAACAAGTTTGAAATCACCTGTGGATTGTGTTTCAAATGTTCCCAAAACTTAATATTAATCAAAATAATTTACACAAAGTCCCCTCTTTAGGATTATTGTATTTAAAGCCTTAGCCAAATAACCTGCTGTTGTAACATTCAAAGCGTCATCCTCAAGTAGTTGTAACAAATAATCTAACAAATTTGCCCTTATCTCCTCATTCTCTTTCAATTTTTCATTCTTTTTCGCCGTTGCTTCTAGTTATGTTTCTTAGTCTTCAATTTGATTATTATTATTCTTATCCGAAGTTCCTACTTGCTATGTTTCATCATCTTCAATTGGATTATTGATTCCATCAAATATATCATCCTCTGGCTTATCAAATAAAAAGTTTATGAGTTTTTCATTCTCTTATCCCAAAATCTCACTGGAATAGAAAGGGTATCTATTTTTATTTATATATTAAAAAACTTTGTTCTACAAGTCTTATCAAGAGAGTCATCATTAATTTCATTTACAATATACCCTATCATTTTTTTGTATTCCTGCGGATGTTAAATAAGGCTATATGAAACTATATTAATTACAAGTCGGCGAATTTTGCTGAGCTTGATCCTTTTAATTCCTACAATATATCATCTTCATTAAAAATAGTCTCAATAGTCAAGCCTTCATTTTTTAATAAATTATCTAGTTTTTACTAAAATCCGAAGAATCGATTAAAGCTTAAATCATCTATGATTATTACTTGAAAAACATGAAATCAATTAAATATTTTATTTTAATATTTTATTAATTATATATCCATTCATTTTTTTTATGTTGCTTTCTTTGATTTAGCTTTTTTGGCTTGCTTGTTTCTTCTGTTCTATCTTGGCAATTTTCTTTATCCAGCGCTTGGTTAAGTTGTGGCTTAAGCCTCAGCAACTGCAGCCTTGATTGTTCTAGTTTATCTTGGGCCAGCTGGTTTTTTTGCAATTTTTTTAGTAGCTATTCAAATTCAAATGAAATCTTACCTGCTTTGGGACCTTTCTTTTAACCTTTAGATTATCTTGCCATTTGTTTTTTATTATTATTATTGAAAAATTCACATTCTTTGATTAAGAATGAAATGTCGTAATTTTATATTAATTTGATTGGATAATTTATTTATAAATAGAATAAAAAGCTGTATGATATCCAAAATCTTAAATTATTTTGATATAAGATATGCATTTAGTTTAAATTTATATAAGCTCATTCTTACACATCTCTCATTTCAAAAGCTTAGTTTGTTCAACAATTTCTTATCTCTTAAAAAAATTTCTATTTCATAATAAAAATGACAACAATAGATAAGTAACCTTTCTTAATTTCCACTGTAAATAAATTACATTTAAGTGTTTCCAAGTGAATTTTATAATTTCAAATGTTAAATACACAAGTAAATATCGTTAAGATTTAACTTCAAAAATTCCACTATTGAGAGTGAAAGAAATGGAATAAATAGATTTATCCGTATATAGAAATATAATTCCCAAAAATTTCAAGAGTGAATTTTTTTAATTTTTATTATGATTCTTTTAATTATCAAATTATTAAGTTTTTTTGATCAAAATTCCAAAAAAACCTTTAAATACCTAATGTTTCATTATATTTCCTTAAAATCTTTTGTAATTTATGGATTAGAAAACGAAAGAGTCAAATTATTAAGAAAAATAAAGATTTTATATAAACTGTGTGGCTTACATTCATCAATTCATTAATTTAAAGTCATCCTATATTTGTATTCAACTTCTGAAGACTATTAAAGAAGAATAAAAACTTTTAATATAATTTTTGGAAGAAGGAGACATATTATGAATAGGAATAGATGAATATAAATAAATAGAAATGGAATTTTCAATTTTAATAGCAAATAAATAGTGAAAAGGAAATAGATTTAACAGTTATTGATGATAAATTGAAAAGGGTTGAAAGTGCGTAATTTAATATTTAATAATAAATATATTTCAAAATTTTGATTCGAGATTTTCATAAAATTACGAATTATTATAAATAAATAATTAGTCCTGGAGTTTATGCTTCATTAAATAATTATTATAAATAGATATTATAATAATTCTTGATGTATTTTATGTGAATAATTTTAATAAATAATATCTTTAATTAGATGATAAGAGCCTCAAATAAACTAATTAGATATCCATTTTCGGCAACATATGTTAGCGGGCTATTTGAACATTGGTAAAAGAGCCCTCAATCAGTTCCTGAAGGATGGAGACAATATTTTAGCGAATAAGTTTACTTTTGTGTTATAAATAGATAAATGGTGGAGCAGGAGTCTAAGGCACAACATCTTTGAATCCATTGGATCATGCTAAACAAAATATATTGCTATATCGCACTTATTACATGTTTAGAATGTTTTTCGTATGTGGACATTAGTTGGCTGATTTAGATCCATTAAGTAATCTATTATTGTGATTTTCGATTAGATCTACCTAACACAAAAGAATACGGAAGAGTGAAGGGCTCGAGACCAGAGATGACTTTGGATAGTTTTGGGTTTAAGAAGGAAGAATTGGATATCCCAATTTATTTTGGAAACAAGGATTAAAGATCATTTATCTATGTAAATGATAATTGCTATTCAATAGCCATTTATGGAAGCCAAGGAGGAGTGGACAATCAGAGAAATCTATGATAGATTATCTTAAATCTATACAAAAAAATACGGTGTTGAATACATTCACATGGTGTCAACCGAATAAAAACATTGGGTTGAACAGGAAATGGATAGAATAGCATAATGGAAACCAAGTAAGGAGACTTAAACAGCTACTTGGTAGAGATTAGCTAGAGTTGACCTATTTAATGAGTTTTTGAAAAACAGATTCACAACAAGCAAAAGATTTGGAATTGAAGGCACAGACACATTAATCGTAGGTTTAGAAGCACTTGTAGATTAATGTGCTCAAAATAAGGTTGAACATATCATTGTGGGAATGGCTCACAGAGGAAGATTAAGCACATTAGCTAATGTATTTAAGAAACCATTGGAAATAATATTTGCAGAATTTTAAAATAAATACAGTAAAGAAATAGAAGAATCATGGGGTAATATTGGAGATGTGAAATATCATTTGGGAGTCACAAGGGATTAATAATTCCCAGATGGACATCATATTAGAATGACAATGTTACCAAATCCATCTCATTTAGAAGCTGTCAATCCAGTTGTATAAGGTAAGACTAGAGCATTGTAAGACATTTGTGGAAATAAACAAAACTGTTTAGGTATCATCATTCATGGAGATGCTGCTATGGCTTGGTTAAGGAGTTGTCTATGAATCATTATAACTTGAAAATTTGACAGGATATTCAAATGAAGGTGTTATCCATGTTGTGGTTAATAATCAAATTGGATTTACTACAACTTCCAATTGATAGTAGATCTGGTTTATATTGTACAGATGTTGCTTAAGGCTATTGATGTACCTATTATTCATGTTAATGCTGATGATCCTGATCTTGTAGAAGAAATATTCAAAATTGCTGTTAGATTCAGATAGTAATTCAAAAAGGATATTGTAATTGATTTGATTGGATATAGAAGATATGGTCATAATGAATAGGATTAACCTGCATTCACTCAACCATAAATGTATGAAATCATTAATAAATAAAAACCTGTATTTCAATTATATGATCAATAATTAAGAAAAAATGGAGTCATTACAGATGATTTTGCAAGTACTGAAATTAAGAAGTTAAACAATAGTCTTGAGACTGCTTATAAAAACATCTAAAAGGAAACTTTTGATAAAGTACATTGGGTACCTAAACCATGGGAAAAGATTTAATAAGTGACCAAATGGGGAAAGGTAAAGGATACTGGTGTTGCTTTGAAGGATTTATTAGAGTTGAACGGGAAAGTTAATCATTTACCGGCTGAGTTGACTGTTCATCCATAAGTTAAGAGAATTTATGAATAAAGAAAGTAGTCAATTGAATAAGGAAAAGGAATTGACTTTGGTACAGCTGAAGCTTTGGCTTTTGGTACCTTGTTACATGAAGGATTCAGCATAAGATTGAGTGGTCAAGATTGTGAAAGAGGAACATTCTCATAAAGACATGCAGTCCTTAATGATCAAAAGAAAGACATCAAATATTATCCACTTAGAAATTAAATACCTGCTGGAGGAAGTAACAGATTTGAAGTTTATAATTCTCCATTGTCAGAATATGGAGTCTTAGGATTCGAATATGGATATTCTCAATCTAATCCTAATGTTCTGACAATTTGGGAAGGACAATTTGGAGATTTTGCTAATGGATGTTAAATCATGATTGACAATTTCATTACTTCAGGAGAATCTAAATGGAATGTACCCTCAGGACTTGTTATGATGTTACCTCATGGATTAGATGGCTAAGGACCTGAACATTCCAGTGGAAGAATGGAAAGATTTTTATAATTGATGGATGATGATCCTAACATTGTATTTCAGATGAAAGAGTAGAGAATTAAAAGATAAATTCTCGATTCTAATTTCTAAGTGTGTGTCTGTTCAAACCCTTCAAATTATTTCCACTCTCTTCGTAGATAACTAAGAAGGGACTTTAGAAAACCTTTAATTTTATTCAATTCTAAAAGATTACTTAAATTTTCTAAGGCAACTTCTGACATTTCTCTTTTCCTTGAAGGTACCAGATTCCATAGATTGATTCCTGATACTCATGAAGAAATTAAAGCTCCTAAAGAAATATAAAAGGTTGTCATTTGTTATGGTTAAGTTTATTATGACATTTTATAGAAAAGACAAGACACTAAAAGAAATGTAAATATTTATTAATAAACTTAGGATGTTGCCATCATTAGAGTAGAATAATTAGCACCTTTTTGCATATGACCATTTCAGAATAGTTGCTTAATAATACGAGAATGCAGAATTTGTGTTCTGTTAAGAAGAACATTAAAACTCAGGTGCTTGGCAATATCTAGAACCAAGAATTTAAAATGTATAATCAAAATTTATCTTAGGTTTTATCCTTGCTACATCAATAAAGCAAAATTAAACATCAATATTTAACATTTTGTGGTAGAAGACCATCAGCATCAACAGCAAGTGGATCACCAACTGTACACAAATAAGAATTAGATAAGCTTTTAAATATACTCTTTTAATGAGTGTATATTATTGAATAGATCAAAACTTATTGTATCTTTTCTTTCCTTTCTTCCCATCATCTGACCCATTTTCTTCATCTTCTGCTTATTTCATGAATTCTGATTGGATAGAATGTAATTCTTTCTCCACTCTCTGGATTTCTCCAATGTCAATTTAAGGTTGCTTACGATGAAAATCCTTTCTGATATCATAAGTAGGTGGTGTCAATCCACTGTCGCAAACTACCTTATCCCCACATTGTCTTGTATTGCTTGTCTTTCCAACCCAAATCATTTAGCTGATATCATTAGATTTATATAAGTTTATATAATCTTTAGATTTATAGCTCTCTGTTATCGTTGGCAAGTCAACTAATACACCTTTATCTTAATATTTCAAACTGTTTATTGATACTTCAAATTCCAATCCTTTTCCAATTTTTGGTTCAATTGTCATAGGTAATTGCTAGTTATTTGCAAAAGCATCTCTAATCTTCTCTGCTATTTCAGGGGGAAATCTTATAATCATTTGATTTTCTATTTCATATATTTTGGACATTACTAAATATTTATATATATATTGATATTATAAAAAAGAGGATGTATTTTTTATTTAATTATCACATACCTTAAATAATTATTATTTTACAATTAATTAAATAATCTAGTAAGTAAGTTTATGTCAAATTCTAATGAAAAAGAGAAGGAGAAAGAAAATTAAGAGCAATATTATAGATATCCTAAATCATTTTTAAAAGATATTTTTATTGCTTTGCATTCCTTTGACAACCCTGAGAGGGATGAACATGAGGAATTTATAGATATTGAAATGAAATACGATTTATTTAGTTATGCATATAAGGGAATTGCAGATATTGAACTAAAATTTATGAAGAGTTCAGAGGAATATTTGAAATTGAAAAGCATTGAAAAGTGTAAAGAAACCCCTAAATACACCTGGATGTAAAATATTTATAGAAATAAAATGATTAATAAAGAAGATGATATGCTAGCTTGTGAAAAATGGGTGATTGATATAAATGGATAGAGAGAAGTCTCCTATGAAGTAACAGTATTATGATTACAAAATAGTTGGAATTTTTTTAATCTCAAAAGGATAAATTTTATTCAATTATCTATCCACCAACGACAATGAAGTTCTTTTATTATATGTTCAAGAATTATTGAGTTGAACGAAATATTATTTCTGTATATATAATCATATATATAATATATTTTTCAAAATTATTTGTCTTTTTTTAGTTGATTAATTTATTCTGAAAATGATACTTCTTTACCTTTCTTTTTCTTTTTAATTTATTCATCAGCAGATTATTTCTTTTATTATTAATACTATTATATATATTAGGTATCATCTTATTCTGTGTTTTAAAGATTTGATTCTTTCATTTATTGATATTATTGGAATTATTATTGTTATTGTTATTATTACTGTTAGTATTATTAATGATATGATTATTATGTTGGTTTATATTTAGATAATGACACAAACTATTGCTTTTCTTCTTCCTCTTTTTTTGTGCTTTTTTTTTGCCTTGGATTTCCATTATTGTTGTTTAAGTGATTCAGGATGTCTACATTATCTCCTACAATTCTATTGGCTGATACTCCATACTATGATTGTGTATGCAATTCATAAGGAGTTAACAAAATAGGGACTTAAAAATAATATTGCTTAGCTTAAGTTGAATACTGACTGCCTTCATTAGTGATAATGGATAAATTGGATATATTGGAATTAGGATGATTTTGAAAGATACTTCATATAACATAAGATTACTTGTTTATATTGGCTCCACTCAATGCAAGATATGGGGATAAATCAACTCTATTAAAGTTAAGGTGAAAATTTACAATAATCTCCCTAGTCGATCAGCTAGAGGGGCTAATTAGGCAGCCAACAAAGAAGTCTCATAATAAACATAATTTTCCTTAAATTCTTTGGAAATGTTGGGAGCATCCCTTTGATTATCAACTGACATGTCTTGACTACTGTTCTCCTCTTCCTCTGCAATATTTTCAGCCATCATTGTATTATGATTATGGCCAACAAAATACGTAGTTAATTTGGAGATATCAGATCTAATTAGTTAAACAATATACTTCATAGATTTAATCGAGGATGTTTCATAATCAATAGAAATCTTATCTGATTTCATGGACTTCATAGATTTAAGAGATGTAACATCATCCTACCTCTCCACTTTTTCTTCCTGGATTCTTCTTTGTTCCTCAATCATTCCAGTTATAAGATTAGACATATCAGCCTTTTTGTTTTATGGGATCGACTTGTCTTCCACACTATCAGCCAATCTCGACATCATGTTGCCAGCTCTAGATAACAACATAGCCGTTTGACCGAGCAGTTCACTAAACGTCCATAACTGTTGTTATTCGTGATTATTTAAGATGGGAGACATGTGATATGTCTTTTGTATAGTGTGAGATCTGAATAACGCCAATCTATTCGATGGAACTCCTATCCATTCCTCTCCATTCTGATGAATAATTAAAACCTGATTCTATTATTTTTATCCCACATGACCTTCAATCCATTCTCCGTTAACATCCTTGAAATCGATCCATTAACCGAGTTCAAAGTCTTTCTAGGCAAATATTTATCCTTGTTCAATGGCTTCGGCTACTGTGTTGAATGATTATAAAAGATTATGCAATGTCATAACATTCTACTGCAAAGAATTCCTAGTTGGTAGTTATTGAAATCCATGTAATCTTTACTAGAGAACCTTTTTCCTAGAGTTTCTTCTGTTCTCCTGTATATCGACTATATATGTGCTATATAAATACAACTATTCCGATTGTCATGCTCATCAATTGAACTGGTAGATAAACCTCTATTTAAAGGGGATGATTCAAATTCAGGCATATTGGCAACCAAATGAACAACGCATTAATCTTCAATGTTCAAAGAAATCAAAGTATCCTCATTACTGAGTTATCTTCCCTTAAACAATAATCTCTGTCTCGAAGATGGAATGCTTGAGACCTTGATTAAACATGACAAGTTACTATTTCAATTAAATTTTTCAGTTCATTCACTGTTTGGCTTTATTTAATTCGAACATCTAAAGTATGATTATCCAAAGTCTTGATCTTCACACAGATTTCTTCATTAAATTATTCATCTTTTAAATTCATTTATTATATTTTAATTTATATGCTTTATCAAAATCTAATGTTTATTTTTCTCTCTTCTTCTTAACCTTCTTAACTTTGCCCTTATCATACTCTTTATCATAGGCATCCTTCACTTTTACATACTCATCTACTTCTTCCTTACCTATTTGGAAGATCCTTTCTCTTTTAATGATTTTTATTTTTTTTCCAAGAATCAGTTTTTTCACTTTATTTTTTCTGCACTTCAATTTCTTGAATCTAAAACTAAAGATTAATCCAATACAATTTTAGGTATTTCTTAGGGTTAATTTTGATAAAACTTTGCTTATGAATTTTTTTCTTCACAATTTCCTTTCTATCAAACTTATTCTATATATCTCTGTTTATTTATTTTCTCTCTTCCTCTGTTAGATTCCTCTTCTTTTGCGGTAATTAATTCTTTAACTACAAATGCTACTGTTCCTTTCCTCCTATCGTATATGAATAAATGAATTCAACTGGTTAATAAATTTAATTATTAATCATACAATAAATAATTATCAATCAAATTATAAGGATGTAAATTTTGTTTTCAACATGCACATGCATTATAATATTTGATTCCTATCACATTTCTACATCTTGGACATATCTGTCTTCTGTTTTTACATGCATTTGAACTATAAGGAATCAGACAACCAAAAATATTGAGAATAAAAAATAAAAGAAAGGCACAAAGAAATGTTTAACCTGAAGCCTCAAATTCACAAGTGGAAACCGAATCCATTCTACAATGATTACAATAAAAAAGAGTTGGCCCTTCATAATCTTAAATTGTTTAATTCATCTAATACCATCAAGCTCTGTGGGGAGGTTCATTTGATTCTCAATTCCCTGTGAACTTAATTGTTATCCATGGCTCATAACATTAGTCTTGATTGGGTCAGTTTCATAACTAATATTTAATTAATAAGGATCATCTTTCTTATTCATTATAATTTTATTTCAATGAAGAAAATGCGTAAAAGAGAATAATAATTTAAGACTCAATATCCTATCTAAATTAATACTAAAAACATAACTCTAATCCTTCACTAAGATTCTAAATTGATGCTTTCTTTGATTCTATCTCTAAAGGAAAACACCTTAAACTAGACTCCATCCCCTTTATAAAACTTATTCTAGAACTCCACCCTATACTGTAATTTCTCGTATATACCAATGTAATCTTAAGGAATGCAAAAAACACTCCATACTATCCATACACATTAAAACACCAAAGGTTATCAAGGCCCAGAATGGAAATCCGATCATTAAACTAATTGGCTATCCATGATTTATTGGTTAAACTAACAACAATTCAAAGAAAACTTCTGAAAGTTATGAATGAGCCAAGCTCAATGCCCATAACCTTAGATAGCTTGCAGTATTTGATATTACTCCAAGGACATACTCCAATGTCTCAATAGTTTCATGAACTATCAGGTCTTAGATTCCTTAATGTGAAGTGTTCTTTTATTTAATAAAGAATGTTGATTCTTGCGTTTCTCCATTTGGCTAACCGTATTTTGTGTCTATCTATTCATGACTATAAGAATGAGTTTATGTCATTTCAATCCCTGGTTCTTCTACCAATTATCCATAATCTATTCTGTGAGTCTTACGTTTACCTTCATTTTATTGAAAACTTCCCTATTATAGCAGGTGACTAATAATTGATGGAAACCACATCCAAGGTATTGAGATGATTGTCATTACTAAATGCTATACAAAAATATACATAAGAGACAATATTATATGTAGTCCTGAGAGTCTCCTTCCCACATTTAAGGACCTGATATTCTCCCTAAGTTCAAAATCATCGATATCATTGTTGTTATTATGCTTGGGGCATTTTACGGTTCAAAATGATTCAACCATTTGTATATTATCAAAAATACCATATACCCTATAGTACATATCAAAAATAGCAATTATGGTAGGAATTTACATGACAATTTTAGCCAATCCCCCAAAAATAGATAATTTAGACCACTCAATGAAATACCTAACAACATATGGCAAAATGCTATTATGATGCTTAGCTTCATTTTAAATGAGTCGTTGAATTCTAAATGGCCTCCCCACATTGGATCAATACCAAATGGATATACGCATTCCTCCTCTGATCTGAAACAAGTTTAGAATAGATTCAAAGATAAACTTAAATAATCATTATATATCAGTCCTGAATAAAAGCTAAATACACCCATCAATAGGATCAGATATCTTAAATTGTAGAATGATTTATTCTTAAACAAACACAGATAAGATCCAAACATGAATAAGGTAAATCCATGACCTATATCTCCGAACATTACTCCAAATAAAAATGGAAATGTAATTATTGTTATTATTGCAGGGTTGATCTCTTGATATCTTGGAATCCCATATGTATTGACTATCTCTTAAAAGATGGAAGTAAACTCATTTAATTTGAAATAAGTAGGTTTCTAAAGGAAATCAGGCGGATACTTTTATGCTAATTAACCTCCAGGATTATTAGTTTGTTGTTCTTTTATCATTTATAAAGTTTGCTCTAATTGAAAAATATCCTTTGTTGGCACCCATAATTCTCCGAGAAATAGTCTTCCTTGCATTTTAAGTTTATTCAGTTCTTTATAGAGATCCTTTTCTTTAATTAAGTAGAACTTATAAAATTCTATAAGTGGTAATCCATTTCTGAGAACCAACATATTTGATATGCATTAGCACAGCTAATTCTGAGTCATTTATATAAGCTATATTCTGTATTGTTTATTACATTAATATATTCAGCTTGTTTCATTTGCAATTCATTTAACTTTTTTTCAAATTCCTAGTGACTCTAAGGTAAAGTAAACTTTCCTTGAGATACTTATTCTACAATCTTTTATATTTTTTATTTTCCATAGTTTCCTATGTTTGGGAATAAAACAATGAATATTGATTATTTCTCATTCATTCTTTTTAAATGCACCATAGAATTTCCTTTTGTTACTCTAAATATTACACGATGGAATCTATTCTAGTATACATAAATACTATAATTATTCCAAATTTTTGAGTATGCCAACGTAGCATTCAAATTTTGAGATTTGTTGATTTTGAAATACTTGTTCCCCCAAATAGGTTTTACTTTCTTTTAGAATTTCTATGTAATTTTGAATATATTCAGATTAATCAATAAGTTATTCAAGATGCTTATTTTATTCTTGAAAAGATGATGTCTTTTTGTTGATGTCATCTTCGATCTTGTCAAGGTAGGTATGACTGTGTGAATTTTGCTATAAACAATAATTATATAATATGGAATACTTGATTGGTAAACTATTTCAAATTTCCTTTCTTGTAATTAGACAGCAAATTCAAATTTTTCGCTACTTATAGCATATTCTCTATTTTCACTATTAAATCATCGCACCTTTGGGTTTTATTAAAAACAATATACCTTTTGACATAATTGGCAAATGGTCTATTGATTAGAGCTTCATTAGGATTATGGTCAATGATTTCCACCTTACTTAGATATCCCAATTAATCCATAATAGTCCATGCACTGTCTTGGGGCATGATTAACTAAAAATAACTCATTTCTTGTGATCTAAACATTTATTTTATAATATTATAAATTTTATGTTATGGAAAATTAAACTATTTCCAATTATTTGAAATTCAAAATATTTCTAATTTAAAACTCAATAAAATTCAAATACTTGTGATTCAGATTAAATTAATAAGTTTTGGGAAATTTTTGGTGTGTATTTTATAATTAAATTTACACAAAAATTTTCCGCTATTAGCTATTAAAAATAAATAATGAAAAAGAATAATCGAAGAAAGTAAACCTTAGAATAGCAACAAGATTAATAGAGAAAGAAAACAAAACTAGAAATTCTAGATGCTGATCAGCATATTTCAAAATATAATAACAATTTGGAAAATTTAATAGATATTTTTACAAGGTACGAGAGAGAAGATGACTTTACATAAAATCTAATGACAACCTCTAAATTGTCAAAAATACAAAAAATCCATGATTTAAGTCTGGATAACTTCAAAACTGAATCATTTTCATTTGGTCCAATAATTGAAAATGGTGATTTTTTGTAAGGTGACAAAGTATAAAAAATTGTCTCAGTCAAGAAGTCTTCCCTAAATGGTAAGTTAATTGCTACCATATAATGGAGACCAAGGTACATATCATTGTTTATTCAGGTCTAATGGTACAATCCCAAAATCAAAGGAATATTATACAACTGAAGTTGCTAAGTACGCTCCTCAAGAACTAATAAAGTATTATAAGAGTAGAATGGTGACCACAACCATCATAGAATAATAACAAGATTGTTGATTAATAATTCAGTATTTTTCCTTTAAAACCAACATTATTTTAATGTTTTAGATATTTAGTTTTGTCTGAAGTTTTGATTTATATATTCTAAGGGAAATTAGAATTTAATTATAAAATTTGAAATGTGATCTATTTAAAATACCTCTTATTATTCCTTTTCTATCTTTTTTAACACTTTTAGAAAAGAGAGCTTATGAACATTCTATATAATTCATTTATTTAGTAATTTTGATAACTATTTTTAGGGTTTTATTATTAACTAATATATTTAATGAGGTTGATTGTAATTTACAACAATAAAGCAGGAGTGAGGTTAATTTTTGATTATTTTTAAAAAATAATTCAAATCATCTTGCTATGGCAACTGAATTAAATCAACCGAAGATACTCGAAGAATCAAGAACTATGCTCATACTTCTTATGAGACTTCCATAATAAAAACTTCAATCAGTTCTTTTCGAAAGTTCAGAAAAAGCTCTTGATCAACTCGATTATGCCTTTCACACTATTCCACAGGACTTCCTTGATTCATCAAAGACTCAAATTGATGAATTCAGATGTAGAGTAAATAGGATGATCATGCATCATCAAAAATTAACAAACTAAGCTAGAATGAATAAATTAAGACAGGCTCTGGGGTGTCTAAAGAAAATAAAGAAAAACAATAAATGAATTGTTACTTATCTATATTCTTTTTGTTCCAAATATATTTTTTATTCCTTTCGAATAATTCAGAATCTAGATCACAAAATGTAGATAAGCATCACACCATCTCGCTCTAAATGATTTTATGTTCCATATGTTATTCGATTTATCTAACTTAAGTATGTTCACTGATAAATGACCTCTATTTAAAGAATACAACTTATTAACGATTAATTTTACAATAACCAACTTTATGACCATTAGTGAAGAAATGAAAAACAATCATACTGGGAGAACTTTAAAATTATAAGCTGTTCAATAATATAAATTTAATTAATGCTTAATTTATCAAGCAAAGAAGCGTGAATATTATAAAATTCCAGTTGTCAAATATTTTACATGGTAATTATTAAAAGAGGAAAACTATAAAAACGAATAAAAATATTATCACTTAGATGCTAATATTGAGTGTTGTAAGCATAGCATCTTCTGATATGGACCCAAAATTATGTCCTGAAACTAATCTTTTATGTTTTTATGATAATTTTTTTGAAAATCAATTTCTCAATTTTCTGTGAAAAGCAAAGAGTAATAGAAATAGACAACGAATGCGTAGAAATAATTATATATAAAATCAATGTTAATTACAAAGTGCATCTTTTGAGATTTCTTCAATTTTCCTTTTCTTTACAGGAGAGTCAGTGATTTCCTTAGTGTCATCACTGTTAGGAGTAGGCTTTTCTTATTTTTTTTAAATTGACAAGAATTCCTATGATAATTAGAAACCGATGGTCGCTTTCAATTAATCAATAAAATCTTGGGATTGTTAAAGGGGGTTCTCTCCTTTCCCCTACTTTAAGCTCTAATACAATGCAAAATATTATTATCCCAAATTTAGTTTAACTATCGTTAACTTTTCATTGTCGCTTATTAGATTTAAGGCTTGAATGATCTAAGACATTATTTGATCAATTACATCCGATATAGATCTTTGGTTATAAACAAGATCATTCAATTTGATAGTTAGACCCTTTAAAATATGCTCGTTTAGATTGCCCAATTCAATTTCTTAAGCTTTCTCTTACGCTTCAATCAAGTTATTAGCTAAATCTATTGATTCTTTTAACTTTTTAGTTTCTTATTGTATTGGTTTAGGATTCCATTTTTTCAATTTATCGAACCTCAATTAGGCGCTATAATGCTAACTAAATTTAATACTGCGAAGTGTCTCCAATAAAATTAACTCTGTACTCACTGTGTTATCCATTCTTGCCATTCACATTCATAATAGAAGCAATCTAAAAGATGATTTTTGTATAATTACTTTAGCAGGCCACCATGGATCTAATTAATTATATTATACTTACAGCCTAAGACTTTCGCCCAAATTATCTCATTAACTCTAAAACTCTACTCAGCATCCTCGGACATCCTGTCAATTCTTCTTTATAAAACAAATAAATATTAAATAAGATATTATGCATATATTAGAATATTTAATGTTCTCAAAAAAAATAATCACAACCCTAATTTCTAAAATAGCAGTTAATTTTATAAAAAATAATTAATTAAATAAGTAAGTATCCCCAAAATCCTAACAATTATCCCTTTCGGTTCATCTTTATTGGTGTCATTACAATAATCTATTATTTTATAATACTCTTTGTAAATGTTGATTAATAGTATAATTAAATGATTTTAGATTAAAAATGAACCTAATCCTGGTATTTGTTAGAGTTTGAATCAACATTAACTAGAAATCAATTGAACCACTCATTAATATTCTCAATGCAATAAAGTCTAAAAATCATTTAATTCCTCTATTATCACCTATTTATTTGCAAAATCCTTGATTATCAAATTAGGAGTAGATGGTAATCTGAAAGTATTTACAAATAACATAATGAATCTTAATGCTAATACCACCTTGAGATGATTAAATCAGTAATCTAGAGTAAATAGGATTACAAATTTAAACTGGAAGAAAAGTTAAGATTGAATAAGGAAGATAAAACCATTTGAAATGCTATCAGTTACAACATTATGCAAAATTTGAATAAAATTTAATGTTATGTTTGAATTTACTGCTATATAGTTTTTGGCAGATTTGCTGAAAGTAAATTAAATGAAGTAGCTCTATGTTTATATTAAAGATATATAGAATTATGTTTGCGGTTAAGTAAATCTTCACATTAATTTTTGTTTTAAATATGGGTTCTTTTTATTCTTTTAACTCCATTTTATTACACAAAATTATCAAATCTGATAAAAATTGAACATAATATTATATTTCATTTTTCTTGTAAAGCAGCCTTTTATTATTAAACTTTTGCATGTGTTTCCTCCATTTTCTCATATGCTTCCTCAAGTATGGTCAATAAAGCCTCATGTCCATCCATTCTCAATTATCTCTCCTCTTCTAATTCACTCTTGATTCTTACTACTACTTCTTTCAACATCGAAAACATACTCACTTCTGCATCCTCTCTATAAATTAATCGACTTTTAGTACCTTTGTTACTTTCCTTAATTTGCCTATTCAAACAGTTTAGAAATCTCATTGCTAGCTCTTTTGACAATATCTTAATCCTCTTGTACTCTTTCTTAATTTTCTTATACATTATATTACCACAAAGTAGGTAAATCATTTTAAAGAGTAGTATTTATTATATTTACTTGTTGATTTTTAACCTTTATTTCTTATCCTATCTGTTATAGTAAATCTTGGACCTTAAAGGTGTAATTATAAGACACTTACTTATTAATCGTAGTTTGATAGGACTTAATCGCTTTATTCTCTGTTTGCCTTTATGTCATCTTCCAACTTCTTCTGAAGCTTATTTTCCAAATTTTTAATTTCCTTAAGTTTTTTCTCATGTTAAGAACTATATTATTCATTTTGCTTTTCGAATTATTTATTGAGATCTTAATATTAACCTGCCAATTATCCCTATATTTAGAACTTAATATTACAAGTTATTCACTGTAATTATTGATAATATCCTTCAACTCACTTTGTGCTTTATTGACTCTATCATAAATTTCATCTATTTTTGCATCTTTTGTAGTGTCTACTTCAAATTGCAGAGTGCTCAATTTCTCTTATAATTTTGTGTATCTTCTCATTAATTTAAGCATTGGGATCCATTTAATAAATAAATAAATATAAATTTTATTTTAGTTCTAATAATTTTGTCAAATAAGTTAATTAAAATAACTAGAAACAATATGTTTATACATATTTTTGAATTCTATTGAATTTCATTATATAATCGAAATTTATAACTTAAAAATAATCATTTGCATCCTTATTTACAATATTTATGATTTATAGCAAATAGAATTGCTTTTATTGATTTCACACAGGATTTTTTTACGGTTTAATACATACAAGAGTTTAAAATTCTATTTAAATAGCATAGAGTTCTTAAATTTGTTAAAAATATGATTATTCTATAGTTAATTTATAAAATGCATAATAAAGTTTAAATTTCAAAACGACTTGTGTAATTAATTTATTTAAGATTCAAGTAAATTTTTTAGTTGCTCAACTGCTAATTGAACTTGCTCATCATCTGATTGACAATCATTATCGAGTGACTAAATTTGAAACATTATTTACATGTGTTATAGTTTAACTAAAAGAATTAGGGATGTTTAATGCTTTATCATCATAACATCTGAATTCCCTAATGCATCCTTTTGAATCTTGCAGTTTTAGGTTGGAGTAGATTTGTGATCTCTATGTTTTGAAATATTTAGTAATAGTTCTTTAAGGTAGTTCGATTTTTTTATTGTAGGATAAAGTGGATTTATTCTTTTAAATTGATTTAACAATTGCATGTTTTTGGCTTATTGAACTGTTTTCTTTATTTATAATTTTCTTAGTTATATTTTGGGTTAAAGTTTCCTGAATTTAATTATTATTTTTACCCATCTTTATTTAGTTGTAACGAATTTTCTATTATTCTCATATATGTTAGACATAAATGATGGAAATTGATTTAAACTCTAATAATAAAAATAATGTCCTTTCAAATTTAAATTTCCTATAATATAGCCTGTTTAAATAATAAAAAAAAAGGCGGAATAAAAATATTGAAACACATAAACTAATTTGAAATCAAAATGTATATTTGAATGTAAAATTGGCTATTCATATAGGTGGTAGGTTGATGTCTCTAATATCTTTTTCATCAATCTCCCCAGCTTATAATTATTTCTTTTATTATAAAATAGTGTTTACAATTATTTTTTGGCGTTCACTCTTGTTTCCACCATTGTGTTTAAACTTAATGTGCAAATTTAACGAAACATCAGATCCATACTGTTTCAAACAATTTTTATATGGACACTACAAAATAGATCAAATCTAACTAACTTCAAAATTTTTTTCTATTTCTGCAGCAGTTCTCCTCTTTTTTTTTTTTCTACTATTAGTTTCTAAATTCGAAAATTTTTATTCAATAAATTGGATCCTCTCCTTCAATTCATCGATTTGAGCTTAGAAATCTTATAATTGAATGCTATTCTTTTAATACATGCGAGTTATTTGCTAACATGATTGTTCATTATAATTATTAGCACTTTCTAAGAATTAAATTTTATTATACACTCTAGTTCTATTGGAATCTCAATCTTCTTAATTTATTTCTATTAATCTGAATTGGTTTGTTATTAGTTCTGAGTATTGCATCTATTATCATTTTCATGTATCACATTTGATCTAGGATATCTAAATAGAAATCGATACTTTTGGTTGATTATGATGACCTTTTTTGTTACATTTGGAACTGGATATTGTTATTTCATATTAAAATTTTATTGCACTTCAAAAATATTTCTAATAAATTTAATACCTATTTATTTAGAATAATATAATTTTGTTTATTAAAATAATAAATCAATATTCTCTTTGTTGTATATATATTTTCTAAAGTATCCATTTTAGATGATATACTATCTTGTATAAGTTGAAATTTCACTCTTTATACTTTTGGTAACTTTACACATTTCAATCCACTTCCAAAAGGGATTTAATTGAGATATCAAAATTTAATGAAGGCTTTGATATATATTGAATGTTTAAATAAATAATTTTATGAGTATAAAATTGTGTTTATTTATTTATAATTGATATTTAGATATGATCTTTAAAATAATCATTTTTATTCAAATTGGATCTATTCAAAGCTATTCTACAAGAGAAGGTTATACTTTTTGAGAATTAACCAATACTTCATAAGGCTTAGCTTTTTATTGTTAATATTGCCTTCCCTAACTTTTTAAAGATTAATATAAAAGGAGTATATTTTAGGTTTAGCTATATTGACTAGATGATCTTTGTTTGCTTGATTCAGAATTCTCAAAACTTGCTTTGTCCTTGCATTTCTTTGGCTTTTATTTTTTCTGATTTTTATTCTTTTTTTTTTAAGTGTCACATTGACTTATGTTACAAAATGTAACATGGGTTTAAGCACCCATTTCTCTCATTTAGGGTCTATTGCAGTATTGACAATCTAGGTCCTGATAATTAGCCCTCAAGTCATGCTTAATACTAGTATTTATGGGTTTTGGTCTAAACTCTTTTGATATAGGGATATGCCATTGTGTTTCTTGATTTTAATAAGTATCAGAGCCTTATTGTTAACATTGACAAGAAGCACCCATAAAATTTAGTTAATAATTTATAAAATGTTTGATCAAAGTTCTAAATATTCGATGTAATTTCATGTTTAAATCATGGTAATTAAGTAATATTTTGAGATTAAGGTAACAGTACTTTTATTTTCGAGAAATTGATTAATAAAATAACTTTAACTGATAAATTCAGTTTTTCATTTATTTTCATTTACTAACATCTTTTATAGGTAAAAATAAAAAAAAAAATTAAAAACATTTTTAGAATTCTCAGATTCTCATTGTTTAATAATTAGTACTGATCATCAAATGTGTTTCTTACACCTTGTTTTCGGGATTGAGCAAGAACGAGAAGAATTATGATGTATTTTTGGGAGATTAAATCTCACCTATTTTTCTGAATGTAATCTTTAGCCCACTCGATATTAATGTTATTAATTTTTTAAATTATAGTTGAGTCTGACAGATGATTGTATCAATTAGCACGATGCATGGGGTTTAATTATGCCTTTAATCTTTTTTTTATTGGTTTTTTAGCTTTCTTGTTTCTATTGGATTTCAGAAGGAATAATTTTCTCAGTGCAATAATTCTGTTTAGAGTATTTTTGTAATTCATATTGGAGAAGGGAAAGAGAAGTAGCTTCTTCAATCTTAGTCACTTATTTATTTTTTTAAAAAGTGTTTCTGAAACCTCTATGAACTTTAATTGGATATATTTCTTTGGCAATTCTCAAATCATCCATTTCTATTGTTTCAGATTGTTGATAAGCAGTGATGATTTCATTTTGTTTTTAACAAGAGGAACCCATATTATTTAAGTAAGTCAAATCAATGGATTTTAAATTTTATAATATCTTGAGATTATTTAATATTTGTTTATATACTAAATTTGTATTTCTTCTGTTATTCCACATTGATTAAAGTTTGCATAAGAGATCCTATTTAAATTCAAGAATAAAGGTGTAAATTAGATTATTTTCAGATAAGGTTATCTGAGATAATTAATTTAATATTCTAATTTTTCTCATATCATTAAATATTAGAATTTTAGGAATTATAGTAATAATTATAAAATGTTCCGATTATTTCGAATAATTCTATATTTCAGATTGATTGGGAATTGTATAGCTTTAGATCCTGAAATAATCGAGTTAGAAGATCATCTTTTCTATGGAATGATAAGTTTGTATAAAATCAAAGTAAACATTAGATTTTTGATATTGTTTTCTGGTTTTTGCAGCGGAGCCACTTAAGGTCTTTTGTCAATAGACCAAATAACAATAGAGGTGAAGCTGAGGTATGGGAATGAATAAGAGAAGAAAATGGGTATCATTTAGATAATAGTAGGCATCTCGTATTTTATCTGTAATTTAAGAGCATCATTTGTTATTATCAACGTTATTGGTTGCAAACTCATTGGCAAATGAATCACTGCCGATTTTTATAAAAAAGAGTACAGGTGATTGGATAGCTTTGTTGATATCTGTAATATTGGTAGTGTTATTTGGAGAAATATTTCCATCGGCAATAATGACAGGAAAGCATTAATTAAGCATAGCATCATTCATTACACCTTATATTTAGTTTCTAATTTCAATTCTGTATCTGATATGTTATCCCTTAAGTTTGATTCTAGATAAGGTTTTGGGTACAAAATGCAAACGATATCATTTGGAATACATAAGGTAATTGATGGAGATCTGCAAACAATAGGATGTGATAAAACCAGAAGAATTAAAAATTATAGTGTCGGTGATGGAATTGAGAAATAAATATGTGATCAATTATATTAAACCACTTCATAATGTCTGTTATATTTAGCAAGATGAGCCTTTTTGTAAAAGATTGATACGGAGACTAAAAGTGAAGGAATACTCGATGATACCTATAATTGAGAATAATTGTGTGATTGGTTTGTTCAAATCTAAAGACCTGATAACTTTGGATGAATCAAATTACGGATAACTTGTGGTGGAACTAGTTAAGGTTTATTAACCTTTGATAATATCAGGGGACACAACGATGTTGGATTTATTGTTGATGTTTCAGAAATACAAGACGAACATTGCATTTGCGATTAGTTAAGAACTCTAAGGGATGATAACTCTCAGAGATTTATTTAATGAGATTCTAGACGATGTCTATTTAGATGAAGACGTACATGGCACAGTTAGAATAGAGTCAGCATCATAATAATAGTCAATACAAACTATTTATTGATAAATCAAAATATTTAACATGCTTACTATCCTGGTTTTTATTGATATAATTATTAAGTTCTAAATTATAATTATAACATTCTTACCCATCTTCTTTAGTGGCATTCGGCTAAAACTACTATTAATCACTATATCTATAATCATAAGGAGTAAAGTTGTAGGTTGATGGTCTAAACTCTCCTGGCTTGTAATCATTTCCAGTATCGTACATCTTATTATAATCCTCGTTCAGATTGTAATTTGGGGAGGGACTCTATTGTACATAAGGACTTGTATAAGTGTTCGATATTGGAACATATGGTTGCATGGGCACAGTGTCATTAGCATCATTATATTTATCCCATTAACTGAAATCATATTTCTTTTTTGGATCATTAGAAAGTTAGGGAGCATAATAGGATTAATTCGGATTGTAATTAGTATTATCAAATTCTTGCACTTAGACTGGTTGTTATTAGATAACTTCGATCTTTTAGAATTAAGGTTCTAAGTTAATATATTATTAACTCTAAGGTTAGGTTTGGAGAGTTGGGATATACTGTGAAGATTAGGCAGGTTGTTATGAATACTAAGCATAATTGATTGGATTATAACTAGGAATGTTTTGGAAATTGTAAAGATTTGGGTTGTTATTTGTTAGCCGACTTGATTGAGAAGGATGATTAAAATTACTAGATTATTATGGTCGACTATGTTTGCTAACATATTTAGGTTGATAATCTGGTTTATCATCTATTATTGTATCATCCATATTGGCTTGAATTTCTTAACTAACTTTATTTGAAATAACTGGAGGTTATTTTGGTTCTATCTTTTAAGACCCTTACATTGAATCAGCATTATAAAAGGGATTTGTGAATGAGGGTTTATTAGGCTTTTAATTATTTTCAGGTTGTTGACCAAGTTATTAAAATTGAGAATTATTAAATGAGTTACCTCCAAATTATTGTTCTTCTTTATTATCTTATTAGATGGTATCATTCATAGTCTTTGGAATTAATAAACTAGTATCATTAATGAAACTATCATATCTTCTCTCATAAGGGACATAAGTGTCATTCAATTACTGAGGTACTTACTTTTATGGCTCTTATTATGGTATGATTGGTTTATTTACAGGTTATGGTTCAGAAGGCTATCGTTAACGAGGTTGAGAATTCAAATTTTCTAAGTCTCTGGAACATTTGACACAAATGCATTTTTTCTTCTTTTCAGGGACATTCTAAACAACCTCTTCTTGAAAAGATTCCGGCTATTTCTAAACAGGAATGGGAGGTGGAATTTCTTCATGTAATATAGGTGCTTCGTTCATGTATTAGAGATTATTGTTGTCAGAGAAGTAGACCTAAGGTTGTTCTTCATACTCATAAAATGGTTATTATTGCTGAGGTGGTTGATCATACATGTAATCATTGGGATCTGGTGGCCAAAATGATTATAGAATCTTCTCGCCTCCCAAAGATTGTTCCAGTTGTTCAGGATGGAATTAATTGGATAATATAGGTAACTCTTTGTCCTTCAAGAATTTAATCTTGCCAAGAGTGATAGGACTTATGTATTCTACTTTATATTAAATACATTACCTTCAATTTAAGACCAGAGTAGATTGATGGATAGAGTAGCATTCAGAATATATATGGCATCGCAAGTATTTGGGAAACAAGTCTGCAATATCTTGATGATGGCAAATATTTTATCCAAAGGCATTTTGTAAGCACTTTGATCTTTAGTTTGAATAACAGCTATCCAGGACTCTACTTTGCCACTATAAAACATGTAATCCTCGATTATGGCACACAAAATAATTGCTGCTCTCTCGAATAATGCCAAATCATCCACCAACTTTGTAGAAACTACGATACAAGGAATATGCTATCTGGTTCTACCCTCTATATAAAGTGCGCCTTTAAACTATTCATTCACATTATTTATTTACGTAGAGTTATTCCACTTCTCTATCAAGTTACATAAAACCAGGCTAAAATACTATCTCACTTGTTTTAACTAATTGCTAGAATGATCAATCATGATTACATCCACTGAGGCTTCAATATTGAATTTATTGGCATAGAGATATCTAAGTAGAAGATCATCTGTATGGATATTCGCATCATATTTCTAATTCTTTTGTAATGCTTAGGCTAATGAACTTATTTGCATTCGTTCGAATTAATCGTAATCTTCCACCTTGAAAATCTTCCTGATTGCATTTTAACCAACTCCAATCTTTATACTCCCAGCTATAAGTCAATAATAATCTTGTTTTACGATCTAATGTAATATTGTCTGCTATAAAGCCTGGCAATCTGAGATAATCAAATCGTTATTGAAACATAATTTAATATAAAAAAATTTCGTTATTATCTAATTTTTAGTATTTGTCAGATCTTGACAATAAAGCCTTTAGGAATTCAGAAAAAATTTATAAATTAAATTTAGATGCTCATTTTTTATCTTATAGGAATAGCTATCCTATTATGGTTGCTTCATGTCTACATGACTGGAGGAGTATGCAAAATAAAAAAGGACCTCACAGGAAAGGTTGTCTTCATAACTGGGGCTAATACTGGCATTGGAAAGGAAGCTGCACTTTAACTAGGGAATATGAATGCCACCATTATAATTGCTTGTAGAGACACAATAAAAGGATAATAAGTCTTGGATCAATTAGTATTTTAATTAAGTTAAAGGATAGAATAAAATAACTAAAGCCTACTTGATATAATTGGACTTATCGTGTTTCAATTCCATAAAATAATGTGTTGAAGACTTCAAGAAACTGAAGATCCCATAAATAGATATTCTCATCAATAACGCAGGTGTTATGGCGCCTCAGACTTATAAAACTACTAAATAGTCATATGAACTTTAATTTGGTACTAACCACTTAGGACATTTTCTATTGACTGAGTTATTGGTACTAATATATTACTGATTCCTCTTAGATCCCCTATTTGAAAGCTGCAGAATAGAGCAGAGTAGTGAATGTCTCATCTTTGGCTCATAAACAGTCTAATTTGGATTTCCAAGATATCAATTACGCTCAATATGCCAATTCTAAACTCTGGTCAATTAAATATAGTCTATTAGCCTACGGAAATAGTAAATTGTGTAACATACTTCATGCTATGGAAATATCTAAGAGACATGGAATAAAGGCTTGGTATGGTTTAATTTTAATTTAGTTCCTTACATCCAGGAGCTGTTAGAACTGAATTGCTAAGGGAGATTGTTAAAAATCCTTTATTAAATGCCTTCTTGATATTAATTACACCATTTAAACTTCTGTTGTTTAAAAGTAGCTTATAGGGAGCTTAGACTACTTTACAATGTGCTTTAGAAGATTATGATAAATTAGTTGATGGGGGATACTATTCCGATTGCAAATTGAAACAACCTAATATTGCTAATAAGCAATTAGCAGAGAAGTTATGGGAATTCTCCGATGAGAAATTGAAACCCTATCTGTAAAAATGAAAGTGAGTGTATAAATAATAAAATAATATATTAATCAATTATGGATAAACTCTCATATTTAAAGAAGTACATGGATAATGGACAATCGAAAACAAAAGTTACTTATCAAAATAATATTAAAGATTAAGATAATATTGATGTGTTGATGGGCAGAGTAATAAGCAAAGAAAACTATGATGAAATGGAATAATAGCCAATATTTGTAGAGACTGTAGAATCTATACTCATTGACAAATAAAAGAAATAGCTGTTTCTCAAGTAGATGATGAACAAAGAGAGAAGTAGAAGCAACAGTCAAGGATCTAGTTCATCTGATTCAGACTCAGACTCAGACTCTGATGATTCCTCTAGTAAGTCTGACTCTGATATGTCTGTCGAGAGAGCACCTAAACCTCAAGAAGTTATTCATAGAGATGTCAAGACTGGTCAGAGAATTACTTAAAGTCAAAGAGTTGAATAGGAGAAATAATTAAATCCAAAATTGAAAGCCAAAGAAGATAAATAGACCATTCTTTAAGCAAACAAATAGCAAATTGAAATGTGGTCTAAGGGACTTGTTTAGATTTAAGAGAAATAGAAGAAGTAAGAAGATGCTCAATAAGCTTTAGCAACCAAGAATGAAGAATAGATTAAGTAAATTGATATGCAATTGATGGGTCAACAGAAGTTTGATGATCCCATGAGGAAGATGATTTAAGATGAAGATGATAAGTAAATCACATTAAAGCAATCTGATTTCTTACTCAAATGCAAATTCCCTCCTCCAATCAATAGATTCAATATACTGCCTGGATTTAGATGGGATGGAGTCGATAGAAGTAATGGTTATGAGATGAAGTTATTGAACTCTATCAATGATAGCAAATATAAGAAATTAGAAATGCAACTTGAAAATATGAGAGATTAATGAAGTATATATATTTTTTAACCTAAATATTATTAATTTGAATTTAAATTGCCATGAATTAAGAAATATCGAGAGCTGAATTATTGCAATGGGTTAACGATTTACTAAAAACCACTATTAACAAAATTGAATAATTAGGAACTGGGGCCATATATTGTTAACTTATTGATGCAGTTCATCCAGGAAAAAGTATTTGATTTTTTAATAGTTAGTCCAATTAAGTAAAGTAAATTGGAGAGCAAAGTAAGAATATGAGTTTGTTAACAATTTTAAGATCCTCTAATAATCATTCACGAAATTGGGATTATAAAAACCCATTGAAATTGAAAAATTGACAAAATGCAAGTATCAAGACAATCTTGAATTCCTCTAATGGATGAAAAAATATATCGACACTCATTATATTCCAAAAGATTATGATCCAATGACAAAAAGAGGAAATCAAGATTTTGAAGATCCTGACAAACAAATTAGAAATTAATCAAAACCTAAAGTTCTAACAAAAAACAATACTAAAGATGTATGTTAAATTTAATTATGTAGCAATAAATAATTCAAAACTTATCTAAGAATTCCTCCTTTGCAACAATTTAACTTTTAAATAATGACTTTTCTAATAAAGAAAACAGATAGGCTTCTATGACAGATTTATTATTGTAAATTGAAACGTTGAAATGCGAAAGGGATTTTTATTACGTAAAATTGAAAGATTTGGATGGATTAATGGATTAGCATCTGCAATAAGCTTTGACAGCAGATTAACTTTGTAAAGGGATTAAAGAAATTCTATATAATACTCACGATAAATCTATAGTGGTGCAACAAAATGGAGATCTAGAAGTGGCTTACTCTGAGAATAATGAGGATTCAAAATCTGAAATCTGTAAAACAGAACAAAATTAATCAGATGATACATCCATTAATTGATTATTATTACATATTTTAATACTATTTTTATTCTGCATAAAATGAAAGAGCAACATTTTGTATCAATCAGTAACACTCTTTATAGATTGCACCGCTATTTTTTATTCTGAGTCTTGTCTCTTATTGTCCTTCTCCTTTTCACTCCTAACTGACGGGTATGGAGAAGGAGTTTAAGTTCTATTTCTTTGTTGGAATACAATCAATGCGCATGGTAAAATCATATCTGCTTCCAATTATAAGGCCCCCAAATATAAATCATTGGAATTAAATGAAAAAAATGAGTATTCTTTAAATCTTTGCAAACACAATATAGTGTATATTCCTATTAAGAGAGTTGATACAAACACAACAAATCCAAAAATATAAGTTGATCTTGTGAAGTACATCTTGAATAATAGAAATTGATACTAAGAAAATAGATACACAAAGCTAAAATACAGTCATCTTTTTCCACAAATCCTTCACTTTTAAATCAAACTCCTATTGTTTTTGAGTAGGAATGTATATCTTAAGGGTTATGTATCCTTATATTGCAACTAATGCCACCAAAAATATTTCCACTCGGATGTCAAAAAACCATATGGATATAAAAACAATTAAGACAATTTTAGAGACGGCATGAATGCAACTCATTCCAAAATTATATCTTGTCTATCATTTGAATTTCAATTTATTACCTCTTAGACTTTTTCTTAAACACATTGAATCCCAACAATAGTGAATAGATATGTTAGGATGAATACATATTAGATCCATGGAATGAATGTCCACGCATGACCTAAAAACGTCGTTTATGAAATTAACATAGATAAAAATGTGGCTATTATTAACTAAATTACAGCCACGAACAAAGCTGTTTATTAATAAATTTGAGTTCTTTCTCCTCTGAATCCTAGCTTCTCTTACATGACTCTCATTTCATAATTGACAATTTGATTAATATCATCATATTTTTCAGCCGTAATATCTTGAATATCATTTATTTTTTATTTCAAATTTCCCTATTGATTTGGCACATCATATGCTTAATCTAAATCTACTTAATTTAATGGATCTTCTTCCCTAGAATTCATATTATTATGTTATAATTGTAAATAAAAATATATGAAATTAAAATCAATGAAAACTTTTCAAAATTGATTCAAGTTCAATAAATACAAATCGTTAAAAGACATCGTATGTCTGTCTCCTCCGAATAGAATCATAAAATCATTAAATACAGCCACAGCATGGCCATCCCTTGCACAAGGTTTCTTGCCATTAATGGTATTCTATCCCCCTGTTAAGGGTTAAAGAAATCTAGAATATTATTACAAATAATCAATACTTGGATATGATTTATTATCCAAATTCCGTTAAGATTCCTTTTTTTAATTTCAAGTCTTATTTAGGATTGCCAATTAAAATAATAGATGTTTTTAATTTCTCAGCAACATTGCAATCGTCTTAAAAGTTCATAATTTCTCTATTTTCAACTTCAAATAATTTCAACATGGCAGTCTTTTTCTTAAATTCTTCCCATCTTTTTCTTTCCTAAACATTGTTTAAAGAAGTTTGGACTGTTACATTATTTTAATTATTCAAGTTGCTTTAACATTGACTTAGATCAGAACTTGCATAATTGTTTTGATTGTTAGTAGAATAAGAGGAATGTTATGATTACGAAAAAGAATGAAGTTTTTTAGGTGAAGGACATGGTGATTTTCTCAAACTTAATGGTCTAAGCAAGATGGGTAATCTCTTGGGTTTTCGTTTTTTTGGTGGATTTCTATTAGTTTTTGTAGGGGAAAGCAGTTCTTGTTCCTGTCTTCTGGAAGAATCTGAGTTAATGGTTCTCCATTCTTTGAGATCCAGATTGAAACAATGCAAATCATCAAGTTCCCAGGTCACATCATGAATACCTCCGAAAACGATTAAATTATTCTAATAAGAGATTAGTGAATGTCCTGATCTGCTCATTGGAATATTCTTCAACTTGTTAATGGCAATAAAAATCCATTCTTAACTTAACATATTGAATTGCCAAAGGTCATTATATCTGAGATCCCCATTTTTACCTCCAAATATATAAACACTTTTGTTATGACTAGTCATAGAACTTCCATCTCTAGGGGCAGGTTCCATTCCTTTTTGTTTATTCAATTTGAGCCATTTATTCTCTCTAAATTTATAGCTGAATAAATCATTAGAGTGTTTACATTAATCGCCATTGTAAAATCCACCAAAGATAATCCATTGATCCTCATATAATGTTGCACAATGATTATCCAGAGGTTATGGATAGGTTTTATTAACTTTTAATTTTTTCCATTATTGTTATTTGACGTCATGAATAAAAATTTCATTTGTTGATATCGAATCAGCTATCTATCCACCAAATATGTAAATGTCCTCTTAATAACTGCAAATGGAATGTCTGCAACGAGGTCCTGGTTCGTATTCGCATTTAATCTTCTACCAGCTGTAGGTTGGAGCACTCAGATTGAGTTTGTAGAAGTCTTTCATAATACCAATTGCATACTAATATCCACCATATAAATATAAACTGAGTTATTATGTTAATTTACTGATTGTTTAAGATGGTTATTGCTGAGCTTGATCTCGGTAAGAGGTTTTTGCCGTCTATTTTGCATTCCTACCACTTTGGGTCCAATTGTTCTTAACTAACTCTTGTAATCAAAGGTAAATATTTGTATTCTGATTCTAGTGGATGAGATTCAGATGGACTTACTGGTTAAAGTTTTAAGGAGTCATTCTTCCTATATGTATGAGATCTGTTGGAGAACATGAGAATAATAAATTTAATTCTATGCTTTATTAAAATTTTGATAAAAAGTGACCATTTTCAACAAAACCCACTTCCAATTCCTCGTTCCTTTAATTAATAAATAGACGACTAATTTAATTTTAATGGTTTGACCAAAGCACCAATTTCTAATATAATATATAATGTCATTAATTTATATATGATTAGTTTTTAATAAGTGATAAATTTTAGAGAAATTCTACTCTGTTCAACTTTGAGTGAGAGGCCAGTTAAAATAGAGTTCTCACAATATGTAAAATCAATATTCCAATAGATAAGCCAGGTCCTCATTTGCAGACAATGTTAAAATTATTGCAATTAATTTAGACTGGATGCAAGATAGATGTCAACACGAAGGGCATTATCTATATCCCAGGTGAGCAATCAAATTAATGATAATAGGAATCATAACAAATCAAGACGGCATGTTGCAAACTTACAATTGTGGTGTTGACAGGTCAATATCCTATTATTTGGAAATCCTATTGATTCTGAGTTTATTTGGCAAAGCCCCTTTAAATATAGAATTGAACGGCATCACAAATGATTAGACTGATTAATCAGTGGATTCCATAATAAATGCATACATTCCTCTGATAAAGAAGTTTGCTCCAGAATGGGAAGTCTCCTTGAAGGTTACTAGAAGGGGATTTTAGGCAGGAACTGGAACTGTAATGTATCATTCATGATGAAATTAATAGCTTGCATTCTAAGCCTATAAGATAGATTTAGGCAACTACCTTGATTGAGAGGGGACCCATTTGCAAAATTCGAGGAGTCTGTTCAGGTAGTAAGGTGGCTCCTAATCTTTTGAATAGAGTTGTGAGTCAATGTAGAAATGTGTTCAATGATTATATTCCTGATGTGTGGGTGCACACTGATTTACAGAAATCTTAAAAAGGGGTGGAGTTTCAAAGTGGATATGCAGTTTCATTAGTTGGGGAGAGCACTAATGGATTATTTATATCGTGTGATTGTGAATATTCGAATGAACTCAATGATCCCGAGAAAGTAGGGGAAACTGCTGCGTTGAGATTGTTAGATGAAATTAAAAATAGTGGATGTTGTGATACCACTTAACAATAATATGCCTTGTTGTTGATGGCTGTTAGTCAGAGGAAAGTGAGTCAAATAAAATTGGGAAGGATTTCAACGCATACTATTGAAACTCTTAGGATTATTAGATCCATTTTAGGTGTCACTTTCAATGTAGAGGAATCAGTATTTTCTTGTATCGGATGTGGACTAATAAATTTGTCAAGATTAACACAATGACATTGTTTATAACCAATTATTGTATATTAAAGAAAAGCAATTATATTTATTTAAACAATAATGTCAAATAATGAAGGAATCAATGAGTGTGATCAATAACATCCCATTGACTACTACAAGGAATCAATTAGATTGTACTATTATAATATAGTTCTTCATTAACATGTACATATATTGTCTCTTAATATAATCTTAGGTTGAATAAGTCACTCAAGAGCGAAATGAGATTAAGCAAAAATTATTGAAATTTCAGGCTCTGGAGGATCAAGAAAGCGAATTGTCAATGGAGGACAAAAGAAAAAGAAATAGGAGATCAGCAATTGAGATTCCAAGAAGCCATGTTTGTTAAATAAAAAATTGCAATAAATCTTATGGTTCTGAAGGATCATTAATGTAACATATGAAAATTAAGCATGGGATTACACAACATTTGGACAAAATCGGGTAGATTTCAGATCAATTTAAAAGCAACGAATGAATGAAGATGATCTCTACTCTATATTATAATCCTGTATGTTATTACATATATAATAATATAATTTATGAAATAATAAATGGAATAAAATATAATATAATCAACTACTGTTAAAACAATCAAAGAACTCAAGAAATAACAAGAATTCAAAACTTCTATGGATGCAGATGAATTTGAATAGAATGAATCCACACAAAGCGAAAAGCGAACGCCTGATGATGAAACTAGCAAAACCTAATATACCAAATTTAGACTTAATCATAAAGGATCCATTAATCAAATATTACCCAAATTAAGCAACTCCAATTTATAGGAATCAGCCAAGTCCTTATAAAAATAACTGAGCGAAGAGTTGCCTCCCAAGCAATTTGGACAAAGGAAACGATTCAATAGATATGCCACTTAAAAGGTATAACAGCAACCAATATAACTTACTGAATAAATAGAATAAACCACTGCCATGAATCTTATAGTAAATAAATCCAAAACCTTAACAGACTATTATGCAAACAATCAACTGACATCAACACAAATTCACCAGTTTCTTACTGATAATAAATAATTTGCTTTTACCTTTATGGCATTTCTAAATCGACTAGCAGAAAAGGGAATCTTATCAATTTCCTTAACAAATATTCAAAAGTCAGTTCTATCTTAAATAGAGCAATTTGTAATTAATCAAATTAACAGAGAATTGACTAAGCTGGAATTAAATAAAAAAATTAATGATCAATTGAAAAAAATTGAAATTAAACAAAATTAATATACAAAGTATCTTTCTGAATTAGAAGCATCATTAAAATTTTTTTGAGTTTTATTTTTGTTACATTTTTATCATTAAAACTATTTTTTCTTTTTAAAAACATCATCCATATCTGTTTAAAAATAGGTGTTGGATATATAACTTATACTTTTTGATTAAAAAGAATATTTCGTTTAAAGTACCTAGTATTAGGTTTAACTTATGATTTGATAAATATGTGATTTTGTATGTATTGGTATTAGTAGGTTTTGATAAGAAGAAAATGTTTAATATTTTTGGATAATTCAAGAAAAAATTGATTAGGAATTCTATTCAATTATAAATTGAAAGAATAATTATTAATTTTTTTTACATTTTTATCATCCAATAAATGCTGATGTGATTTAAGAAAATTAATATAAATTAATATAATAAATGCAACCAGCATAAGAGAAAGACATTCTGGACTTTATGACTCTGACCGGATGTTAAGATGAATAGAAAGCTATGTAATATCTTTAAATGGGAGACAATAAATTAGAAGTAGAATTTAAGATTATTTTTAGAATGCTATTCAGCTTTATCTTGACTTGGAAGGTTAACCAGTTTTGAGCTAACAATCAAGTGTTTAATCTACAAAGTCACCGTATGTATAAAATCAACAATAATTTCTAAATTAGAATGATGTTAAAGAAGGTATGATATATTCTTAGAAATAGTGAATACTATGATTTTTAATGAAAACAATCCTCCACCTGAATTAATACGTTAGAGATCAGCTCCAGATTCATCTCTGGCTGAAAAATATAAAAAATATCAAGAGGATAAAAGAGCCAATGATGATGGCATAATTAAGAAGACTTTTAAATATGGTTGGAATGCTTTAACCTACATATGTATTTAGAATTTTATAACAATTTTAGTCAAACGAGAACCAAATTATGGATTGATATTCCAGACATACATTTAATAACAATAGATTTAAACAGCCATTAATTTTTAAATGGGCAACTTTAATGATAATCTAAAGAGAGCCCATGAAGAGACTAAACCTTTATTGATATATTTACACAATCAATAAGCATTATTTACATTCGAGAAAATGATAAACTGCAAAAATTTTGTTACAATTATTCAAAGAAATTACCACATCGTTGGATTCTTAGAAAGCCCTCAGGTTTATGAATTATTACCAGTGAAACCTCAACCTCCTACTCTCCTAATTTATAGGTTAGATTTAACTGAATAAGCTATCTTAATGGACACTGTACAGCTCTCTCCTGAGACCAACTTTGAAGAATTAGCCATCAAATTGAAAATTCTAAAGGGACAATTTAATAAATAATTTATTGTTGAAGATCAAGTAAAGAGAGAATTTAATGCACCATAATATGTTCCAAATTATTATGGTTAACAATAGTAATAACAACAATAATAGTAAAATTTTGAAAGGAGGTAGTAAGAAATATAGTAAAGAGAAAGAGAATAATTGATAAGATAGTAATAAGAAGCCTACAGAATTGCAGAGTAATAGGCAGCAGAGAAAAAAAGAAAAGAATAAGAATTGAAATAATTAGAGGAGCATCGATTGTTGGAATAACAATAATTAAGTGTATGAAATATCATGAATTTTAGGAAATAAGACTGTTATAAAAAGCTACTATGTTGTCAAACCTACCAGATGAACCAGAAGGTGAGGAAGGGATTGAAATTTTATATAGATTTATGCATGCAACCAGAACTAGAAGATTTAATTTTAATGATAAAATATAGGTATCACTTTGAATCTAACTCTTAGTCAATATTTGAATTCGCATTAAGTTAGGAAGATGATTGTTTCAATGATCCTAATTCAAACATAGACCTTATTTAGAATTTTCCCAGGTTATCTTTGAAAGATAAAAAGGATGATATTATAAGTGATGTGTTTACAGATGCAAACAAGGTATAATTAATTGTAGAAGAATGTGAATGATTATTTAGAATAATTCTATTAATTCTACTCAAATATTATTGTATAAAATATCCAATTTCGATAAGAAAATTTATTAAAAGTAACAATAAACTTTAATAATTAAAGTAATTATATTCTTTATTAATTTACAATAATCTTGGTGAATTCTGATATTACTTCAATAAACTTCTTTAATTCTCTTTAACTGCTGAATTTAACTTGCCTTCATTTCTACTTCATTTCTTATTGTAACTATTCTTCTGTAATTTTATTTTGTTATTTAATTCCTTTAAAATGATTCTTTCAAATTATACAAATATATTTTAATTTCCTAAAGTGATGTAACTAGAATAATCATTTAAGTGGATTAAATAATAAACATAGCTTATCTAGATAAATTTTGACTTTTTGTCTTTGAGACTCTAAAATTATTTGTTATATTTTAGATCTATTATAATTTCTCAAAATGGTTTTACTCATCATTATATCGATAAGAATAATTCCTTCTCTTTGATTCAAATATCAAAATCAAACAATAGGGTACTATTCTCAAGTTAAATTAAACTTGAGAATGTAAACATTTTGTAAAGATCTTATTCTAAGTTAAAAAAAGAAAATATTGCATAAATATTATATACAACCCTTCTCCTTGAATTAAGACCTAAATTACTTGTAACGGTATTTTACCTAATAATTTAATATAGAAAAACAATCCAAAATAATTGAAAACCTTTTAAACTAAGTGAATAAATATTATAAATTAATAGAAGCTTAATATCCTTTCTTGTAAGCATTATTTTATTAATAATCATTATTTTTCAGCTGTTCCATCTGCTGCTACTTTATATTCTTGATTTTCACCATCCATTGTTATAACTTTGACTCCACTTATTTTTCCATTTTAACAATTATCTCTTATGATTTCTAAGTCTTTAATTTATCCTTTGATCTTGATAACTGTCACAGGTGAATTAGTACATTATTATTTACAATTATTCAGATTATTAACATATTGCTTTAAAAGCTTGCATAACTCCTTTTTTGCTTAAGCCCTTTCTTCAGGATCTAATTTATTTTATATTCAATTTTACTTTCTGAATCTAAACCTTTGCACTATTCTTTTAATAATTATACTTGAGCTAATCCAATTTTACTTTTTGTTAATGGCAATTCCAATTTATGTAATTTTTTCATCAATTTTTTTCCAGAAATTTAGGTTTGAACTTCCAGAAATGAGCTTGACTTTGATGATAATAGATGTTCAATAGATTTTAATATTTTAATATCATGAGAAATAGCTTTTTGATGTTTTAGTAGGTCTTCCCATTATAGCATTTGTTTTTCAATCAAGGATATTTGATCATTCTTTGTGCAATCAATACTTTTGACATCAAATTTTGCTAGTTCTTCTAAAGACATCATTTAATCAGTGAAGGCGTAAGCACTCAAGCCCAGCAATAATATTAAAAGCAATTTCATTAAATTAATATTGAATTTCAATTGTTTTAATTAAAAAGACTTAAATATAAAAATACATATAAAAAATCAGTTTTATTTTCTTTCATTGACTCAGTTATTTAAATATTCAAGAAGCTAGTCTTCATCAAATGTAGTTTAAGACCATTTATTAACTTTATCTATTTAAACATCCTCCTCTGTGTGATATTTTTCTGTCAATAGTTATATTGGTTTTATATGAATTTTTCTAAAATTAGTGTATTTTTTTTTATCTTGAATGTCTAATTTTTTACTGCATAATAAAACTATTTGCTATTAGACAGGATATTCATTCTAAGGGGTTTATGTCAATCCTACAGCTCCAAAAGAATTGAATTTATTCAAAATTGATTGTTGGGAAAGTCTTTGAGATTAGCAATTATCCAATTTTTATTGAGTTTACTTCAGAGTCTTTTGAACTGAAGTAATAAAGATAGGAGGTAAGGATTTGACAATGAGTGGCTTTTTCAAAACTTAAGATAAAGAGATTTACTTGTATTTTCTTTACTATTACAAGTTAGGCTTGCTTCTTTCAGATAAAATCATATATAAAAATAAAAATATTTCAGAGGTAATAATAACCTTTTTTATTCAAGCTCATTAAGATACAGGTATCGAAATGCAAATATATTAGAGCTAGAAATTTCACCTATTATTATAAATCTTAGCATACAACACATTATTATAAAATCAGCATTGTTAATGATATTTTTGATTAATTTAACTCTTAAATTGATATTTAATATATTAGCTGATAAAATTGAACTAAATATATTTGAGAACACTTTCTAAAAGTACTTAATAATTTAGATCATATTATAAAATTTTCATATGATCTAATAAAATGATTTCGATTAAAATAGTTATCTATTCAAAATAAATTCAGGATATATTAATATGGTAGCAATATTTCAGTAATATTTAACTTAGTATATAAATATCTTAATATAAAAAAATCCTTTATTTATTCAGCAAATACATCCCATTTTTACTAATTCATTCTAAAAATTAGGAGGAGTAAAATTAATAATAATTATGCTAGATAAGAAACACTTAAAAACCATAGAAAAATAGATCTAGAATTATAAGAATGCTTATTTGCTTAATTAAGCCTAAGAAAGTCGAGTAGTTACAGTTCCTCAATAATTAAAATACTCAGATTTGCCACTAAACTCTAACTCTACATCCAATCTATAACATTATGATCAGATTTAATCATCTAAAATCTCCACTGATGGAATTGCGTAATAAATTAGGGAATACTTTATTTACATAATTGAAAGAGGTGTTGTTTTTCCTCAGATTCTATCTTTTGTAATTATCACTAAGGATAAAATTTCAATAAATTATTGTGATTCATTATTAAAGAAACTAAATAGAATTCGTCATAAATTAGAAAAAGATAAAAGTTCAAATCAGGAAATAATGTAGAAAACAGACATGACTAAACTGGATGATGATGAAAAAATCATACTACGGTTACTTTAATATTTTACGAATAAATTAGCAGATTTTGGCATGAGAAGATTCAAAATGCATAATTTAGATTTACAAAATATTAGAATTTAATATAATCTATGTAGGCAAATCAAAAACTCAGTCATTTAAAATTCCAAAGTCTTAAAGATGATTATTCAATAAGTTAAAATTGTCCATTCAGATTTATTGGCATTAGAAGCAAACTAATAATAATTAAGTTCAGATGAATCCTAGAATGAATAAAACGAATTAATATCGTAGAATGATGTATAAAACGGATCATCACATTAATTTGATCAAAACAAAGATAAATTTACCTAAATTCTCAAGGAAGAAAAAGATCAATCAGAAAAAGAGAATAAAATAAGAAAGGAATTTGCAATTAAGGTATTAATGTTGAAATTAATCGACTTATAAATTGTTGTTCCTCATCTGCTTAAATTAATAAAATTTATATATTTTAGTAAGCGACATAAAGTACCAGATAAAAGAGGAATTTTAATTATATCCCCGTCTGACTAGATAATATTATAACTATGCAAAATGCCAGAATTAACTAAATTTGCACAACAATTTAAGTTAGAATAAATCTTGTCCTCTTTTATGAATCCCAGTTTTTTAGAGAAATTTCATCTTGAAAACCCTAATTATTTAAAAGTAGATTTGAATACTGTTTTAATCTCCTATTTATAATTAATAATCAATAACTACTTTAAATATTAGGATGAATTAATTTAGATTTATAAAGATGAACAATTTAAAATGCTTTTGCAGTAAATTTGGTAATTATGTGGTCAAAACATTAAATAAATACTATTTAATAAGGCAGATCCAAATGAGTAATTTAAAGCCTTTGGATGCAACATTTTATAAATAGGCACTTCTCTATTTAAAATAAAAACTCTTTTGGAATCTAATTTAGAAATATCAGAACAATTAAGAATAGAGTAAGATACGTGTAAATTTCAGTTAAATTCAAAGAGTAAAAAAGCTTCAGATAAGGTTTCAAATAATACTAAACCAATCTTCAAATAATTCATTCAAAAAATGACTATGCTTAATAAATCCTTTCCTCTGCTTCTGAAACTTCTACATTTGACTAATTTTACTATTAAGGTTATTCCAAGAAAGAAAGTAATGGAAAGTATTGTTTAATAGAAATAATTTATCAAATTTATGAAGATATGTTATAACTATCCTTTAGACATCGAAACTATTCCTGATAGAGTCTAAACAATATTTTTTAGCGAAAAGTTTTAAATTTAAGAAGCTCAACATGTAACTTGGCCATAACTAATTTTAGTGGCTCTTGAATTGATATATTAATAAAGGGAGCAAAATAAACAATTAATAAATGAAGCAGTTCAAACTAAATAATATTAATTAATATTAAGAGAATTAGAGACCATAGAAGATCCTCTAGAACTTCGTTAAAAGACTAAATAGATATTATTTTTACTTAATGATTATGTTTAAAAATTAAAAAATGAGTAATGATTTAGATATTTTAATTTTATAATTATATTATTTAGAAAAATCTAGATATTTGATATTTTAAAATAGGAAATCGATTAATTTGGTAAAATTAGATAAATTTGTACATAAATTTATAAATCATCAAATTCTAATCAAAATAGATAAGCATCTCTGTTTATAATTTTTCAGAGAATAAAGAGAAGCTCCTAAATACAAAGCATCACAAGAATATTATTTTTATTAATCATAATTTTAAATTAAAAATATATCCATTTAATTTCATTGGATAGATGATTTTTCAATAAATAATAAATAATATGATAAGTTAGCACTCCTATTTATTTTAATTATAAATTAAAACACCCAAAGGAATTATAGTAATGATCATTTAAGATTATTGTAATTATTTAAAAATCCAAAAATTTAATAAATAATCAAGATCAAATTGATTTTTTATTGATTGATGGAGAAAATATAAAATTTGAGAAGTTCTAAATATTTTCTAATGAGGAATGATGATTATTAAGATCAGGGTCATCTGTTAATATGATATAGGATTGTATTAAGAAATAAAATTAAGGGAGATTTTACCTTTACAAGGAGACTATTCAGAACCTTTGAAGCTTTATGAATGATCTTTTATAAAAGTGGCAGATATAGATTTTGTTCTTCTTCTTTTCATTATTTGAAACTCTTACTGAGGTATTATTTAAGAGTTCCATATTAGAATTGAAAATCTTATTGATATATAGAAATTGTTAAAAACACCACTTCCCTTAAGATTCTTAATGTATAGATTTAAAAAATGAATATTAAATGAATTTAAGTTAAAAGCCATAAGTCTAAATCTAAGTTTTATTAACAAGCATTATACTTTATTGATATTTTAACATAAATAATATTTATTAATGTAATAGTAATATCCCATTCAAAAATATAAAAGACAAATACATGATCACGTAAATATTCATACTATAATCAGTCTTAATGGGAATGACATGTTACCAGGCAGCAGTCGAATATCTTCTCAATACGATGAAAGACCTTCAGAATAAAGAAAAAGAGAAGAACAAAAATAAGGGATATCTTACTATAGAGATTTATGTGAGCAATTGAATAAAGAGAATTTGCTACTTAAATCATTCCAAATAGAAAATAATGAATTAAAGCAAAAATTATTACTTATTAATGTTGAGTTATCAGCTGCTTAATAGGAGCTCTCAAGGATTAGAAACCAACTTGGATCACAATAACCGACCGATAGATATATATAAAAAATTCAATAAGGTAGTTATTGATAGCTATTTTTATAGATAATGTAGATTTGTAATAATAAATTAATGAGTAAAATAAATATAAACAGAAATTAGAGGCAGAATTGAAATTTTATAAAGATAACCGTTTCACTCAAACAATTGAAACTCAAGATATGAATTTTTCATAGAATTAGAGGAAAATAAAAGAAATGGAAGATGATATTTAAATTTTAATAAGTGATTATAGTAGAAACTAAGAAAAACTAGAAAAAGCCTTAAATGAATAAAAATAATAATCTAAATATGATATTGATTAAATGAAAAGCTAAATCTAGTCGTTGTCTTCACAGATCTAAGGATGGCAATAAAGGTATTAAAATTTAGAAATAATGAAGATTGAATTAGAGAATAAATTAATAATACTAGAAAAAGAAAATTAATAATTAATTGGTAAAAGTAGCTATAGGGAATCATAGGCTAATTTAGACACTGTATCTTAATTAAAAGATTAGATTTACTAACAATTTAAATAGATTAATGATTTAAAAGCAGAAATATAATAGAAATAACAAAGCGAATATTAATTAATAAAAGAATAACAAAATTTGAAATAGAAACTCGAATAATCTCAGAGCTAGACTTATAATTCTTAATAAGTAGAGAATACTCAATATGTAAACGAAATATTCAAATTAAAATAATATATAGAATAATTATAATATGAAAATGAAAATTATAGAACTCAAAAATCAAATCTATATCAAAACTAAACTAACATATCTTCAAAAGAAGTTTAGTAGAATTAATAGATTAACGCTTACTTAGAAGAAATTGAAAGGCTTAAAGGTAATATATTCTCCTTGTAAACACAATATGAAAAACAATTAAATGATTAGGAAAACCGTTTTCAAATTGAACTTAAGAGTGTAAGTGATAAGTTTGTTTCATAACAAAAGGAATTGAATTGCAAAACATAAATTTTTGAAGAGAGTAGATTTACTTTTTAAAATTAATAATAAATATAAGAGAATGATATTTAAACTAAGATTTGGTAAGATAAATTTTATGAATAACAAACATTAAATGAAGACTTGATGTATAAACATCAAGAACTCCGCAATTAACTTACTTAGTATCTCAACTATAAAACTTAAAATGAATACGATTAAAAAACTATTCAAAATTTAGAAGCTTTGGTAGAAGAATAATAAAATATTATGCATTCTTTATACCAAAAGGAATTACATTACAAAGATACAATAAACCAATATATGCTTATAATTGAAGAACATCAGTAGCGAAATAATGGTGTATTTGAGAATTAGATATAGTAGCTATAATTGTAATTAGATTAATTGCAAATTAAATTAAGAGATTAGGAATCTCAATTAAATATAAAATCCTCAAAATGCTTTGATTTAGAAAGATAGATTGAAGTTGAGAAATTGAGGTTTTCAGAAAGAGAATCGCTATTTTCATAGTAATTAAAGTAAGAAAAAATAAGGATTCAACAATTAGAATTACAAGTGGATAATTTATAAAAAGATATGGCTCTACAAAATCAGAAGAGAAACGAAGTTATTAAAGAATATATTTATGTTGAAAATTAATAGGATTAAGAGAGAATAATTTTGCTTGAACAATCTCTATAAAATCTTCAATAAGAATATCTATTGATGAAAGAATAATATATTTGTGTTCAAAATCAATATAATGCTCAAATTATACAGATAGAATAGCTTTAAGGGTTGTAGGAAGATAAAAGTAAAATAAGATAGCTGGAAGAATAACTAAGAATGCTAAAGGATCAGTACTTTGAGTTGAATACTTTGAAATAATAAGTATTAAAGGAAGTGGTTAAAGAAGTTATTGAAGTGCCATCTCAAAGTGATTAAATATTAATTAAAGAGTTAAGATAGGAATTACAATAATTACAATCTGAGTATAGGATCTTAAATGCTTAAAAGCAAAATTATGTGGAGATTTAATCAGAAGTAGATAAAAATAGGATTAAAGAGTTAGAAAAACAATTAATTACTTTGAGGAGAGATTATGAAGAAGTTTGTAATAAGAAATAATCCTAAATAACAGAATTTGTAGAAGTATCTTCAAAGTAAGATTTGTAAAGAATCCAATAACTGGAAAAGATTGTTCAATAATTATAAGAGGAAAATTTTAAATTGCAGATTTAATCTAATGAATAAATAAAAAAATCAGTTATAGTTAATTAAGATCGAGAATAAGTTCAAGAACTTTCTGTATAATTAGCAACTTTAAAGTAAGAGAATAAGGCTTTGCATTAATAATTGAATTAATAGAATGAATCCTTGAGAAAATCATAAAATTCTGATTTTTTGAAGATATAATAGTTAGAATAGAAGATTAGAATTCTTGAGTAGAGTAATTTTGAAGTATAAAATTAGCAATCTTAAATTAAAATTGTTAAAGAAACTGTGGAGGTAAGTAAAGATGAAGATGTATTTAAGATCTAATAGTTGGAATTATAATTGTAGGTAAAAACAGATGATATTCAGTATTTGGAGAAACAGTTAAATTTATAAAAGAAAAATGTTGAGGAGTTAATATCTGCAAATGAAAAAATGAAGTATGAGAATACAAAAATGAGATAATAATTATATGAATTATAATCATCCATAGATGAATTGTAACTAAAGATTAAAGAAAATAACTAATTTTAAGAAGAAACAAAATAGTATAAATAGATGATTAGTTAATATGAATAAAGAGAGAAATTAAAAAATGATTCATAAGAATTAGTTACTGAACTGAAGAGAAAATTAAATGAGTCTGAAAATTAAATTAAAAGATAATGGGGAGAATTTGAATTGAGTAAATAGGATTACGAGTTTAAATTAAAAAGTCAAGAAACTAAATATAATTAATAGATATAATAATTATAATAAGAATTTTAAATGAAATAATAATCAAAAGAAGATGAATACTATATAAGCAAAAATAGTTTTAAATAGATGTAAATGTAAAATGATGAATTGTAAAGAGAAATCAATAGATTATCAGATTTGATAAGACAAAAGAGTGATGAAATAAAAAAATTAAATGATAAAATCTCAGCTTATGCAGTAAAACTAGATTAATAATAATCAAATTTAAAAGAAAACTAAATTTAAATTTAAGATTATTCTTTATAGTAGGAAAAAATGTCTTAATTAATGTAAAAAAATAATAAATTAGAAAATGCTCTAAAGTAGTTTGAAGAGGAAAAGAAAATTGAGAATCTAGAACTTCATAAATAATTTAATATAAAAGTAATGGAAATTTAGGAAATTATTTAAAAAAAAGATAATGAAATTTAATAGTTGTCTAATTATATTGTAACTCTAAAGGAATAGATCAAGAATCAAGAGAATAATAAATCATAGAAATAGAACGAGTATATATTTTATTAATTTAGTAATTAACAATTTTTGATAGATTTATAGAACTAACTCAGTATAGTGAAACAAGACTTAATGAGATAAACTACTTTGAAAGAGGAATATTAAAATAAAAACAACGAGCTACTATTAAAAGTACTCTAATTATATTACTATATTTAGATTGCAGAATATGAAAAGGGGAACAGAATTTCAGTAAAATCTGATTATTTTGTGACTGAAATGTATTAAGGTACAGGTAGTTTTAGAAATCTTGGAAATGCTAGTGTTGATTTTAATCAAAATGACTCTTAATTTTAGATTGCAAGTTAATAGAGAATAAGAGATTCAACACGTATGCAGAATCCAAAAGCAAACAATTTTAATCCTCTAAATTCATTTGTAAATATCTTTAAATAGTTTAGATAATTAAATAACAATTCTTTACTTAGAAAAAGAGTTGAATATATTGAAGGACATTTGTTTAATAATAATATAATCTATTGATAATATTAAAATTACAAGAAGTTAATTCAGAAAACATCTTCATACAAAAGTAACATTTACATTTAATGTTCTTGTTCGTAATGATCAATTTTATTTAAAGTTCTTTTTAATTTGTTTTCTTCTATCCTGATTTTAGAACTATAATTAATTCAAATAGTTACAGTTTATCATCTAGCTTCTTCTAAACTTAATTTAACTAATAAATCCAATCTTTCTAAGTTGGACAACTAACTTTTCAACTTTTAAGCTAAAGTTTAATTTTTAACTTCCTTCTTTTCTAAATTGTTAAGGAACTATTAAACTTTTTCACAGTTTTTGCCATCAGCTTCACCTTCTTTTAATACCATTTTCGGTACAATTAAACCTGGCCTCGAAAGTATGGTATTCCAATTAATCCCTTCAAAAAAAGGATGATCTTTGATTTCATCAATGTCTTCATGTCCAATTCTTTTTGTATAATCAGGTTCCATTAATCGACACATTAAATCATAAGCATTATGGGAAATGCTTTCCTCTTCAACATCGCTCACATTAGGCCATTCAATTCTGTAGTTTAAAATATTATCGAAGATCTTTTCAACAGAATCATCATTGAATGGCGGGATTCCACACAACATCTCATACATGATGACTCCTAAACTCCAATAATCTAAACTGCTATTTGTTAAGGACTCTCCCTTTAAGACTTCTGGAGCAATATAATCAGGAGTTCCAACAATTCTTTTGTTTTTACTGCTATAATTCTAAATGCTGCCTCTAATGGTCGGTTGAGCCTAAGGTAATTTTAAATCAAAGACAGTATCATATTATGGATCATTATGGTCTGCAAATTCTGGGATTGTATTTCTAAATATATAAACATAATTCTTACGATTCAATATCTTATTGTCTTAATTTCAATTTCAATCTATTATTGAAACCAACTTCTGACAATCCAAAATCAGCCAATTTAGCATGACCCTGTTTATCCAATAGAATATTATCTGGCTTTAAATCTCTATGGACAATCTTTTTGGATCTTAAATATTCTAAAGCCAACACTACTTCAGCTACGTAATGTCTAACATATTCTTCATCTAAAGCCTTAATGTAATCCAAATTTATACCGTATACATCTTTAGAATATGTGAGAAATCCCCTCCAACCATATATTCTTAGACAAAGCATAAATTTTATTCATGGCTAAATGAATAGTAGGCTTTCACTACAAAATCTCCAGATAAAATTTCAAATATGTTCCTTTCTGCCTTTAATGTATCCAACTATGTTTCTAATTACTTTTATTAATTCAAATAGAATATACTTTTTAAGAACAATCAATGATTTTCATAGCATATAAATCCCCTGAAGTCTTCTTTTTAACTAGAAATACCCATCCAAATGCTCCTTGCCCTAATGGCTTTATGAATTCAAAATCTTTTAATCCAATCTCCTAAGATTAATGAGCTTTCTCAGCATTTATACTCACAAGTTCAGAATCTGAATTATAACCTCTATCAACGGTTATGACTTCAAAATCGAATATACTTTACTTCGCAACATTATTTCTGGAATTTTATTGAAAAAACAAACCTCTATTTAATTGATTCAAAGATTCATCGATATCAATCATCTAATTCCTTTCATTCTTCTATAGAATTTCTAGTTTTTTATTGGATGATGAATGATTTGGACTCAAATCAGAAGGAATTCTTCTTTTTTGTGAATTTTATTGTTAGGATTCTTCAATAATTTACTCTGTTTCATTGCATCCTTCTAAGTCAAGATGCAATTGTTCTTATTAATCTTATTCCTTAGGTGAATTTCTGGTATCCAAATTATTGCCACTATTCTACCTACTATTTTAAGAAGACCTTTTCATTTCCTGGTTTGAGTTTGAATTTGAATTTTGAAATTGATTTATTTCTTAATCAGATAAACCTTAGTTAATATTTTCAAGTGAATTTTGCAAGTTTGTTTCTTTGTCTTTCTAAATATCTTCAATTGAATCCATTTGTTTATCAAGTCCTATTGATGGTATTAACTATTTTTTAGCTTGAATTTCTTAATCAGAATCACATTAGGCAAAATCTGCAAAAGAACAAATATTCTAATTTCTAGGAGTTTCATCCTAGGAATCACTTTATCCCATTCTTCCAGTTGGAGATTAAATAGAATATTCAATAACAGAATCGATAGTTGTAGGAGATTTAGCTTTACGAAAAATTGATGGTTTGTTGGATGATGGACTAATCACAGTTTCAGAAGAATTAGCTACAATCTTATCTAATACTTTAGAGCCAGGATTTGATTGTGATTATGGTTAATCTTCAAAATTAGTTTTAGGTTGAAATGCTCTTTTGATTTGATTATTTCCAACCACTTAAGATCTGGACATTGACATAGTTGTTAAACTATCCCTTCTATTTATATTATTAACACTTCCAACGTTATTTGCATTATATTTATCTTTACTAATAATCATTATTATTATTTACTTAATTAAAGACATTATGACAACAGTCTATTTCTTATTTTAACTGTTTGCATTTTTTGGAGATGAGTAAATAAAGTCATCCTCTTCTTCAAAAATTGTATCATTTTTTTTGACTTTTTGCTAGGTAGGGGCACTGATGTGATTAAATTTTGAAACTCTGAATGAACTTGAATTGGAATTCTTATATTTTTATTTTAAATCTATTTCCGGTTTTTGTTTAATCTTTTGACTATCCTAAATTTGTTAGGATTCCAAATTTTATAGAATTTTAAAGTATTCCATTCTATCATACATACAGGAACGAGCTTTATCTATTATATCAATAACTTCCTCATTTTTTTGATCATTTTCTAAATTACATTTTGCTTCAGTTAACTCATCAAATGTTATTCGATTTACTAAATATGAGAATATGCATACTTTTATTATCTTCGTTATTAATATTACTATTTAACACCTTTTCAGTATAATTGACTATAATAGTCATTACAGAATTTATAAAAGCCAATTATTTTTTGGCTTTGTTCTTTTCTTCCTCTTCTTGTTAGAGTTTATTGTCTTATAAATGGATTGTGTGAGTCCTTCTAAGTGATCTTAATGGTTTTTTTTCCTCCTCTTATTTTTTCAATTTCTACCTATTTTTCTTTTATTCTTATAAGCTTAACTTACCCAACTTAATTTAAACGTCATGCTTTAATTTATATGCTGATTAAGAGGCATCTGCTAATTATAAATTTAGTTATAATAATTTCTTGCTCTATTCAGCCTTTTTTTAACAGGTAATGCAATGAGCTGCCATAATCTCTACTTCTATCAATTGCTCACATATTCGACACACTATTTTATTATGCTTTTCTAAATCTAATCCTTTTAATTTACTTTGTATTAATCTATTTTAATTAATTAATGATTATTTTATTTTACGTTTTAGTTTCAACCAATATACGCTTACTACGCAAAGCAGTACTTTATTCTGGCTGATGTTCATCCAACCAGAATAACACTTATTGACCATAAACATTTCTTATTACTGAAAGCAATCTTTTCTAGATTCTAAAAATTAATCAATATATATATATATACTTCTAAAGTTAATTAGCAATCTTCAAATTTCTAGAGCTTCCCTTTTTTAATCCTTTTAGATAATCTAGGCTTGTCAGCTTCTTCAATGTCTCCATATTAGCCAATACGAATCCCAATTGATCTTATTCGAATGAATGTATAGTCGATTTTAATGTGTTACGCAATTCATTTAAATACGCTAAAGATGGAGTCCCAAACTAAAATTCTAAATTAAATATACTTATCCTGCAATTAGCAATTCAATAATAAAATTTATTTAATCCATTATCAGTTCTACATCCTTTTTACACTTTATCACACATTTTAAGCGATGAACTTGTTTTACAATATAATTCAAAGGTGGCTTGGGTATTGTGAATTCTAATTTAGAAGTTTTTACCTGTAAAGAGTTGAATTATATTTTATTCATTAATTAATATGTATTAATTCAACTCAAAAAAATTAGGCAAATTCACTGTTCACTATTGTTCTTATTTATAATTGATCCTATTCACACGAATGAACCATTCCATATTGTTCATCTGCCTTCAACTTTAATATATCATCAGGATTCCTTTTACTCTCGAAAAGATAATCAATTTTTTTCAAGAATTGTAAAAAATATACTAATCTGTCAAAATTTAAATCATTATTCCTGATGGAACAAAAATAAATTTTAGATAAAATAATTTAGATAAACTATAACAAAAATATAATAACATCTAAAATTCTCCATCATTTTTAACATGATTGATCAAGTTCATTCAAATTTAGAGTCAAAAAATAAAAATTTAATAGTCATATGTAATTAATTATATATCCATCCAAAATTATCAATAAAATCTTGCCTGAATCACTAGATGAATGAGATTCTTCGATAAAATTAGTTATAAATTTAGATTTAACTAATAAATCCACTTTAATTATTGATGTACCGAAAAAGACAAAATTTATACTAAATGTTTTAATATAGAATCAATTGTAATTAGATGATTGGTCTCTATAATAACTCAAGCATAAACCATTGAAACTACTTCATAGTAACTAAATTAGTGATTTGTAATAACGAATTATCTATAAAATTCTAATATGATAATACTTACAATATCACTATATAATGAATGATGACAGAGAATAGATCAATCGATATACAAAAATTACAAATCTAATATTGATAATATAATTTTATTATCAAAATAAAATTAATTCTTTATAAGAATTTTTTAAAATTATCAAACTAAAAAACTAGCATAAAAGAAACATAGCATGAAATTTCTAGATATTTTAAACATAATTATAATAATCAGCGTTTTCTAAATTTCTTTATGATTTCCTCAGCATCATCAGCGTCACTTAGTAAACTGTCAATATCTGAGAGTTTTTCAGAATCTAATTTTGAATCATCTGAAATATCATCATCGTCATCATCTTCATCATCGTCCTCCTCTGAGTGCTGCTTCTTTAATTTACCTTTATTGCTTTTTTCATTATTATTGGTTTGTTATGGTTTTTTTTCATCTAATGAATCAGCACTAAATTAGGATTTATTATCAGCATCTCCTTAATCCTTCAGGATTTCTAATTTAAAGTCTTAGAATTAATATTTTACCTTCTACATTTCTTCCAGCTCCTTCATCTGCACTTGAATTATCATCGAATCTAGTTTCTGGTTATTCCTTAGTAAGTTTTTTTTGCTTCAGGTCAGCCAACCATTTGTGATATACATCAATAGCTTCATCTAGTCCTTTGATTTTAGTTGTAAATGCAGCTTGACATTTATCACAATTTAATTCTGCAATCTTAATGACTTTTTTTCTATTTCTTTTTGTTAATTATACATTTTAACAATTACACAATTCTTATAGCCGCAAAGTGCACAATCAAATATAGTCTTAATTGATTAAACCTTTTCTTTTTTTGGCATCCTATTCGATTTTCTTCTTCCTCCCATTTATATAAAATATTAATAAAATAATACTTTAAAAATTAGCTAAAGAATTATTTATACATAATTTGTAGATATTGTTCTTATTAAGAAATGTAAGATTATATCACTACTTATGTTGGATTTCAAGAAAACTTCCATATCTTTTAAATATTATCTCTAATTTTATTGAGATTCTTTAGAGTTGTCATTTATTTATTAGTAATTAATCAATCAAATTTGTTTAAAGTACTAATTCTTTCTATATAATGTATTTTATTTAAACTAATAATTATAATCTTACTAATTCTATTTATGAGTTTTTTTGATTTAATTATAGTTAGTCTAATTTTATACATACTTGAATAAGCACTGTTATTATATTTTTCATTAGCTTATTATATTTAATTTTTGTAAATAAGTTCTGAATTAGTAAAGATATGCAAAATATTAAATTTATTATAGATTTTTACTTCTATTTAAGTGTAAATGTAAATAAGTATTTAATATTAAGTATGGAACTATATAATTATTTTACGTTCTTCTAAGCCAATCAAGAATTGTTAAGATTCAATAAAATATTTATAATTATAAAATATAAGCTATTTTTGTTACTACATTATAAATAAAATATATATATAATTAAAGATCCTAAATATAACCAATTGAATAAGGTATGATTAAAAACTCTAATCAATCTACTCAAGATATACTTATTTCAATCGCTTTAGTAATATCATAGATTTATATTTTATAATAAATATTTAATTTAATCCAAAATTCTTTATGTAAGTTGTAATTTTAATAAATGTGATAAAATTCAGATAATGTTGGCTTTAATGAAGGGTCAATAATGCATAAATCTGATTTGATTGAATAGTATTTATGAATATATATTGGTGTTTCTTTAAATTCTTAAAGTTGAGTAACATATGATTTGATTTCAAAATTGTATATGATTTGAACAGAAGTATATCATAATTTATAAAGGTACTAATATAATTGTGTATGAAAAATTCATTTTTTATTCCCCGCATTTTAATTGCAAAATATGTAATAATTAATAATTAAAGTATGTCTCTGGTGAATACTCTCTAAATTTATGAATTTTGCCGTACATTTGCTTCTCAATTGAATTTACGAACTCGCTATACGGTAGAACAATTGCATTAAAGTTTTGTAAATTGTTTATTTAATGAGATTGATAGGAATCGAATGAGAATTCATCTTTGGCCTTTCAATTGGTGATAGGATTAATGGATAAATTTTGTTTGGCATATTTGGTATAGGCATCAACACAAACTAATTCAGCTTTCTTGAATGTAATAGGATAAATAAAGAAGTATGATGTAAATACAAATATAGTCAATTTATTCGTCGATCGATCTTGGTGAACATCTGGCCAACAATTTTCACATTAATAACACGCATTTATAGGATTAGGGCATATATAAAGGATGAAATAGAATTAGAATACTAATAGTTTAAAGAACATTTATAATAAGAGTAATTTAAAAATTGGCTCGCTTTGGATAAATAAAAGTTGCTCCTGTTTATGATAGATACAATCTTTTATGAATCAGAATTTTTGATTTAGGAGATTGACCAAAGATTAAAGATATAGGAAATATTATCAAATAATGATTGGAGAAAGGAATTGGCCAAGAAAGAAGCCGAATTAAAAAGACTACAATAATCAGTTGGTAAAGTGGCTAAAAAGAAATAAAAAGAATAGGTTAAGACTCTTCAATTGATAGCAGGATTAGAAGAAGAAATAAATCTGTATACAAAAGCATCAACAGTTAGTAATAAATAATTGTTTCACACTTAAGCCATAGAGAAGATCTCAAACAATCTTTATGTACTTAAATCAATGACTTTTAGGTCTTTTAAGAGGAGAAACAGTGTATCTATTAAGAAAACAGCGAGGAAGATTGGCAAGTAATATAAGGAGCAGAAATGATAGAATTGATTGGTCAACAATAGAAGAAATGTGCTGAAATGAAAAGTTTAGTGAGTGGAGGTTACTTTAGTTTAGAGGATTGCAAACTGGATCCAATCGCTCTTGATAATACTTATGGGATTGAATAAATTAGCCAAGACTCAATGGCTGTTGAATTATTTTAGAGATGCGATATAAATACTGTAAGGGAAATACTGTTGGCATTGGAAAAGGATTATTCAGAATACGAATTGAATTATTGGAAGAGTTGTTGGACATCTGCTGAAAAAAGGAAAATTTGGTAAGAGAAGGTGCTGAATGCAGAGATGATTGAATTAACTGAGATTTTGAGTAAGATACCGCATCAACTATCCTGGGTAAACAAGAAACATGGATAAACTGATAGTTAGGCCAAATATAAATCTAGTAGATGTAATAAATAATAATTATATTGTTAGTGTATTGGTTCTATTAGAATAAGTTATATTCAATGCCTTATCAATAATTAAGTAAGCAAGATCCATCTTTACATTCGATGTATTTGTTGGCAATAACCTTATATGATAAATTAAAGAGTTATATTCATAGAAAAATGAGAACCATGGACATTACTTAAATCTAATAGTAGCAGTAGCAATCAGATCTAGAATCAACTTTAGACGATGACTTTTAACTAAAATGAAATTATTGTTGTATTTAATAAATAAAATTCTTTGTTCTAATACTTATGCTCTCCTTCTCTATTATATTTACTCAAATTGAATTCAAATATTCGTATTTTAGTTTAATAACTTGTTTATTTAATTAAATTTAATATGTATAACAATCAGACAGTTCAGTTAGTTGGTCGATTGAGTCCTAAAACTAAGATTAATCTAGAATAACAAAACTCACATAAGCTCTCAAATAAAATGCTGGCTAAACACATTAATCCTGATATAGCACTTGTGCCAATGCTCGATGATATCATACCATGTAGTATCAGAATGAGTATCAGTTAGTGAAATTGTGAATTAGAGGAAAATGTTGCAATCGGTTCAACCAATCCAATATTATGAAGAGCAAAGGCCATCGAGAACTATTCTTACAACTCAACCAAAATCTCATACACATAAGTCTTCAAGATCAATCAAGTCTAATTCTACTCACAGAGAACAGAAATCAAGAATGTCTAATCAAAAATATGAGTTGATGAGTTGTTGTTCCTGTTCTTGTTGTGGATGCAGTCGAAAAAGTTCAACTAGACTCAAGAAATCTCCAACTCCCACTCCTAAAGTAAGAAGAAATTATTAAGAAAACCCCTCAACCAACAAATCAATAAGTAAACATTATATAATATTATTTAGAATAATCTTCAATTGCTAGTTCTGAATCAAAAAAGGTGAGAAATTAGAAGATTTTGAACTCTTCATCAAAAACCAAATAAAAATGTGAATATCATCATTATGAACAGAGACAATCCCATTTAACTACTAATTAATCAAACAGAAAACCAAGACCCTCAAGTGTGGCTATTATCAATCCTGAAACAGCCAGAAGATAAAAATTGAGAGAGTATTAAGAGAAATAGAAATTGTTACAGAATTTATATAGTGCTAAATAATTATAACCATAACCTAGAGAGCAGAGTCTATCAAAGGTTGCTTGGAGAGCAGATATATCTAAAGTATCAATTCATATTTAAGTCATCACTTTAGATTGAAGAGGGTTACAAAAGAAGGAGTAAAATAGAAAAAATTGTATAAATTTAAAAAGAAATCTTAAACAAATCTTTGTCTAAACATAGGAGTGCATCAAAGCAAGAATCCAAAAAGATTGTACCTCCTCTTGATCAGCAAAAATTGAAACTCTTGGATCAAAGGAAAAAATTAATGGAAAAGAAAGATCAAAAAATTGTTCATGATAAAAAGGAGTCTTAAAGATTAAAGTAAGTACTTCATTAATTAAAAAAATAAAAGTAAGATGAAAAGGAATTAAAAAATAAAAAAACTCAATAACTCTCTAAATTAGAACAATTTCAAAAGGAGAATAGATTATAATGCAAAAAAAAAAAATTTGTACCTACAGAATAATAAATTGAATAAGCATTTTAAATTGTATCAAGTGATAAAATAGATAATGAACAATCAATCAAATGAATATTTTTTGAATTACACATAATAGGATTATAAAATTTAATTATCCATAATGTTTTCCTTATTACTTTGTGTAATTATTCACTTACTTCAATTGTGTAAGCCATTTCTTAATTGTCACATGCCTTAGATAATTGGTAAATGAGATTATTTGGATAGTTATCCTCCATCTATGTTTAAGAGGATATTATTTATTATCATAATACTTTGAACCAAAACAGAAAAATCTTCAAAGCTACAGATAGTTAATAGATATCTACTTAATTTGATAGTCTAAGTTTAATCGAGAAATACATACATTATGTGTGATTTTTTTAATTATGTCAAATATGAATCAAACTTAAAAGTTGTACATTTGTTTAATAACGGCTTTTAAATACTGGCTCTATTAGAAATAACTGATAAGATTGATTATTGTATGATTGGATTGAATGGAGAGTTTATAATTATTGCTGGTCAAACTATTTTTCAACAATTGATGAAAGACTTTTATAAGTAACATTGTTTGATTATTAAAAAAGGATTGAAAATTAAATTATTTATGCTGCATATATTTTTGAAATACCAATCATCGTCATTTAGAAAAAAAACTAGATTTGTGTTTTTTCGATTAGATATTCCATTACAGAAGATTATTGTGTTCAAAGTAAGTAGGCTGGCAAAGTTATTGAATTTGGAAAAACATTAAGATAAAAAGGCAAAGGAGTTGATAATCAAAAAATTAAGAACAATATATTTGAGTAACCTTTTGGTCTCAAATAATAAATATGTTTTTTGACAACTTATAATACTCTATTATGTTATGATACTAAAGAACTTAGACTATTACAAAAGTTGCAAATAAATAATCTCGATTAAACGTATAAATTAGTGGCACTCCATCGAATAGAGTATTTAATTATGTTTATGATCTTTTAGTCTCAATCTTGTAAAGAATTATGATTCTAAAATTGGATCTAAGAATCATATTCTATTTTATTATTCATATCAAAAAATGAAACTTTAAACCTTTATTTTCGATTTGTCGCTTGGATCAATCTAATTAGTAGCTTCAAGAAGATGCAAAAATATCGTTTGAACTATTCCTTACAAAATAGAAAATGAATCTTGTCAACACAGAAATCCGATCATTTTGATTGATGAAGAAAATAAAGTCTTTACCTATCCTGAAAATAACAATTACTTAAATTCTAAAGAAATCATTCTCTATAGAAATGATAATGGGGTGTTGATAGGATATAAATTGCATGATAAATAGTTAGAAAAATATGGACTATAACAATAAAAGAGAAAATACTATTAATAAGATCGTCATATTAAATTGGTTAAAGTGATCCTAAAGTTGCAAATTAGGATGATGGAAAGGTGATTTTTAAAATAATTGACTATGCATACTTTGCAATTCTCACTTCAGACGAGGATTCGCTTAAATTATACATAGTAAATGCTAAAACTGGTAAGGTGCTATTTTAAGATGTCTAAAATGAAGTGGATCTCGATTAATACATCAATTTAGTTTTTGATGATCATAAGGTTTTTGTAACCTATTAGAATTAAGCTAAAATGATATTTGAAATATGGACAGTTGAGATATATCATATGAAAAGGAGTGTTCATTTATAAAAATGCTAGAGTATTATTATTTCTCTTAAGATCCAACAAATAAACATTATCATGAAACAGAACACAATATTGTTTTCTAATAGTAAGTATATAGATTTCTTATAGTAAGTATATGGATTTCCTTTAGGAATTAAATATCTAGGAATAACGAGAACTAGAAAATCTCTAACTAAGAAAAACCTATTGATTATAACTACTTTCAGTCAAATGTATCAATTGGATAGAAACCTTGTTTCTGCAAGAAGAAGAGAAAACTCAGACTTAGATCATCCCTTTGTTCAACTGACTTACCGCCTTTTTAATATGAACTCCCTATTTATTTTTAAAGTATGCTAACTTACGATTAAACAGTAACTTATTTGGTATTAATCTAGTTCGATTTCGAAAGGTTTTCAATAGAACCTACAAATTTAGAATCCTATGCCCTTCTTATCGTTTATGGTTCTGACAATAATCACACCATATAAAGTACATATAATAATTTATTTTAGTCTTATGATATGGTGCAGAAGAACTTCAACTATGATGCTGTAATATTAACAACAGTATTAATAACATTGACAATTTAAGTGTCATAAAAATTAATTAAATCTAGCAAATAAGTTAAATAATTTAAAGTTAATTGAAAATTTGTATATATTTCATAAAAAGCAAATTGTTTTAGAATTTAAGTCCAAAGAGCAATATTATATTTATATATATATTTAACTAACTTAAAGTGATAGAGAACGAACTTTCATTAGAATTTAATAATTTTGATCTTAAGAATTAATTTTTTCAAATTAGTTATGGAAGCTTGCACAACTAACACTACTCGTATGGGTCCGTCCAATGTAACATAGTAAATTACATCAAAACCAGAGTCTCCTTCATCTTAATCATTATTTGACGAAGAAAATGAGGTTATTCATAGAAATATGATAAAGGACAAAAAGTAAGAAGTTTTAGGTTAAAGTCGTAAAGTAAAATTATGGTTTTGAATTAGTCTGATTATTTAAAACATGCAATATTTTTAACAAATAGATCCCTGAGAATGAGTGAAAGATCGAAATCTTAGCAGTTTGTAATAAACTTTAGGAAACAATACTTTATACATAGATTCGTAAACAATCTATTCACTAATCTTTATTTCATGAAGTAGGACCAAAGACTGAGAATAAATCAAGTTTTAGATGAAAAACCAGCTCAATAATTTTCTAAAAATAGCTGTACCTAAATCCCATAATATAATTTATAGCTGAGTATAATAAAGAGAAAAAATGGATATTTCTTCCATCGACTCATTTCATAATGTTTTGGGATATTTTGGGTCTTTTATTCCACCTTATAATGCTGTGGATCAGTCCTTTTTTATGTTCATTCGAAGATTACAATAATACGATCATGTAATATCTCTAGTCAATAATATTATTTTACTTGATTTTTGACTTTTTAGTAATGTTTAACAGGGCCATAATTATTGAGGCAGTAATAGTTTATCAACGAAAGGATTTCATTAAAAATTATTTAAAATCTAATGCTATTTTTGATTTTTTTAACTTGGGTATATGGATAGGATTAAAATACGAATACTTTCCTTTTTAATACATGCAAGAAATTCTAATTGTATGCTAAGTGTTTCTGATATATTAAAAGATTTAAAGATATATAACCGAATATTTCCAATAAATATATTGTAGGGGAAATCAAAATTTTACAATAGAGCTAATTTCTTTAATAATTTAAATTTACTATTTTGCTCATATCATAGCATGCATTTGGCATTATGTTGGATCATCAACTGAATGTCTGGGGAGAACATGGTTAATAGACAGACATTTAGAAGATAAATCAATCTGGAACAAATATAACGCTGCTTTCTATTGGGCTACGATGACAATGACAACGGTTGGATATGGCGATATAATTGCAATAAATGAAATCGAAATGATAGTCTCCTCTATTGTCATGTTCCTTTCCAGTTGTGCATTTGCTTACACCATGAGTTCTATAGGGATTATCTTAAAGAACATATATGACACATAATTAACCTATAAGTAAATGCTTGAATTTGATTATTGATAGAAAAAATCTGATTCAAATGACATAATTTATGCTAAAAAACAATGTGGATGAACAAATACAAGGGAGAATCAGGAATTACTTAAATTCTCAGCTCTATTAAGAGAAAAAGGAGAATATGGATGATGTGAACAATATCTTGAATTCTCTGCCTTTTAATTTGCAATAGGATTTAAATGCTGATATCTAGGCCAGAGTAATAAAGCAAATCAAATTAATCATTAATTACTTTTCCAAGTCAACCTAAGTCTAAGTGGCTAAGAATCTTCAACTAATTTCACTATTGGCTGGAGATGTGGTGTATAAATAAGGTGATCTTTCTGAGGATAGTCTGTAATAATTTCTACATTTAAGTTATTTTATACACAAGGGAGAGGTGAAGTAAACTGAGTTTCAAACCAAAACCACACTCAAAACATTGTAAAAAAACTAATATCTTGGGATTTATTCTTTCTTTACTGGTTTTTGTCCCAAGGAAACAGCTATATGTAATAGTCCAACTTAGTTATATAAAATAAATAGAAAGAAATTCTTAGAAATTATTCGAAGCAACTAGAAGGATCATGAAATTTTCCATCATATCAAAGACAAAATTATATTTACAAATAACTTGGTGTTGTTTGATCATAAATGCAATTTCTGTTCTCGGCCTTTTCATTTGGAAATCGATTGTCCACTTCTATCGTATAAGCCTGATTTAGAATTGATTTTGAAGAAAGATAACTTCACCGAGAAATTCAATAGCAGAATAATGGTAAAACGGAAAAACAACAGAAATAATACTTTTGGGTTTTTAAATAAATTAAATTCAACTCTAAATTAGTTTTAAGAGGATTAATAGATCTAACTTTTAGGTGCGAATGAAAACAATCAAAATGACACACCGCAATACAGAACTGGTTTGTCTGAAGTTGTTTATCAGAATTCAGCATAAATGATAGCTTAAAATTTGTAGAATCTCAGTGCCAGTGACGAAGAACTACATTCAGAATTGTAACACACTCCATAATAGTAATCAAAGCAGATCATTTCTTAATAATTGGTAAAAACTCAAAGTAGTATTCTTGTTTTCTAACTATTTTAGGGTCTTCTATATCAAAAATAAAAATAGGGAGAATTGAATATCGGACATCCAAAAGTAATTTTGCACCCATTACAGATAATTTAAATGGATCATTCTGCATTCTGGATGAAGTCAAATAAATTTTCAATTTCTAAAATGCTTTTAATTTAGACAAAGTGAACTTTGTGGGTATTTCCTATATGCCTCAATATTCTTTGGAGGCTCAAGTGAAACAAATGGCCAAAACCATGAAGAGGAAGAACCAGAGACTCTAAAGAATATATGATAGATTTGAAAAATACACTTTCTTTCATAAAGTGAAACAATTATCTCTAAAATTAAGGGTGTATTACAAACGAAGTAATAAATCAACTTTACAATGAATTGATTAATTTTATAATAATATAAATATAAAATGTAAGGTTAACCCATCCCATTCATTGAGTTAAAGGAAACTTAAACTTAAGAAGGAATGGAGACTATTTTCGAGATTCATCCTTAGGCAATTAAGATGTTGTAATCAATTGCTGACAGAAAAGTATTCACTTCTAATGGGATATTTAGGTAGCTGTTCTTACAATTGCAGGTCCATAGAGAACTGGAAAGTCCTTTTTAGCCAACAGGGTGTTAAAGAGATAAAAAGGATTCGCTGTTGGTCCAACAACCATGCCATGCACAAAAGGCATTTGGTTATGGAGCTAGCCCATACCTTTGAATGAAAATACTTCGATATTATTGATGGATACCGAAGGATTAAACTCAGTCCAAAGAGACTTGGGAGTCGATACTAAAATATTCTCAATATCTTTGTTGCTGTCTTCGATGTTTGTATTTAATCAATTGGGTCATATCGATGAGCAGTCAATAGAGAATCTCTCTCTTGTTATCAAATTAAGTGAGAACGTCAGTGTAGGATCAGAGGATAAAAGCTTGAGTCAGTTTTTTCCAACATTCCTTTGGGTATTAAGAGATTTCTCCCTGGATTTGAGAGGACGTACTCCAAGTGAATATTTGGAATTTGCACTTCAAGATCAATCCAATCCAGGTCCTGATGGAGAGAGGAAGAATCTTATTAGGAGAAAGATTAGAGAGTATTTTAAATTTAGAGATTGTATCTGTATGGTGAGACCAATTTAGGATGAAAGAAGACTAGCTAGAGTGGAAGAAGAGGATTGGAATGCCTTAAGACCAGAATTCATTTCAGCTGTTTAAGAGTTCGAGAGGAGAGTGTTCAAGGGCATCCCTCCAAAATAAATTAATGGCACCACTCTAACTGCTGAAATGTTCTTGAAACTCTCCCTTGAATATGTTGATGCCATCAATTCTGGTGGAATTCCTTAGATTCTAACTAGTTTAGATAGAGTCATTTAATAGGAGGCAAGAAATCTCTTGGAAGAACTGAAAAGTCTATATTCAAAAAGGTATTCAGATGCGTTGTCTAAGATGAAGCCTCCATTTGATGATGAGGAACTGAAATCTTTGAAGAAACAAATTGAAGCTGAAATATTCTAACGATTAGATTAAAAATCAAAAGAAATAATTGACAACTCCAAAATTCTGAGTATGAAAGCAGAATTAAATGAAATGATGGAACAAGATTTATAAACCAGATTAGAGATCAATAAAGAATAATCTACTACATTGGCTAATTAAATTTTATAGAAATTTTTTAATACTTATCAAGTTCCAGTTTTAGACAATGTTGATAGCATCAAACCTTCGCTCTTAGTAGAGCAATTTCAAACTTACAGCCGTTTTTTTAAATATTATATGGAAATTGTTAAGGGCTATTCCAAATACAAGCATTTTTCTGAAAAAGTGCCTTCATTTTTGTTTAGTTACTTTGAAAAACTTATATTAGGTGTATAAAAAGTCTACATTGAAGAAAACAACTCAACTAAAAAATATCTAGTATAAGCAAGGGAAGGCGAAGAAAGATTGAGGAAAACTATTGCGAATTAAGAAAGCCTATTATATGAAATCTAAAAGGAAAGGGATTAGTTAAAGTATGAAATAGAAAACTGGACTAGAGAGACGAATAAATAAGAAAAAATTAAAAGTCTCGAACTGGAGGCTTGTTAAGCCAAAGTTGTACAATTAACTTCAGAGGTGCAAAACAAAAAAGAAAAGAATTAAAAACTGAAACAAGATGTTTAAAATTTGTAAGAGTAACTCCAAAGAGTCAGAAATGAATTAAATGGAAAAAGAGTTGAATGTCAATAACTATTAAAACGAATGAATGAGGACAATTAATCCTTCAGAGAACCAGGAGAAGAGGTATTTAATATCAAAATTATTAGATCTCTAATGACTTGGTGTTATAATATAAAGATATGAAATAATAAGCTCATTAGATGAATGATTTTTTCAAAAGAAGAGCTATGGATCATTCTTAACAAAGCATCTTTCTATAAGAGATTTCAAAACTATAACAAGATAAATTTAATGAAATCATTAAACTGAGAGAAGATTATAAACAAAAAAAATAAAAGATGAAGGAAGAATTAGAGCAAGAAAAGTAATTATATTTTGTATCTAGAAAATCCTTGAAGAATAATCTTGAACATTTTATTAAACAAAATGAAGAACTAAAAGCTAAAAATATGACCTATTATGAGAAATATGAGCAAGCCCAAAAAAATCAGTAACATCTTAAGGTATTTTTTTCAATCTTATTTTGGATAGTAAATTTAATAAGAAAATCAAAAATTAGCTCAAAGGTTGGAAGAAAAATCAGAAAATTTGGATATGCATATCTAAGTCATTGAAAATTTCACTAAAGACATTGAAAAACTAACTAGTATAAGGGAAGATCTTGAATAAAAGCTTGCATTCATGAATTCAGAAAAAAGTTAATTAGTATCATTTAAAGAGAGCTTTCCATATATACTAAAGGGTAATATCTTATAAATTATATCAAATAGAGGCTTTGAAGTGGGTGTTAAAGTAAAATTCAAAAATAAAACATGCCATGAAGTCAGTGGGTGAAGAAGAGTAAAAGATAATTCGCGATTGTTTTCATGAAGTTGGAATTAATGTGTGAAATTATTAATTATTATAAATAAAAAGTAGTACGAAATACTACATTCCTAAACTGTAGAACAATAATTCTAGTCTATCATCTAAATTTCAATTTTATGAATATATATATTTTTAATGTCTAATTATATAATCCATTTATTTGATACTATTTTTTCAAATTTTATTTAACTATCTTTCTAAGTAAAATATGAATGCTATTCTTGTGGTAAATGATAAAAAAATGTAAGGTTTTAAATAATAATGAAAAATCAAAATAATTAATAAGAATCTTTGAGATACATATATTTTATGTTTCATTTTGTTAAAATAGAAGATACATTAAATAAATTAAATCTATAATATATTCTTGAAAATATTATTATTCTCATGAGTATTAATATCATTTCAAATAAATCGAAACATGTTATTTTATAATTTTTTAAGCATTATATTTTGTAATAAAATAGTTGATGTGGTGTAATCAAATAATTCCGCTATTTTTGAAATATTAGAAATGATAAAATTTACAATATTATAGATTCTTTTTCTTGTTTTAAGAGATTTATAGAAAGCCTCTTCTTGGATTGGGTTGATTGTGGGTTTTTATTTGATATCAATTCAAAAATATTTAGTTCCCTATTAAGTATAAAAGATGGAGGAAAATATAATAAAAATGAATGAAAAAATTATGGCATAATATTTATAAAATATAAAATGTCAATAATTCTTTCTAATTCAAAATAATAAAGAAAGCTACCCTTACTTAAAGATTATACAAGGTAAAAGAAAGAAATGTTAAAAACATTTTTTACTTCCAAAACTAGCAGATCTGAATCAAGATCTAAACAAAATAATGAGGTTTTCAAAGAGGAGAAAACTTACTATTTCGATGAGAGCATAAAGAAATAAAAGAATGCAATTTATCTATCATAAAAGTTTATTAGATAAGCTCCGCGAATTTTTCCTGCAAAGAATGATCCATAAATGAATTAAAGTGAGGAGATAAGTGAAGATAGTTCCGAGAAATCAAACAGTAGTGTGGATGTTTTTGATTTAGACAAACATAAGGAGCATGTTAAAAATAAATTAAGTATATTAGAGTGATAATTCAGAGATACAAATAAAGATGAATCATATTTTGGGTTCTTGAAGAATTAACAAAAATTGAGAGACATTGCTTAGCATTTCATACAAGAAGATGGGATGAATCCAATCTACTATTTTTGTGTTCATGATAGTTTGTTCCCCAAAAGAATCGATTTAACAAATTGCCTGGTTGATAAAAAAGAGATGAATTTTACTAATTTAGGTATTGGATCTAAATATTATCCAATATTGACCACATTATTGAAGTAACAAAAGAGTTAGAGAATTAAACAATTGTATTTAAGTGACAATAACTTAAAAGAAAAAGAATTAAGTCTGATTATAGACTGTATTCCTCTATCCTTAAAAGAATTAAAAATATCAAATAATAAATTGGGGAGAGCAGGAGCTTTGCTTTTAGAGAAATTGTTTATAACTCATAAAAGGTATCAATTCTTATTGTTTGATAGTATCAAATACTTAAATGTTGCCAATAATACTTTAGGAGATGCAGGAACTTAAATATTATTGAATGCTTTGATGAAGAACAATACAGTTACTAGATTGAATCTATCAGAGAATGGATTAACAGATTCGATCTCATAAATTTTATATAACTTCTTGGCTAATAATAAAACAGTGGAAGTCTTCATGTTAAATTGGAATTATTTAGGATCTTAGTCAGGCTAATTGATTGCAAAAGGACTGGCCAATAATAAATCATTAAAAGTAATCGATCTAAGTTATAATCACCTTGGGTAAAACAACTGCATGATTTATTGGAGCGAAATCATTTCAAATCCAAAACTTCCACTCATCCATATTGATTTATCATATAATCAATTTAGTGAATAGCAATTAAGAATTTTGAATGAAGCCTTAAAAAAGAACAATCAGATTTATGGTTTACATATAGAAGGAAATAAGTGTCCTGCCTATGTAGATCCTAATGGATTCATTCAATTTACTAATGATGGATTGTAACTTTAAGGAAACGCCTTGAGGTTGTAATAAAAGAAGTATGAAATTGATGGAGTAAATTTTATACCAGAATTAAACAATGGTCTAATTGGTAGTGATTGTTGCTGGATTTGTTAAGGTTGGATGGAATTTAAATTTAATTACACTCCAGATGAATTCAAAGGTGATGTGCCTATCTTTCTCCACCTTGATTTTTTAGAGTAATGATTATATTCAAAATTAGTTACAAACCAATTCCAATGACATCCAGTTTAGAATTGAAGGAGTAGATGAAATAATAAAGAAAGAGCAAATCAGTTGAACCATAACTGACAACTGGAGAAATAATTTATTAGTTAAAGTAAGTAATAAATGAGGATAAGAAAATAACTATGGCTGCAATTTAAGAGGCTTATGATATAGAAACTAAAGATGAAATTGTAGATGAAAGATGCTTGGATGATCTGGATAAATTTTATTACACTACTTATTAGATGTGCCCACCAAAAAGAAGGATTTTGTACTTCTTTAGTAATCCAATATCAGAAGACTATTTTATAGATAAAAATTCTTTAAGTATGACATCTCCCCCTGATGATTTAATATTACAAGGCAAAGATGCCAAATTTTAATTTCATTAATTTGCTGATGGAACTAGAATTAAATTTAAAAAGGTTAATCAAATCAACTATTTATTATCAAAATAAGAGTATGTTATAGATGACAAAAATGATTATAAACCATTAGTGAAAATATTCCCTCGATCTGCTCAAAAAAAATACATCTTGAGAAAATTTGCAAACAATTCCATCAGAAAGAAAGTGAATATCATCTTTTGGAATAAGGAGGATTCCTCTTTTAAGTAATTTTAGGGTGACAATGATGATTTATTGGATAATTGTTTAGATTTTGATTGGTCATGTAGTAAGATTACAAGATTTGTTAGAAATGAGTATGAGAGAACAAAAATGAAGGAATATTTTAGATAACAGTATTAATTATTAAAAGATGTGTATAAGTACCTTTCAAGTTTTGGACATTAATTTCCTTAATTTGATATGTTTTGCATATAATTCCCATAATTTTCAAAGTTAGTTCAACAATTAGGATTAATCGATGGAGTTGACTTGAAAATTTAGGATGTGGAAAGCAATTTAATTTCAATTAAGAATAATGTAGACAATAAATATATTTATAATCCTGATTTAGCTTTAATTAGATATTAATTTATAGAGAGTCTTTATAGATTGGCACTTGATAAATATGTAAGAACTAACATAGTGAAAAATGCAGCTGATGCAGTATATCGTTTATTGAAAGAATTTAAGCCTTATTTCAATAATTTCGATTCTACTTAGGAATGGAGATAAAGAAGATTGTGGAATAAGGAGTGTGATACTTTAATATAATTTAAAATGGGATTCTTAAAAAAATTATATGATTATATAACCGATATAAGTAATCGAAGATGGTATTTTAAACTAAAATGGATTTCCATTAAAGAATTTAAAGAATTTTGTAAGTAGATTGGATTGAATGAATATTTGAGTGACAAATAATAAATCATAATCTACAATTTTTCTATGATGTCTCAAGTGGATGAACTGAATTAAGATAGAAATGTCAGAATGACTCTCATAGAATTTATAGAATCACTTGCCAGAATTGCTGAAAGAATTAGTCCATGTCCAATTGATGAAAGAATAGCAGATTGGACTTATGAATAAAGAACCATATTGCCTTTAAATGTGAAACTAGAATCATTGCTAACATACATTTATATAAAGGTTAATAAAAAGTAAGTAGATATAATAATATAAATTTAAGGGGAGCGTTTGAATCCTTTAATGATGTGTTTGGAGATGAATAACAATAAAGAATTCAATTCATGCCAGCTCCAGAGTCTGTAATAAATGATGAAGAGTATTCCAATACTATAGAAACTTTAACTACTTACAATACATTGTCTTACTTGAGTAATAAATTTAGATTAATTAGCAGATCTCCATAAATAACCATACCTAAATCCAGATTATGTACATTTCTTGCAAAATCCGGTGCCCAATCAACCAAAATTTCATGGTCCTCTTTTGGTTAGAAGATTTTCAAGAGTAGATAGGAAGAATAAATGAATATTAATTTAATTATTGATGTAAAGTGAATAATTGAGTGAATAAAAATTGTATGCTTGGGGAAGTGCTGAATGTGATCAATTTTTAGCTAAGGATGAGGACGATGAGGAAGTATATGAAGTCAAGAGACCATATCAAATACAAACATTGAATAATCTGTCTATAACTTAAGTGGCATGTGGAGGAATGCATGCACTCTTATTGACATCATAAGGAAAAGTATTGCATAAAATAACTATAAAATAGGTGTATTCCTTTGGATGCGATGACAAGGGTATGCTTGGCAGACCTAAAATAGAAGAATAGGACGCTCGAGTTCCAGCTCTGATTATAGACCTTCCTCCTGTTGATATGATTGCTTGTGGTAGTTCTCATTCAATTGCTGCAAATTCTAATGGTTTAGTATATTTCTGGGGGTTTTATGCAAATACTCACGGTCCTATTGGAGAACCCGTGTAAAAGCCAAAAAAGATGGATAATATTACAGAGGGGATAAAAAAAATACTCTGCGGTTAAAATCATACTATGGTATTATTGGAAAGCCAAAAAGTAAAGTAGTTGTTTACATATAGTTACTCACTTGGGGTGATGCAGAAACTTTAGTAATAGGTAGAAAAAGTGAAACTAGAAGATCTATTATTCAAAATTTAAATCCACAACCTATCAAGATGAAAAAACCAATCTTAAACATTTTTACAGGGGCTTCTCATGCATTTGTTAAAGTTTAAATGAAAGATAACAAAGTTGGAATTTATGGGTGGGGATTAAATAACTATGGATAATTGGGAATTAGTAATCAAGAAAATTAATAATTGCCTGTATTCGTCGAATTTTTTAATAATATTGATGTTATTGATATGGTGGGAGGAGAACATCATACTATTGCATTAGATTCTGAAGGAAATCTTTACTCATTTGGTAGACATGATGATGGACAACTAGGATTAGGAGAAGAAATCAATTAAAAATTAAAAGAACAAGCATAAAAATAATTAGAAGAAGAAATGTAATCATAAAAACTCAATGAAGGAAATAAAAAAAAAATAAGCAAGAAAAATAAATAATAAGGGGAACTCTTCGAAATCTAAAAGTCAGATAAAGTTATTGGATATGAATTTATCACTGCTCCATAAATGATCTAAGATATCCCAAAAATGTAATCTATTTATTCTTCCATGCATTTTAATTTTGCAATCTCTCAATAAAGTTAAATATTCTCCTGGGGAAATGGCTAAAGTTTTGTACTTGGTACCAGAAATGAAAATTCCCAATTCAAACCTAAAGATGTATCTTATTATATTTATCATCATTAAAGATTACTACCATCTTAAAAAATGAAAAGCTTTTATATATATCACTTGGTGCTAGTCATGTGATTGCATATACATCAACAGATTTAAACTACAATACTTAAAAAATTGATGAGTCAATCATAAAAATACAAGATTAAAACACAAAATATAAAAAACCTAGAAAAAGCAATAGCAGAGATATAAGCAAGGAAAGTAGTATGAAAAGAAGTGTATAAAAATTTGATGACAGTTTAATTCCAGTTAAAGATTTGAAAATAGATTGATATATGAATCTTAAGTTTAATCAATTTTATATATAAACACATATAATTTATGTTCTCTCATTCTAGAATCTTCAATCTTTATCATAAGACCAATCTTAACCCAAATTAGAGTTTACATTAATACACATTTATTTCTTAAAAATATACAGTTTTATTGTTTTTGCTATTTCATTAGAGAAAAACATTTAATTTCTCTTTTTAATAAATAGGGTGCTGACCAATACTTATCTTTGAAGGGATTTGTTCAAAAAACATTTACTTTAAATAGGAGAATATTTTTTTAAGGCTTAAAAATATTATATAAAAAAATTGGTAATTATTGCAAATAGAATAAAATACTGAAACGATTTCTAATAATTTGAGGAAGATTTGTATTATTCTTTTATGATTTAGTTATAATTTGTATATTTTGGTCAAAAAAGATAATTTGATAATAGTAAATTTGTTGTAATTCTAATTTTCATTTTTATTAATATTCGTTTCATCACTTTGCCTTATGTTTTCTTTCAAAGATTTTTTTATTCAGACTTAGATAAAATGCTATATCAGATCTTGATTTTTCCAAAATGCTTGAACACCATATAAAATTTCCAAAATAGATTTTGATGACTTGTTTTCCGATTTTGGATTTGATTAGTTCTCTAAAATGAGACTTATTGTAATTTTGGCGTTTCACATTTATGAATTTCGAAATATGAAGGTCTTTTTTAATTTTTTTTACATCAAAGTTGTTTTGTATAAACGAACACACTTTTTATCCTAGAGTCTTGTAGAAATTTTTAGATTGCCCTGGGTACATATAGGATTTATGAATAGTCGTAGGATTTGGATCTTGATTCTATTCTATGAAATTTTTTTTCTCTTGCATTTGCTCAGTCTGTTCGAGCTTCATTTCATTAATCACTTGATGTTATGTTTCCCTTTGCAATTTCAAGCGATAAACAGGAAAAGCCCAATAATATCGTCCTTCGAAACATGCTGAAAATACTGGTGCAGGATTAAAATTTTACATATATTAATTGATAATAATTACTATAATATTGAATTAAATTGCTGGGCAAGAAGTTGGGATAAACTGATTACTAAGTTAATGATGTGTTTTTTTGCTTTACAGATATTATTCACTTGGAATTAAGATTAGTAGTATTAAGAAATTGATGTAATATTTATGAGTTTATAAAAAATTAATTATAATTGAAGGAATATTTCTTAATTGTTATGATATTTGATAATTTATATTAAATTTTGAGGAAGCCGTTTGAATAAAATCGCAAATAAAACTTTCTGTATTTCATAAAGCAAATGATAAAAGTCAATTAGTATTATGAAGGTTTATTACTATTTTTCCAGATAGTTGATCCAAAAATAAACTATCATTTGTTTTGGTTAATTACAGTGATAATAAAGCCATATATAAAAATGTATTAATTATTAATATCAAGCCTAAACAGAAGATAAAAAATCAATAATGCTGACATTTGTGTTGATTACATTAAGCCTGAAAATTAAGAGATTTTTCTTTTTCTATCTATCTGACTTTAAGGAATAATATTATAATGAACTACGAAATAATTAATATAAATTAATATAATACCAATTATAAAAAAATTAAAAGCTTTTATCTCTATTATTGATAAATTTTTACATTGTAGATATTATAAAGGAAGCATTCAAGAAACATACATAGATTGATTAGATAATCGTTTTCATAATTATTTACTAAATGAAAAATGACATATCTAACATAAAATTAATGAATTAATCATTAAAGATGATTTCAAATCCACAGATGAGCAAATTTAGTTTTTAGGCTTAGAATGGAAGAAAAATTGATAACTTTGAACAAGGGATTAGAAGCAATGCTTTGAGTAAATATAATATGGCATTTGAATTATACGAAAAAATTGAGTTGAAATAATCAAGATCTAAATAGAATTTCATAATACAAATGAAAAAATTATAATTAATTAGTTTAGATTTAATATTTATCATAGATAATATGTGATGTACTTAGAATTCTAAAGAATTTTTTAATTAATAAATTAGCTTAATTAATATTTGGAATTAAATTTTACCATAAAAAGAAACAATAGTAATCGATAAAAAGATTAATATTAAATACTGTCAGTCATTCCACTCTTTTAATAGAATTTTATCAAGCATTTTTAAAAAGAATTCAAACTATCCAAAAATTTTTCATTCCGATTGGAAACCATTAATCTTAAAGGAATTAATTTAACTCAATATTTTTTAATCTTAAATTTCTTTAGGATTATTTTCTATTTTTTGATATATTGGAGATGTAAATAATAAAGAAGATGTTTCTAAAAAGAATATGATTTTCAGAAACGTTTTGACAGTATTAAATCATGATAGTTTTCGAACAATTATCTTGATGAAATTAAAAAAATTAAGAAAAAGAATAATATAGAACTAGCAAAAGGATTCAATTGATTGAAAATAATAGATTCTACATTTAAATTTAACACAATCAATTTAATTTTATTAGATTTATGAATAAATCCTTTCAAACTTTTACTAATTAAATATACATATTATTAATAAAAATAATGAATTAATATACACAAAATTCATCCATGCAAATCTAAGATATTGGTGAATTCTAAATTTTAAAACCGATCTCCAATTCCAATTTTATTCAAGTATAAAATTTAATAGGTTTTAGATTTTTTAAGTAAGAAATAATAAAGATGGATAAAACTACACTCTAAAAATTGCAGATCCTAAGAATTCTGCTTTTGGTGAGCATGAGAAAGAGATACTAAAAATAATTGATTCGCCAAAAATTATCAAATTTATTGATCTGAGGTTGGATCAATAATATTAATTAACAATTTTGGAAGATTTTGAATGTATTATTTGTGGATTTGAAACTAGATACTCTCGAAGAGTTTTGGATCTAAAACAATAAAAAATTTTCAGAATTCATGGCTTTGGACATAACTAAAAAAATTTTAGAAGGATTAGAAATTTTAGAATAAAATGACATTGTTCACGCGAATTTATGTATGAAAAATATTTACATAAAATAACCTATGTACAAAATAGCAAACTTTGAACATTCATACTTGAATAAAAAAGTTGTATTAATATATATAAATTTAGGGTTGGGCTTAAGTATAAATTGCTCCTGAACAGTTCATGCCTGGATATTTAACATCAAAGGCAGATATTTTCTCTCTTGGTTGTATGCTATTTGAGATGATTTTTCGATAATTTCCATTTAATTAATATAGTATCCCTGAATATTTAGATTAAATATAGCAAGGTAATTAAATTCTATTAGACTTTCAGGATAGCTTTAGTTTAATCAAGAGAAGGATATGCTCGATAGTAATTTTGCTATTGAATTAATAAAAAAAATGGTCTAATATAATCCTAAATAAAGACCTGGAATCATTGAGATTAGACAAATGATAGACGAAAATAATGCAATTAAATCGAGTTAAAATCCAGCGCTCCAAACTTAAACACCCTAATCCAATCCAAATCTTTGGGGAGGAAATAATCAAAATTATATATTTGAAACTCAACATTTTACGCTTGAATTTGTTGAAACTGTCTCAAAAAATGCATTATTCTTTTTTGAGGTTGCAGAAAAATTTGGAGGAAAATAATTTTATAATTGGAAAAAGACTATGTATCCTAGATTTATGTTGTACAAAAGAAGCTATGCCGAACTATTATAATTTACTAAGGATGTCAGAGCAAGAGCTGATCTAAAATAGTTCAAAGTATGCCTTGAAAAAAATGAAACAACCTTATATAAATTAAAAATAACTTTGGAATAAATTTTGAAGCCTTTAAAGTACTTAATATTATTTAATTTTAGAAATAAAGATGATTACTAGTATAAAATTACTAAATGGGAATAAGAACTTAATACCGATACAAATGCACTATTCTATAATAATTATTAAAAAGCTCTTAAATATTTAATGGATTATTTTAAAGAATCTTAAATACCTTTTTCAAAATCAAAGGAAACTTCATAGAAAGTGAAGGAAATGTTAATTCTCTAACTATAAGTTCAAACATGTGAAACTTTTAACCCGTATTTTGATAATCAAAAGGAGAAGTTGGAAGAATTAGAAGAACTTGAAAAATAAACAAATGAATTCCTTCTAAAGAAGGCTGGATATGAAAAATGAATTATAATTTAATTATAAAAATAAAAAATGAGCAAATTGTCTAATAAAGAAATAAATGGTTATAAATTAATTAAATTGATTGGAAAGGGAGCTTTTGGCTATGTAAATTGAATATTAAAGTAGATTTATTAAGGAAATATTCTAAAAACAAAAGAAGTCGTAGCAATTAAGGTGGTAGAAATAGAAAGATTTAAAGAATGTGATGGACTTTTAGGTAAACTAGTCTTATCAGAGTAAGACGCATTAAAAAAGGTGAAAAGCTAGTATGTAGTAGGGTTTATTGATTGTTTTTAAGACAATTCATATAACTATTTAGTTATGGAATATTGCGATTGTAATCTGGTATATACATTTTCGTAGCTGGAGATCTAGAATAATAAATTAAAGATCCGAAGACTTTTTTAACAGAACAAGATGCTATAGGGATCCTCCGATAGATTCTTTAAGGATTAAGAGACATGCATGCAGCTCTTATTATTCACAGAGACCTGAAATTAGCCAATATTTTGATCCATAATCATTCGATCTATAAAATTGCAGATCTTGGATTTAGTAAGATATTGCAAAATGAAGTAATACCCTGAAAAACATTTAGACTGATTTATCTTGTTTATAACTTGGATCTCTATATACTATGGCTCCAGAAATTTACAATTAAAATTCCTACGGCTTATCATCTGATATGTTTTCAGTTGGTGTTATTTTTTATTAAATCCTATTTGGAAGGTTTCCATTTAGTCAAAACGACTACGAATTAGAAACTTAGCGTAAATTTAATAATGTAAACTTAGCATTAATTAACTTTACAAGGAACAAAATTCCTGTTTCAGAGGCCTCAAAAGATCTAATTACAAAAATGCTGTAATTTGATCCACAGAAGCGAATTAAGTTTGAGGAAATAGCTAAACATAAGGTGTTTGAGAAACAGATGTTTAGTAATTTCTGATTTTCTAATTTAGATTAAATCAGTAGGATTTAACTTCAGAGTTCCAAAGTTAGGATAGAGGAACATTCTCAATTCTATCAAAAGGAAGGGAAAAAAATTGAAAAAGAAAATCAGTAAGAGATCCAAGCAACAAAAGAACGTTTGATGTCTTTCAAAAAACCGTAAGAAGCAGGTCAAAATTTGTAATAATAATAACTCTAGTCTATTTCGAACTAAATAATTGATATTAATCTTATTAGTGGGGAAATTAGTTTACCAGTAAATTCATAGAAAAAAAATGAAATGAATTAGAAAATAAATCATTTTAACAAAACTATGAATGATATATACTACTTTTCTAATACTATTTAAGAGGTCTTTTAAATTCAAATGAGGGCTCATTATGCAGCTATAATTTTATGTTATTAGGTTAAAATAATGACTTCTAAAATCCAAGAATAAATGTAAGATTAAATTTAAATTCACAAAGGTGATATTGATTTGGAATTTGATTTAACTCAATTAAAGTAAATATTAGAATTAGCAGAATAATTATACATGGTTATAGATTTTTAACTATAGGACATTGCTTAATAATAGATTTAATCTGGAGATATAAGAATTCAAGAGATGCTAAAAAATCAAATAAGTAAAAAATAGTTAAATGATAATCTCTATAATGAAATTAATGCACTCATTACAAAAGAAAATAATTAAATCACATATGTTTTATACCATATGATTAAGTGCTGCTAATACTGCTTTATGTTAAACCAGCAGTACAAGGAAATCGAATTAGATATCAACAACTTTGATATAAAAAAGTCTAAGTAAATACACCCTAATTAAAACGATATTAAACTTGACTTTAAAAAAATATAAGAGTATGATTAATAAATATAATGAAAAATGTTAATGAATTATGAATATATATATTTTTGGTAGGTTGGCTTCATTTAGTATTTATAATAAATAAAAATCAAACCCAGGTGTCATATCTTAATAATTATTATATTTTTTTTTATTAAAATGTCTCTTCCAGAGCTTAATAGAGGGGATGTAATAGAAGATTATACTTTACAAGATCCTCTTGGTAAAGGTAGTTTTGGAGTGGTACATTCTTAAACTATATAGGTTTTTAAAGCCAAATCTAATAAATATGGGACAGTGGCATTGAAAGCTATGTTGAAAATAAGATTTAAAGAGCACAATGGATTTTTAGGAAAATTAGTTGAAAATGAAAGAACAGCATTATCATTGCTCAATTCCGATCATGTGATTAAATTATATGACTATTTTGAAACAAGAGATTTTGCCATATTTATTTTGGAATATTGTGAAGGTGAATGTTATTATTTGATTTCAAGGTGGTACTTTAGATGAATATTGGTAAAAAAATTAATGTGTTATTCCCTAATTTCAAGCATTGATTTTCTTTAAATAATTGTTGAAAGGAATGAAAACACTACACAAATAGAAAATCATTCATAGAGATTTAAAGATGGCTAATATTTTACTACATAGAGATGTGTTAAAAATAGCTGATCTCGGTTTCTGCCATTTGTTAAAAAATTAAGTCCATATTATTTTATATCAACTAGGATGACTTGGCTGTTGGTAATTTAGGTTCAACCGGAACCATGGCTCCAGAAACCATTGAAGGAAAACCATATGGCTTACAAGCCGACATGTTTGCAGTTGGAGTAATATTATACCAAATGATATTTTCTAAATTTCCTTTTAACTCAGCTAATAAATACACATTTCTAAACGACGTTAAAAATGAAAGTATTTGTAAGGCATATATCACTTTAGACCCTCCAAAATTTAAATTAAAATCCTAAGATGTTGTTGACTAAAACATTAAAGACTTATTATCAAACATGCTTAAATACGACCCAAAATAAAGATTAAAATGGAGTGATTTGTTTAGTAATTAAATTTTTATGGGATAAAGTTCAAGTATATTTTATAATAATTTAAGTGAGCATAATTAAAGATCACACTTAATATTTGGCTGATATTGATGCATAAAAAAATAAGTTGTTTTATAAGAATGCAGAAGAGAATGAAAAACAATACGAAACTTAGAATCCAATAAATGATGAACAAATTTTAAATGAAATTCTCAAAACTAATGATAAGTTTTAGGATTTATTAAGTTAGTCAAAAAAAAAATCCAACAAACCAAAAATGAATTCTTACAATCAACAAATAGAAAATCAAAAACTCTAGCAATCTGAGATTCTAGTTTAAGAATAAAATAAAATAGATTTAAAAGAAATCGATATTATCAACAAATACATTAAAGCTAAATAACCTATATCTTGTCTAAGTATAATTTATAATGACATGAAATAATTTCGACATAAATAAGTCTTTGATTGCATTTTTGTTAGTTATATCCTAATAAAGCAAATTTATTACTCACATTATAAGCTAAGGGCTGAAATCAAATAAAATAAATTTTTTCCTTAATTAATATAACAACAGACTTTTAAAACCTTCATGAAGGAATTTGATGAGGAAAATGAATTTCTTTCCATACACTTATCGTTTGAATATCAAACTGTTCAGTATTGAGTTTATCTATATTAGAGCTAATTTAAAAAAACTAGAAAAGTATCTTAAGCCGAATTGGACTTGTGAAGCCTCAGAACTATCTCAGACTTAAAAATTCTAAGATATTTATAGAGAAGTTCTCTAAAACTATTTAAACATTATTGCAAAAGAGGAACTAAAGCAACAGGGAGAGCCTAATCCAGAACGTTTACGATATATTGCAATGGTGATCAATATATTGGATTATGAAGAACTAATTACAATTAATGATATTGATAAAGGGATTGCTGGGATTAAGAATAGGGATATTAATGAATTAATTTAATTCATATAAAACTCCATTTAATGAAAGTGATAATACCTATATTTATATTTATTATACCAAAATATATCAACCCAAAATAACTATCCCGATTTTCCTATTTTAAACCCTTATCAAAAATCAATTAAAAATTTTATTAATATAAAAGAGATCATGAATTTCATGGATGATCCAATGGAAATTGAATAAAGCGATGTTAAAGTTCAGGAAGTTCATTAACAGAACAGATTCCTGCATTCTAAACGAATGATCATCGTTGATGAGAAATGTTAAGCAATGGTTCCAGATAAGCCTGAAAAAACATTAGAAAAATTTAAAAAGCATGTAATTGGTGTTATTTATAGTTAGAGATAAAGTCTAGTATTTCAAACGTAGTAAATCTAAAATATTTCCGATATTGAAGATTATCTACTTTTTGCAACATCATTAATCTTGAACTAAGTTGATGAATCAATAACAGATGATAGTAAAAAGAAGAATAAAGGATTCAGTGGCGATGGCTTAATTTTAAGTGGATTATCTATTACATAAGAACAAGTTAATGAAAAGGCATTGATGTTTTTGAAATTAATGGATTATAACATTATCAAAGCAAAATTTTACTTACTATTTCCAAGTTTGATCATTTATAACCAATATAAACATAGGCACGCCTTAAAATTCAGTGATGAATACATGAATGAAAAAATTGAATAATATATTAGTAAATTGAATGAAGATAAAATGATGCAATAGAACAAATGGAAATAGGATTTAATGGAACTCATAAACAACAAATAAAAAGTTCACCTGGCTTAACTATAAACATTGTTAGAATAAGGATAATAATTAAAATACGAGGTACCTGAATCAATAAAATAAATACATTAATCCTCAATATAAATATAAAAATAATTAAACAAATTATTTAAAGAAAAATAAACTTTAGAAAAGTTACGTTAAACCTTAGAAAAGTATGAAGAATAAATTCCAATAATAACACCTGAGATTTAATAATTGAGAGATTAAGTCTAAAGATCTGAATCATTTTTTGTAAAACTGTCAAAACTTCCAATACCTGTTAATGACTATGAGAATTTTGATTCAGTTTTTGAGAAATTAATATCTAACTCGATGAATTAGAAAATTTAATTAAGAGTGCTTGCAAATTGCAATTAAGAATACAAATAACTGCCAATAGAGATAAAAGCATTTGAACTATTACACAAAAGATTATATGAATATGTATTAGACTTAGTGGAGAAGATTATAAAATTTACAAAGATATAGTAAACAAAAACAAGATTAGGGTAATAGAATTCCAATTAAAGTGAAAAAATAGAAAAAATTTCTTTAGCTCAAGCTGGATCATTAAATTAGTAAATTCTATATTTGATTGTTACTTGTGATGATTTCGATTAGTTTAATGAGCTTTATTAGTAGGCATTAGAATTAAATGAAAGAGCTTAATAATAAATTGATGATCCTGAAATGCAACAAAGATTGCTATTAGAAGTTTTGGATTGTCCATTTTATTTGGATGTTCAAGAAAAATTATAAAGTATAATTGACTATTCCTAAATTTTGGATTAAATTAAACAAAATATGTAAAATGGTTAACATTAAGAGGCTAATGATTAGATATAGACACTTTTTAATAGAGGAATAATAAATGACGATCTTAAATAGTTACAAGAGATTAATCATAAAGTTTTAGAATGGAATTAATTAGCAGATGAGATCATAAATTATCATGATAATGTAACATTAATCGATGTTTATCATGATAACTTTGAATTACAATAATATCCTAATACCTTGTTTTAACCATCATAGGATATTATAAAGTAATTGGATCCTGTGAAGGTTTAAGAAATCAATAAGATTGCAGAAAGAGTTTTGATTTGGAAAGACTCGTTAATTTCATTGATTGATTGCAAATAAGTGTAGGTTCAATAAACAAATAGAAAGAGTAATTAAAATAAATCATTTAATAAATTATGGGAATTATTTAGGGAGGGTTTAAAATACAAATAAGAGTTGTCTTTGATGGTTAAAGTGAGACAGACTATACTCCAAATTTTAGATTGGCACGCACAAGTTACTCTTATAAAATAAACATTAAGAGTTAATGATGATACATCGTTATAAATTGATGGTATTGAGACAATTAGAAAGATGTACATTTAAAAGTATGGGTCGCAGTAAACATAAGATTAAATAGATAAATTATAAAAGTTTTAATCTCCATTTTTGAGTGGAACAAAAGATTTATAAATCATTTAAGCACTTACCTAACATATTGAAAAATGGAATAAGGATGCTTAAGAGGCTTTACAAACATAAAATTAAGAGCTTATCAAAAATTTATTAGATGAGGCTCCAAAATTACCTGTAGAAGAACAATTAGTAAAAGAACTATAAAATTTGCATGCCTCATCCATAAAGATTAGTTGGATAAAATCAATTATTAACAGTTAAGATCCTCTATTTGAATCAGTCATGAAAGCATTATAAAATGATGAATCAATTAAATAACTTAAAGAAGAGATGTTCTAAATATATGCACAAAATCCACAAAACAAAAAGAAGAAAGAAGGCACAAAATTATCTAAGCTTGCATAGAATTTTTATTTAAATTTTCAAAACACGATAAAATACTACTTAAATCAATTAGCTTAATTGGATGAAAACAAATTAAAAAAACTCTAACCTATAAAGGTGTAAAAGCTAAAAGATTACTAAAGGGATGTTTAAAATGAAGAAATTTCTTAATAAGTGGATGAATGGACTGAACAATTTTAGTAATGGTAATGTTAGGTTATAAATGTTAATGATTAATAATAACAAAAGAAAAAAAAGAAGCACAAGGATTCAGAATCATTAACTGAATCTTATTATCTAACTGGAGATCTATTGTATTATTTTAAAGTTCCAGAGCTTCTTTGCCTTGTTTTGTAAGGAATAGAGAATAATTACATTAGTTAAGAATTGATAAGTTCTATTGAAAAGCTAGTGACAATAAATAGTTAAGCTGATATAGCATTATAGGTTTAAAGTGTTAAGGAAGTTCATTTTTACTCTGAAGTTTTTATGCCTGAATTTTATGTAATGGCTAAAAAATTTAGGGTAATAAATAATTGGATAACAATGGCTTAAGATATGATAAATGACACACCTAGGCTAAAAAATTTGATTATGGTATAGAAATTGAAGCCATTCTTAGAGTATCTAGACTAAGTTTAGAATTAAGAGCTAAGGAATTCCAAATCTTAATCAGTGTAACAATAATAATAATAATAATAGTAATAATAACAGTAATAATAATAATAACAACAATAGTAAGGGCAATAATAATAATAGCCAGCTTAATAAGTATCAAACATTAAAAAAAAAATGTTAAAATCGATAAATAAATTTAGAATAAAAAATTAAGAAGAACCCTAATCTGTTGTTGATCAAGAAAGTCAATCAATTAAACATTCTAAAAGGGTAAAATAAGTTTCGAAATTAATGAGGGATGATAGTATAGCATTTTATGATGCAAATATCCCTTTGGGAAAAGCCTTCAAATAGACTACTAATGAAAGTTTAACATCTGATCCTGTCATATAAGCTATAAAGAAGACCACAAATAAGAGGTGTTATAAAAAGGGATTAAATAGAAAAATACTGCCTAGTGTAGAAGTTGAAATAGGAAGCCCAAATTTGTTAGATTAGATAAAAATGTAATCTTAAGAGCTCCTAAATTTATACAGTTAAGAGGAAGTCTATTGCACATGCAGATAAGGAGGAGAATCAGCAATTTCAGATCTTTAGATTATCAAAAGTTTACACGAAAATAATGTTTAATTATTTCATTAATAATGCTTGAAATAATAGTAACAGGTTAAGTACATGATATTTTGCGATAATTGTGAAGAATGGTATCATTATGAATGCATGGGAATTAAGAAATTAAAAGAATAATAATAAGACAAGTATATTTGCAGAAGTAATTATATAAATGATATCTATAGTTTGTTTGATAAAAATGAATATTCCATTTTATATTTTAAATGAGAATTTGTGGGATCAATGTCTGGACCCATAATCAGAACTTTATGATAGCTATTAGAAGTTAAAGTAAGGATTGGAAAAAAATATACTCCCTAACTCAGGAGATTATATTTACTCTCAATTATAATTACCAACTGTAGAAGATTTCAAAGAGTTTATGAAAATTGGCAAGAATTTACCAGCACAACTAGTTGAACTAGAACTCCTTGAATTACTTGAGTAAAAAATCGATTAATGGTTAATATAATACAATGATTTGAAAAACTAGTCATTGCCATAATTGATTGCATTATATGCTGAAACTGAATGGCTACCAATAAGTTTACCTTAATAAAAGATTCTTATATCACTCATATGCCAAAAAGAGTTTTTATATACTGCAAATGAATAATTGCAAAGCAGGGCAACTTTTAAGACCAAATAATTAAAAAAGCCATAATTGGATAGAACCGAATAACTTTACATATATGTAAAAGAAAAACACCCAGATTTATTATAAGATCTTGATAATTAGATAGTTAAAACAATATAAATGTTAAGGATTTAATAAGATCTCAATAATTAATTGCAATAGCAAATGAAATAACAATCAACATTAGAGTAATATGATCAGTTGATTATTTAATATGAAAAGGAGATCAAACTCTAAATTTAGAAGACGGACATCAAATTTTCTTTACCAAAATTAAATGAATTAAGATAGTAAATTACAAAGATCCAGTAATGGAACGCAGAGATTTTTGCTATATTTAAAGATGTTGATGATATTTATACTTCGAATGTAAATCCAATTATTTATTTTATAGCTAAGTTAATAAATTTATGATAGCAAACCCAACTTTTCTGATATATAAGTAAAACTGAAAGAATATGAAATGATCTCTATCAAAGTTCCAAATTAATGCTATGAATTTCTCAAAGCTCTCCAATCAAAAGCTGAAGAAATAATTGCTAAGATTGATTCGAATGTGTCTTAATTATCCTTTGATGAATAATTTGAATTATGCAGATCAGCATATTAGTTGAAATGCAAAATTCCTTAATTTAAGAACCTTGTAAATAAGTATGAATAATATTAATTATAAGTGTGAATAAGGACGTCTAAATGAGAGTTATTCAGTGGCTTCCATTTATAAAAGCAGGATTGTATTGAATTTAAGTTGTCAATTTTTATAATGATTATAATTTTATTCACTTTAATTAAAATAGAAGAAAATTAATCTGTGTATAACCTACTTTGCAATTAATAAATCAGAAAAGTAATTGATATGAATAAGCAAAGTAAATTCTAGTGTTTCTCCAAATTTGAATTGAACTCCATTCCATTGAGTTGATTGAGAATTAAAAATTTTAATTAAAGTTTTTCATCAGATCACTAATCAAGGAATGCTCATTGGATCTATTGTTATTAACTAAATAAAGTAAAAGGCTTAAAAGAAATTTGTTTCATATTTCTTATAAAACTCATAATTAAATGATTAAGATCTTTAGAAATAATTATTTGAGTTATTCCTCATAATAACTTCAAAAGTATATATCTCTTTATAACAAAATTTTAACAACATGTTTTGATTAGAGTTGCAACTTAAATTTAAAACTTAAATAAAATTTGATTTAGATCAGACCGTACGCCAATATCATAATTTATTCCTTAAAGATCATTATACTTATTTTCTTGAGGTTCATTCTTTGCTAGATTATACTTTTAAATCGAAAATGAGTTTATCAACTAAAGGTTTTAATTTTTGATTTTTTTATTGTTTAATGTTGGTGTTCTTTTTGTGGGTATGTACATTTGAAATCTTATTCATCATTCTATTTTGGATTGTTTTCCATAGTTATTCAATATTAAAGATTAAAATGAAATGTTTTATTTTAATAAAATTCCATAAAAAACATGTAAGAAGAATTGTTAAGATCTAAAGAGCAGTCTATTTTTCCCATCTAATAAGAAAGATTAATGTAATAGGAGGTTGAATAAGAAGATCAAGCAAAAGATCTTTACAAAATGATTGATCAAGGAATAGTATATTATAAAAATGGGCAATATACATTCGCAAAAGTGGTCTTATATAGGAGTTCTAGTACTCTTCTTTCATAAATCAAATAGAACAGTATGAAATATTTAATTTATAAAGAAATTTCTGAATAGGAGAAACCAATGGCTATGGAAAAATTGTAAGATGGAGTTCGACTTGCTGAATAATGTAACAAATAAATTACATAAAAATAACAATAAATTGTTAAACTTGATCATTAACTTTTTATAGGCTTAAAAAGACCCATATTGCCAATAAATAATTGAAACATCCATGATTAGAAAAATCGATGTCGGTTTTGAAGATATAATTGGTTTAGAGCACATCAAAAATCAACTTGAAGAAACTATTATTTTGCCGAATTTAAGACCAGATATATATACAGGTATTAGAGCTCCTCCAAAAGGTAAAATTTTTTAATTAGAAAAGGAATTCTTTTTTATGGTCCTCCAGGAAACGGAAAGACTTTGTTAGCCAAAGCCGTAGCAAATTAAATTAAATGTTGTTTTTTCAACATAAGTGCTTCAACACTAGTGTAAAAGCATTTAGGTGAAGGAGAAAAGTTAATGAGAGCTCTATTTGATGTGGCCTTTTAATTATAGCCTTCTGTAATTTTTGTGGATGAAATTGATTCAATACTATCAAAAAGGTCACAAAATGAACATGAGGCAAGCAGAAGATTAAAAACTGAATTTCTAATATCCTTTGATGGAATTCAATCTTCAGATTAAGATAGGGTGTTTTTGATTGCTGCCACAAATCGACCTTAAGATATAGATGATGCAGTTCTAAGAAGATTTGTAATTAGAATTTTTTATTAAGACTGTAAAAATATTGATAGACTAACCAGAATTAAAAGTTAGGGTAGAAATGGTTAAATCTCTCCTTAGTAAAGTAAAGAATAATCTGACAGAGTAATAATTTCAATATGTTGCAGAGAAACTTTAAGGTATATAATATTGTAATTTAATTAGGTTATTCTGCAAGTGATATCAAAGCAGTAGTTAAGGAAGCTTGTATGCGACCATTGAGGACAGATCGAACTTTAATTTTATCGATACATCGTCAGGATATTAGGGCAGTTTCAAAAGAAGACTTTGATTTTGCTTTAGAATAAGTGAAACCTACTTTATCATAATAATAATATGAAGAATACGTTAAAAACTTTAAATGATTGCTTTTTGTATTTATAAAACTTAAATTTATAAAATTTAAAAACATGTACCAATGTGTTTTAAATTACACAATCAATAAAAGCATATTGTTAGGGAAAGGTGGATTTGGAAGTGTCTACTTGGCTTAAAATGAATTAAATTAAGAGTATGCTTGCAAAATAATGTAAAAGTTTTGAGATAAGTAGATCATTACAATCAAGCCAAAATAACTATAAAAAGCTTAAATAACTCGTTGATAGAGAATTATCAATAATGAGTACCTTAGATAATCAGAATATTGTAAAGATGGCTCATTCTTATTTCGATGGCAAAAATATTTACATTTTTATGGAGTATTGTAATGGTGGCAATCTGAAGAAAAAAATTAGAGAACTTTAATCAATTTACCCCTGTCCAAAGTTTTATTAGTAGAAATATGAAAAATTGGCTTAAGAGGTATTTTGGGATATAATTGACTCTCTAAATTATTTATATTCTAAAAACATAATTCATAGAGATATCAAACTGGAGAATGTTTTAATCCATAATGGCAAGTACAAGCTTTCCGATTTTGGATTATCCAAGTTTTTAAGTGATATCGATGAAGTAAGATTATATTTTTAATAAACACAGGAACCTATGAGTAGCATATTAGGGACTCCATGTTATTAATCACCCCAATTACTAAGATAGTAAGTGTATTCACCAAAAACAGATATTTGGTCCTTAGGTGTTTTACTGTATGAGTTATTAAAAGGAGGGGAATTACCTTTTAGAGGTTTTAACACTCAAGACTTATTAAAAGATATTGAAAATAAACTGAAAAGTAATCTATTTTTACTAAAATAGCCAACTACATATAAAATCAACTATTGTCAGTAGAAAATAAATTACTTTAGTATTTAGTTTCAAAAATGCTTGTCATTGATGAAGAGTCAAGATTAAGCCTAAAAGATCTTTTATTAAAAGTCAATTAATTTAGAATCAATGCCTAGTTAATGTAAAAAGAGAATATTACAGCAACAGAGACCAGATGTAAACCATATAGGCCAGAGAAAATAACATCTAAAAAGCCTACTAATTAAATTTAAGAAATTAATAAGAAAGAATCAATTCCTTTACGATTTATATAAACATACAAAGAAAAAAAACTTGAGGCCACATTTATATCAAAAATATTAGATGATAAACTATCTTCAAATATACTAATTCTGTTAGCACTAATGTTAGTTATTGCTTTGATGTAAATATCAATTAGAATTTGAATATTATAAAATTATTTACAATACAGAATTTTATAATAAATTAATAATTTCAATCTAAATTCCTTTCTCTAATCCAAAAGGGGGAATTTATAAAATTTGTTTAAGTGACTAAGATAAAAAAGAAATCAAAATAAAAACAATAAAATTTAATAAATTTAAAAAAAACTATAGAATAATTATGTTATCTAAATTCATAACCCAGTTTACAAATAAAAAAAATGGTAACTTATGGAGAGAAATAGAAACAAATTAATGATATGATATTTAATACAAATCAAATAAAAAAGATCTAAAACTGTTAGAAATTTTGTGCAAAACCAATTTATTTTAAAATACTTAATTAACTCAGGGGGTTTTGTATTAATAGTCTTAAATTAGCTGATCTATGTGGATACCTACGATATGCAACAAAAAAGGAATTTATGTGAACGGTTATTTGTTTATATAAAAATGCATGTTAATAATTTTTCTTAATTGTTGAGATAATAGGAACTCTTCTTTTCCAATATTTGAATATGTTTATGCGCATATGACTAATAAATTTTTATTTTAAATTAATTGTCATCAAAAAATGCTTAGTTGGTTCAAAAAAAAGAAGCCCGAAACTACTTAACAGCAATAAGAAGAGAAAGATGAGAGTGACTTTGTTGAGGTAGATATTTATTAAATTAAAGGATGATACATAAGTTGTTACTAATGAGGATAAAGAATTGGAGGAAAAAGGATTCGATCCAATAGCACAAGTCTAAGAATAGGACAAGGAAAATGAAGGAATCGCTGATCCTGATAAATTGGAATATGTTGGTTATCATGATATCTCAGGAGATGAAATACTTTAATTAGTGCTCAACTTTAAAAACTATCCAAATGATGAGGAAATTCGTCATGTTGAAGGATATGAAAAAGGAGGAAGAATCTGTGCTGACAAAAAAGTAGTAAGCAAGGCTAGAAGTGTTGGAAAAGAAATGGTAAAACAAATAGGTAAGAAAATCTTATCAGGATCTTTGAATCTTACAAAAGTGAGTTTCCCTATTAGAGTCATGATTCCCAAGACCGCCTTGGAAACTGCTGTTCATGGAAGTAACTAATATGAGTAAATTATCATAGCATCCATATTTCCCTTATACATTACAAAGGCAACAATGACTCCAGATTTTTTAGAGAGATTCAAATTAGTTATCACAGCAACATTATCCTCCTTTTTTTGGACCAATACATTTTTGAAACCGGTATATTTTGATATTAATGTAGCTTAATCCAATATTGGGTGAAACTTTGCAAGCATCATATAATGATGGAACACAAGTATATTGTGAATAAATTATGCATCACCCTCCTGTAAGTTACTTTTTAGTCTATGGACCAAACAAGAAGTACAAGTATTATGGATATTATTTGGTTGAAGGAAGAGCAGGCTTAAACTCCGTGACAGTATAAAATATTCTATATTAGATTATTAATAAAGGAAAAAGATCCATTGAGTTCACTGACGGATAAAAGATCGATTTTGATTTCCCTAATGAACTCTATAGTGGAACCTTCTTTGGCTAACTTAGATAAGAATCAATCAACAAAATTACATTCCAAGATAAAGCTAATGGATTATAGTGTATTATCGATATTGGAAAAGTTAAAAAGAAGTAAATCTAAATTAAAAATTTAGAACTTCGGATTTCTTCTAAGCTGATATCACATGCAAAGGGTAAAAGGTTTCATAAGTATATGGTACATACATAGGATTCATAAACTTTGACAATGTGAGATATTGGGATTACAGATATGTAATCCCATTCAAGATTAAGATGGATAAATAACCACTTGAAAGTGATCATAAGAACAGATCTGATTTACAATCATTGAAAGCAGGAGATATTCCTATGGCTTAAACAAATAAGGAAATTTTAGAAAACTTATAAAGAAATGACAGAAAACTTAGAGAGTCATACGAAAAATAAAAGAAATCCAAAAAGTGAATTCAAAGTTAGTGTTAAAATATAATAATAAAATTAAATTGATTATTCTAATCTGTAGATTATAATAATAAGCCGTTATTATTATAATCTTCAAATTCAGATCTCTTTTTTAAGATTCACCTTGATGTTATACAATTAATTATCATAAATATATGATAAAAACGAAAATAGTCATTTATCTGTTTAATTTAAATATGAATATTTATGATATATAATATAATTAAATTTTCATTCTAAAATAGCCTTCTTCTATTTAAAAAGTACTTTAAGATCAATTTAGGATTTAAATGAAATGTTACTGTTTTTTATTTATGCCCCTTCACATTCAAATCTTAGCAATGAAGAAAAGACAAATTTGCATTATTATTACTCTATATAATACCTAATAGCTTAATCGGATCCATAAGTTAAGAAGCATGAATCTTTCGTGGTAGCTGCCCCAAGAGTTTTACCTGTATGGTTACTTATGATAGTCTCTGTTTTTGGTTCTGTAATTGAAAATTTAATAACCTGACTTTTTTCTGAATTAGTAACAAAAAGTAGATCATTGTTAGTTAGATACAATGCTCTAGTAATGTCATAATTTGAGACATCTTTATTAAATATTTCTTACTTTTTCTGAAGATCGACTATAGTAATTATATTCTTAAAGGCACAAACAATTTTGGTTTAATCATTAGACAAATGTATAGATCTTAATTCATTATTCTTATCTGTCCTCTTTTCATCAATTTTTTGCCCTTCATTATCCCACATGAATAAATTACCTTTTCTGTCTGCAGTAATTATCATTTTTTCGGTGTTTGCCATAAATTCTGGATTATGTGATTGTTTCTCCGTCATATAAGAAGTATAAATTTTCTTATTCATGACTGGTAGTGAAGATATTTACTATTCATTAGTCCAAAATACTTGTTAAGTAGAACTGGACAACATCACTTTAGCAGATTTTTGAATGGTGATCATGTTCTCTACGTGTTCTAATTTTTCTAAGTCCCAAATACTTAATTGATGTTATTCTTAGACTATCATATAAATTTCATTGGATGAAATAAATGTTGAAACCAGAGTATCATAAATTTCAACTTCTTTTATAACTCTTAAGTCTGAACTCCATAATTTCAATGTTAAATCATCACCTCCTGTTATTAACATATCTCTTGTTTTAAGCCAATGAATTGAAGTAATTTCTTTAGAATGAGCATGCTAAATTTATTTTTATACATCTGTGAGTTGATCAATGACAACAATATTGCCATTAGTTAATCCGGCGTAAATTGTTGTATTTTTTTAATCATACCCAATAGATGTAATAGTTGCATTTGGTATGAATATTTTTTTTTATACTTTAGTTTAAGAGGATATAGCCCAAATTTCTATTAGATTTCCTGCACAAAAAAATGAATCTTCATTTACAAGAACATCATTTATTATTGTATTCTCAGTTAAAAGGGACTCTTTTACACTGAAATCAGAAAACTTCCACACAAAAATATGTTATGCTGATATTGTCAAAAAGTATTTAGAACTTAAAGTCTTAATAATTGAAATAGGTTCAGAGTCCTTAGGTTTTTTTTGTTCTGATCTTAAATCATGCCTAACTATCAACAATGTTCCTTAATTAGTTCCTATTAATTTTACTAATCCATCAATACTAGCTCCTATTGATGAAATTTTATGTTACTATATAGCATCATATGCAAGGTTTCTAAATTCTTGTTAGGGTATATGGCTATTTTTCGATTGTAAAAGTATTTCCTTACTTTCTTTACCAGAAATACATCTCTTATTAACATCTGTATAATTATATAACAAATAGAACTCGTTTAGACTCTCCTACCACAATTACACTATACATTCATTTGTTTGAGTCAATATTCTCTATCCGTCATTATATTTTATAATCTTGATATCACATACTTAACTTCCAAATAAATTAATTTGTTTCAAAAATTTCTAACTCTTAAAATCCCACAGATAAACATCACCATCCAAACTACCAGAGCATAATAGCTATGGATCATCTGAGATGGCCAAGGAGAGGATAGTTTATTTATGTTTAATTAGATTTTGACCTTCTTATAATCCAGACCTTGTATTCCAAATTTTGATCATCTTATCGGCTGATCCTGAGATTATGAAGCTTCCATCTAATGAAAATATTGCACATGTTATCTCAGCTTAGTGTCCTTTATTGGCATCGATCGTTGAATCTGAATTTTCTAAGTCCCATAATTAAACAAGTCCATCAGCAAATCCAGTTAAGGCTAAATTTGAATTGTTAACTAAGCATAATGAATATACTTTTGGTTTTAAGATAAATGCTGTTTGACTTATCAAATTTTTTTATTAAATATTCCATAATTTGATAGTCTTGTCACAAGAGCAGGACACCAATTATTTTCCATCAGTAGAAAATTAAATTTGTGATATTTATTCCTTATGACCTGAAAGACTGAAATTGATATCAACCGATGATATTTAAAATACAATTATTTCTCCTTTATCACCACCAAAGGCAACTAAGGTTGAATCTCTATTTACATCTGAGCATATCAATTAGCTTAATTTTGAGTCATATTGTTCTAGTTCCTTTTTCGTTTCTTTTTAATAATAAATGGAAAATTTGTTGTAATGTTATAAAATGACTACCTTTGCACATTTTAATTCATACACCTTTTCTTTAGTCAATGAATTAATTTAATCAAGTGCAACAATCGAATCTGGTTGTACTTTGAGCATTTTATTCATTTATGTTTACTAAATACTAATTTGCTCCTACATTATATCTTTTTCATCATTATTATCATCATTCGTTTTCATTTTTAAATTACTTTTTGGGGCATGTTTTGATTTCATATTTTGATTTTGTTATTTTACTTCTGGGATATTTTCATACTAGAGTATCAATTTCAACTCATCTGCTCCATCACTTCCTCCTAAGATTATGGATTAATCATCTGGGCCAAATGTAATAGTCTCTTTATATTCTGAGAAGCAATCACCAAAGTTTAATTTTTAAATAGCTTTATTACTAGTGATATCAAAAATTAAGGCTTCATTTCTATTTATCATCGCTAACAATTTCTAATTATTTGATAAGACTATAAACTTTGGTTTGAAATCTATGTTTAATTTCCTTTCCTCCTAAAACTAATTTAAGTTATATTATTTGACTTAAATACGATCGTGTACTAAAAAAATATTTTCTTCTTCAATATATATAATCTAATTTGCAATTCCAATATTGGTTTCTATTTTTGGTAATTCATCAATTAAAATATCCCATGTTGCTGTCTTTATCTCAGTATTATTCAGATTGACTCCAGACAATTTCACTTTGTTAAATATGGAATAGTTGAAATTACAACGAAAAAAGTTAGCATTATTTAAACTCACTTATTTAATTTTGATTTTTTGAAAATCTGTCTCTATAAATTACTACCCTAAGAGATTTAATAAATACAGACTATTAGAACTTCCAATAATAAAATCATCATGATATCTTGAAAAATAGATTATATTCATTAGTTTCTATTTTAATTCTTCATTGAAATTTATTTTATTGATTATAAATCGAATAGGTCCTTGCATATAATCAAAATCCCACGACTTTTAAAAGAAATTGTATTTAACTAATTATTTCTGCTTGTCTTTATCAGTTTTTACAGGTTTTTCCTATCCTTATTGATCCTACTTGACCGCTTATTGATCCTTCTTGACCGCTTCCAACTCTAACTTGACCTCTTATACATCTAACTTGACCAATTGTTCTATAAACCATTTGGCTACTAAGAACTCTTATAAAGATTTGTGATTGAATGAATAAATTCCACTTTTCTATCTAATTGGTATACATTTTCTAAATAATCTTTTGAACGTCCCTTCTTAACAATCATCATTAAAAAAGTCATCTCTCCAATCTTTGTCCTCCTTTTTAAACACTAATCCACCCGGTTAAAAAGGAACTTAACTCAAATTGTTAAATGTCATTTCATTCGCCAATTTATGAGCAAATTCCCATAATTGATTTCCTATTGAATCAAAATCAATCTATTCTCCTGTTTCTCTCAGCTTATTTATTTATCTCTTAAAATAATGCTCTAAAAATTGGATATAAAAATCATATGTAGACAAGGGTTCTAAGAGCAATGCCTTCTCTATTATATTAAAGCTTTAATTATTCTAAAAATATTGCTTTATCATCTTCTCCTATTCAGAAATCTAAAATTCCTGAATAAATTTTGTAAGGAACTATTAATTATTCACTATCCCCTGCCATTCATCAAGCGCCTATTTTTATAAAGAATCACTATATTTACTCAAATAAACGTATTTTTTAATAAAGTTCTCTTTGATATTATTAATTTCCTACCTCTACTTTACTACATAAGGAAGAACAGCCATCACTATTTCCACCATAAATGGTGTTTCTATGACCTACTCCAACCCCATCAACTTTATGAAGTTTTCATACTTCCAACTAGACCAAATCTCCATTAACATCTAAGCCAGCGATTTCTGATGTTCAGTTGAAACAAAATGCTTGCATTTCAAAATTAAAGATTCAATGATATCCTGACTAAGCATTTATTGCTTGTCTTATTTTATATTTAGCAATCCTACTGTCTTGATAATATCTACATAAACGTTCTCAAACTCTTAATAATCCTAATCTTAATAAGCAGCAAAATAGAACTCCTTAATTATTCTTTTGACACTTAGGAATGTGTATTCTTGAATATATTGCTTTATTTGGTTCTCTGTAAATTTTAATAATCGCACCTCCTTATAATAATTGGGATCATTCGATTCTGATAAAAACCAAGAGCCATATCCCTTTATTGTGAAGAGTTCTGATCTTGAAGTAGTAATTACCTTAGGGTACTTGTTTTTATCGGAACTGCATCTCCATTTCGAAATTCTATTGGAGAGATTCAAATTCATTCCAATATATTGTTGCTTCAGTTCATCATAACTATCCATAATGATTATCAATCTGTATTTTTTTTGTTCTAATGCTTCTTTAAGTTCCTCTACTTGTCTTTCACTAAATCTATAATTATCTGATCTAAGAGTCTCCTCTATTGCACAATATATAGGGTCTTTTAATTAAGGAAGTGAAACAAAGATTGGAATTAATGGAATATAATCAGTTTGATTTTTGTTTTTCTAATAGATAAGCCATAGAAATTCTTCAATCTTTCTAGCAGCTGTACTCTTTCCTGATCCTGCTTATCCATGAATTAATAAAGAATCTTTCTATTATTTCCAAATAAATTCATTAATTTCTCCATTTCCAAATAAATCCTCTGTAAATAATAAAGTTTCATTATCTTCCTTATCTTCTAATAATATCTTTTCCTTTGTTAAAATTTAAATATAAACATTATCCGAATTATAAACTAACCTTTATTGAAGTACTCTTTTCATTCTCATTTCAAATAGTTCTTTCACTGATCTTCCTTTTAAGAACTTGAGATCCTTATTGATGCTTTCCATGGCTTCCTAAAGTTGTTTGATTTAATTTTCTATTCTTAAAAGATCTTACTTCAAATCCTAAAAAAACAGGATTGTTATCTCCAGTTGATTTCCTATATTTTCCACATTTCCTAGAATTCCCTAAATTTCTTTCTCCAATCTGCCATATTCCTTTTGATATTTAATTTTCAATTGGGTTGAGGTTTCTATTGTCAATTTTTAAGCAATATCGTTTAATTCCTTAATTTTTTCTTTGATTTTATTTTAAATCATTTGCTCTTGACTTGGCCAATAATGACTTAAGATCTTTAAAGATTCCTATCCCCCTTAATTGTTGAATAGTAGTCTTATTTTTTTATTGGTTTCAAAAACTGAAAATTTAACCAAAAGCCCTGAACTTAGGTTAATTGTGTTTTCTGATAAACAAAACTACTTCATTTATTGCAATTCGTAAATAATAACTTATCTTATTCTCCATTTATTATTTTATAGAATATCTACAATTTCTTCTTTAATTTTATCATATTGCTATTCAAAGTAATTACATTACTTCTCCTTACTTTCTATTTAAACCAAAATAAAGTGTAATTGAGATTCAATATCCTTCTTATGTTAAATCTTTTGTATTTAGCTTAATTTTTCTTTTATCTTTGAAATATCTAATTCTATAGTAGTTTATTCTTATTATAACTTTCTAAGAGATTATGTGATCTCGTCTTTAGTGTCTTTGAGAACAGTATCATAACTATTATTCTATTTTTATAACTTTTCTAATGTTACTACATTTTTCTATTTTTTTTAAATTTATTATAGTTCTTTTTCAGTATCTTTAACTTGATTCAATTGTTTCTCTAATTTTTATCTCAATTCTTCTAATTCAGAATGAATATTTTTGTAAAATTCAATTTCATCTTGGATTGTATTGTTAAGTTAAATATTGAGATTATCATTTTTGACATATGTTTAACCAATCAATTAATTTAACTTCTCTCCAATATCTTCTTTGATTTGTTTGACTAATTCTTCGTCTTTTTTATTAATAATACATAATTCAACAAGTCCTGTAAATAACACTATCAATTAATCTAATTAATTTAATTTCTGATTTAAATATTCATAAAAACCTTGATCAGTGTCCTTAATACTAGTCTCTAAGCTTGTAAAAATCTACTTAAATTTTTCAAAATAATTCTAAAGCTTTTGCAAACATTCTTAACTGTTTATGTAATTTTCATTCAATTTTTGTTTCACTTCATTGATGCATTTTGTGTCCTTAAGATATCCTAATTCATCAGTTACTTCTTTATTAGCTCCATCTTCATATTGAAGATAATCAATAATCATTTTTAAAGCACTTTAAACTTAATTTATATAACTTATTGACTGATCCATCTCCTCCTCCATCATCTTTGAGATTTCCAAATCAAATTTCACATTCTTATCTGAGGATCTTTCGGAAAACAAATGGATACTAAGAATTGATAGGTTAGTGTTTTTGGCATCAAAATTATCAATTAATAAGGTTATCAGCAACTTTTCCAGATTACTCTTTGATTTTTATTCAGGTCTCGAAAATTTCTTAAAAAAAATACATTCACAATTAAAGTATTGATTATATAAAAATTTAATTGATTAACTTAATGATTAGTAGGATATATGTTGATTAGCAATACGAATTATTGATTCTTTAAGATTAGAATCTCTATCATTATTTTATTCTTATAATAACATTCTTAGATATATTTGTAAGATTATGCAATTTTGTAAATTCCATTCCAAATTAGATATCCATTATTAATTCAAATTTATTGCTTAGATGAGCCCCAATAAATAATCATCTTATTGAAAATTTAAACTTTTTTCTTTTTTGCAAACTAAACTTTTCAAAGAATTTTACAAATTCATGATATTACCTTTGTCATTTTGTTACTTTTTAAAATCTTCAAATGTCTTATTAATAGTTTCATCTTTTTTGGAACTTTAAATTAATTCTTCAATAATTTTAATATAATCAACAGATTTGGATGTTTTTTGGTATTTATCTTTTTCAAAATCAGCCAATCTCATTAGATAAATTTGACAATTAGTTTATTAGATTTAATAGTAGTCATCAAAATAGATACTTTAACTATTTCTTGATTAAGATGAATCTTAAATAATAGTTTTCAATGTATCCAAATGTTCTATTTCTTATAAAGATGCAATTATTTTCATTTGAGATTCTTTCATTAATTTCTCTGATTACTTTAACTTTTATTGATCTGTAAAATCTTGAGACATTACAATCTCATTAAATTCAATAAATGTTGATTACAAAGATTATACTTAATTCAATAATTAGGAAATTCTTGATAAAGTAATTGGCAATTATGGTTAATTATTTTACTTTTATTCATCTAAAGCCTGAAGTTTAATAAAATACTATTATTCATAATTAGATAATTAGTCATAACCGTTTAAAATGAAATTCTAAAGTTAGGCTAATTCTTAGAGTGTCGTTGAACTATTGAATACTTTCTTAGAGTTTATATCAGTTTAAATTATAGAGTATTTTAAAGACAATATTTTTTAATCTCCAAGTGTTGTAATTACATAATCCTTGTTCAATATCTCACTCTTCAGAGATTCTTCTAAGTTTAACTTCTATACCACTGGCTTGAATTGAAATAAAGAAGATAATGTTTAAATCCAACAATACCAAATTTCCCAATCGCTAGATTCTTTCACAACATTGCAATACATTTTACCCAACAATTCAGCAACTACCTTGGATTTACTACTCTATGCATTTGTCTCCTTACTCTCTTCCAATTTATTCATAGCATCAAACTTCAAACTCATTAATGAAAATATAATTTCTAATTTTTTCATTCTAGAATATTTCACACCTTATTGATATAAGTATACAACTCCTTTTTTTAAACTTTCAATCAATTTATCATCAAGGGTGAATGAAGTTAGGCTTGAAAAGGCACCTTAACAAAATGACGACAGAATCTCAGAGCCTTCTTACGAATCGGTTGGAGTAATAAATAATACTGCCCTAATGACAAATAATTCATATTCTATGTTATTTTGATATTTTGATCCTTCACTCTCTATCTCTAATCTTTCATATATTTACTCAATTTCAGTTAAGTATTATTACTATTATTAAACCTTTAAGATCCTTTCTTTTTTTGTGGAATAGAATGTAAATATTACCCAAATTAAACTACAAATCAATTATGAAGTAAAAAGTGCATATAAATGGTTAGATTAGATAAAAATTTTTAAGGCTGGTAAAAGTTAATTGAGGCACTCCAAAATTAAATCAATATTTTCTTATTATTAATTTGGATGTTTTGCTTATTCCCAAAGTTGCCTTTCATGAATAAAAAAAAATTGAAAACTATTCATTAGATCATTCTTTTTATCAACAGCAGTTACAGCATTCTTAGCAATCCTATTTGAGTGAAATATAATTTAGTTTTATAAATTAGGTGGTGGAGCTTGTTATTCGACCTACGATTAATTATTGTGAGGCGTAATAGTGTTTATTGCATTACCATATTTCATACATCCAACTCCTCCTCCTCTTAGTTACATTAATATATAAATTAATTAATATTGTTTAATAATGAATAAAAAATATATATACTATTGTTCTATATAAACCTACCTCTATTTTAATTTGAATTAACATTACACTATAAAAAGATACATAACTTGATCTATAAATAAGGAGCTAAAGGTATGATAAATTTATCAATATTTTATTTAATAAATACACCTCTCCGCGGTTACAAATTTCTGTGCTCACGAGAAAATTATGAATTCATTATGTCTACCAAATAATTTAGTGCTTTTAACTTTACAAGGCTGAAAGGTGAAGAGATTTTAAATAAAAATTTAGTCATGGCTCTACTTTTGCAAGATTTATGATATAATTTTCAATAAAATTAATATAATTTTTATCTTTTAGAGCATTATTGATTATAATAGGTAAGTTTTGGATTGTTTAAAATTAAAACGCAAATGAAGTACTTTAATCTATCTATGGTTATTTCAAATAAGATTTTCTTAAAATTTATGTATAAAATTTAAAGTTTATTACTATATTGAAGATTATGATTAATCAATGAAATTCAATATAATTATCATAATTTAAAAATGCTCTACCTATCATGATAATTTAATCCCTATAAGCATAATTTTTATTCGTTGAACAAAATCCATTTTGTAAGAACTAGATTTATTTCTAATAAATATATTAAAAATTTTAATTTAATTAAAAAAAAATGTAGAATTAGGGACAGGCATAAACTCGTAATAAAATTCCAAAAGATTAATATATGGCTCATAATGCATAAAATAAAGAGTAATAAAAGATATTTAATCTGTAAGACTATTTTGATTGGGAAAAGCTAAAAAATATATAAAGTTACCTTCAATAATTTATAGACTAATTGTCTAAGATCAAAGGTATTCCAATTAATGTATAACAATAATGCAAAGATTAACTGGATAATATTTCTAAATTAATTTAAGATGCATAAAATAAAATACATTCTCTATCTAAAGAAAATGAAGATACATGGTAGACAAAATTTAAATAATAACCCTTTAATTAAACACCATAAAATAAAGGAGATTCAGATCCAAGTTAAATTTAGATTTCTTCAATAATAATATAAACAGAAGCAGAAGGCAAGAATATTTAATAGCAAGATGTAGTGAATGTAAAGCATAATCAATAAAATAAACCTTAAGGGTGTATCATAGACCTTTTATATGCTAAAAATAATTAGACAGATTACCAATTTATGTTGTATTTGCTAATGGAATAAAATCTGAAAATTAATAAATTATCACTTTAATGTCTTGGTAATGTGAACATTAAACGTTCTGATTTAACAACCTTGTCTAATAAAAATAAATTTGATTTGTTGCTGAACTACTAATTGGAACAGATTTTTTCAAATATTAAGCGAAAAACCATTAATAATGAACTTACAGTCATTAATTGTTCAAACTCTTTTTGCAATTTTAAGTGCTTTGAAAATGCACAGATTAATAATATAGACAAAATCAAGATTAAGTCTTATTGTCCTATTTGCGAATAATAGTCAGTTGGGGGGATTGTATTATTATTGAGCTAATAATAATGAATAATTTTATATTATATTGAAGTCACAACTCTTCAGAAAATAGATTTATATATATATTTATATAAATATTTATTTCATGGATTTGATTACAACTAATAAATCAATCGTCTGCATATTGGGAGATTATAAGGAGAAACTCAAAAATCAACTAAGTAATTTTGAAGGCGGAATGCAATAGTAAATTTAATATTAATGAACTTAGATTTATAATATTGCTAGAATTGGAATACAAGAAATTAGCTCATTAAGGAGGGGGTATTATGAAATTGTCTTGGTTGAATAAACTTAAAACAGTAATTTTAGTAATTAATATAAAAGTTTCCATCTGTTGTAATTTGGATTTACGATATTTCAGAATGTATTGATTCTATTAATTATAGCTGAAAAACTTAATAGCCTATTGGACAACTATAATTCTTTAAAACAGACACTCTTATTGGCTAAGAAGTTTCAACCCAAAATCATAATCATACTTACGGGTAGAAATGTGGGAGGCTTTGATTTCAATTATTTAAAAAAGGAAATAGATTTAAGAAAAGTGTTTGCAGTAGAATTTGAGAACATTGGCCAATAATTAAAAAGGTACACAGATGATTTAAATAATAAGATTAAAAAAAATGATTGTCGAGGACTCACAAAATTTTTATTTGGAACTCTTCAACAGATATAAAGCAGATGCTAGTAATTTATAGAAGCAAGAAATGAGCGATTAAAAGTTGATTCTTGAAATCAAGAAAACTTTGATTAGCGAAATTGAGAATAATAGTAAGAAAACAAATAAGCATCTGTAACAATCATATGAGATTGTCACTTAACTCGCTTCAAAAAGAAGAGAATTATTAACTTTCACTGACGAAAACTCTTTCTATTTGTCATATGAACTGCTACTATAGGCAGAAGAATACAGAGAAGTATTGTTTATTTGTGAGATAGCAAGATTGCTGATCAGTTGAGATTCAAGTTATTTAGAAACCTAGAATACTAAGATGTCATTTAATAATTTGAAATTCATTTTAAGACTTTTAAAAATATTATCTAATGCAATTTATTTGATATTCAAGAATATTTGTGGAGAGTAAAGATCTTTACATCAATTATTAGATTTTTAGAATCAAAGATTTTAACTGTTAATTATAACGTAGTCTATAACTACTGTTAAGTAATCTTTTCTAATCATCATAGACAACTCTCTTGTCATATATAAAATTACAAAACCTGGGAGAGCAGCAAACAAATGCATAGATGGAATAATATGGTTGTTAAATATATAAATCAGAACCTGAGTTTTTAGGGAGACCCAATTACGTGATCAGAGAAAATGATCAGATTATTGAGATAAAGAGTGAAAAAAAGAGATTTTATTATTAATAGATAATGAATTTTAGACAAAAGGAGATAGAATTAGCTCCAGATGTTTCATTTATTTTTGAAATCTGGAAATAATACAATGATAATGGTTAGGTTACTTATTAATATACAAATGTTTATTTTAAATATTTGCAAATCTTGATTCATAAAAACTTTGATTTGAAATAACAAATCCAAGACAATTTGATTTAATTTGGATTGATAGAAGAATATAAAAATTTAATTTATCTTTAATATCAAACAGCTCCACTTATTAAATAGATTCAATTGTTAAGTGAAATATTGCTTTATGAGCAAAGCAAAATCATAGATATTAAAAAATTAGCCTCATAATTAAATGAAAAATTAGACATAGTTGTGCCAGCAAATTCATTCATATCTATTTCTAAATTAGAATCAGATGAATCCTTTGTCTAGTTAAAAATAGAAATGAATATCAACTAGTAAATTTTGGATTTGATTGAGACCGGAATTATTTACTGTAGGAATTATGAAATCGAATTTATTGCTACCCAAAATTCAGTGTTATAAACTGATAAAGTAATTGAAAAGCCTGTTTAGATTAAACTATTTGGAAAATATTTGTAATATATAAATGTTATTTTATAGGGATAAATTATCTGTCACAATCATTTGTTAAGATGTTGATTTATTTTCAAACAAATACAAAGTTAGTTATTTATCTTAAAAATAAAGAGATCCTCCCATCATCAATTTTTCTTCTGATATCGCTTATATAAATGAAATTAATGAAATACAAGTTGAATTAAGTTATTCGACTGAAGTCGAGCTTATAAACTTTAATTTAAACAAAAATACTTTATAGAAATTTAAAGAAACTGATAATAAGATAATAAAAACAAACAAATTTACAATTTTAATTTCAGAAACCTAAATTCAGGAAAAGAATATTAGTTTTAGAATATTAGGGGATATTATTACCAAGAAAATTAAATTTATGTTTCCTTTTACATACAAAATTAAACTTAAACAACTGAGTAGTGTCTATTAAAATGCATAAAATCGAAACAAGAATTCAGTCAGCTCTTTTAGTCGATGCAGTTTATAATTGGAAATTTATGATTTAGTTCCTGAAGAAACTGAATTTGTCCCAGTAGTTGATTTAGATTTCTATAATAAAAATAAGTTTAATGTGATATTCTAAACAAGAGAGCAAACAAGTTATTTATAATTTGGATATTTCAGAGTTAAATATTAAAGAAATTCTCATAGATATGAGATTAATGTTTATGTTAATGACGTGATTGTGTAATCTTATTTGCAAAATGTGGAAATCTTATCACCACCTACTTGCAAAACTCAGCAAACTTTTGAGATTTAAGTTAAATTGAAGACTTCGGAAGCATAGAATTTCTTCATTTAATTAAAGGACCAAGAAAAAAAACAATTTTTTGTTATGGGAAAAGTAAAGTAGATGATTTGGGTAAATGATGAGGTCATTTTATCATATCTATTATTCCCTATAGACATCGGTAAGTGTAATTTACCAGGAATATAAATTGAAATTAGATAACCTAATAATCCTATTCAATTAGTATTTGACTCATCAGGAATGAAATCTATATTAATATTACCTTGAAATGATAAATTTTATGAATTCTATTTTAGAGAAAAAGGATGCTCAAATAAAATTAATTTTTCTTCATAATAGAATTTTATTTGACATTAATAATGATAAATATCCTAAGATTATTCATTATTTCAAGAATAATTTGTTTAGTTCTTCTAAATTAATATTTATTAAAATCCTAATTAACGTTATGCTGAATTATAATTCAAGATCGATTCAAATAATGTTATTAAATTAAATTTGCAACATTTCTCTGTGTGTTGCATCCTCTATGTGAATAAAAAACTTTCTTTTAATGAGATAAAAAGTTTAGTTATTTTGATCATAAATAATTTGAAATAAGATAATTATATATTATTAATTTAAGTTATTAGTTAGTTTAGCTTAAATAAATTTATTCTTTCAATCATGTTGCAGATAACTTAAAAGCTAATCAAAAATTATTTAGACTTAATGACTGCATCTCCGAAAATTCAATTGTGGGACTCATTTTTTAAAGGTGCACTGCTATTTTAATTTATTTTGAGAACGCATTTCATTTTTCCGAAAGATGGTTGGAATGTTTGGAAATATTCAGATTTTAAATTAAATGTTCCATATATCCTCTTGTCATATTTATACTTTGAAATTTCAGACGCTATTAAAATCATTTTGATATTGGTCAACATTACCCTATTCATCTTGAGCTTTTTCAGAGTGTAAGTAGTATTTTATTACAATAACTTATTATGGAAGATATTTTACATCCCTCAAGTAGCCATGTTGGCTTATCTATCTGGAAGTATAGAACTTTCTATAATTGGTGTGATTATCCTTTTCTCAATTCTAACTTTTAATTTATATTTTAATAGATCCACTAAATTTATACACAGTAATCCTTTTATTAGGAAATTTACATAACTTACAATAATTAATGTTATTTTGGATACAATATGTTTAATTGATTTCGAATTTCATTTGTTCTAATAGATAATGCTTCTTTTCCAAGGAGTTTCCTTGTGTTTGGATGTCATTATTTTCAAACCTTATCGACTGCAATACAACAAATTAGCCTTCTAATATAATTTTCTATATAGTGCAATAGTAATAGTAAACTCAATTTCTCTGATAACTAAATCTGAGGAAAATATGTTCTATTTTACAGTCCTTTTTGGAACTCTGGCATATGTTCTATCTTATTAATTGTATGATAGGAAAGCAGATGTTGATTCTCGGAATTAATTTCAAATTTTAATTCAATGCTAATAATTCTATGATTAAGAAGATATTCTACATTACATTAAAGTGATGCAACACAAAAATAGTTGTAAAATGCTGCACAAGAACTACAACAAGGTTGACATAGTAATTTGTTAATTAGAAAATAAAATAATTCAAAGTAAAAGACTAAAATTAGATTACGAAATCTTGGAATTGGCACTGATTCATTTTTTGTGCATTCATAAAGCTCCACTAACTGCTCTGTGTAGATTAAAACAATACTACAACATTCATTAAGACCATTCTATGTTCTTTAAAATCATATTTCCGAGTTTGCATAATTAGTTATGGACATCAGTAAGAAAAGTATAAGAGAATATCAATCAAATAATGAAAGCTGGTTCATATTAAGATGAAAGAATATTGTCAACGAGAGACATATATGAAGCTGTTTAAGTAAGAGATAATTCCATACCTATGATAATTAGTGTAATAGATTATAAATTGAATTATTGGAGATAATTAATTTCTTTGATAAACAATTTTAAGAGACTTTTTCAAGTAACCTCAACTCTAAGTTAAAAAATCATCTAGTGTTAAAGATAGCTTGAAAAAAATTATAAATGTGAAAACATAGAAGATATTGAGCAGCCTAGAACTGTGATCGAAGTAATTATTTTATTAATTTATTATGCAATAATAGTCAATGATTATTAATAAGCAATAAAAATGCAAAAGGTGATGAATGATATTTTAAGAACGGAAAACTTGGCAGAAGGAAAATTATTGAATGGAAATATCATGGAAAATAAGATTTGCTTATTATATTCTAGTATAGTGAAATCATAAGGCCAAATCGTTAGAATCAATACTTAATAGATTTCTTAATTTTGGGGTTATGAAAATGAAATGGATTTTAGAGATATCAAACACATAAATTAATTAATGCCTGACTTTTTGGCTTCAGTGCATGATTAATACTTAGAGAGATTTAAAAAGTTAGGCCATAGCATATTATTTGGAAAGAGTCGAACTGTTTTTCTTAAAGGAAAAAATAATTTCTTTATTCCAGCTGATATTACAATAGACAATTTCTTTATAAGTTATGACGATTATATAATCACAGCTGCTTTTTCAAAAACCAAAGAGAAATGCTTATTTTTGTACTTTGATTCTAGAGGGAAAATTTTAGGAGCTAATTAATTGATGTTTAAGTTATTGAGTTCACTTGATAAGAGTATCACTTAAGACCAATTATCATAGGGTTACATATTTCAACTTATTCCCAAAATATTTGTTTTGATTAATGCTTACAAAACCCAAGATTCAGATGTAAATCTGGAAAGTAAGATTGTTTTAAAAATTGGAAATCCAATAAAAGGGCAATTTTAAAAGTTAATGAAAAGTTCAAAAGGAAAAAGTAAACATTAAATGTATTATGCAGGCATATGGACCACCATTGATACTCACGACTATGGTTAAGCCGGAAAGGAACCACAATATAATATAGATTTCAATCAATTAGAACAAATAAAACCTGATTGTGAACTCTTTGATGAAGGGTACTAAGAAAGAATGCTGTAATACGTAGATGATTCTATTTAAACTACCAATTATAAAATAAATTGCTAATTAGAATACTTAGTTCTTGGATATTATAAATCAATACCATTATTTACTTTGGAGATAAATGACATAGTTACATAAACAAAAGAAGAAAATGAGGAAGAGATTGTATCAGAAGATATGATTCAGGATATAGAATTATCCGATTTAAATAAATCAAGCCATCAAGTCTTGAGTTCCATTCAAAATGAAAGCTTTTAAAAGGTGAAAATTGAGGAGAATGATAAATTGTAATAATATCCAGAGGTATCTCTGATTAGAGGAAAATACGATTAATCATTTTTTGATTAGTTACAGGATTCCTCTAGATAAATCTTAGCTCCTTTTTCATAAAGAGCTACTTTTAATCTTATTAAGCATAAAAGTGTCAATGACGATTCAAAGTATTTAGAGGATGATTTTAAAATCCTTAAACAATAGTAGGAGCTTAGTTATGAATAACATAATAATGCAGATCAATTTTAGTATTCTAAACATAAAACAGTACTAGATTAGTTACAGGAAAAGTAATCTTCAGCAGGGAAAAACTGTCAACTTAATAATATACAAGATATTCAAGCAGTTAATTCAGCTGGATCAATTGCTAGGAGAACTAAAAACCATCATCATGAGTTATTGAAACAAAAGTCTCGTTCAAAAGTGAAACCTATTCAACTAAGCTTAATTTTATTTATCGATTTATTGATAGTGTTAAGCATAATCATGTTTAATATTTTCACAATCCTAACACTCAATACAAAAAAATAAAATAGTAATAATTTATTAGTTGAATTGCAGGCTCCCTTTATCTATAATAGTTATTATTGTGAATTGACTTCTCATGATATTATTTTTAAATTGTCATAAATTTAAGGAATTGAATTCAGCCAAGATTTACTAGATACTATAAAAAGTAGATTTATTAAAATCGAATACTTATAAAATATGTCCAAATTTTATTAGGTATTTTCAGAAATTGAAGAAGAAGGTAATATTTTGAATTAAAACATTTCTTTACATTATATTCATGCACCAGACAATACAAACATGACTTTTACATTCTTTTACAATCAAATAAAAATATATTTCTCCCTAATAATCCAATTTTATTAAGAATACAATGTTAACAATTTTGATGATTATTTCTTTTAGCAATCCTTATTTGAGACCTTAAATTTAAATGACAGTTCATAATTATTTAGACTATTGCTTAAATAATTAATTGACAAATTTTATGATCATATCGATAACAACGATGAATTAATTCTTAATTTATTCATCATTCAAACAATCCTGTAATTTTCACTGATTTTAATACAATTCCTTGTCTTACTAGACCTTCTTAAGATTTATAGAAAGATAATTCATTTAAATTGTAGATTATATGAAAAAGATGTATTAATTGCCATCTAGAGATTATAAGCTGTTCGAGACATATTATTTGATAAATATTCTCTGAATTGGAAAAAGGCTGACTATATCCATATTGTTTATTAGCCTTAAACTGAATAATAAACTAAGAATGGAAAATAAAATAAGACTACTTTATTGTCTTCTCGATTACAGCAACAAAACTTTAATATCTTTACATCATCAGCATTTCTACTCGTTCTTTTGCTAATTATATTACTAGTTAATATAGGAGGATTTTTATTGAATTCCCAAAAACAAAAATAACTCAAGCCATCTTTTCTGTTAACAGCCGAATTCCATCATTTTACATTACAAGTTGATTCCATTTTGAGTAATGCCATGCGAATAAAAAGCCAAAACATAATTTTAAGCAATAATACTTTGACAAATAAGCTTAATCCAAGAAATCTAAAATAAGCTATCAATTATTTTCAAGATGAAAAATATTAGAATCTAAGTGATTTTAAGGATTTAGTTGATTCTTTTCAATAGAGTTAAATTCAAATCATACAAATTCTCATTGAAGATCCCAATATTGACCCTTCAAAGGCTGGGATTCTGAATGAAATATTTTTCCAAGACTTATGCCCTTCTATCTGCCCGAATTCATCAAACATTAAGGATAATTGCACATATCTCTACAACAAAGGTATTATTGGGATATACACTAAGATGTCTAATTTCCTTACAACTTCATACAATTATGAATTGGAAATGGAAAGGATAGATCCTGATTCTTAGGCATCATTGGAAGTTTTGAATTCTGTCGATTTTAATTAAATCTTTGGCAGGTATTTCACTAACACCAAAATGGCATTTGAAAAATTTGGAAATGAAATATTGAATCTTACAATGGGAATAATAGAAGACAATTTTGAAGTGATTCTAATATATTATTCGATCACTGGATGTTGTACCTTAATTATTGTAGGATTAGCCCTGATATATTTTGCAAAAATGTAGTAGTAACAAATCAACCTGTTAAGGTTATCCTTAACAGTAATTCCTTTAGAATTGATTGATTAATAAGCAATTAATATTCTTCGCTAATTATGAAAATTAATCATTAATTTATTTAAAATATTTAAATAAAATATCTCCAAACACTAAGAGTCTGAGATCAAGGCTCATAGTTTGATAGTTAACTTATAAATAATGATGAAATATTATACATTACTTATCAAAAGTGATGAATGATCCGTTCGCTGATATAAATATATATATATATATTTTAAAATTTAATAAATGCCTAAAGACGCTAGAGGAAAAAATAGGAAATGGGGAAATCATAAGGATAGACAATTCGAATAAGTCAATGAAGGCGAATTGATCGAATAATTAAAACATCAAGCAGAAGATGATTCAGAAGATGATGAGGAAGTTGAATAACAGGATCAACCTTAAAAAGTTGAACAAAAAGAAGGAGGTTAAGAGGAGTAATAGTAAGAAAAAAAGAAGAAAAAGAAAAAGTAAGCCAAATTTTCATATAATTAGGCGAGTGACTGCTGAGGGAGTACCAAAACCGAAAAAATAAAAGAGAAATCTTGATATGCCTGAATCAGAAGAAGAAGACGAGTCATAATATTATTGAATGTGATATATAGATGATTTAATATTAACATAATTAATTAGAAGCATAATTATTATCTAAAGAAAGAAATGTTTGCATTTTTTTCACACACCTTTATAATTGACCACTAAATTATTCTAGAATTTAATAATAATGACTTTTTAATAGTTATATATATGAATGGATAATCTATTCATTCGAAAAATACTTCATATGCTCTCATCACTCTTTGATACATAGTCTTATACATGACTTAATCTTCTGAATAGTTCTTTTTTCTCAATTCAAAAAATGCTGTATAATTCATTGAACTAGAATCAGTATGTGAGAATACTGAGTCAAGAGTTAATAATATGAATAGATCATCAACGAGAACTAATGTTGGAAGAACCTTATGAAGGGAATCCAGATTATTTCTAATTTTCACAATTTCTGGGAAAAGTAATCGAGCTAACCCTAAACTTAGATCATAAAGAACTTTAAAAAAATTCTTATTGCACTCAAAATTTGAACTCATGAATTCTTTATTAACATTCAATTTTTAAAATGCTTTCTCATTCATAGATTAAAACTACTATAATTGGTCTTATGAAGCACTGTAGACATATTGTTAAGTGATATTTAGGTCTTTCTCAAGTGCTTTTTTAATTTTCTCTCTGTCCAATCCTTCAGTTAAGAAGTTTTCCCAATCCGTATCATTAACGCCTATTGGATTATTAATATCCCAACAACAATAGTATTTGAAGTTTTTATTAACTTCCATCCATTCCACTAATCCTCTATTGATTATAAGTTCAAATTTATTCAATCCAAATCTCAGTGATTTTAGATGATCTGAAATATCCACTTTGCTTCTTTCAAAAATTAATTTATTAGCTAAGGTTAATTCATATTCTTTAACTCTTTGAGATAATAATCTAAGGAACATACATTTACCCTTTTCAAAAGTTAGTCTGCTAATCAATTTCGAGAAGATATCTTCATTTTTTCTTTGTTTTTCAGCCTAATCAATTACCACATTTGCATTTTCATAGATTCTTTCTATTTCTTATTCTGAATGATCATTCATTTCAAAATCAAAATCGTCTATTTTAACATCATTAATATCTACTGAATCATCTTAAGGTTCATGATACTCAAAAATGTTTAATCCCATTTCTTTTAATAATTTATTTTGAAATAAAGGACAGGCAAATAAATCGCTCCAATCTATTCTGTCTTCTTCTCTATATCTCATCATTTAAACAATAATTTATTATAAAGGCTATGAAACTTGCATACCAGTTTTTGGAAATTCAATAAAATCTCTTTTCATTAATTCCATTAATTTGATTTCACTTGCATAGAATTCTTTGTAAGGATATTTCTTAAAGCACATAAAATATAGAGTGGCTCCTAAACTCCAAATATCGCATTTATCAGTATAATCGCCTAACTTATATACAAGGATATACCTAAAATAACTTAGGGAGCAATAGTGGCTCTCGTTCCTAGATAAGAGTGCAATTGGGTTTTTGAGTTATGTTGTTTGGCAAATCCAAAGTCTGCTATTTTTAAGACTCCTTTTCTTATTAGGATATTTTCAGGTTTCACGTCTCGATGGATGATTTGTTTACTCCTGAGATATTTAAATCCATTAAGGATTTCTCCAAACTTGTACCTTATCTCTGGTTCGGTGATCTCTTTATTTTCTTTAATGAATTCAGATAGTGACTAAGATCATTAAGAATATATTTATACTTTACCTTTTCATTACAAAGTTCCATAACCATGTAAATAACATGTTGTAATTTCTTAACATCATAAAGTTTTACAATATTGGGATGTTTTAGCAATTTTAAAGCACAAATCTCTTTTCTGACGGCATCTAAAGTCATCTTCTCTCTATCACTCATTAATGCCATATTTTCTGGAAGCTCCATCTTCTTGATTGCACATTCCTTGTCATTTTCTTTATTTTGTCTAGATGGGAAATAGACATCATAATTACGCCTAGAAATTGAATCCACGATAGACTTTGCCAAATGCCCCTTCTCCAATCACATCATCAGGGTTGTAGAAATACTTATCCAATAATATATAATTTTTATCATTCACTTTCATGGTTTATAGTTTTTAGGATTTGCTTCTAGATTTCTCATTACCTGATTATTAATTTGACATTTATATTTTTAACAATCAAATGTACGATCACCCCTAAAATGGTTTAATGGAAGCTCACTCCTTCAACTTGGACTGTCTATCTTAGGATATTCATCAAATCAAGCAAACTCTATAAGGGTGGACAACCATTTTCAGTCAACTGATGGAAATCACAATTGAAACCCATAAGCAGAATCAATGCAATGTAAATCCATACTCTCTATTTAATAAGACATCGTTATTGTAATAGTTAATGGCAACTCAACAGCGTCGACACAAACACTCATAGGCCAAAGATCAATTAAAATTGTCCCCAATAAGACCCAATAAAACAGAACCAGATGAAGTAATCAAACCAGAAAACTTTTCCAAAATATTTAATAACAATAAGAAGGTATTCATTTTATCAACCTCTCCTAGATTTCTATTATGCAACTTTAAGGCACTCCATTTGATTCAGCATTTGAAAGTATTAATAAAGAACTTGAAGAGCCTTGTAGGGAAGATTAGTATTTGTCTGTGCCTAAATCCATGCAAATGTCAGTCGATTTAAACAAATAGAAGAAGAATCAACATCTTGAATTGTAGCAACCAAAAAGTGCTAAGAATACTTATGAAAATAAACAGTTCGCTTTCAATACCAAAGTTATGCGTTCCCAGGATATCAAAACTAATAAAGAGAATCATCAGCATCATTCCTCAATGAATAAACCAGATTCCAAACGTACTCTGGACTAACCCCAATTATCAACGGTAGTTGAAGAAAATTAATCTCCCTGTATGAGTCCAAATGAAAATAATTTCAGATGTAATTACTCGTTTCTATTTTAGATTCCATTGCTTAATCTCATAGGTAATATGATTAATGCAGTACTGCTAAAACATCATAAAATAGTTAGAGACCTCTTAATTATTTTCAATAATAACAACTTCAATCAGAAAACAATAGGTCCTCTTCAAAGTCTTGTTATGGCAATCAATAGGCATAAATCTTATCCAATAATACTAATGTCATTAATTAACAGCAGCAGCAAAATCCTTAACAATCGACCTAATAAAATCCATTTCTAAACAGTCTCAATAATGGGAGCACTAAAAACATTAAATAGGTTCAGACATCTACAAGTAACATTCCTTTTAAATAGTAATTTGAAATTATGAACCAAGTAAGTTATATTATATATTTAGATTTCGAATTAAAGAGCTAAAAGTTACAGCGAGCAAAATTGTAAGAAGTAATTAAGTAAGCGTTGTTTGGATATTGATCTCTTGGATAAATAATATGAGACTAGTTAGGAGTTAATTTGGAAAGCTTAAAAGACAAAGAAATGATTACTATTATATAAAGTAAATTTAATAATGTTTCAACTTTATTTATTTTATATTCACTATTCTTTTTTATAAAAAGAAATATCTAAGGATTTCTTATTATATCTAAAATAGAGAATCTTATTTATATCCTTTAATTTAAATAAGTTAAATATTATGTATAAGTTTAAAAGAATTTTAAATATAAATAATAATAATAATAATAGTAATAATAATAATTAATAAATATGCCTGTGCCTAATAGTTCATATCCAATACCTTTAAGAACAGTTCTAAAAATAGCTCCAGTTTGTATGGTACTTACAACTCTTGGAACATTATTGCCAGTTTGTTTATATGACATTCTCTATCATTCACATGAAAGAATAGACAAATTCTTTTGGAGATCAAGCAGATTTGAACGTTTTATTAGATGTAGAGATATGAAATTGCGTACATTTTGGTATGAGGCTATGGAATGGTAACCCACTGGGAGAGAAAGCTTTATTTCTACTAGACCATAAGTATCAGACCCATGAGAGGAGTGAATTATAAAATCATATAATAATAATGTTCATTATGTGTGTAATTTCTCATTAGCTCTAGATTTGAATCCATTGAAATCCCATTTGGTCTCTACTCTCTCAGACTCTTCAATGTGGGCACCTTAAGCGTCAACATATGCCAATTAAATTACATCATGAGCTCTGCAATCTCTGCAGAATAAGACCTATCTTTAGAATCGATTGATACTTTAAAGCATTCTCTGATTACTTATTTAGCCTAATCAAGAGTGCAATTCTCATTCCAATAATTACTAATGATGGCTTTGCAGAAGTAACTAGCGAATCCAGTTGTAATAAAGTTTGATTCTAAATAGGTGCCATAAATATCAATAAGTCCCAAATATCTCTCTCCATTATGAAATCCCTAAATAGTCTAAATGCAATACAGCAATAACATTCTGTAAATACAAGGGGTTAATTTTGCATCTTTTTTTATAGGACAATCTTGCTAAGAAATTGCCATAATCTTTTGGAGAAGGATGAACCCCATCATCATATTATAAAGCTGATCTATCGATTTTTGCCAATTCCTTCACAACTTGTTAGAAATCAGAATATTCACCACTGGATGCATAGATTGTGTTTTTGGATATTTAAGCAATCTTTTATACATTCCTAAATGAAGTATTCTCATGATGTACTTGAATGCTGCCATGCTTCCATAACTACAAAGAGTATCAGTTCCAACAATTACACCTCCATTGTAAACCAAAGCGATGACACTGCCACCAGTAACAACAGGTGATGTTGTGTGTTGTTGTTGGCCTGAGATTTCAGAATTGAAAATCATGATGTATATATTTAAATAATTAATACTGATGTTGCATTAATTTAATACATGAAAAATCGATTTCGAAAGACTCATACCATCATAGATCAAATTGACGGGATCAAAGAAATAGATGACTCAACACTTAAGAATCAAAGAAATATTCTGATTACTATTATCATCTAACATCTATTTGTACTATGGACATGCATCTATGGATATACATATATCTATTAGATGTATTTAGAATTATATTTAAAGTATAAGATAACCACATTGGTTGTGATAATAGTTATACTTTTAAATTCGGATCTCTTTAAACACAAACTCAAAAAATAGCCATTCAGGTAATGAAAAGAAAATTTTAATAGTTTAATTCTCTATGTATCATTTACATTGAGTTTGAGCTTTCTATTTGTCATTTATGACTCAAATAAGGATGTGTAACTATTGTTATATTCTAATATTTTTCCGATATTAGGATTAATAGTATGTTCTATATTTTAAGAGAATGAATTTGAATACTCAAGTGCTTTCACCTGGGTCTTATTCTCACAAATGACTTTCATTTCCTGCGTTATCTTTTTAATGGGTACAGCTTTTGAGAATGCCTTAATATGTTCAAGTATATCGTTTGCGTATGTCTGTATACTCGTTTACTAGTTTAAAGTATGAATTAACATTTAGATAGACTGATATTTTGTATGAAATTGAAGAATATCCTTTAATAGCGTGTTTGAATAGTTATACATAGATCTTTAAATTATTGTTTATTTTAATAGAGGCAATATCAGGAGAATACAGTATTTGATATAACAGTTTCCTATTTTTTTAATAATTTTAATATTTTATTTTCAAATGGATCAGGCTCACAAATCAATCATCACAGAAATTCTACCAAATACTAAGAGAACTCTAGAGAGGAGATAGAAACAGTTGGAGGAGGAGTAGAAGAAGAAAAGAGAAGTAATTTTATTATTCATATCATTATATAGTAAGAGACACAATAAAAGGAGTAGGCGGAAAAGTAGAAGAAATTCCAACAATATTTGATTGAATAGGAGAGAATTAAGAAATAAGAGGAAGACAGAAAAAAGGAAGAAGAAAAAAGAAGCTAAGAAGAAATACAATAAATGAATACATTAAAGGGGGAATACGGTAACATGATGATCGATTTGGCTACTGGAGATTCTAAGTTGGATTACACAATTTCAGGATTGGATTTAAGACCAACATAAATTAGAGTTTTGGTAAAGGTTACAGAAAATAATAATACCTTAAAAGGTTTATCAATGAGTAGGAAACGCATAGGAGATGAAGAAGGATAAGAGATAGCAGCAAGTTTAGAAAAGAATATGGTCTTAGAGAGGTTGATATTTTCTAATCAATATTAGATTAGAACTAGAAGGCAACCACCTTGGGTCTAAGACATTGATTGCCATCTCAAAATTATTAGAATTCAATAAATCTATTCGCGTTATTGATTTAGAAAATAATAATTTGACTAATCATGACAAAGATAGAAATACATATGATTATAGTGGAATATACGCCTTATGTGAGGCTCTTGAAAAAAACGACACTCTCTTATAATTAAATGTATGTAACTGCAAACTTGATGAAAAATGTGGTGAGGCTTTGGCTAATGCTTTAAGAGATAACACAAGTTTAATTTGTTTGGATATTACTGAAAATCCAAAGATGAATTTGAATGATGTTAGAAAATGCTAGGAATATTTGATTAGAAATAAAAAGATATATGATGATGAACGATATAGAGAATTCTAAGAAAGGTAAAGAATTAGAAATGAAGATTAAACCTCCACTATTTAAATGCAAGATAAGGAAAAGGCTATTACAGCCTAGGAGGGTATAGAATAAAGGTATATTAATTGTTGAATTCTAGAATGAATGCCAGAAGACTTGAGTTGGAATAACATTGGAAAGAAGAATTGGAAAAGGAGGCTAAATTAAAAGAAAAAACTGTGCATAACTTAATGAAGCAAGCCAAATTGCTTGGTAAAAAGAAAGGCAAAGGAGGTGGTGCAAAAAAAAAGTGATATAGTTTGATTATTGGTTTGAATTAATATTAGAATAATCAAATTATATTAAAGAGGACATACTTTAGGATACAACTTTATAGTTCTTTGAAAAAATTATTTTCTTAAATTATCATCTATAAGAATGAAATAAATCCAAATATTTATGCCAATTAAATATAAAGCCTTAAGAATTGAACAGAGTTTGACTAAATGACTGCAAAGATCATAAATTTTTATTTAATTATTCATTCATATTATTGAATTTAATTTTTATTAAGAATTTATTTTAGTAAGATTTTTGATATTAAAATTATGAATTATCTACTAGAGTTTTACCATATTTCTTTTTGATTAATTTAGTTTAACTCAATAGAAGTAATGACTCGTTTCCAAAAAGTCCATTTCACTTGAACAATCAATTTATTACTGAATCTTTGTGATAATCAAAGTGGATACATTTCTAATTTATATTAATAAGTAGGTATACATAAGCTTTAAATTTAACAGAATAATTTACTTATTATAATGTAAAGAAGTATCCTTAAATTCAAGTTTGGTGAGAATCATAAGAAGATTTTTTCTAAGTTATGAGTATTTTTTCAAGGAAAGATTTTATAGAGTTCACAAATTCTATACTACATAATTCAGTTACTCTAAAATTGTCTCGATTTGTTGAGAGTCAATTGAATTTATTTATTTAGTGTGTCATATATCTTTAAAAGCAATTATGTATTTGTTAATAAATTTAATTCTATTTCTTTCAGACCCTCAAATTTATTTATATTTTTATTCTAGGTTTAATATAACATTTATTTTTTTTGTGAGATCAACCTTTAGGTACCGAAAATTACATATTACGTGATATTGGATATATATAGTAAATTTTAAAAAATTAACATTAGATATTATTTATTTAAAATGCATGTCCAATATGAAGAAAATGAAAAAAGGTCATTAATATGTAGAGGATGTGCAGGAAGAACGCTTGGATAAGATTCTAGCAAATGCTGTTGCCAAGAGAACAAATTCGTGAATGTCCTTAAAAACCATTACGTGGATGGAAAAAATATAAACTAATTGAAAGAGATGCTAGATTTAACTTAAGGATGTGAAAATTTTTGTGAGGAACATGGCTATCTTTATGAATTTATCATGACTAAGAAACTATTGAGTGAAGGGGAGTCACAATTTGATAGTCAAGAACTTTATTGTAAGATGTGTATCAAACAGAATTAAGAGAAATTATAATCTTATAATATTGAACTTCTGAATGATTAATATTGTATAATGCCAGAACAAAATTCTTAAATGAATCAAAATGGTTAATAATAGAATGATTAATCATAAGCTAAAAGTCATTCTGAATAGTTGAGATATGAAGTTAATAATGTGTTTGAGAAAATGAGAATAGCATCTCAAAACGAATAACAACTAAAAGAAAAAATAGTTATGGCTTACTAGAGAAAAGAAAATATAAAATATCAAGTACGATCATTAAGCAATATCAATCAATAAAATTAAGTTAATTAGTTATCTAAAGAAGATTAGGAGAATAGAGACAAAATGATCTCATAATTGTAAAAGCGTAATGTTTATAATTATTTTAAGTGAAAGACGCTATAGACTTAAGAATTAAAGCAATTGCTTATCTAGAAAATGGATATCATGACTACTTACATGATGATTATCTAGAGGGAGAATCAGTACGTACAAAAATAATCAACGAGGGCTATACAATATAGGTTGATGAATATGGAAATCATCAAGAAAAAGGGGGTGAACTTAATACAGCTAAAGGATATTCAATTGTAGACGCGATTGCATATTTTGATCATATTTAACTTATTTGAGGAGTATACCAAATTTCTATTTTCTAAATATAATCATATGAAATATATTAGATTCTGAACCGAGTCTATTTTGCCATTTGTTCACCTAATTTTGAGAATGATTATTAATGGTGTTTATATTAATTCTCAATTAAATTTATAGATGAAATAAAATGCCAGAAATAGATTTTGCGATTTAGTTCATGCAATCAAATAAAGAAATCCTGAAAGATGCCTAATAATGATTTTGGATTCAACTTCAGCCAAAATTTTAAGTTCAATGATGAAACTCAAAGATCTAATAGACATGGGAGTATCGACAATCGAAAAATTGGAATTGCAACGCAAACCATATCCAAAACATGATGCCTTCTATTTCATAACACCTTCAGATGATTCAGTAAATAGGCTTATAAACGATTTTAAAGAACAATAAATGTATAGAAAAATTAATGTAATATTTTCTTACAATTTACCTTAAAGGTTATTAGAGTAGATATGCAAATCAAATTTGGCTAATCGTATTATATAAATTAAAGAGTTTAACCATCATCTTTACTTTCTTGAAGAGAATGCTTTCCATTTTTAAATTCCACAAATACACTTTGATGATCTAGTGCAGGTTGTTTAATTATTTTTATCTTCCTTGCCCTCCATGCGACCTTTCTAATGTGTAAAATTGTCCACCATTAATACCAATTAATTCGCATAATTGTTTACTAATTATCTTCCAAGATTGCTAGAGAATTGGGAAAGAACCAATCAAATTGTTAAAGATGATGGTGGAGGAGAATTGCATTTCTTAATCCTGGATCGTACTTTTGATCTACTTACTCCATTATTGCATGATTTTCATTACGAATCTCTGGTTGTCGATCTACTGCCTTAGACTTTTTCTCCTTTTGAATGTGAAGATAGTGTTTATCAAAAATATCGATACAAACATATTGCCTATGCTTTAGAAGGCATACCTTAAGAGTTCCAAAAGATGGTGAATACGAATCCATCAGCTTTAATCCATAAAGGAGATTTTAAGGAATTGGATACACAAAAGATGCAAGAAATCATGAATTCAATGCCCAATTACAATAGCTAATTAAAAGACTTCACTTTCCATATGAACTAAATTGATTAAATTTGGAAGCAATTCGAAACCAAAGGACTCAAAGATTTAGGAGAATTAGAATAAGCACTAGCAACTGGTACTACAAAATAAGGAAATCAAACAAAATCAGATTAACTCTATTAGGAAGTATTATTTATGTTGCAATCGAAAATCATTTAAGATACTGATAAAATTCGATTAGTTCTAATAATTTTACTTACTGTTTAAATGCCAGAATATGAACGGAAATAGATACTCGAAAAAATTACAGATTTGAAACCATTTTATGGTTTATAGAAACTGGGGTTTGATTTTGATAAAATGAAGTCGAACAGAATAACTAAAAACATCAACAAAGAATCAAGATTGCTTGCTAAATAAAAATTAAGTCAAATGACTTTAGAACTACAAAGACATACTCCTGAAATTGAAAAACTGTTGAATGATCTCTTGAATGAAAACAAATTTAATACAGTTACACTATATGGTTAAAATTCAAGTTAAAAATATGCAAATGCTTAACAAAGTTTGAGATCAAAGAAGGAAGAATAAGTAGAATAAATCAGTGTATGCATTTTTATCTTAGGAGGAATCAGTCACTCTGAAGTTTGTGCGATAAGAAATTATTACTCCAATAAGTTAAAGTAGGTATTCATAGGGTCCACTTAAATATTAAGTCCATCACAGTACTTAGATCAATTAAGAAGTTTGAGTTAATTATGATTATTCATAGTGTATAAACTAACACTACAATATCATTTTAGTTATTTAAGATTCGATAGTCATTACAATATAATTTCATTATACTCTTGAAAATAATATAATTTATTTTAATGATTGCTGAAATAATGCCTGATTATGTAAAGAAATACTTTCCTTTAATCCTGAGCTTTTTAGTACTTGTCATTTACTTTACATTTGCGTACTTTGTTTTTATATAAATATCGAAATGTATTTCAGAATTTTAAATAATTAGAGACCTTGATAGAATGGATATATATAAGCATAGGCACTTTTAGTATTGTTATGCTATTTTGGGCACTGTATAGAACCTCAAGAATTGACCCTGGATTTATTCCTAAAGATACATTAGGAGAATATGATGAAAATAAATAAAGAGACTATTGTCTATAGTGTAGAATAAAGAGACCAGAAAGATCTCACCATTGTTCTAAATGTAAAAGATGCGTTTTAAATATGGATCATCATTGCGTTTGGACGGCTAACTGCATAGGTTTATACAATAGAAAATATTTTTTACTCATTTTGTTTTGGGGTTCTATAGGGATTTTTTCAGGTACTTTACTTGGATTAATGAATATTGAGGCTCTTTGGAATAGAATTTGGGAAAATGATTCTCTGGATTTTAGTAAAGTAAAGGCAGCTTTCATATTTCTAATGACATTTTCACAATTTTTAAATGGTTTAGGTTTATATTACTTTTTTTGGACTAATTTCAAATTGATAGCTCTTAATATTTGTACTCTAGATTAAATGATTTTAGAGATTGAAGCTTAAACAAAAAGAAAATATGTATTAATTCTACCTATTTATAAGCATACCGATTTAACAATATATAATTTAGGATTTTGGTACAACTTTACCTTTTATTTTGGGAAAAATCCACTTCTTTGGTTGATACCTATAGGAAGACCTATAGGTGATGGGTATCTTTGGGATAAAAAAGCTAGTTTTAGAGAAATGGCAGAAACAACATTATAACTTACGGAATGATAATTTATAGTATATATATTCTCAATAAACATTATTAAATTTAATTTAATTACTTTATATTTCCTATAGTAAGGCTTTTATTGTTAAATTGAAAAATCTTGATTTATATGGTTTTAATCTATAAAACTAAGGAATAATTAAATTAGTATCTAATAAATCTAATTAATTATAGGAAATATCAACAAATTTAACTATTAATAGAAATCTAAGAATAAAAATGTTAAACCTAATTTGATGCAAAATCAACCGAAAGATTAACTCACAGAAGGCTAATTGAATTATTAATCCAAAATTATGAATTATTATTATTCTTGGAGTTAATAATTATTAATATTCATACTTTTCTTGGTTATTATAATTAGAATTGTGATAATTATAATATTAATAAATTACTAAATAAATAATTTAATTAATATCAATCGATTTTCATCTTACATAAATTCTTTATTATTATGGATGATTTATCCTGCTATCTTCATTAACATTCTTAAAATTTTATTATTGTTTTTAGGACATTTGATAATTGGTTACTTAAGCATTGTTATTTTATAGAGGATGCTGAATTTGTTGTAATTCTACTCTTTAATGAAATTGTCTATTAGTCTATTCACTATAATTGAGATTTTATGGAGACGATACATATTGTTAAACTTTAGAGTCCAGAATGTCTTATTATTCATCAATAACATTCAAGTCTCTGTCTGATTTTAATCTCTCTTCTAGAATTTGTTCATAAAAGGAGTCGCCCCAGTCTCTTTATCCGTTTTCTCTTTTTCCTTGTTGCATCATTTCAATCTTTTATAGGACATTGCCTTTCCTGGCTAATTATTTAAACTCTCTTCTCCATTTAATAATTTTATCAGTTTCAGTTGAATAAAATTCATGAATGATTGTGTTAATAACCAAATCAAAAATAAAGACAACTACGTTAAGCAGAGCAATAATCAAGTAAAAGTTTGGAGATTGAATTAAGTAGGCAGGAGTGAATTCAGAATATGTACCCTTAAAGTAATTGGAGATAAAAAAGTATGCAATATAAATTCCAATAGATAAGAAGAGAAGTGTGATTACATTAATAAAAGTCCAAAATTTAGTATAAATAGCAATTTTGAAGTCGACAATCTATTAAATAAGGGAATAGAAATACAAATATAATTGCAGTATATGCTGTAATCGAAAGAGTGGCAAATCCGGCATTCTACCCATTGACAGTAACTAATTCTGTATCGAAACATGCATAAGTGATAAAGTAGACCAAAACGCCATGAATAAACCCTTGGCCCCACCAGAATATAAAATTGGATAAGGTAAATATAGTTTATTTCTGACCAACTGAATAAAGAAGTGGGAATTTTCCTTTAAGATACTGAGTTGACTTCTAATAAATTTCAGTGTATTCTTCATTTCTTACATTAATTTTGTAGTAGACACTTCTATCCAAAGTGGCTCTGGCAATTAATGGAAGAGAAGTGAAGAACAAATTATAGAAGGTGATATACCAGTCATCAAAATAGGTTTAGGCACTATAGGCACTGTAAAAGGAGTACAAAAATTAGGGGACAGTAAATATCATATTCTTGTAGAAGAAGTAGAGAATCATTTCTGAAATTCTAATGTATGACCAATTGCCATGAATTAACAAGAGTTTCCACAGAAATCTAAATTCGCCTAAAGCATAATCACTACTTTGGACAGCTCTCATTCCTTCATTGCCATATAATCCAATTCCAATATGTGCCTCTTATATCATATTCACATCATTGGCACCATCTCCAATGGCAACAGTAATTTTATTTAGATCTTTAACCAAATGTACAACTTCTGCCTTTTATTTTGGTGTAACTCTGCAACACACAACACTATCACAACCCATAGCCATTTTAGTGAATTCTCTCTTTAATTATTAGTTGCCTGTCAGTGTGACTAAAGACTCCCCTTCAACTAGGATTGATTTCTTTTTCCCATCTTTAATGCAAGCTTAATAAGTCAACTTATTTTCTGACAATTAAACTCTTAATTTGTTGAGATCTGTTTCAGAATACTTCATAATCGTGAAATCATGTTAAATTAGTCTACAACTCTTAGCAATGTTTTCAGCAGTTTCTAATTTATCTCCTGTAAGCATCCAAACCTTAATATTTGCCTTCAGTAAATCAGCAATAGTTTCTGGGACATCATCCTACAATTTATCCTCCACTGCAGTTGCACCTAATAGATATAAATCTTTTTCTAAATTATTAGCCAATTCCTCCTTTTCCTATTCTCTCTTTTCTGATGATGCAAGGGCATCCTTCTGTCTCTCAAATGCAAGATACTCCTATTCTGATAATATTTTCATTGCCATCAATAGAGTTCTTAATCCAATCGAGCTGAACTCTGACAATTTATTCTAAATAAATCCTAAGTATGGTTAATCTGGTCTTAATCTGGCTTTGATGATGCTATCTGCTCCTTTGATGTACAATTTGTAAATTCCATTATCTTTAATGATCACACTCATTCTTTTCCTATTCGAATCAAATTCAAATTGTTATAGGAGTTCAACCTTTTTTTATTTGCCTTTGATTGTAAACTTATTTTATAATAATACTGTTTACTTCTTATTCATTTGCAGACTATCCTTCAAATCTATAACCCAAATTCATGGCGGCATCCACCAAAGTGATTTCATCAGGAGAAGGTCCTTAATAATTAATCTATTAGTTCTTGTCTTTCTATGCTATACATTCATGAGCACTTGAGAGTAGCATCAGGTATTCATGGACCAATTACTTTTATGTTTTAATTTCTAAAGTAGCATTTTTATCATTTGATTAAATGATCAATTTTCTTGGCAATTCAGATTGATTTTAATAGGCTGCATTATCTTCTATTATTCCAGTTAGAGTGCTATCTTAAAAATTAAAGACTGAATGTTTGAATTAAGTTGTATCTTGCTATACATTGTTATGATTCGGAATAGCCATATTCTTTTCATTTTTCCCATACAAGATGTCTCCAATTATGCAATATTTAAATTCCATTTGATTACAGGTCAATGTTCCAGTCTTATCAGAGAAAACGTATTCCACCTGACCTAATTCTTCGTTAATGGTTGATGTTTAAGCCTTAGCATACTTACCTCTTTTTGAAGCATACATGTCTTAATCTGTATTTATGAAATAACATTGGAAAACCTTAACAAACTCCATTGACACAACCAAGGATATGGGTATCATAGTGTTATAAAGCAGGAAGAATGAAAAGAAGGCAATGGCAGATAACAAAGTGTAATTTTATTCCGTTATGATGATATAAATGTGTTTACTGAATGATTTGTGCAACCACCATGAAGACAGAATGGCTGATAAAGCACAGGCAATGATTTATATGCCCAGGATCCCCAATATCAATTTGTTCATTGTATTTTCAATAGTACTCTATTTGATTCTAGAGGGTTCTGCATTTCTCATTATCTTTGTGTCCTCTCCTGTGTAGACTATTACTCCTACTATGAATTTCGTGTTCCTTAGAAATGCTCCTCTCAATAACAATTATTTGCCATTCAAAACTCTTGATACTTATAAAATATATACTTTTTTGATCCATTTGGGAAATGAATTGAACCTTCGAAATCGCCTAACGCTGGTGTAGGAGGATTTCCTTGAGCTTTAAATTATTAATTGCTATTAAAATTCATTTAAATCTAGGATTAGGTCTCCTTACATTCAAATACGGTTTGAGTTTCCTTGATTGCAGACTTTGGCTTGAGGTTCTTTTCACCATCCAATGAAGAAGTCTCAATGTAGCAGACCCCGCTTTCAAATTAACTACTTAAGACTATTATATCTGCTGGAAACATCTCATTTTCAGATATATACATTATATCCCCCACTTTTACATCAGCCCATGTTGTCTTGACTTATTTGTTATTGACTATTTTGGTACACTCCATAGCATTAACTTCGTTATCTGATTTATGTCTACTTATATCCTCCATAGCTTATTATCAAACGATAATTTACCTTCTCTTATCATCGATAATCCCAATACAAATACTAAAGGAGCTATTGCCGATATTGGATTTAAAGGAGATATAATAGGGAAACTTTGAATTATGGCAATAAACAGAAAATAAATATTAGCATATCTCCGAAATTAACCCAATAGTGACAATGGTAAGAAAGTTACAATGTTATACTTTGAAGTCTTTATGAAATTTGTTGGGAACACTTCGTTGGCTGCTCTTCCAGTTGCATTTATAGTAAATATTCTTTCCTTATTGTACTTCTATCTATCGGATTTAAACATTTAACTTAATAATTTAAAAACTATGAATATAGATTAACTATTAATTAAAATCATTCACTATGAATTCTTTTTCTGCCCCTTGGTCTAACCTCATCTATCTACTTTTACAACTCAGCATTTTATTCTTGGAGTAGGGTCAATTCTTAATCCAAATTCACTTTTGCAAAATTAATCAATTATTAAATATCAGGTCTATGATCAGGAATTGCTGATACCATTTTTTTAATTTATTATTTCAATGATACCGAATAATAAGATAAGTTGTCGAACTTTTGCAACACCAACGAACTTACTTAACTAATCTCTTTTTCAAGCATCAACTCCATCATCAAAATACCCAACTAGTAAATATCAGACAATTTGCTCTTTATCTGCTCAGGTGCTGAATGAATTGTATTATTTGAATATCCATAATCACTTAACTTATACTTCATTTATTTGCTTAGCAACACATTTCCACCATGTATATGTAAATGAGGTTAAGGGAAATTCTATAGAGCCTCACATACATCGACGATGATCTGTCTGATTTCAGACTCGTAAACTCTTTGCATCAATCTTTGCTTTAAAGAATACTCACAATGCTCCATTATAATGTATAAGAATCCTTAATGCTGATAACAGCAATTAAATTGCACTTGCCCATCCAATGTCAATGTTTGAATATTATCCTCCAAAGGCACTTTCTTTGCTGCATAATACAACCCATCAACTTTTGATAATACTTTATAAACTACTCCTTTTGAACCTCTTCCAATCTGATGTAATACTTCGAAATCCCCTGAAAATTTAGATAAATCAGGTCTAAATTTTCTTTATTTCAAAAATTTATTATTGTCTCCGATTATTTACTATTGACACCCTGAAAAATCATGGAAAACCTCTGAATTGAACCTTTAAAGTGGCAGATTTCTAGCTGCCTGAAATGGTGACTACTGATCATCATCGCATAATAAACTTTAAGATTTACTAAATAACATCGCAAAATCACTTACAATAACTAAAGATCCTAAGGTGTTTCATATTGCAATAATGGGCTGCGTTCAATATCCATTAGCACTTTCTGAATATAATTTTCTTCAAATGGATGCACTTTTGGCGGAGAAAACATTAAATTAATAATTCTAATTATATTATGATTTCAATCTAATCAATAAAACTAAAATCCATTAATATTTTCATTTTGCTTCCAAATATCGACTTAATGTTCCTGATATGGATTCTTTACATTTTCACAAGAACTGTATTTTATATATGAAGAAAATTTATTATTTAATATTTGAAAATATTTCAAATAAAATCATAACACCATCGAATTGTGATTACTAAAAGATTTTAAAAAATAATACTAAATTTATAAAACTTACATAATTTATCAATTGTTAATACTTATTTTATCAAATTTCTCTATTAGTTTAATTTTACTTTTTTTTAAATTCAAATTATTTTATTTACATTTTGATGTTAAACTAAACAAAACCAAAGGGAGAATTAGGTGGATATTATAATTAATTAATATTGAATTTAATAGAATTTTTCAATATATAAAAAGAAACAAATGATAATTATTTAACAGCCGCATTAATATTATTTTATTCATTTTAGTTCATTTCACTTTATCTAACAATATAGATATAATATTAAAATAATGCAAATTTCAATTTAAAGAAACAAAAAAGGGTTTTCATATAAACATTTTAATTTTTATGATTATCTTAAATCATTCCATAATTATATAAATTTAATCGTTGTTAGAGAAATGAAATTTTATTAATATTGTTAATACTTTACTTAATATCTATCTAATTATCTAATTAAATTCAGCGTTTTTACAAACATTCGTTTTTTTAATATTGTAATGGAAAATTTAGTTGATTATAATAAATACTTTCATATTTAGATAAACTATCAATCTGATTTTTCTTTTAGTTTTAAATCAGCATGTATTTTTTATTCATGTTTTTCTCTCTTTTCTACAATTCTATGTTTTATGTAAACAACTATAGCACTTACGAGCTAAATGCCTGCAGTTGCAATAAGCAAGTAACCAAAAGAGAAGTTCTTGCTCCCAAACGAAGATAGAGTTGTAACTATTAGATACTTTTCTCCTCCAAAAATATCGGTGGGATAATCTAAAACTGAATTTCATTATTTACTATTTTAAATTACGATGCTATATTATCCTTTTGATAAATCATTATCATATCTAGCATATAGCTTTCTGACCAAGGGTAAAGATTGAATATTAAACCAATTTATGATTTTTTCTATGGTGAAAATAAAGAATTGGTACCATCATCAAGATCCAACCATTATCTAAATTAAGAATTCTACGTTCTTGAATACTTGTATTCTAAATCAACAGAGAAAGCAATTCCAGTTGAATTGAGAGCTAAAGAGGTAGCAGTATCAGTGTTAACATCAAAAAGTAGGAATGAATCTAGCTTCAAGACAAATATATACCATTAAAAATGAATTTAGCTGCTACACCACAAGGACTGACTTTCTTATTCAAGTCTACCATAAACCCGGCATAACTTTTGTTGAATCCCACAGGTCTCTAAAGAGATTCAAAAGATTAAGTATCAGGACAATAAACATCATACTCTTCATCGGTCAGTTCATAACCTTTCATTTGTTTAGGACTGATTGACTATGCAAAACTAATCTAATAAATTCCAATCTTACTCAGAGTGACTCGTATAAAACTCATTTAATTCATAGTATAAAAAGAATGGTCCATATGTATTTTTTTCAATTTCAAAATTAACTACGCATTGTTATTTACCTTCACATTCCTTTCCATAATTTAATTTAATCTGCGGATATATATTTAATGATTACTTCGGTGATGCTACCGGCAATTCCAACAAAAACTAATCCAAAAATAAGAAAGTAAAAACAACAAACAATGTTGCAAAATAAACTACATTTTCCTGTTGGCAATACAGGCATTCCTTAAATATAATCTCCAGAATATTTTTGCCAAAGAGACATTTCATCTTCTTTGGTTGGATACAAAAAATCATCATCCTTAAATGCCTCATAAGGGTCAGTAGAAGCCCTTATTAATTTTAGTCTTTAATCTTCTCCTTTTCTGTCTTCAGATATTTACTTACATTTTATTAATATATTACACCCATAGTCAACGTTTATGGTAAAAACAAGCCATGAACATTTGGAGTATTGGAGCCTGAAAATTAATCATCATGAGCTTAATTTTATGTTTATTTTGACTATTTCATTAAATTTATAATTGCAGTATAAAGAATAAGAAAATTACTCAATATTAATCAGAACAATAATAAATAATATAAATTAAAGTTTACTCTACTATAATTATGGAATCATTGAAAAAAAGGATGCTAGAGTGCATCTTTAGGCAACATTCTTTCTTAATGATCAAAAATGAGCAGTTGTTTCAACAAGTCTATCGCTTCAGGTGTGCAAAGGCTTTCGTTGTCTTTGTTAATGTAAAATTCAAATCTCTTTGGGGATGAATAAGGAATACTCTTATACCTTGGAGGCATGTTGATTTTCCACTTACTCAAATACTCATACAAAACATCAGATCCTAATACATTAATAATCTTTAATAATTGGTCGTCATTGCTCGATCCTGCAAAAAAAGGTTCTTTCTAAAATATCATACCCGCCATCAAACAACCAACTCCCCAAGAATCTATTGAATGATGATATTATCTAACATCAAGCAATATCTCTGGAGACTTAAAATACCTTGATGCCACTCTTGTATTATATTCTTTATTAGGGTGATAAAATTCTGCCAATCCCCAATCCAATAATTTAAAATCTAATTTAATTATCATTATTACTAGAAAATGAAGGATTTGTTAATATATTATGTGGTTTGATATCGCGATGGAAAATTCCTTTTGAATGAGAGTAATCTAAAGCTTCTAGAACACATTTTATCAAAAACTTTATTGGTTTCAAAGAATCATAATAGCGAATATCCTTCAAATTGATACATTCTTCTTATTTAAAAATTAGAGATTGTCTTAAGCTGCTGTAATCTTATACCACATCTAATAATTCTGTTATTAATGGATGTTTATGTAAATTTTTGAGAGCCAATATTTCTCTATTTATTTTCTCAGGCAAATTCGGCTTTAACACCTTGATTATGACATTCTGATGAGTTCTAATTGAAACTCCTTTAAATACTTCTGAATATCTTCCTTAACCTATCTTTTCATATATTTCATAGTCATCTTGATGTCTGAATTAACCTCATATATACCCAAATTAAGTCTTATAATTTTCATAATCCCAATAATGCTTAGGCTAAAGAGTATTAAAATCTGCATAATATTTTGGAATTTTCGATGCTTGTGTTAAAATGGATTTCATAAAGTATTTAATTATTCTTATTATTTAAATAAATAGTAAGTATATGTAATTCATATTGAATCAATAATTTAAATATATGAGTTATTATGTAATATCCATACTTCAATCGGACATTTATAGTAGATCTTAAAGCATTTTGCATAAATTATATTCATATTTACTGATATCAATTAGATATAAAATATATAGACTATTAATTTCATGTGGAGACAATGAATTTTTAGGCTTGATCTGTTTACTATTTTTTATTCAATCTATATAATTTGATGGCATCTTTATCTTAAGCTAACTTTAAGATATTCTCATTGTAATCAATTATATTTTCTTATTTAATTTTACACTCTTCTATCAAATGTTTAATAAAGTCCTCTTTGCTCAAAGTATTATCATTGATGTTCAAAATATAATATTTCTTACTTTCATTATTATCCTGATTCTGATTATCCTTCTTTTAATTTTTGCGATTCTTGTTATTATATTTTCTATCTCTTTAATTTCTTTAATTTGCATCTCTGTCATTAGTTTTGGGGTCATCACTTGTATTATTTACTTCATTGGTTAGCTATTAATCTTTTTTTTCAACATATAACTCGTCTTCTTGTTCTTATTATTCTTACTCCTTTGTTTTTTCTGAATGGACTTGATTCTAGGCTTTTTCTCTATCTTAATCTTTCTATTTATGTTAATTTTGTTTTTTTTAAGGTTCTTAATTGGTTTAATTGGATTGATTAGATTAATTCTATTGTTTCCTATTCTCCTATTTAGGTCTTTATTTTTATTTTTAATTCAATTACTGTTCCTATTCATTGTTATTTTTGTTTTTGTGTTTTTGTTGATTTTATTCTAACCGTGTTGCATCAAATTATTGATTGGAATAATAAATATTTTACTATTCTTCAATAAACTCTGTGTTCAAATTAAATCTCATAAACTTTTTACCATCTTTACTCAATACAATCCATCCACTTGGTTAACAATTCTCATTATAGTAGCAACCATTTAAATCGCACCAACTAAATTCAAAAATTCAAATACCCTCCATTCTCATCTAATAAATAAATAGTTTTATTCTTGTCATCTGGTAATCTAAATCCTCTGAAGTCTATTAATTCTTCATATCTGTTAAATTTGCTGAGATCATGCTTCTCAAACAAAAATTGTGAGTATTCCTCTTCTGACATAATTATTTAATTATATTTATTAAAGAATTTAATCTTGAAAATTTATGTTTTCTAATAAAGTTATTTACAAGTTAAAATATTTATGAGAAAAATGTATGGATTGATTTGTGGTCTTATTTTCTTTATAATGAACATTAATAATTAAATTATTTGAGTATCTTTCTTAGTTACCTTAAAAAAGTAATTCTACTATAATTAATTGATTTGCAATAAATTTATTAATTGATATAATATTTATTAAATCATGCAACAAGTATGTAATAAGTTTGTTATGGATATGACTGATACACGAATGGGACCAGAACAAAAGTGTCGTAATTGTCAATTCATGAAAAAAGAACATAGTTAAAGTATTTAAATATTCTATAAACATTCTAGGCAATTCTCAATAGCTTCCATAAACAGAATCAGGTCAAAACAAAATATCAGACATAATGAAAAAATTTTCTGGACCCAATAATCAAGTTTAAGATAAGTTTTAAGGAGCAGTGAAAACAAGTGTCTAGTTGAAAAAACAGGAAGAAAAAATTCCACCATAATCTACAGCGAATTAAACAGAAAGTTAATCGTAGTAATAGAATTTCCCAATAAGAAAAATTGATAGCTAAACCCTATCCAATGACACTCCTGTGCAGAATAAAAATTAGCCATCATTGAATAAATAGCCATCGAATACATCTAATTAGCAATCTAATGCTGGAAATCAACAGCCACAGAAATAACAGGCTCAAATAGAGACTGCCCCTGTTTAAACTAAACTTTCTAATAATCCTTTTTTGTAGAATGACAAATCTTAAAAAAAAGAAGTGACGTTTGTTAAGCCAGCTCCAAAAACTGGAGAGGAGTCTAAATAATCATAATAGACAGTTCAGGATAAAATTGGATAACAGACAGAAGAAAAAAATAATGTTGTTTCTGAGGATTAAAACTAAAAATCTAATTTTTAAGAAATTAAAAATGCTTTCGCAAAGCAATCCCCTCTCATTCAAAATGATTCAACTGCAGGATCTCAATAGTCTCCAACTAAATTATAAAATGGAGGTAATAAATTATAAGGAAATCAAACAAATATCCCAATTTTTCGATTTGGTCCTCCTCCTGTTAATAGACCTTCAATTCAATAGGATCCTGAATCTTGCATAGAACAATAGTTATTAGATAGGCCAACAATCTAATAAAAAAATAAAAGAACTGTTCAAGAGTTCACAGATTTTAATTGAAGCAACATTGCGCATAAAGGCAATTAATTATAAAATTAAATATATATTTACAATAAATTTACATATAATTTTTGTAAATTATCAATATGGAGCTTTGAATTTAGGGTTGTCTGTTAAGTTTCCTCTAATGGCTTGTTCTAACTCAATGGATTAGAAGAGGGACTTGAAATTACCTGCTCCAAATCCTGAATGATTTCTTCTTTGAATGATTTCTATAAATAAGGTTGGTCTATCTTCTAAGGGTTTAGTAAATATTTGTAAGAGATAGCCTAAGAAATATTAAATTAAATCTACCTTTGTCATCATAATCAACCAAAATCTTATTCTTTTGGATTACATCAATATCTTCAGCAATCTTGAAATTCATATGGGGGATGTTCTTTCTTAAATTATCATAATAAGTATCTGGAATAGAAAGGAAATCAAGTCCTCTAGCTCTCATAGCTTCAACTTCCTTTAAGATGTTGTCTGTTTTCAATGCTATATGTTAAACCTTAAATATAAAAATATAATTACTCCAGATCCAGTGTAATAGTCAACATATTCTTAAATCTGAGATACTTTTCTTCCATGAGCTGGTTCATTAATTGGCATCTTAATGACTTCATCATAATCTGCAACCACAATTGATTAAAGTGATGAATAATCAGTGTGGAGAATAGAATCGTCAACTGACCAAAATCTGTGGAAATCCAATGTCTTTTCATACCATTCGGCAACAGGAACCATTTCATGTTCGGGTTGATTACCGACAACATGATCTACCACTAAAAAGTCAACTGGTGGTAGTAGTGAATTGATTGGATCTACCTTTGGATGTTTAGTGAATCCAGGTAAGAAGAAGCCCTTGTAATCATTTCTTTGGACAAAAGTGTGGATGGTATCACCATAGGTTTAAATGGAAGCCAAAACAACACTTCCATTTTCATCCTTATCCTCTGTTGGTGGTCTAATTGATTTTGCTCCTTTAGCAATTGCTTTGTCATAAAGAGCTTTGGCATCTTCAACTCTAAAAGCAACATCTCTCACACCATCACCATGTTAAGATTAGTGAGTGTTCATTATTACATTTTCTGGACTATAAGGACTGGAGAATGCAAAGAATACTCCTTCACCATTTCTCAGAACATGTGTTGCCACATCTCTTACTCCTGTTTCGAGTCCTCTATACAATTAGACCTATCAAAATACCTATAAGCATAATATTGGAATCCGAAGCGTGTCACGTAAAATGATGCTGCTTGGTAAGCATTTCCAACCCAAAAATGAATGTGATCAAATCCTAAGAATTTACCACCATCTGGTCTTTGCTTAAGTTAATCAGCCATTGTCTTTCACTATTTTTAATATATCTTATGATATAAATTTATGTGACATATATATATGATGAATTATTAATAATGACGCATGATTTTTTATTGAATTTAATATCATTTCTAATAAATTACATAACACATTATATAATCTAATATAAAAATACTTATTTTTAACAAGATTGAAGAGTTTACTACTTTCCTAAAAACTATTATGCATTTTTGGTTACAAAGTTACGTTGTTTTCTTCCTAAATAATCTCTTAAATTTAAATAATCATTTGGTATGATTTCGTTTATTCTTGTAGACTGCTATATGCTATAATATCGTGTTTTTCATTTCATTAACAGTTAATAGGAGATTACAATCTAAGTATTATTACTAATATTCTCAAATCATTTGAGATTTTAAGTTAGTTTTAAAAGAAAATGATTATAATTTCTTTTGATATGAAAAAATCTTGGAAAATGAGTTTTTGGTTATTAAAAATTAATATTATGAAATTAATGAAAATGGTAACAATTCAATTAGGAAATTGTAAGCTCTTTTCAAAGGAGACTAAACTAGCCTTTCCACCGAAGACACAATCATATATTTCTTCCATTTTATCAAAAAACTCTTTTCTATTTTCTTCTATATTTTGACATTGGTCCTGGTCATCCTCATCTGATCTCATGTCTGTATCAAATAAGATTGTAGTTAATCCTTTTGTTCTAATTTAGCCATCTCTATAGTAATGGCCTCTAAAAGATTTCAATTCCTATTTATCCAGTTATTTGATTTGCTATTTTGATGCATTATTGCAGACTTTATGTGTAGCTGTAGATACTAAATCATATGAATTTAATTTCAACTTTGAAGTTTCAGGTTCAAGTGAATCTGGATTGATAATTTAAGAGGATTGTTATTAGGGTTATTATGATTTATTTTTGGTCTATTTGTTATCATCATTTTTTTTTGTTTTTTTGATTAACATTGAATATTCTTCCCAATCTGATTTGGCTGCACACTCTTAAAATAAGTTGTACTTTGATTACCAATCATTTCCCCAAATTAATAATTCGTATATCTTTGATTATTTATTTTGATCAATTTAAGGAAACAATAATGGATGTCTACCTACCTAATCTGAATACAAATTGATGCTAATTTATTTTAATTCATTAACATAATCAAGAAAAAATTGAATCTTTTTGAATTCTCTTCTATTAATTACTTTATGATAATGTGAAAATCTAGCAATTCTTTCATCCTCATGATGTTCAGCATGTATTAGCAATAATTATTAAAACTTTTCAGCTGAGCGTTTCAATTCTTAAACCAAGTAATCATCCAGATACTTATTAATTTCTACAGCTCTCAATAGTATGTGGATTGAGACATAACCTATTCTGTTGTGAAATCTCTCCTAGCCTGATTGTCTGCATTTGACTTTCTTTGGATTCACATAGGATTGACTCAATAATTTAATGGCTGCTAATAGGAAATTACCAACCAATTTTCTATATTGATTGACATACAATCTATTTATAAATAATCGATTCTTACTTTTTACCGGTCTGTTTGAAGAACTCTTCGTTCCCTGCTTTGTGATGTCCTCGACATCTTACCCCAGTAGCATACAAGGCTTTCAGTTCACTTTTCGTTAAATCTTCCTTATAATTGGTGAACATTTCCCATCTATGATAACAATATTTAATGACTTTTTTTTTAAATCGAATGTTTTTTAGACTTTGATTCCAGTCTATAATTCAAAAATACGAGCAACTTGAGTCCAACTTTTACACTTCTTACCTCCGTATGTATCTACTATTTCAATTAATTTTCTCTATATTTCTTCATTATATTGATTTCTATTCGACATAGTAAGAAATAAAATAAATTTGTTATTTTCATCATCTATAACATCTTAGGGTATATTAGAATAATTGGAAAAATATTCTATACCCAAAACAAATATTATGCATCCTTTATTTTTACATATATTTATTTGTACGAATTATGCATATAACCACAATACAAAGTGCTAATAATACATATTGTGATAAGTATTATAATATCAAAGGGTATATTCTACTAAGTTGTTAGTAATTCAACCCTCAAGACACATATTATATATATTTTAAATCCGTTTTTATTAATATGTAAAAATTACTGCATATTAGCACTGTTCTCAGTGATCGTGACAGCTCAAGAAGAGCTTATCTTGACAAAATCAGAAGCACATGAAAATAGCAAAAGGATTTATCGTCAGAAATATATACAATTAAAAAAAAAGGATTACCTACATTTTTGGGGAGAAGTTCAGATGACTCAATCAAAGAATAGTTATCATCCCTCTTGAATTATGAGGAAGCTCTTAAATTAACACCCTCTGAAGCTGGTGAGCATACAATCAAATTCGTCGAATCAATGTTCATTATTGATTAACCAAATCCAAATGCAGTCAGAGCTACAGAGAAACCAGACTATCATCTTTTTGAGAATAGCGTATAATAGAAGAAAGTTTATAGCAATGAAAAAGTGACCACATTCTAAGATGGTTGTATTTATGTTTTTAGTGAATGCAATTTCAAGGGAGAACATGCAAAATCATGTCCAGGAGATAATGTGACATTCTTTGGATTACCTTTTGAAGTGCTATCCATTCATTTACCTGAAGGAGGATCATTGAGTCTAATCTAAGAAAATGGAACAACTGCCTACACAGTTACTAATAAATGTATGAGAAGCAGACCTATTGAATTCCTTTTTGTTGAAGGTGCAATTCAATAATCATTTGGAAATGGATAAATATACATAGACTAATGAAAATATTCATTAGAATTATCAATTTTATTTCATGAAATTCACTCTTGATGATCATCAATTTAAACAATTCTTGATTGCTAGATGTTGCTTTAAAGTATTTTTGATTTATTCAATTTTCTAATTTCCATAACTTACTATTTGACTTCATCCTTCACTGATTATTTCTCATTCTCGTATTTGCTATCAATAACATATCTTAATAATAGAATGTATGATTACCTCTCAAACTTTGTTTGTTTGTCCTCTTCTCTAAGTAGATGTTCATCATCAAATTCAGGAAGATAGGGATCTTCAATGTTGTTTTCATATCTAAGTTGAGATTGAAAGATAAACGGAATCTAAAATTAAAAGAAAGGACTCTCTCCAAAATGACTAAATTTGATTTATCTTAATTAATCATAACTAACTATCTGCCGTGAGTACAGAGAATTTAAGCCAAAACCTTTAAAAATTCATTGAGACTTAGTCTTTCTGCACATAAGGACATCATTTGGATTATTTAAGATCCTTCTCTAACAGTAAATTTCTGGACTCTTATTAAGAAAGTTATAAAACTCAAATAAAAGAGTTTGTTCTCTAATATAATTATAATTAAGTTTACTTTGATCTCTCACCTTTTCAGCAGATCTATACAATACACACATTATGGCATAGGATAAGATTAAGCCTAAGACTTATAGATATCCAACAGGTTCAATCCAAAGCATTGTAATATACACAACTATTAACTCGGTGAAAATCCCACTGAAAAAATAAGTTTGAACATTCCACAAGAACATCACTTTAAATGAGCTATTATTATTTTTAAATCATTACAATATTTTTAGCAATTAAAAAACCCCCAAAAATATAGTTATCCATACATAATAAGAAACATGGGACATTTATACATCGTATCCATTTGAAAATAAGTCATCGTATTCATGGTTATAGAAGGCAGCACAGAAACAAAAGATTCCCTCAAAAAATGAAATTATCAATTAAATATAGGGTGTTTCGTCATCCCAAATGTATTCATGTATACCATAATCTTCAAATAGAATTTCGAATTAGAGATTAAGATACTTATCAGATCCAAATAATTCCTTGTATCTTTGATGCTCAAGCTAGATTTCATAGATCTTCTCCCTAATCAATCTTCTAAGTAACGTATCTTCTTCCTTATAAATGGCAGGATCATCAATGGCTTATCAGATATTACATCTAAATTACCTTCTTTGTTGAAATTGAATATCTTGAATTACTCCATATACTGAAAACTGTAAGTTAGATGGTTATCAAAATAATCCTTGATTAAAGATCGGAGTTCCTTTTAAGAGAGTCCATCGATTTACATGGAATTAGTCTCACAATGTATTCTCAATTAAGCCTCTAAATATTTGCTGAACAAACTATTGACTACGCATAAACTATAGGTGATTTTGTCGGGTTCATCGGCTATGTAGTTAGACCAAGAAACCCTGTCGATGAAGGCTTTTTAAGTTTAATGCATTTTCATTGACAAAACCTTGAATATCCAAATGCCAAGAGTATGCGAGGCTGCTGCACAAATAACCATTATAAGAGGTTACCAATCAAACGATTTTTTAATAGAAAGATATTTGTTTTAAAAAGCAGTGCCAGGAATTAGTACTAACCAATCTTCTAGCAAATAGACTAAGGCCATTAATAAAAATGAACAGAATATTGTATTCGGAGTCACATTGTTTATCCAACTTCTAAAGAAGGCTCTGAATAACTAGTAAAGAGCTAAATAATGAACAATGCTGTAATAGGCTAACTGATATTTTATACGATTGTTACTGCGTGAATTGTTAATGCCAATTGAATGAATTCAAATATTGCACAGGTGAAAACAAGAGAAAAGGAAAATCTAAATGGCTAAGCTAACTCATGAGGTGAATTCTTAGTGGGATGTTGAAGACTTAAAATTTTGCTAATGATGTTAAACATAATATTTACTAAATGAAAGCTATTAGGAAAGCAACAATACACCACAGTCTAATGAAAAACTAAGAAGCATAAAGAGCAGCAACATCTGTTTTCACAAGATATCGCAAAAGCGAGATTGAAATGATAGGTTAAGATCCAAGCCATCCCACCGAAAATGCTGTATTTTATAACATTATTAAATTAACTATTTCTAGAGAATTCAAAAATTAAAATCACAACTTTTCAATTTACACAATAATTGTCTTTTCAAACACTCCTCACTGATAAATTTACAATAATATTCGAATATGTAACAGAATTTTATATTCAATTCCAATTCATATAATTTCAATTTTGAGTTTGTTTTTGATCAAACTCTAAATTCATTTTGCTATTTGAAAACTCTTGAGTAACATCTTTAAAATAGAATAAAGGTTCATTTAATTATTCTATTTTATAAGAGCCATTAAAATAGTTCTTAAAAAGGAAGTACAATAAAGCACTTTTATCGCTTTCAGAATCTGCTCTAAAATCTTAAATTATTTTTGTTGGAACAACTTTGTTATAAATATAAAATGATTAAGATAGGATTAGACTGTTACTAAATTTCTGTTCTAAGGAAGGATTAAGATATCACTGAGAACCAGTAAGTTAAGGCTTCCAGAATGAATCACTATTATATAACCAACATGAAAATATGGATTTCACCTTGAATCTAAGTTCGTTGTTGAAGACTACTAGGTCCATTTTTATATATTGTTAATTATTTTAGATTAATTAAGTTTCAAAATGTTTAAAAATGATAAACCCGTTATTATTGATGATCAATATCTGCTAACATCACTTTATTATACTGGTAGAAACTCTGTTTACTATAATGCAGTGTTAACTAAGGATGATCAAAAAAGTGGTGACATACTAGTATAAATAGTATAGATTGGAACACATTAAAATAGGTTACTAATCAGTCATAATGTTATTGCAGATTATATAAAAAGACTAGTGACAGTAAGATTCATACTCTAAATAAGATGGTATCACTCCTAAAATTCATCAATTTGGAATTCTCAAAGTAGGAGAAACATCTTATCATTATATTGTACAATAGAAAGCAGGACCTTCATTTAAATTGTGTTTTTAACTAATGAAGCGAAAGTTTTCAATTTCGACTATTGCTTTGGTTGCATTAAAAATGGTAATTCTGAATTTACTAAATTTAGATCACTCATCTCTAATAATTGCATTCTTTGAATATAATTCATAGATGCTTAAAACTATCCAATTTAATTAGCACTCTTTAATCAGAAATATATTTCACCCACTTTGAATATTCATCAAAATATATGGATAAAAATGGGAAAATCTTAATAAAATAAAAGAATAAACTCAACTTGTATATTAATAAATTCTCATCCATAGGCACTCATTTATAACAATGTACTTTAATATCAGAATATAAAGTTCCTTGTCCAAGAGATGACTTAGAGTCCTTGTTCTATATTTTGTTACATATCATTACCTTAGGAAAATTTTTGCATTCCCAACCAAATGTGGAACGATAGGAAAAACTCAAATATTATTATGAAATTAAACAAAGATTTGTTCCTGAAAGAGAATTAAAGGGATTTCCAGAACAGTTCCTATAATTGTACCATGGAATAAGATTACTTTAACCTCACGAATTTCCAAATTATGATTAATTGAAATAACCATTTTTTCAATTATTAGGCTAACATGACCTACAATTACAATTTGATTGGATTCCTTTACTCAAACCTAAAAACAAAAATAGTAGATCTCCAAGTCCTATCAGAATTAGTAAATTAAAACATGCTGGAAGTGTTGGGGATATGGCATTTATTTCATAACAAAAAAAGGATGATTCAATTTTAGATTCTGTGTCTCCTTAAAAATAAGGAAAACCTACAATGAAACATTTTGTATATTCAACAAATAAGAATGCAACAGAAAGATAATTACCAGCAATATCAGAGGGCAAAGAAGGAACTTCAAATTCTATATTTGAAAAAAATTAAAACTAGAAAAAAATGGGAGGACTTTCAATTATCATTTGTAAGTAATAAGTTACAAGTTCTTCATCTTCAGGTAATGTGAGTTCAATGAGTGATGACCAATCAGAAGTTGACACAAAACCATTAAATGGAATTATTAGTAAACTTTATTTGGATTGAAATGTTTATATGAATAATTTATAGATTATTTTGAAAAAATAATAATTGATATACTGGATGAGAGTGTCATTATACTTACATCATTTTATTGTTGAAATAATGAAAATAAATATATTGAATTTGTTGAAATTCACGGCAATCAAAACAATTTTAGTCTGCAGTTGTAATTTTCAATGCTGAATTGATTAATAATTAAATTTATAGCACCCTTCTGATTTAATCAAATTCTTTTAAATGTTTTGAATGTCAAAAAAACTGTAAAAATTCAAAATTGAAACAGTTATGTATAGAAACAAATACAAAAATATATTTATAATTAGCATTATTTGACTTCCTCATGCAGTTTAGTTTATAACATATATTGATTCTTAGTTTATAATATATCATAGTTAATTATATTAATTGCTCTATCTTAATAGAATACTCTAAAACTGGAATTATTATAAAGGACGCTTGTGATTGACACTAATAACAAAAGACTAAATACGAATTTCTCTATCTATCTCTCAATTAGTATGGTTATGTTTAAAATTAATTGATATAGTCTGGCTCTCTAAAAAATTAACTTATAAAATTAGTGAGTTCTAGACTTGAATTAAATAATAATTGACTTATTTTATATATACTATTGATGTTGATCCATATTTTCAACAATTTTTTCATCATATTGAAAAATCAACTTGTGGAATGATAATTGATTTCAACAAAATTGAAATATATTTGATTTATAAAAAGAGCTTATAGAATTATTATTCTTTAGAATAAAATCAAACATATTTTGAGAATATCAAATACTGATAGTTCTTGGGTATTCTTTTTGTTTTTTAAGTGAAATAATGGATGAAGTTATTTAATTAATTATTTAAATATGACTGATAGAAAGGCTTGGAATTAAAAAGTATGTACCTTTAGATTCCTTTATTTTAGGAGGATATTGCAATCCTACAGTTAGTAAAGCAGTATGGAATTAAGAAGTGGACAATTGTGGCTGAAAAGATGAAGGAAGTGTATGGATTATTTGGGAGGTCTGGGAAGTAATGTAGAGAACGTTATCACAATCACCTTGATCCAACAATCAATAAGGAGCCTTGGAGTGAAAATGAAGAAAGAGTGATCTTTGTCGCTCACAAAGAACATGGCAATAAGTGGGTATGATAAAATGTTGAATAAAATTTTTAGGCAGAAATTGCGAAACTGTTACCAGGGCGAACAGACAATGCAATAAAAAACCATTTTTATTCCACTTTAAGAAGAAGTCTCAGGAGAATCAATAAACTCATCGGAGATAAGAACAGTAATTGGCATGATTATATATTTAGCAAAGAAAAGGGTACCCAACAGATCAAGGATATCAAGCCAGGAGTATTGTCTAAGATTTTCATACTTGCAGAAAAAAATCCATCTGAATTAAAAGATGATCATATGAAAAGGTTATGTTAAGCTTGTAAAGGACTCTAAGACTCCATCTTAGAATTTGCTTAATCCAAATAGAAATCTCAAATAAATCAATTCAATGAAGACAAGTTCAAATAACTTATTGACAAAATTATGGAATTCAAGTATTTTCTTGTAATTATTATCATCAAGTGCCCTCTACACAAAATAAAGAGAAAGCAGATTAAAACTGAAGAAGAAAAATCATAAGAAGAGAAAAAGCAGAATTGATGATGATGATGACGATGATGATTATACTAGTGATTACAAATACGAAGAAATTAGCAACTATGTTCCACTCAAGAGATCCTCGAGACTCAATGCAAAAAAGAAAGTGGTAGAATTTACATCTCATTTCTAGCATATTGATAAAGAAGATTACATAGATATATGTATCAGAACCAAAAAAGGTCCACTATTCAATATCATTCGAGATGAATTCGAAATCCAGCAGGATAATGAAGAAGTAAAGACTTTTTAATTATTATTCTTAGTAGCAATCTTCTAACAATTATCATCAATAATACATCTACGATTATTAGGGAAACAACAGTCCAAATAATCAGTAAATGACTCCGGCCTTCCCTGTATTGACTCCAAGATAGATATTCTTTTAGAAACCTATAAATCCATATCAGGAAGAATTAGGTTTGGATGATAATCCCTTAAGTAAATCCAATTTTGTGCCAATTGTCATTACAAAACCATATACTTAATGCAAAGAGAAAACCCTTGATACAATTGCTTCACAATTATAGAAGAAAATTAGTAAATTACAAAAATAATTTTAGATGCAAATGCTGATAAATATATATTTAATTAATAAGCTACTCAAGATTCGGATTTGGAAATCAATATTGGAGAAGCTTTTGAGATTTAAAAGGACTACAAATCCCCAACCAGTAAATTTGGAATTGGTGGTTACAGTCCAAGTGCATTTAGAAAATATAAAAAAGATCAGGAGACTGGTTTAGTTAATTTCATGGTTACACCTCATAATTATAAATGATGTATTGATTTATCAATGTTTTCAAAAATTCCATTAATAGAATTTATTATTAATAGTATTGTATATACACAAATAAATTACTTTTGTCTTGTATGTTTGTTAAATTCTATTCTTAGAAGAGTATATTTAAATATTAAGTTATTAAATAGTAATGGTTTTTTCTAAATAGCTGAGATTAAACCCATTGTATTTTATCATCTATAAATGATTTTTCAATTAAAGTATTTAGTGATCAAATTTCATTATCAATTTTTATAAATGATAAATATTTCAACTTTTATTTAACCAGAATTAATATATAAATGTTGTAGGAGTTTTAGATAATGATATCATTCTTAATGATAGATCAATATAAGATTATTAATTTAATTCTTAAATGTTTAAACCCTTAAGTTCATATTGAATAATTTAGAGGGGAACAAGGCACTTATGAATAAATGAATAGAGACACTGCTTTTAATGATGTGAAAGAATTGATCAATGCAAATGTAAAGTTTGCTTATGTGAGTGGTTCTGCTCATCCACCCTTTTTAAAAGATAATTAACTACTAAACAAGAAGTAGAATAACATATTTTGAATCTCTACCAAGTATTCTTCAGAATTAACATTTTTAGCAATAATAGCTTAATCATAGTAAGACCAAGATTCATTTATAGATTAAATCAACGATGGTGGAGTGTTCCTTTGAAAATGATTTGGCAATATGGAAATGTGTATAATTTGAATGATACTCTCTTTTTATAAATGATAACGCATCTAGATTTATTCCTTAAAAATCATCTATTGGAAGAATCTTCAATAAATTCAAAGTCGACACTTCAATAGATTTATAAGATGTTATTGATGCATGTTTGGCTCCTTTAAAAATAGATTTTTTGGAAATCACTAAATAATTCAGAAATGGAAAAAGTAGCATAAGAATTTAGGAGCTTAAAATGATAATATGGAATTTGATTATTATTATTAATTTATATTCCTCAAACAATATAAAGTCTGCCATTTTCTATTAATCCCCCCTTTATTTTAGTGATTATAAGACTAAAGTAAATATTTAGATTTATAAATTTAAACTTATTCTATAATAATAAATTTGCCATTACATACTGAATTAGTTTTTGCGGTTGTATAGAATTCATTATCTTTCTTAAAGTAATGAAAAAACTGAATAATATACTTCCCCTTTTTATTAGAATAGTTGCATATAATTGCTCCTTTCTTTTTTTATGCATAGATACATTTAAATTATTACTTTTGATTTTTAATGATTATGAATAGAAATAATTCGCAATATTTAGAAAATGGCAATGAATGAATTCATAATTTTCTATTTTAATTTTTAAGGGTATAATAATTTAAATGTTCAAAGGAGTTTTGATGAAATTTTATTTGATGTTTAATAGATCAATATTTTCTGCTCCATGGTTTTTCGTCAGGAATTTCATTTTTTGGTTGGAATTGATTGGCTTTAGCTTATGGGTTTGATTCAAAGTACTTTTTAGCCTCTTCATAAATTTAATAATCTTCACTGTATTTTTACATATCTAGGAGTTTTGGATTTATGAATACTTTCAGAAAATTAACTTAGATCTTATTCATATTAATCTTGTTGACTAAAAAGATTTTCAGAGTCCATGAACATGGGAGGTTATTGTTTCATAAACACTCTCTATTCAATAAATTCTTCATCTTCATATTCTAAAGGGAAGTTCAATTCAGCTATTTTTTATAGAGCCTCTTCTTCAGTTCCTCTTGATTATTTTATTAGTCTCTCATCAGTATCAATAACAACCTAGAATGTAATTTGAAAATACTTGTCTGAAATTCTTGGATGTTTCTTCGCCATGAACTTATGCCAATTCCAATAATTCTTATTTGTACTCCCTAAGGATTTGCAATTCTTGAGGGGTGATGTCTCTTAAATACTTGGCAGGAGATCCAGCCCAAACCTCTCCTTATTTAATTTGAGTGCCCTCTGGTACAAGGGATCCAGCAGCCACGATTCCTTACACCGAAGCACCTTATTTAATTGTAGATCCCATTCCAATAAATGCATCATCGCCAATTAAACATCCTTATAAATTTGAATTTGGTCCTACATAAGAGTTATTTCCTAAAGTCACTGGTTACGTTGCTTTCACATAGACATTATCCTGAATTAAAGCATTCTTGCCTACTGTTATAGCATTTTGATCAGCACGTAAAGTGGCACCATACCAGACAGAGGAGCTAAGGTTGAACATGTCTAAGAGTACTTCTGTTTCAAGATAACATTTCCAACCAAAACAGAATTGGGGGCAGTAAATAAAGCATCGCTGATTTAGGGAGTTTGACCATTAGTTTGCACTTATCTCAAACACTACACTAAACGATCATCACTAGCTTCGCTTCCAAGCATGTCGTTTCCTTAGGAAAGCAAGCTTTTTCCAATTCTCCTATAGTATGGGCCGACAGTATTTAATACAAAGGAATCGAATAATTGGAGAATCTTGACTTTGAACATAATTATTTATGTAATTTTAATAAGAGTAAAATAATCTAGTATTTTATAATCCAATTTATAAGCAAGCTAGAAATTCAATAGTAGATATTTAACTTAGACCTTGATTTTAATTAACAATGGTTTGGTTGATCATTAATTTTGATCCATTTTCAACAATTGAAGTAGTTTATGGTTTAATAAAATTTAAAAATTAAATGCTATCTAAAATTCATGCATAATCAATTTGAGTTAGGAAATTTGTCAAGTCTAGTATCATCAAAAGTAGGAGTTTATGACTAAGGAACCATAAAAGTGTAAAATTTCATTGGATTCAACAATGGAGGAGATTCACCAATTTATAAAATATCAACTAAACCTATTTTTATAGATAGATCATTAAGAAAGTGACATAAAATTAAATGGAAGGTATCACTAGAGGAATTAAAAATTAATTAGCTATATTTTTAGACGGATTAAGATGAGAATAAATTGATATAAAAAGTCAAAAATAACTGAAACTATGCAGGTTCTTAACTATTTTTGAATCCTATGATTTATTCAAGAATAGAGGCGATAAGATTTATAAGTAATTCGATGATTGTTTGTTTCAATTAACTGTATATGTAATCTCCAATAATTAAGAATGATTAGCAATATTGAACTTAATAAGATGTCTAATCATTCATAAAGTAATTGATACCTACATAATACAGTTGAATTGTATTAAGAATAATAATATATATATATTAATGATTAAACAAATAATTCTCATATTATTAGTTGTTTTTGTTATTCAAGCAAGACATCAACATTTAAGACACACAAAACATCAATTGGGTCATAATTTAACCATGAAACCAGGTATAATTTTATATATCTGTAAGGTGAATCATGCTTACCTAACACTGATTTGAGTGGATAGAAAAAGGAGGAAACATCAGCCAATTAAGCAAGAAAACATTTGACAGTAATTGGAACTCTTATATTTCTTAGAAATTCGCTGATCACCTGACAGAAGAGAATAGAAAAGCTGAAGATAAATAACCATTCCCTAACATTTATACATATTAAGATTAAAATTGCATTGGAAACGGATAGGATCCATCAAAAAGAGACAGAAGAATGAGAAGAAGTTGAAATCAACTTTTGATATTAAATAAACATTATCATTGAATTTCAATTACTTTCCAAAGAGTACTAGTATCATCAGGTTTTCCAGAATCGATACTTAACAAAGAAACTATGATTTAACCTTCAGGCTTGTATTAATTGAGATTAGTTTACAAATAATACCCAGTCTCTTAGTGTCGTATTTCTAAACATAATTTGTAGGATTTGTTACTTATATTATTATCATTGAGTTTTTCAATTTACCAAGCATCACCTTGTTCACCACCTCCGACATCGATTTAGCCATTACTACTCTTTTATTGAGTTTTCAAGTAGCATTTAGTGAGAGGATGATATATCTATCATTTTAAAAGCCAAATGAGTACTTTAACTAAATTATCATCCACATTTTCGACTGTCCAATTGTCATAATCATTACCACAATCTTTGCAGCAAATCACCTCATTCAATCGAGAATTGGGATATCGAATTCTGTGAGAGTGTAGATTTCCTTAAGAATTCACATTTAACAATTAGATTGTGTTATTAGTAATAGAACTTTCTCTTTAATTCGATGTACAAGATGTAAAGTGACTGCCTTTGAGTAAACTATCATCAAGTTTTGGTGTACCAGTCTCTTGACCAAGTTCTTCTTTGATTATTTACCTACTCAGGCTTGGTACCAAAAGACTTTATCGTCGATCAAACAGATATCGCTCAATTAAGTTCTCTTTTATACAGATTCCTTTTCTTGGCTCATAGTAAATTGAAGATCTATAAGAACTACTTGGATTTTGTTCTTTTTTGCACAAATTACCCATTCAATTAAATAAATAATTAATATAGTTCATTAATCAAATGGACAATGATGGAATCGTTAATCAAGTAGATAATGCTAAAGTTGATCTTTTCCCAATTCCTCCTCAAATACCAACAAACCAAATTATCAATTAGAAGTTAAATCGAGCTAATTAAAAATATTAGAATTAAAATTAATCTAGACCCTAAATTAGATAAGTACCATTAAAAGAGAACGACTACAATTAATAACACGGAATTGAATGAACTTGAACCCTATATTATAGTTAGTGTAAGATCTAACAAACCAACGACTCTAGAACCATCAACTCAATACTTCATAAATTAGGATGGGTAATTTAACAAGGAATTTATAGTCTTATTGGCTCTCCTAAAACTGCTGACTCTGAAGACATCATTATAGGAAGATCTCATGTTATGGACGTCAATCCTCTTGATATAAGTTATTCTATAATATTATTTTAGTGCTTGAAAAGTAAAAAAACATTTCAAAAATTCATTGTAAATTAGTTTGCAAGGATTACTTTAGAAAAGATCCTATACTTAAACTTATTTATACATTAGCATTAGATAGCATTAGAACCTAATCCAATTTTCCATTGCCTCCAAGAGCCAGGTTTATCATTTCTTAATTTTTAGAGTACTTTATCTCCCTATTTTAGTAAACCAAGACATGTTTATATTTAAGATTTAGGTAGTTTAGGCGGAACTTCATTGTTAATTAACAATAAAACACCCTATATTATGAAATAAGATCAAATATTTTGTTATGGTACCGATTCAAATTTTAAAGTTAACTTTTGTCAATCTTTTAATGAGGAAGGAAAAGAAATAGATGATCATTTCTTTTGGTTGTTAAAAAAGTTGAATCTCTTAAATAACCCTAAAAATGAAATTCATTTTAACGACCCTGAATTACATAAGAAATTTTGGAATATATATTAATAATAAGGAGACATTGAAGATTCTTAAAGTACAACTAGTGAATAGAAAGACATTTATGATAAACTTAAAGAATACTAAGTGTCTTTTATTACTATCGAATTCAAAAGTGAGGACATAAAAAAAAATATTTAAAACATTTTTCTTCATTTAGAAAATCAGGATTCCAATGATATTACTATAGGAAGATCGACTGTAAACGATTTCGTTATCAAAATTAATACAGTATCAAGGCAATAATGTAGGTTTCAATATTTAAAAAAGTATAATTGAAAATTATTTAAGTCTGAAAGCATGGGGCATTTTTGACGGAACTAAGGATTCTTCTTCTATAAATGGCACAAAGGTTTAATTATAAACAGTACAATAAAAGTAAAATAGACAAGAATCGGATTTAATAGAGGTAAAAGACGATGCAGAAATTAATGTACCGAGTATTATATTGAAAATTAATATGGTTAAAGGGAGAGTAAGAATTTATATTATTTATTTTAAAGCAATTTCAAATTAACAACAACAACGACATGAAAAAGTGAACAATTTAATTTAAATTATCCATATTATTAATATTTTTGATATTTGATTGTAAAACTTCTAACTTTCTATTTAAGAATTTAATATTTCTATTCATTGCCATATTTTCGATCAATATAATTGATTCTGAAATTAGTAAGTCAATGTGGGAATGAATATTTCAATAATACGTTATAGAATTAAATATTACATCATATACTAAATTTGTTTGAAAAAAATCCTAAATGATAAAAATAAATTGTTGAAAATTAAGGAAACGTGAATATTATTTATTTTATGAATTACATATCATTTATTGATATCTTCGGAGTATAGTTTCGACAATAAATCAGTTACCATGTAAAAAGCCAAAAATCTCTGATTGGAGGAATTACATCTCTCATTATTTTGATAGCTAGTTTTGGATATCTAGCATACATTTTACATGAATGGATTTCTTTTAATTTACTTCCAAAGTTGACTAATACAATGATGGCTGATCAAACTTCAGAGTTATTATACTTTGAAGATGAATCTCTTTTTGAATTTGCTTATTGGAAGTACTCGAACAAATAAGTCGATCCCTTTAGCTAACAGAATAATATCATAACTCCAATTGGCATTTACTTTGACAGTGATCAAGAATCTTAAAAATTTTCATTTCTAAATTAGAATGAAAAGCTGTCTAATTTTGGAACTAAAAAGTATGGCTTAAATCAGTTGAGATTGTCCTAATCTAGCAAAGGAATAAATGTTAGAGAATTAATGATTGTCTTTGTGAAATGCAATCCATTATATTTATCTGCTAATTAGAGTTGTGCAAGTGAAACGGAAATAGATAGTTTTTTTACATCTGCAGTAAATTACTTTTAATTTGAATTGAATTTAAAATAGTTTAATTCATAAACCTAATAAATCGAGACTTTCAAAAAGTCATACTATTTTTCTTTAGATAAAGTAATAGCGACGTAAAGTTAAATATCTTTCAAGTAAGCTCAAGCATCTATTGATAACGGAATTTTATTTGCGTCTTTAACAAAAGAAACTTTTGTTCAAGATGCATAAATTTTGACAACGTCATCGTCTTTAGGCCTTTGGCAAGATCTTTTAGAAATAGACTCCTATTTTACGATAACTCTACGTCTTGATCCCATTTCAAACGAATTGCATATTGTTTATCCTAAGATAGGAGAAGTGCTAGCCTAGGTTGGTTCAATTGTTAACGTACTAATGATGTTGAAGTACATAGTTTCATATTATAATGAAAAAATATTGGACAAGTGCTTTATCGATTAGGTTTTAAGCTTTTATTTCACTGATTACAAATAACTTCACAAATCAAAAGCAGATTCAGATAAAAAGGCATGCTCTATTTTGGTGGAACAAGCCCAAAAAAGACTTGTATATATCAATATCATTTATGAACTTTCAAGAATATAAATGTTTCTCTAGCATCACTTTGGTCGTAAAAAGTTACAAGAAAGTCATTCATTGGGAATTCTCTTAAAACCACCAAATACAAACCTTAATTAAGATTTTGAATAAGAATTGATATCAAATTCGTAAGAACATTCAGATGAAGAAAACAAAGCTTTTCTTATTAAAGATTTTCTCTTATTTAGTTAACCTAATTTATGTTTAAATTAAGTAGAAAATGATTAAGCCAATAAATAAAATTCAAAAATATCACCTTAATAGAATTTTGAATAGCAATAACTATGATAATTCAAATATTTGTTCAAATTAAATAAATATTTTAATGTTATTCATAAAAGTATTAGATTATTCTTTTTGACCAACAGTTAATTATTTATTTAGTTCTACTTTTTTATTAAAAGAGATTAAAATAAAAATATTAGAGGATTTCAAATTATATATATTTCTGAATATTAAATCTTGATAAGGTTAAGTTTTGATTTTGATGCAACTTAATATTTCATACATATAATAAGTTAAAATAATGGATTATAAAATTCTAATAAGGGCAAAAAATAAAATGACGATATCAATCTTGTGATTAAGTCTTCTTCTTTTCAATCATATCTTGAATTCTTTTAACTTAGTCAGTTTATTACACATTATTTAATTATGTAGATATTGACTTTAACAAAATTGCTGGCATTCTTGCAAGATGATGTTGAAGTGCATTTTCTATCCAATCTAATGTTCTTAATTTGTGTAATAAATATTCAACTTATGTGGAATCTAGCCTCTCAGTACAAGGTCCAGTCTTCATCATAGTTGATATTATAATCTAGTCATCTAAAGATGTTAATGCGGTACAATAAGCTTCATTAATATTGTTTTTCTAATAATCACTATAAATTTACATCTAATTAATCCTCTACTTTTTACATAACCTTTTGTTATTCAATCACTTTAGCATTTTGAATAATAGGAGAGGATAATTATTGTTATGTCTATTTACTATCAGTTGTAAGAATAGATTGATCTTTGTTTCTCAAAGGAGATGCTTCTGAAGTTGATCTTTAATGATTTTCCCTAAATTTACCTTCTGCATCACTTATTTTTCCTGAATTTAGTTCAAAATTAGATTCTTAAAGTTTTGATTCAGTGTTGAATTAAGATTTTTACTGTATGAAAAAAATATCCTACATTTTAGTGTTCGGAGCATCATTTAGAGAGTCAAACATATTTTAATTTTAGAGATTCAGAGATTTTTAATTTTCATGTATTTAACAAGGAATGAACTAATCCTTATACGATTCAACAGGGACTACTTTTTATTTTTGAGATGTAATTTGTTACTATTATTATAATTGCTAATTCTATTATGAATTTAACTTTTTATCTATAGTTTCTGACATTCTTTCTAACAGCTATTCAATTTTATCTATTCTTTTGTTTAATAGGTTCATTTCAGAACGTGTGTTTTGTTCTGAAATTTACAATTTTTAATTTAAAATTTATTCGAAGATGGCATTTTATTTGGCTTTGGCTGAATCATATAATTTTAAGAGATCTTGTTTGTCTTGTATTTACTTTTAAGGGGGAGTGGCAAGCTAAATTTAGGATTTAGAAATCTCTTAACTTTAATTTATATATTTCTTCTCCTTTTGATTGCTATATCCTGATATATTAAAATGGTAAGTAGGCTAAGCTGCTTAGATAAAGGCAGAACATTAAGGAGAATGGTTTTTATTGGAATCAGCTAGCATTTGCACAGGGGATGTTTTCTTATCGCTTCCCATCTATTAATTGGGAAGTGTAAAGGAATGGGTTTCATTTTTAACAAGAATATCAGCAAAGGTTGGTTTCTATTTTGAGATTTCTTCTTCCCTTGGTCTATTCTCAATAATTTATATATCTGATGTTCTTTCAAAAAATCCTTTATTGGCACTAGATTTAAACACTGACTTATGTTCTCTGGCTGATTATTATTATAGAGATCGTGAATCTTTAAGGGATGACAATGCTACTTATGCTGCATCCCTTACATGTTTAATTTTGTCAAATCTTAGTTCTCCTATTTTATTGACAAATTGTTCATTTATTCTGAAATAATGAGGAAATATCACGCTTAACGAATAAATTATATCTAATGCAAACTTTCTAGAATATGGACAACTAATACCGTGAGTTCCACTCTTCAGAATGCAAACAATTGGTGATAGTATGTACACAATCCTCTAAACATGGTTCAAAGATTCCTTCTACTGTCAATATAAGACTCAGCAGACTCTCAAGTAAACCTTATTAAGTTTTGCAATGTGGAGATCTAATTACACTTTAGATTTGAATGCATACTTTAAAATTTCTAAGGTTTTCTAAGTGTAAGTTTTAAAGATCATCTCCATTAATTATTAGTCCGTTGTTTAAATTATCCTGCATAGGGATTAAGCACTAATTTATTGAGCTACTCTGTTATTGTGTACAAAATTAGCCTATAGCAATTCTGTAATTGATTAAAATAAGTCGTATTTATTTGGTGATGTTTAGATGGTAAATTCATTGATGTTTGCGAAGGTATCTGATATCACCTAAATAAATGTGGAATCTCCTAGACCAATCTAAGTATATTTTACCTTCTTATATTCTTTTGTTGATAATTTATACAATTCTTGGTAACTACTCTTAAATATCGCTACCTCTTATTTCTGCTAACACACCAAATACTTTAATATAATCTTTTTTTGCTTATTTTGAAATGTCATTGGAATCAAGTAAATTCGTTAAAATCACAAATTGATTTTATTGCAATTATGCTATCAAAGTCCTCAACTCACTATAACCAGTCTAAGCTGTGCTTTGAGAACTAAACAATAACATTATTATAGTAACTGTAATTTAGCTAAAGAAGCTAATAGAATGGTTCTCAATTGCGAATTCGAGTCGCAAGTATTGTACAACCTTCTCGATTTATTTAATGTATTGCTATTCATATTAAAATTTTATTTAATATATATAACTATTTATACATAAAATATATTTGATTTCAATAATTTTATAGAAATTCCTTCGCCATAGTATTTTTTTTTATGAATTCATTAAATATAAAATTAACAACTATTTTGCAAACATTAATAATAAATTACTTATCCATCATTCAATTTTATCAATAAGAATTCGTAATTACAAAGAACTAATTGATCTCAGGAATATAAAAAACTAATGAGAGAAATGCCTAAAGTATTTATTTAATGGCAAAAGAATACTCAAATTGAAAGGGAGATTAAAGCATTTATTTGTGGAGATAATTGAAATAATTGAGAAATTTAAGTATTTTAGAATTCAAAGAATTCGTATTATAATTAATAGTTAACTTCGATTATAATATTTATATTATTATAAAAATAGGTTTTATATTAATACTAGGAATTGAAGAATTCTAAATTTTAGAATTTATCAATTCTAATATTCTAAAGATTAATAATAATATTTTTGAACAATAAATTCAATCAGTTTTTATGACAGATAAGCTTTAAACCTATGGTATTATCCCAATTAAATGTTAGCAAATAGAGAGGAAAACCTTGTTAGTACAGATAATCGAGCTGAGTTTTCATTAGGAAAATTTACTCCAATTGAATTAGAATGGGATAAACTCATAATTAATGCAACTATTAAAGTTGGAAAAGTACATTTATTCACCATTTATCAATAGGTTAGCACTTAGAAGTGTTTGTTAAATAATCTCAAAGGTGTAATGAAACCAGCACACTTCACTGCAATTCTTGGTCCTTCTGGATCAGGCAAAACCACTCTTTTAAACTTTTTGTCTGGTCGATTAATATCAGATAATTTACAAATTTCTGGAGAATTGATGCTGAATGGAAAAAGAATAGATGATATTGACAAATTCAATGATCAAATGGCATATGTTATGTAAGACGATATATTGCTTGCAACATTCTCTCCAAGAGGTACAATACCCTTAAATACTTTTAGAGGCCTTTTACTTTTCAGCCAATATGAGATTAACAATATCTCAGGAAGAAAAACATTAAAGAGTTGAAGCTTTGATCAGAGAGTTGGGTATTACTAAGTGTGCAGACACAAGAGTGGGAAATACCTAAATCAGAGGTGTATCAGGAGGAGAAAGAAAAAGAGCAAGTATTGGTGTAGAACTATTGACAAATCCAAGTTTGATCTTTCTTGATGAACCAACTACTGGTTTAGATTCTTCGACTGCCTTATAAGTTATTGATCTGTTGAAAAGGTTAGCAAAGAATGGAAGAACTATTGTCAGTACCATTCATCAACCTTCATCTGAAATCTTTAACAATTTCGACAGACTTATGCTTTTAGTCAGAGGAAACATAATCTATTAAGGAGATGCTGAATAAGCCATTAATTATTTTGGAAATATGGGCTTTTAATGTCCCAATTTTTCAAACCCATCTGATTACTTTATGAAATTAATGAATGAAGAAGGACTTTTAGTTGAAAAAATATAGGCAGGAGAATCTGACGATTTTGATGAAGCTAAAATCAAAGAAGAATTTGAAGAAAGACTTAAATAGTTTATCAATAATTATAACTCTTCTAATATGATCAGAGAATTGCAATCAAGTGAGTCTGCTGTGATCAAAGAAAATGATACTGGATTTCATATCGGATTTATTTAACAATTTGTTTTGATCTACTAAAGATCGTTTTTAAATGAAATTAGAAATCCTATGGATGTGAAATTAAAAATATTTTAATCAATAGTTAATGCAATCATGCTCATGCTAGTTTATTCTGATGTACTATATTTAATTTAATTTTATAGTTAGGAAATTATAATGAAGGGTTATAAAATCGTTTTGGAGCTCTCTTCTTTATTTGTACAGCTAATGCATTTGGAGGTATCTAAGGTGCTCTTCATACGTTCTCAATGGAAAGACCTTTGTTTTTAAGAGAAAGAATAAACAAAACTTACAGTGTTCATTCATTCTTTTGGGCAAGATCTTTGGCAGAATTTCCATTCTAGATTTTATATCCATCTCTTTGTGTAATCATTGTCTATTATGTTATTGGATTAAGTGATATTAATGTAGGAAAATTCTTCATGTTAATATTAATTTAATTCTTAACATATCAATATGCAGTGTCATATGGATTACTTTTATCAACAATAATACCAAAAATAGAAGTAGCTACTGCATTAGTACCTGCTTTAGTTATTCCTTTTATGATATTAGGAGGATTTTTTGTGAACTAAGATAATATTCCATACATTTTCTATCCATTCACATATTTATCAATGTTTAAATATGGATTTGAAGCTTCAGTCATTGTAAAATAATTATCTTATTATTAATAGAATGAGTTTGACGATGTTATATATGAATGTATGCCTGGATAATAATGCAATCCTGTCGAAATGTTATCAATCACTCTATCTAAATGGGAATGCTGTTATGTTTTAATAGGGTTGGCTGTTGGAATTAGATTGTTTGCCTATTTAGCTCTTCATCTCATTTCAAGTCCTGAAAAACCAAAGCTAAGATCACCTGAATCCATGTAGATTGTGAATAACTAAAATTGATTTCTTTTTACATATTTCATTTTATATTAATTAATAAATACATGGAAATCATTCTTCTTATTCTTCAATTTATATATCTCTTGCTTTTTAATTTTAAAATATTTAAGTAAATTTGAGAAAAATTTATTAACAATTAGAAATAGAAATAGATAAATTAATCATTATATAGAATAGATCTCTTTTATAGTTATTGCTTATAATCTAAAGTTTATTAAAGTTGTAAAAGATGCTCCAATTACTTTTGATTATTTATAGTATTACAAGTTAAAAAATTAATTATAATATTAAGTTATATTTACTCTTACATTTTATTTTTATTCTAATCCTAATTATTTCTAACTTTATCAATGGTCGAATTAATTTAACATTCATGGTTTATCCTGATTTCCTTCTCGCTATTTTATTTTTAAACTAAATATTAAACTTTGTAGCAGTATTACACCTGAAACTTGTCTTATAGCTCATAACTAGAGTAATCAGATCACCCTTATCTAAATGAATGAAGAAAATTAATTATTTTTGTGTTTCTACTATTTTCTTAAATTTTATCAGTCTATTAATATAATTCTTGGATTATCATCTAAATTTGATTAAATTTAGAGAACTAATGAAAATTTATTATTATATTTTATTAAATTTATAATGTGGCAACTTACTAATGATTCATATCTTAAATTCACAACCCTTCCAGAAATTTTGAAGAGACCAGATGCTAAAACCAAATAAATAAGCATAGACAACAAAATAATCTAAGAGGATCAAACTGAAAATACAGAAATTCGGCCAAAAAAAGTACACATGAAACCAAGACTGCCTGTTTTATCAAATTTGCTATTGAAGCCAAAGCAAGCTCCTACTTCACCTAGATAAAATAAAGAAGAAAATAAAGTTATTAAGAAATAAAGAATGGAACCTGTTAAATCAGTAGTTTAAATTAGATCAAATTCAAATGCACCATAAATGGTAAAGAAACTAACAAGTGAAAAATTAGATATAAAGGAATCACCTCTAATTGAGTTAAAACCTTAAAAAAAATTGGTCACTTTAGATGAATATGAAATCTAGGAAGTTATTGGTTAGGGTTCTTATGCGATTGTCAGAAAGGGAGTGCATAAGGTGCATGGTGAGGTTGTGGCAATAAAAGTGTATTCTAAAGAAAGATTGTATGATCCTTAACGTGCTCGTGCAGTAGCTAAAGAAATTCAAATTCTTAGATAATGCAATCACAAGAATATAATCCGTCTAATTAAAGTTGTAGAGTCTAATAAAAATGTAATTTTTCAGTCTTAACATACACTAGATTAATTTAATAATGGAATATGGAGGCGATCAATCATTGAAAAAGGTTAAAAATCTTTCAGAATTTGAGATTCAATTAGTTTTCTTTTAACTATTAAAGGCTGTTAGTTATTTACACAATAAAAAAATAGTTCATAGAGATATCAAATTGGATAACATTTTAATAAATGCATAAAAGTAAATTAAACATAACTATAAAGAGAGATCAAACTGATTGATTTTGGTTTTGCTACTGAAGTAGATGGGTACATTAACACAACATATGGAACTCCTTCTTACATGAGTCCAGAAATGCTCCCTCCAAATCCAAGATACAATGAGATAACTGATATCTGGAGTTGTGGAGTGGTACTCTACGCTTTATTGTTTAATAAGTTTCCCTTTAGTGGTCATACAGAAAAAGAATTACAAATGAAAATAAAAAAATAAGATCTGCATATTTAATCAGCCGACGAAGAGATTGTTGAGGTGTTGATAGGTTGTTTAGAAAGAGATGTAGATAAAAGGAAAACCGCAGATTAATTATTAAAAACACTCTGGATGATTTGCTTAGATTGATTTATATAATTATGATCATCTAAGTAACTAAAATTTAGGTTTGCTTTTACAAACCTATTATGCAGAGAGTAAAGAGAATTATATTATAATAATCTATATAATTTAATCATACATCTATTGAATCATAAATCTTCAGTCAAACTATTTTATTCATAAGTTCTTTAAAGCTTTTTAAAGTGATCTAAATTATAAGATAATTAATACATAATCTTTTTTCAAATGCTCATTCATCATGTCTGTAAAATATTCTTTATCTAAAGTGTACTAAACTGCCAATGTTTCAGCAGTAATAAAATTCTTTTTATTTTTTAGTAATTTGAAACTTGTGGTAATCACTTCTTCTTCAATTAACTCTTTTCGATCAAAAGCATACAAAATGAACTCCTAAAAAGTGATTTTTTTATCCTTATCCATATCTACCTTTTAAAATATATTCATGCATATAATTTTAGTATTTTCAGAATCTTCAACATATTCAGTGTAGGAAGTGATTAGTTCTGAAATGCTGAAAAATCCATCATTATCTAAATCAAGTGATCGAAATACAGAGTATATTTCTCTTAATTTGTCAGGTGGATAATTATTAATTATAAATTTAAGTAAGTAAACCTATAAAATATTAAGTTTCTTTGATAATCTTAATCTTTACAAAGTCTCTCTAATATGATCATCATCTAAGAAAACCTATTACTTTTTAAACCAGGGATGTTTTGTTATTTCACTTATCCTAATTCTTTTTTTTGGATTCTTTTCTAATATTTATTATAATAAAGATATAGCTTCTTCTGATATTTTATTTTAATATGAAATATTTGATGCTTTTATATCAAATTTAAGCAAACTTGCTATGTTAGATTCATAAGGAGAGTTGTGATATAGTAAATTATATAAAATTATCCCCAAAGACCAAATATCCCTTTCTTCGGAATATTCTTAATTATCAAAATATTCTGGTGGTAAATAGTGTGTTTCTTCTAGAGTTGGCTTTTTCTTCATAAATAAATGAAATAAATCATATAACTTGATGTATTAATCACCAAATAGAGCAAAGCATTCCATTGTCAAATGTCCATGCGTTAAATTTTAGTGATGTAGATATTCAATAACCTCAACTATCTAATTAAAAATAAAAGCAATTTCCTTTTCATCATTAAATGTTTTTTAATTTAGCACGACTATTTTGTTGTTATTCTCCTCTGCCACATGATATTTCTATTATTCCTCATATATTTCAAACTATTATATCAAATTTGGATGATGCTAATTTAGAAAAAAAATGTACAAGTTAATATTTGAGTAATTAAGCTATATATTTTGAATCTGTGGATTTGTAACTCTTTATTATTCTCACAGTCCCAGCATTATTATGTTGGATAGTTGTAAACGGGTTATCTTTATCCTCTTTCTTGAGTAAGCTATAGAAGGAAGAAAAATTTGTGTTTCTATAGATTAGAAAGAAATTTATGTTTTTCAAACTATAGCCTAACTGGTTCAAATCATTCTGAGACTATATTGCTGTATGTGTATTGTGTCTAGATTGTGATCTTATACTATTTATTTTAGTTGTTTGCCTGTTTGGAGTAGCTGATTATGATTATTTTTGTTTAGATTCCTATATTTTTGCTTTCATCTATTATTTCATTTGTCGCGAAGAACAAGAACCCATTTTAATATCTTATAAATTTTATTATGCAAATCTTAGAATTTATGATCAGGATAAGACAATGAAATCACTGGTATAATTAATACGCAATCAATTATATGAGATTAATTCCTAATCAAATTTATGAAAAATACCCGTTCATAAATATTCAAATCATATTTAATGTTTAAATTACTCATAAAAATATATATATTAAAATAAGAAAATATTTAAGAATAATTAAGCCTATAAAATTATATATAAATGGTTTGTTAATTAATGATTATACTGGAAAGATAAATTTTAGCTTTTTATTAAATCTTACTTTTTCTTACAAAATCAAATTATATTTAATAAAAAACAATCCCTTTTAAAATTTTAGATTAGTGTTTTTTATATTGACTTTGTGTTTTGCCATTTTTGTTTTCAATCCTAATTATCTCTTATTCTTCAAATTCATTTGATTCTAAAAAGTTAAGCGTTATAATTTAAAAGTAGAAAAATGGTTCTATTGCTTAAAGAACATTCCTATTTTTTTGGAATTCTTAGAAAAATTTTTTATATAAATAAATAATAAAATTATCTAATACCATTTAATTCATCCAACAGAACAATAATTTTTTGATTACTCTCATTAAATGAATTCAATAAATTTGAAAAATAGATAAATTATCTTGCTTATAATATTTAATAAATTTTTGAATCCAAATTTGAATTTTGGAATGATTCACTAATTATTTCCAGAAAGTAATCAATTTATAAATGAAAAATCTGAAGTCTGTATTTGGAAATTTTATTTATACCAAAGCTAACATTGGTTCTTTATTTACTCAATTACAAATTAGTATCATGAATTGTAAAATAAATCAATATGATTATAATCCTTCTTAAACGTATAATCCTTAAATTAATCATAAGAGATTATGAATCTATTTTAAGATTATATTCAAATTAAAATAATAAAAATGATTCATAAATTCAAATTATAAACAACTGGACTGAACAATAGATAGTATAATCCAGAAATCCAATTCTTTAATATTATGGAGTTACTAATTTTACTATAATCTTTCAAAATTGAATTTATTTAATAACACATTATAAACGATCATTGTTTGACTGAGTTCTTTACATAATTATTTTAGATTGTTTTTATTTACTAATTTATTATGTTATTTATTCTGGATCTAAAGGTGAAAGACTTAGGTGTTAGCTGATTAGTACTATTTTGATTTAATCCATTTATTCGAAGAGTGTTACAACATGAGTTAACATTCAAGTTATTAACTCTATTAAGATTAAGTTTTGGGATTAAACGTAAATCTTTTTGAGTTTTGATGTTGTTATCCTTCTTATAAACCATGAGCTTTTTTAGGTTATCTTTTTGTTTTTACTCTAAGAAATGTCTTTTTACTAGCTTAGAACCATCCTAATTAGATCTTGGAGTTTAAGTAGTGTGAAAATTAATTGGGCTTTAATTAATTACATAATCATCTTATGTATTAACTTACTGAGATATTTTAATGGAATGAGTTGATGAACCTTTATAAGGATTCATATTAGATGAATAAGCAGGTGAATGAACTGAAAATATAATCTTTTAAATTTCTTTGTTATCTAGTGATGATATGCATTTAGTATTTTATTTGTACTTTTCTATTTAGTTTAGACATGCTAAGATTCTTAATCCCAAAGATTTTATATTTGGAACTGACTTCTTGAATTCTTTCTTGATTTCATTTTTATTTTCCATTGTTTATCTTTTTCTTTAAGGACACTTATTAAATAAATAAGCAAAATTATTATCTAGTTTTTTTTCATGAGATGATGTTTTCAAATTTCTGCTTAGAGATGAAGATGGATGTCTTGTTGTTAAAGGAATTCGAACATTCTATTGGTATAAAGTATATTATTTTTGATTTGATTGAGTTAACATTTACTCATTTAATTTATGAAGTTGATTAAAAGAGGGACTACTATTTTTTTAGAAGGAATATTTTTGTATATTCTTTTGGTTTCCTTGGTTGAAAATATCAAGCATTTATTGAATTTCACTCTTTTAGTCATCCTAAAATTTTGTAATTTAACTTATATCTTATTGAGAAATTTAATTTTAGTTTTTCTACTATATAAGGACATCTTAAAGAATGTTTTCTACATTATTGTTAATCGTAGAGTCTCCATTAATATCTGATTGTGGAGTGCTTTAAGATTCAATAGGCTAATCTCCAACAATCCCTTTTTATGGTTTATCTGGATTCTTTTAATTTTCATATTCTATTTATCTCTATATTTTATAGAACTCCAATTTTCTCTTTTTATCGTAATACAAATTCAAAATTTAGATAATTTCTTCTTCCACAGTAAAACGAGGCAAATCATGGTGATATTTATAAAACTCAACCAGCAATTAAATTTTTGATTAGTAATCATCAATATCATACACTCTGGACATGCATTCCTCATTCTCTAAATATTGAATATCATCCTGAATTATTCATGAATTGGTTACATAAAACTTAATTGTTGCTGGGGTTCTGTTTTTACTTAAAATATCATTAATTTCTTTTGTGAAGTAATAATTTTGAGAAGATGCATATTTATGATATAGTGTATGATTGATTATATTAGATGAACCAAAATCAGAGTGATAATTTCTGACATATCCTAAAGTATTTAATTTACTATTCCAGAATTAATTCATATATAAATAAATTAGTAAATTAATTATGAACATTTGATCTTTATAATTATAAGAATCTTATTAATAATTGAGGCAACGGCCCAAATTTAAGGTCAATTCGTAATAATGAATTTAAAGATGCATTCTCGAATTATCTCTGATGATTTATGAATTTTATTAAAAGTTATAAATCAAAAGTTACACTTCAAAAGAGATGATTTTTTGTGATTTAGCAAACAAAAGAAAATTTATTAAGGTGGAATTCCTTAGTCATATTTTATAATTATTTATATAATAATGTTTATAATTTTTTTAATCTAAGCTATTTACTCGTTAAATGCAGAGAACTTTTTGTGCGGACTGCGCCTATTTTATGAAGAATAAACATTCTTTTTGATTGATTAATAGAATTAGAAGTAATAAGTTTATTTAATTGCTGAGTACGATGCCTTATATACTAACTAGCCAATCACCTCATTTCGCATTGGATATCTAATAAAGTTATAAGTCTTCACCAAGTTTAAGCAATAACTCATATTTCTTGGTGGGATTTACTGATGCTTACATCTTCGCAGGCGATGCTAGCGAAATTTAATGGTTATCAATTTAGGAGTTCAAAGTAAAGTAGAATAGAACCACTGCTTCTGTTCACCTCTATAATGGTTATAATGGATATTTTGTTGATAAGGAAGAGGATGGAGGACATTTGCTAATATCTAAAGAAAATTTGGTGAGAGAATTTTCTTTTGGTAAAACGGATGCTGTAGATAAATTCGAGAAAATGGGCTTTATATATATAGTATCATGGGGAGGTAAAGGGGATGCTATGTTGATTTTAAAGCGGTTCGTACATTTCATCAGTCAATCAGAAGACCAGGAATATTGCTAATAAAAGGTCGCATCAATTTCGTTAGAATAAATCAAATGTAATTTGGATAATAATTTTGAACGCTTAACTTTTCAAACGCCTGACCTATATCATCCTCCTATACATTATCATTTGGGCAATTAGATAATTAATGGAACTTTGGATAATGAGTATTTTACGAAAAACTACCCTGGGCTTCAAGTTTTTGTAGCATAAAATTTGAATAACAAAGTCCTTGAGTTGAGAATACCTATTTAAAATATGGAAACTCACCAATAAACTATTGATTATCCTCAAAGTGGATTAATCGTGACTCTTTAATAAGAAAATAGAGGATTTATTCATATTCTAATTTTTGAAAGCGAGGATGGGATTGTAATCAATTACAAAGAAGATGACAACTTGGCTTATATAACTATTGGTATGACTGATTCAAAAGTCTTTGTTTTTTCATTTGTTACTTCATAGTTTGCTAAATTTCCTTCAAGTGATTTGATTGAACATGTATTTTAAGATTGCATATTTATCATTCACCAGAGAAACAACGTCTGTGAAAATCCTCAACAGCAATGTTCTGATGTTTCATTAGACTTTTTTAAATAATTGCCATTTCAATTGCAATCTGATTAAATAATTAAATTCAAATCTAATGAATAATTTTAGGATACTCCATTCGTTGAAATGTTTGATAATACAGCAGTTGTTTAGAATGATTTTACAGTGTTATTTACTTCTGAAATTAATAATAGAGAAATGAATCATGGTGGGTATATTGGGTCATATCTAAGAATTACTTATAAACAATAAAGCATTAACTCTTTAATAATTAATGAACAGAATGAAAATTTAGAAGCCTTTTACAGTATTAATGATAATGTTTGTAAGTTTATCCTATATACTTTAGATTCTCATTAAATTTAGAATATTATTGGAAGAACTTATGTTCTGGTATTTACTTCTTAAAATGAATTTACAGACATGTAATGTTTGTAACTGTTTCGAGAATTCATAGATCATATTTAAAAGACATTTATATTGGATTAGAGTAAATTATTACTAATAATAAATATAGTTTAAGATCATTGTGAAGCTCAACAAAAATATTATGATGTTAAACCTATACAGTATAAAGAAATACATAAAAGATTAAAGTAGCCAACTGAGTTGATTCAAAAAGTTGAAGAGGATTAATTTGACTAAGATGATTTAGAATATTCTACAGACGAAGATGAAAATATTCAAAAAGATGACGAAATTAATTAGGAATAACCAGGATCTGTTAGCGAGGCCTTTTTGATGCCAGAAGATAGTCACCCGTAACCTTAATAAAATATGGATGAAACAGAAAAATAAAATTCAATAATTTAGTAGCCAATTTAAAAAGAAGAATAGGATTATGAAAAATCATAAGATTAAGTATAAAAATTGTAATAGCATTAATAATAATAATAATTGTAATAGTAATAATAGTTGTAATAATAATAATAGTAGTAATAGTAATAACAATAGTTGTACTAATAATAGTAATAATAATAATAATAATAATAATAATAATAATAATAATAATAATAATAATAATAATAATAATAATAATAATATTAACCAAAATAAATTTATTCGAGTAAAAAAGAATAACTAGATTAAGAGGAAAGATAAAAAGAAATTTAATAAAGCAAATAAAATGTATAAAAATAATAGTCAAATGCTCAAGAGTCTTAAAATTTTAGAAAATAATAATAATTATAAAAAATTGATGCAGAAATCTTGAAAGAAGAGATTTAATAAAAACTTTAAGTTCGAAATGAAGAGCAATATCATCAACAAGAGAAAAGTGATTCCTAAAATCAGCAATTTTAAAAGGAGGGAGTTAGATATTTAAATACAGGATATTATCAGAAAGACTATGGTAGAAGAGATTAACATCATGGGAGAGAAGATGATTATTCTGGAAGACATAGCGGTAGAAGAGGACCTCCATTGACAGGCTAGAGTGTGACAATACCAAAAAACCCAAACGATTAAGAGTTAGGAAGGTTCTTAAGAGAAGTAATCAGCAAATTATAGTAAAATAAATTATATTATTTAAGTATTTATTCAGATCCATGTGATGCAAAATCATCAAACTACAGTCCAGATAATTGTAATGCAGATAATTAGTATGGTTCTTCTTCAATAAAAAGAACAGAACCAAGACAAAGAGATTTTTATAGAAGTGCTTATAAATATGACAATAGATATGAATATAGAGGTACTTATTAGCAATTATATAGCCTGTATCACTGTATATAGTAAATGCTAATTTCAGGGAGAATCTTTATAACTTTGTGGACACTAAAGGAATATTCCAAAAGCATAATTATACTTAGATATTTTATCAATTAGGGCTGATGAAAATTACATAGTTGAATTTTATATGAAAGGAAGGGATGGAAGATCAGAATTGTACACATTAAAAGGTACTTAAAAATGTTTAAAGTCTCCATTAAGAGTTGATTGGCTATTGCAATGAATTAAAATAAATAATTAATTCTTTTCAATTTTTATAATATTATATTAACTGCTACGAATATGTTAGACTAAAGTGAGGCCTATAAAATTGAAGATAAACTATTACTAACTAAATAAGTCAATACTAGTGGAAAGTATGATTTCTTTGTTAAATTCATAGTGCTTTTTAATCAATGAGAGCTAAGTTTTATGGATTTAGGATGAAGAATAAAGCCATTCAAAACAAGAAACAATATCAATAACTTGCTCCAATTCATTATCACATCATAAAAGATGTTTCTCGAAAAGAATATTATTAGTATGAAATATTATGATTATTTTGAAAAGTGTCATAGAAAACTGGACAAGTTTGGGGAAAAGTAAACAAATCTAAATTCGCCAGATTGAAGAGAAAATTGACCAGAAAATGGAGAGAAATTAAGAAATCAAAAATTGCTTAGAAAATAACTAAATCAATTAAACTGATTCCAATAATCAATCCAAACAATGAATTCAAATTAATATGGGATATCTTTCTTGCATTTATCAGATTCTACCTTTTGTTTGCTATACCGTATGAGACAGCTTTCAATAACAAACTGCTTTACAATTAACTCTTATGGACATTGCAGGTGTCCACATCTTTATTGATCTTTGATATTTTATTGAACTTTATCACATCTTTTTATGAGAAAGGATATTTAATAACGAATCATTATAAAGTAGCTCGTAATTACATAAGGAATGGTTTCATATATGATATTTTTTGTGTTGTGACATTAGTTCTAGTTCTTGCACAAGAAATAAGTGAATAAAACAATTATATCGATTATAAAAACTAGTCACTTCGAGAGTATAACTATGTGAGGAGTGTGATTAGTATTTTAGGAATCATTATCTAATTATAAAATATAATTCGAGTCTTTTAGAGACTATAAAACAGCTAGGATTATTCAGAGACTACTTCATTACTATTAGATCTGGTAAACAAATAATTTAATATAGATTAAACTTGTGATGTTTCTCTTCTTACTGGAACATTTATTTAGTTGCATATGGTATTTTGTTGGAATTTAAGAAATTGCTTAAGATTCATGGATAAAGTCGAATGGATTGACTGATGCCCCCTACACTGATTAATATATCACAGCATTTTATTTTTCATCAGTTACTATGTTTACTGTAGGATACGGAGATGTTGTTCCAAAAAGTAAATAATTTACAAATCTTATTAGATATCTACGAAAGATTAGTGACCATAGGATTTATGGTTTGCTCAACTTTACAATTGTCATATACAGTGTCAGCAATCTGGAATGTTTATTCGAAATTGAATGAAAAAAGTGAGGATCACATTCGCAAAATGAGAGCCATTAATACTTATATGAAGAGTGTGAATATTTCTAATCAACTCAAATATGAAATAAGAGAATATTTAACATTTTATTGGAAAGAACAAAAATTGGAGGAAAACTTAGAAGTTAAGGATATAATAGGTTAATTATCTCAAGATCTTTAAGAAAACCTCATCTTTGAGGCCAACTCTATAATAGTCAAAGGTTGTAAATTATTTAATGACTACTTTTCTCATGAATTTAAAGCCGAATGTTTGAAGCACGTTTAATCAATAACACTTACTCCTTGTAAAACTGTTCCATTTGATTAACCTTGTTTGTTCTTCATAGAAAGAGGATCTATAGGAACATATTTTAGAAATAATAGACTCAGATTAGCCACCCTCTAGGCAGGTGATAACTTTGGATTAAGAGAGTTTATGTTTGATGATATTCCATCATTAAGGTATACGTCTGTTGCATTCAGTAAATTGGTTTTCATCACTAAAAAAGACTTTATGAAAGTACTTTCACAATACTCAGAAGATCATGAATAATATTGTTAATTGAAAGAATAACTTATCTTTAACAAATCATATTTTGGCATGGATTGCTACTCCTGTAAAAGTCTTTAACATACTATTTAATAATGTCCTTTGCTCACATTTAATCCAGACAAAGATGCAGTCATCAAGAAACATCAATATCCTTAATAATAAAATAGAAAGTTTTATAAAAGAAAGCATGAAAGAAAAAGAAGAGCTGTTTTTAAAGAACTTAAATAAAATGATAATTTGGATAAGATTTAGTTGACTATTCCAACAATAGAATCATCAGATTCTTCTGAATTCGAAATGAAAGAATCATGGAAAGCTACTCATTCAAATTACTTTTAATAAATGCAAAACATGACAAAAAAATAATTTTCTAATAGGTAAGCCTTAAATATCAAGTAAATACGATAAAAATTACATCATCCAAACTAGATTAATTAGCCATTGGAACTACACACTCTTAGAGAATTTGATGATGATAATTTGAGAGAAAGTGATAAAATATTATTAGGAGACTTAAGGTTAAAATTGAATTAAAGAGCTAATTTAGAAATAGATTGTATTAAGAATTTCAAGTATTATTATCCACAATTCAATTCGGCCTGGCTATTCAAAACCACAAAAATAAACTTAAAATTCTTTGAATAGTGGAAGTAATTAAGTCTCTTTCTAACATTTCCTTATGAATTTATAAAGTAATAATTTTATAATAAATATCAAGGAAATACCGCCAATATATCCTTAGAGATAATCAAATAATAAGTCCGTAGAAGGAGGCCGAAAACCATAAGAAAAAAAAGAGGGCAACTGCATTATATTTTAAACCAATTTCAGCGAAATGATTTTGAATAATTAATTTAATGTAATCTTCCTAAGAGAAACTGCCTTATTTATAAATAAATAATCGAAGGTCTTGTTCTATGGCCAATTCAAATCCTGCATTCAAGAAGTTAAAAGATACCTTGATTGTTGAGAATCAATCTAGTAGAAGCTATTTAAACAGGAAATAAGGAGACATATTAGATTCAATCTTAGAAGACGCAAATTTGATCATAAACAATAAACTACTCGAATAAAATGTCTATAAATTAAAAGAATTAGGAGTATTGAAATAATACGACCCTACCGTAGCTGTTTAATCAGGATTAAAAAAAAGCAATTATGTTTTGAATGATTATCATAGCAAAAGCACTACTAATGGATATTCTAGGAATTATGGAGGTCTATTCTACAATAGATGATAATATTATATACAAAAATTCAGTATTTCTTAAATAAACTAATGCTAATTATATATATATCAATAATTGCCAATAAAATATCATTCAACATCCTCTACCTTAGCTCTCCTATTTATTTGTTCCATGAACTTCTCAAGAGGACTAACGTTCTTTAGTTGTTCTTCTAACTGTTTCTTCTTTTCACTTTCCTTTTGGGCCTTTTTGCTCTTTTTTGTTTCCAATTCTCTTTACAATTATTTCTCATATTGCTATTAAAAGTATTGTTCTTGTAATTATTTGTCCCTTTCCTACATTTCCTTCATTAACTTATCCTTTTACTCTTTTTCTTAATTTAAAAGATAATCAATATCTTTCATATCCTTTTTGTGCCCCAAAGTTGATTTCTATTACTATTTTATTTAAGGGACAATAGGCTATAGCAAATTAGGTGAAGGAGCAGGTTGCTTAGGGTTTTTTAAAAGTATTTAAGATGTCATTCAAATTTTGATCATCATTGATATTTGCTTATCTATAAATCTCTTTATTGAATGACCAATAGGTTCTAGGTGGAGGTTTATTATATTTTCTTTTTTTCCCACTAGCATCTTCTTCTTATCCATTACTAACTAGTTGCATAGTGGATTCATTCTTAAAATATACTCCATCTCCAAGGGGTTCAAGCATTTTCATATCGCAATCCACGAAATCGCTTGGATTCTTATGAAATAATTCAAAACAAGGAAAAGGACATAAAAAAATCTTATTTACATTCAATATTTTTTCACATAATTGACATCTATAATATGGTTTGGTCAAACCTTCAAATTTCATACAAACTAAACAATATTTGAAGGTATCTTCTTGTTTTTAAGGTATTGGTGTATGAAATTGATCGGCATACTGTCTTTACAATCCAAAGGACAAATGATCTGTATTCGAGGAATTTTCTTTGTATGTGACATTTAGTTTTCGTTTGGCTTCATTACGATCTCTCTCAATCTGTTATCCCTTTTCATTCAGAAGAACTTTAGCTAGATCATGTCTGTATTAAGATGGAGATGTTTGTTGAATTAGTAAGAAGGTATTATGAATCATAATTTCGAAATATTCCTCAAATTCAATTCTTAGTTAATGGAAACTCTCAGTATTATTTAATTACGACGATTAATAAAAGTTACTTCGAAATTGCTAAAGATTTATTATATGTTCTTGCAATTACTCTTAGATTTTTTCATAGGAAGTCATATAATGTCTACTTGATATCAGGCGTCTTTAAGGGAAAACATCCACTTAAGTGCCTTATTTAACTAAAAATAATTAATCCAGCTGGTAGTCTCCGTCCTGGAGCATTTGAATTAAATTATGAGTTATGTTCTTGTAACGAATAACTGGAAATATGGATTAATCCACTAATTGAATTATCCTTTCCAAACTCAGATAGAACATTATGTATGTAACATGATTTTGATTTGAATACTTGTAGAGCATCCTCATTACTCTATTAATTCTGTCTTCATTTTTCACATTGTTGCACACTACCAATAAATCTATAATTTAAGAGCTATCATAGTCAAAAATGTAGTATGCATTGTATGCTTTTTGATTTTACTCTACCACTATTAACTCTTAATCAGGATTATAAAGTGCTTTTAATTTCTTAGAAAACTTTCTAACTTCCAATTATAACTTTGCTCTTTATACTTCATCAAAATATGAAAAAATATGAAGATCCACAAACTTAAATCTACCTATTGGCATTGTAACTTCTACTCCTCCTCTTAACCAAGACTCAGCATTCCAATAATCATCCAATTATGGAAATCTATAAACTCCAAATAAAATTTGTAACCCTAAATAAAATTAAATCTCAGCTTCTTTATATTTCTTCTTGTGATAAATTTATTGCGTTTATTATTGTTATTGTTTTAGATCCTCCTATAACACCGTTAAAAGATAATGATTGATCATCTCCGTAAGTGTAGATACAAAACTACTTGGCAAAAAATAGTTCAAAACATTTTAAGGACTCTATAAAGAAGTCATCTTTAGCTATGGCGTATCTAAATAGTTTAAGATCTCTGTTATTTAATTAATATCCGCTTATTAAATATTAACAGCTTTTCCAAAGTTTATTGTCGCAGCACAATCTCTTTCATCATCAGATGCAATTTGAATAAACTATTCTTCACAATCACTCAAAATAATTTCCTATTTCCAATAACAATTATATTTTTCTATCTCTTCTAGCATTTGAGTTGATTAAGAATTTCCACTTATCTAAGCTACTGAATTGCTCAGAGCTTCCTGTTTCATTTCTACAATATTTTATTAATATATTTTACAAGACTTTCGATCTTATTTATGCTGTTTATTTATCTTGGAAATAAATAGATTAAATAAATATCAATATCCTTTTATTATTTATTAATAAATAAATTAAGATTTTTTTTTGTCCTTATCATAAAAATTCTTTAACGCATTTACTATTAGACTTGCCAAGAGATGTTGAATAAAGAGGTTTAATTTGTATAAGAAAATGAATATCAAATCTTGTATAAGAAAACCAAATATACCAAATTATTCTTACCAGGCTCTTGATTGGAATTTGAAGTTTTTCATTTTAACATCAACAAGGCATATAATTATACTAAATTTATTCACTTATCCAGTTATTATGGGTGAACTTTTCTATGTCTTTATATGGTATGACTAGTAAATTGAATTCATGATTATTAAAAATTTAATTCAAATATATTAAGAATAATTATAATTGTTTTAATTAGAGTTTCCAAATATTCTATTAAAATTCAAAAATTATCTACTAAATTTTTAATCATTTTTTTCTTAAAATTACACTAGGATAAATTGATAAACTATTATGACTGACTTATACAAAATCGATTAGTACATTCAAGAATTATTATTCATTAGTAAGAAGAATTAATAATTATTTTATATCTTGATTTTTGTTTATTTAGAATATTTCAACTATTACATATTGCAAAAGGATCCCATACTTGTCGTTCAGATAAAAGTAACTTTTCACTTTCATTATATCTTAAATAATGAGAAATATCTCCTACACTTGGTTATATATAAATTCTTTACTCAATATTTGGTATAAATGGAGGATTCATTTGTTTTTGTACTAATTTTTCCAATCAATATTCTTAAACCATATGGTTTTGGATATCATTTATTCCTCCTCTAAGATTTCCAACCCTATCCCATGGTTTAACTTATAACAAGTTGTAAATCAAATTTTTTGATAAGGAATTAATTATTTACTTTGAAAAATAATTATGCATTTTGTATTATCCATATTGAATTTTTCTGAGAAGATCAAAAAGATCATCTTCACCCCTCTCAAAAGGACGCAGTCTATCCAACATTTCAAAAATGAGCACTCCCAATGACCACCAATCAGAGGAGAATGTGTGTCCTTATGTTACATAATTATTTTACCTAAATTATCTAAAACTTCTGGAGCAGAATACTCTATATGCCCTATAGATGAAGCTGTTCTTTTTCTTTCGTGTAATACTGTAAAATAAAAACAATTTATCTTAGGTAATCATCAGATCCAATCATTAAATGCTATGAATTCAAACTCCGATATAATATACGGTTTGAATGCAAATATTCAAGAAAAAGAACAACCTAGGCAGCATAAAATCTGATTTTAATATAATAACCTTACACTGCAGCATCATTATCAAACTTTCTTCTTTGTATATTGCTATATAGAACACCCCTGGCATTTATTCCTAAAAGATATAGAAAATTCTTTCATCTTAATCAAACTAAGCATTTTTATCTTATAAATAGATTAAGTTACTATAAATTTATAATTTAAAGTTCTTGAAATTGTGTATTCATTTTTTATATGTTTTACAAATGATGATCCATCAGAAAATATTAATTACTTTATTACTTTACGAATTAAAGTATTTACAATAAAATAATTACTAAAAATAAAATAATATTAAGTTTAAGGTGAATTGAAAAATTAAAAACACCCTTACAAATACTCTAAAATTATTGCTTCATTCAATAGAAAAATTTCAAGTATGATATTTGATTTATTCTACAAAATATTAAATAATTAATCTCTAATAAGAAAATATTTATATCACTTTAACAACCTTTTTACAATTTTACTTCAAATCTAAAATAAAAGAATATTATGACAAAGGTAGATAATAAGTTCTTTTTTTTTTCCTTATTTCGATCCATCCATAAAGTTTCCATAATATATTACAACACCATTTTATCAATTGTTTTTGCCCTTCAAATTTTCCATCTATAATACCTCCATTATCTTATTTAATATTATTCACAATACTTATACTATATCTTCGATTTTCCTTATAATCTTCTTATAAAATCTATAGATTTGTTAGGTTGTTGTGATTTTTTATTTTAAAAGTTAATTCCTTTTGATTTTTAGAAATTAGATGCAAACAGAAATAAAAAGTCATTATTTTTTAAATTAGATAGTATTACTAATATACCTAAAACCAGAGTGAAATTTTAATTTTTGTAGTAATGTTATTATAATAAAAGAAAAGATTATGGAAATCAAAAAAGAATTATTTTAGACAAACAATATTTATTTTTAAAATCTTTCAACTTTTTAAAGAGAATCAGAAAATAGTGTGAAAATAATAAAGAATACTTGGAGATTTATTTTGAAATTTATAAATCATAATAATTTCTTATTTGTATTTTATCCTATTGTTCTATTTTTCTAAGAAGTCCATTCAATATTTTCTTTGCTTGTTGGTCTATAATTTTTTAGTTTTTATTGATGATTTTTTAATACTTGACCATAAATGGATTCAGTTGGATGACTACATAATTCTTTTAATATTTTATCTTTTAAGGTGTCTTCATTTTAAAGCAATGTTACTGAATTGACTCCAGCATTCATAATAAATTGTCTTTTACTATCCTATTCAATTGATTAAGGTTTAATTTATTTTGATTTAGACCTTAAATGTCCTTCCTGGTGTCGATGGAATTATACAGGGTCGCTCTGTTATTACTATTGAGAAGCTTATTTTAAATTCGGAACTGAACCATATTATTACTTATGGATATAATTTTATATCAAATTTTACTAAGCTAGACTTAACATTAATATAAATACATCTTTAATTCGAATTATTTTTAATTTAATTATTGTAGTTTTGACTATAAATAATCGATTTACTAGCAGGAATCACTTTTTATTTTGGAGTTAATTATCTGTCTTCAAGACTGCCTCTTTCAGCTTCTTTTAGAAATTTTTATATTTGAAAACAACTTAGATTGTTATTTAATATTGAACAAGATTTTTCACTTATTCTTTCATAATCAGTTGTAGTTTTCTATTTTTCATTATATTAATAAGAGTATTTATCAATTAATTATTTTTGTAGGGCTTTTTTTGAACTAACCTACTCCAAAACACGAGAACTATTTTAATACGAGATTTTATCGCTTGGTGTTATGTTATCTCTTCTCAAACTTGGCTTTTATTTCCAGCTTTCAGGTGTGTTTGCATTACTTCTGACAGGATTTGAATTTATAGAATCAAACTTACTAAATTATGAACGAATTGGAGATTGCAATTGCATATTATTCATAGTAGAGATAGGATTGTGAATTTCCTCATTTTCAATTAACTCAAGATATTTTTAATTATTAGATAAATTACATTCAAAATTTTGTTAACTAGTCATAGTTTTTTAATGATATTCAAAGGTATCATTTTTAAGTAGCAAATTATAACACATTTTATTCATAAAAGTTAGAATTTAATTTTAATCAATATTTAGTTACTTTAAAGATACTTAATATTGATTATTAAATAATTGACAATTTACTTCATCTACTTTTTTTTAATATTTTAGCATAATCTCATCAAAAGGTTTCATTTCCATTTTTTTAACTATGTTATCATGATTTGTAAAAATATCAATGGAAAATTGTTTCAACTATTATATTAATTGCTTTATATTCTCTACTTACTCCTAAACTTGATTTTAAGAACTTGTATAGTCATTTTGGAATTTCTGCTAGTATGTTTACCTTAACTAATTAATTGTCTTTTGAACCACATTAAAAAATTCTTCACAATTAATATTCTATTCTTCCCATTATCTTATTAATTTATCTCTAGTATCATTCAAGTTAACTAATTGTTATTCACATTATTAAAGAGCCTGATGTAAATCTTTCTAAAAATTATTGATTTTATCTTTCCTTTACATTTCCAACTCTCCCTCTTATGTTTCTTCTATCTAAAGGCCTTATAACGCTAAATTTAAAGCACATTTTGAACAAAACAATTAACCACTATTTTGTTAGACATAAAATTTTGCCTAAATTTTAACAATAAATTACTTTTTTATTTGGATGCCTTTAACAACTCTTGCTTTCATTATTATCATTCTTTAATATGTTTGAATTTTTTAATATTCTTTCTTAATCACTTTTTATGAAAGTCATTTCATCTGAATCTGATAAATCTGAAGATGAAATTGATTAAGAACTCATTCTATTCGTTAAAATAATTATTAATAAAATAAAGACTGAACTAATCATAATTTTCTAATTTCAAAATCTCCATCTATTTTATAATTCAGACCAAAGAATTTATTCAACCAATAAGAGAGGTATAAATTTATTTATCAATATTATATTTTCTCCCTAAATATAATAATATTGTTGAATAATAATCTTTCAAAGTTGTTCAAAAGAATTATAAACATCATATTATAATCAATTTGACCTTTAGTTAAATCGATAATATTGAATTCCATAATATTTTTGGGAAGAAAGCAAGTATAATGTTTTAAAAAATAGAAATATTTTACTAATATTCGAATGCTCTAATGGATAACTAACTAGTTATCTATTTTCTTAATCATACTCAGTTTAAAAATTAGAATTTTTTTCAATTTTTATTTTCTTAATAATTTTATCTAAATTCATAAATTGTAATTATATCTCATCTATTAATTTATTTTTTTAAATGAGATACAGAATAAGGAGTAGTTTAAAAGGATATTTAATTAATTTCAATGGTTCTGATATCAGTCTTCAAAATACAATAGGTTTAACTTTATAAAATAATACTACATTCTAAATTTTCAAATTTATGTTTGATTTCTTAATGAATCTTTATGAAATTTTACATCAGATGTCTCTTTATGATAAATAAAGTCTAATTTCTCATAAGAATAATAGGGAAGATGCACTCCTATAATAAACCCTTTAAGATTGTAAATTTAAATAAATATTAAATGTTGAAAGAAATTATCAAGGACAGAATAATCTATATCTTCATTAATCAATAATATTAAGACCTTATTTAAATGCTAAGCATAAAAATATTCAAGCGACTGAGATATAAGATTGAAATGCTATTTCTATTTTATATTAAAGCCTTTATGAAAAATAATTTAATTATTATTACGATTATTTTTGTACTAATTTCTTATTTGAAAACACAGAGACATTTCTTAAGAGATTATATAATGTTTCACTTTTAGAATCATAAATTATAAATAATTTTTATGTAAAATATAAGTAAAGAATAAAAATAAAAACACTCTGTATTATTTTCTGAAAATGTCCATATTTATTAAATTATTCATATCCAAAAAAAAATTGTTTCTTTGAATAATCTTTTTTCTGTAGAAATAAATAACAAAGAGTTTTAAAGTGCTAATTTAAAATAAAAATAAAGTTTAAAATTGAAAAGATGAAAAATTACTTAATCGGAATTGATGATGGAGATAGCCAATGTGCTAATGAACAATGTTATTGGAAAACCTAGTATATAGACCCTGCATACGAGTTTTCCTCATAAAAGAAATAACTTAAATAGCATTTAAAAGCTACATAACAAAATAATCGTTTTGAACTTGTAGAAAATGGATAATAGATTCTAAGGAGAAAAATTAAGAAGAATGGCAAAATGAAAAAATCAGTTCCTGAAGTAAACTTGCATCTTAAAGGGTTGCTTGAATAGTTTATAAATGAGTCTATATAATAAGCAAATAAGGGGTTCATTTTTAGACAATTATAAAATTGCCAAGAAATAAAATCGACTATAGACAAGATGGAAAGGTTCTTAATTAGAATGAAATCACTACTGTTATCGTAAATGATAAGTTGCTAATAATGAGATTGATTTTAATTGTTAACATTCTTTTTGAATTGCATTATGATATTAATAAATATAGAAAATGTCTAAGGGTTTCAGTCTTAATTTTTAAAATGCTAATGTAATGACTTTTGAATAAGAAAATGATTTATTTGCTGGATAAAGCATCAAGGTATTATATATATTGAATGAGCTAGTTAAAATTTCAATTGGGGGAGACCTATTATGATTTAGAGGTAAAACTTATAATCTCATAATAAGTTAGTTTAAAGTTGGATAAGATGTTGAATGGGCTAAGAAATGCGTGGCTGAAAAAATAGACTGCGGAAGAAACGATTTTGTATAGCAATTAGGATTAAAATAATTTAGGACCTGTTTTTCTAAGGAAAGATAATGCCAGAATTCTTCTCTTTGAATGACATTCAAAATTTAAAGGATTAATCAATCATAGAAATTAGAATGAAGAAGTGATTTAATAAATATAATGTATATACAATTATATGCAATACCAGGGCAAATAATTTTGGGAATGTTTGCTTAATTCATCTATGAATAAGGAGTGCTCTATTTCTTATGCATTATGGCAGTCATAAGCAGTCTTTATGCATGTATGTATACCAGTAGCGACCAATTATTTCCTAAAAGCTTATGGATGATCATTCCATTTTAAGTGGTATTGACCATTTTGAATTTTGATATGGTGAGTGTGGGAATCATCCCCTATTTAATTCTAACAGATTTAATCAATAGCGATATTATCAAACGATTACCGAAAAAGCCAATTCCTCCTCCAAGAAGTTCATATAATGCATAGATCGACAATCATCATAGCATTCACATTTAAAATGTTATCAAATAAAATGCGCAGAGCCTTAAAAAATATGAATATTTTCATATTGGCTGTATAACTTTGTGTTATATAGCAATACCAAAATACAATTGTACTAGAATGTTAACTATTCAAAAGACACTGCATAATTGTTAAATACTGCTTTCTTATAATATTATTATAAATCAGATTATAATACAACTCTGTTCAAAATAGTCATCTCATCAATCAAATTTATGTTATGCTTATTGAATTTCGATATTAGAGCAATGTTGACTGTAGCAATATTACCGAATTTCATAAATGAACAAAAGATCTATTCTTATAGTTTTTTGGCTGAATAGTTCATCATCACTTACCTTGATTACGAGTATGGAATCTATCATAATTTAATAATATTTTTAAGCTTTTACATTTTTGATTCATAAAACCATAAGTACATCATATTAATTATTAAATTAGCACAAAATAATTAACATTGTTGTATATTCCATTATTGATATATGCATTTGAAGCCCAAACAGAAATTTACATTTATACATATATTGTTATTAGTTTAGTATATTTAGCATTACTTATAATTGAATAGGAGTAACAAGTCACATATTTAAGATATATATTAGTGGTTGTTGGACTATTTATAACATAGAAGTGGTATAAAGATTAAATAATTAGGTATTACAAATTGTTATTAATGCTATTCTTATTCGATACTGAAATGAATTTCAACATTAAACTTTATGTCTAAGCATTTGCAGGGAAATAAATATTTGACTTGCTTATATCATACTCACCTTTGCTTTTGCACTAGTTATTTCAATATAAATACAATCTAGAAAATTTCAATATTACAGTATGTCTATTAAGTATAGTTACATTGTTTATTACTTAACACATCCATTAGTAGAATTTAATATTCTCTCGTCTTTTGTAGATATATGTAAAAAATTAATAAATAATCAAGCTTCTTTCTTTACCCATATGGCCAGTATTGTTATATTATGATAGATCAACAGATAGCCTAGTTGTTGCATTTATAAATGTTATTTAAATAATAGCATAATTTTATAAGTAAGAATGATATAAATAATTTATGTGTAATTTAATTATTTTATGATTGACAATTGAAATTAGATGTGTTAAATTTATTTTTATATTATCTGTTTAAGGTCTTTAGACAAGATTTTAGAAAATAAAATACAGACTCTTTAACAACTCTTTGAAGATTGCATGCTTTTTTCTATTATATTTTTATTCTTTGATAATTTTTATTTTCTTGTATATGTTCTTTTTTATGAACTTATACCTTAGAAACATGTACTTTTCAATTTGAATTGAAATAATAAGATAATGATTATCAAACCTGAATATAAATGTAAATAAATTCACAATCTGCTTACAAACTCTTTTAATCTTGCGATCATTTCGATATAAACATCTTTAGTTGCTATGGTAAGCATTCTTTTTATATTTAAAATTATTACCTTACTCCTTAATACTTATCGGTTCCATTCCAAGATAAAGGCAATAGCATTAAATTCTAATCTAAAAGTAATTTTTTAGCAAATTCAGTATCATTTTTAACTTTTAATACTTCCAAATCAATTAGAACAGCTAAATAAATTGTTCCTTAAGCAGGTATACATTTGAAACCTCTTATTTGATTTAATTCTTAAATTAAAAAATCATGATTTTCTTTGAAATGTATCATCTTATCTCTGGCATAAAATATTGTTAATTGATCTAGAATTTAAGGTAGAGAATTCATGACAAATACATTTGCATGCAATAACAATTGACATAAATTAAACATTGCTTATTTTATTGCATCTGCATGATTGTTTTTATCATAAAATATCATCCATGATACTTACCACCCTGGAGTGAAGAATAACTTGTCCATTCCTCCCAAACAAATGATAGGACCTTCATCTGCCAATTCACCAAAGGAAACAAAATCTCCAAAGGACATTCCATAATATATTTCATCAGCAACTATTAATACATGATTCTAATTTGCCCAATTAATTATTTCCTAAACATGTTCCTTGGAGAATACAGAACCGCAAGGATTGGAAGGGTTAATCACATATAAAAACTTTGTGTTGACATCTAATTTGCTATTCAAATCCTCAAAATCAATTTACCAATTATTATCTGATTATAATTTATATTTTCTGACCTAAAATAATACGTCATCTATTATACCTCAACTTAATATGCTTAGGCAATTCCATCAAAAAAGGGAAACCCTATTTCAGGAACAAGGATATTTTAACCAGGATCACAAATACCCAACAAACAATAAAACAATCCTTAATTCACTCCTTGCGTTATTATTACTTCATTTTCTGTAATATTCTTTCCATGTCCAAAATGTTTAGCCACTGCTTGTTTGGCAGGCTATTGTTAATTTAAACATTACTTGAGTTCCTGTTGAATGACAATAAGAGTGATTTTAAGATTTAGGTATCTCAGATTTAACGATATCATAGCCTATCTAACTCATCTTGCAATGCTCGTGCCCAAATTCAGTTGGATCCCCTTTCATAAATTAGATCATTGGTTTAGCATGATTAGGGTCTGCTCTTAGCTCGGAAAAATTGGCCAATAATGCTTGATTTTAACTTAGCAAAAATTCTGAAGCTTTTATCATTTATTTTATCAAATATTACGAAATAACCAATATTAAACAAGAAATTTGTTTAATATGTGAACACGAACATATAATAACGAGGATAACAAATTTATGAATTATAGCATATAGGTTATATTAACATAATAAAAATAAAGAATAATATTAACATGCCTAATGTTTAATGATCAAATTGTAAAAGGAGTGAATTCGTTTGCTATTTTGATATTAATTCAAATATAATAATAATAATTAATATTTAGGTTATCCTTGTAATTAAATTATTACCATTACATAGACCTTTTTATGTTAGTTGATTTCTCAAGTCTTTTTTCTTTAATTATTCTTTGAACTTCTAACTCAAATTAAAAAACAAATATTTTTATATCTTAATATTCATTTTGATTAAATGAATAATTATATAGCTTTAGAGAATAGTTCAACATATTCTCATAATACAAATTTATTTAGGTTTATTCAAGTATTGAATAACAAATAAAATAAAGCCAATTCAATATGAAATATTGATATTTTCTAACGATTATTTAAATTCTCATTTAAAAGTCAATTCAGGTTGCTGACAAAATTAATAAGGTCAGTTTTAATGTTTAATTATTATTAAATAACTAAATGGACTTGGATTTCATTTTCTTTCCTGCTCCTAAAGAAACGTTAGATATTGGGCACTTTGATGAGGGTAGAATCTTATGGATACCAAAGCATTCAGCACTTTATCCTAATTTTTAGAATTATGTCAAAAGAAAAACAAAGAAAAATTTAGTTGTCTTTGTGAAACAGTCCACTCAACAAGCAGAAGAAGAATAATTAGCCTTGATAGATGATTAATAGTAAAAATTTATAAAATGATAGAGATTTTTAAAAACAACCAATACCTTAATTCCCAAATATCCACAGAGGTCTAGCTGATTAATAAAATTTAGTTGAAAATTTTGAGTATTAAGAAAAGGAAATAGGATCACCAGAATTCGATTTAGTCGATTATGAAGATGATTTACATGACAAATTATCAAAATTAAATTAGGAATCTGTTTACAACATCGGAAAAACAAAAATTAGCAGCATTTAATAAAATTAGTTCATGCGCGCTAAAAAAAGAGAAACTACAAGTAGAAGTTCTCCTCATTTCCTTCAATTCAATTAAAAATCGGATATAATCTTATAATAGAAAAAATTATGCAAAAGAGATGGAAGCATTATTGGATACATCCCTTGTTTGCTTATTAAATATGAGAATTCATCAAATATCATTGTGTATTTTCACGGGAATGCCGAAGACATCACATAATCATATGCATTTTTGATACATCTTCGTAATGTTTTGTAAGTATCACTATATCATAGTAAGAAAAGATTTCAGTTTTGGCAGTAGAATATCCAGGGTATGGAAAATACAACAATGTTTAAACTTCTGCTGAAGCCATATAAAATGATGCCGATTATGTTTATAACTATTTGACAAAAAAAATAGGATACGAAGAAAACTCAATTATGATTTTTGGAAGATCCATAGGCTCAGGTCCTGCAACTTACTTGGCAAGCAAACACAAGCCTGGTTGTTTGGTTTTAATGTCTCCATTTACCTCTCTGAAGGATGCGGTTCGGGATTATATTAGGTTTGTAGGAACATGGGTGCAGCATTTGATTAGACAAAGATTCAACAATTTACAAAATATAAATGATGTCACATCTCCAACTTTTATTTTGCATGGGAAGAAAGACGATATGATACCTTATTAATAAGCCTAAAGATTATAGGGTAAAGTTTATTAGTATAAATAGAAAATTGCTAAGCTCAAATATGTATATTACATTTGGCAGAAGACATGGATCATATTAGTTATAAGTTACATTCAGATTTAATTATTCCACTGATGCAATTCTTAAGAAAGATTAACTTCTATCAAGTCTATTTTAAAAGTCCTAAAGTGCCAACAAATTTATATTAGAATCCACAAGGATGAGTGATTATAATTAATAAATAATATTAAACAAATACATAATAATCACAGTTATCATTCATTCTTTTTATTATTACTGTTATTGTCTATAAAGTTATTAGGCAAGAATGTATCGATTGATATCCATTTAATTCTTATTCTTGAATTTCATGCTTTATTTTGCTGCTCTTAATTTTTATAATAAAGCTTCTCTTTCCTATTATTTTAGATTATTAATACCTTATCACTTTCTATATATGTTTCCTCTGAAATTTATTAGGTTTACTATTCTGTTTTTAATTACTAATTGCGATTGGTACCAAATTATCTTCTGCTGTCTATTGATTATATAAAAGATACTAATACCTAAATTTGATTATTGAGTGTCCTTTCTTTTTTCATTCAAAGCCTTTTTTAAGTTAGCTAATAGAGCATCTGCTTCTTTGACTCTTGTGTCTTCTGGTTTGAGTGTCTAGTGTTAATACATTTAATTACTCTCTTTAATAGATCAGACGCTCTTTCTTAGAATTCAACTGCCTTTTAGAAGTCTCCAATTTCGCCGTGTTCTAAGGCAATTGCTGAATAATATCCAGATACTCTTAATTTATACTGTTAAGTTTCTTGCCCTTAAAAGGATTTAAATAATGATTCACACTTCTCTAGTCCTTCAAATAAACAATTAAGAGCACTTTAATGTTAACCACTTTCTGAATAAAGCAAGGACAAATTTGTATATTGATTAAACACTTCTTAGCCTTCCCCTCCAATCAAATTGGCTAGGTATAAGGTATGCAACATATGATTGAATGCTTCTTTATAATTTTTAGTGGAAAAATAATATAAAGACAAAGCTGTAATGGCTTAGACAGTCAAAGGGTGATCATAACCATAAATTGTTGTATAAATTTAAATGGCTTGCTTTTGGAAATGTATGGCTGCATCATATTCCTATTTTCTCAAATAGACTGCTGAAATCTTGGAATAACAGTTTGCTAATTCTTTATGCATCTAACCATGTAAATTTAATATTATTTGAGATGCTGTAAGATAAGATTCTAATGCTTGATGAAGATTTTAATGTTCAAGCATGTACTTTTGACCAATTTCTATATTATTTTTAGCATCTTCTGATACTTATTCTATGAACTTGATTATTGGCTGTATTCCCACAATATCAGAAGGTTAGAAATCATGGTAGTCTCGAGCAACCAATTGTAATCCTATTTATTAACACAATTCTCTTAAACAAGATAATTTATGGAACCCCTTCTTATTCAATATAGATGAGTCTATTTTGTGTTGATATCTTGCTTCTGCTATCTTATTAATTTAATCCCAAACCTCTTAATACGTGGGATATTAATAATTATTTGCTTGAATTAAACATTTAAAGTGAGGTTTATCGCCATTTTAAGTACTTTTGTTTTTGTTTTTCTTCTTTTTCTTCTTATCTTCCTATTTATTATTAGCAACAGAAGGATTTGAATTTGAGAAAATGATATTTAAAAGATGACACAAAACTTAAGATAATTGGTTCTGTGGAGCTTTTCTCATTGATTCTCTAAAGATGTGTTTCAAAGTCTTAGCAAAGACCACTCTTTCCAAAGTAAGTCTTAAAGAGGGTTACTCTTCGGAGCGAATAAAACTAATTACTTTTCCTAGATATCTCATGTTTACTCCATGAGAATGAAAAATGTCTGAAATACTGAGATCTGAGTGTCTTGATGTTTCTGGTTATGATAATTCTTAAATCAATTGAGGAATTGCTTAATTTAATAGGAATGTAGCCAATTTTTTTAAATCCTCCTCCTATTATGTCAATTTCTCTGATGATTATAATATTGTCTTAGTACCCAAAGCTGGATTTAATTTTAATCCTTCTTTTGGATTGCCAATCAATAGATTTTAGATGTTCTAATATGCTTCTTGTTATGTTTTTGGGTCATCACTGTTATTTTATTTAATTTTTTAAATAGTGTTAACAACCCAATAATTTTAAAGTAACTCATATCTTAACACACAACATTAATTATTATCACCCTAATAATTATAATCTCTAGGAGATAATCTTAGGAGATCGAGTAAATACATTCTTTTATCTGATCCCATGATACCTTTGACTTCTATGCTTCCAGCCATGGAGTATTTTTGTTGGTTGCCATCAAGAAATACAATATCAGTTTCAAGATGGAAGAATTCACATGTTTTTGACATGACCTTGTGAAATTCTTCAGATTTTTGAATGGTCTTTCCATCATCAATTGAGCCATATTAAGTGCAATTGCTATGATCACTATTGAGAATTCCTGGTATAATAGACTATGCAATAACTCGTCTCCCTTTATAATCAACTAAACAAGTATTCAAAACACTTAATCCAGGAATGTCTAATTTATGGAGAATCTACAAATTTCTAAAATCGCAATTAGTTGTTGAGACTGTTGGTGTAGCATCAGGACCACTTTCTTACTTTAATTTATATAATTTTAAATACTCTAAAATCTTCTGGTGTTTCCATAGCAAAACTAAAGAATATCTGATTATAAACGTAAACTTATTAGCATTCGATATCCATGGGATTTAAAGGTTGGATAATTTTATCAACAACAGCACAAGCTCCTCTTACTGCAGCTTCTACAAAATCTCCATAAACCTTAGATAAAGCTTTGTCTCTATTCAATTTTTAAATTAAATCCATTTTAGGCAATGAACGAAAGACTTGCAATTCTTCATTCCAATCTCTCAAACTTGAGACATCAAATCCGTGTAAATCCAAGGCCCAACTCTCACTTCTTTAATGATCTAAAGTCAAAGGAACCTCTTGTACTGATAACCATTTATGATTATATTTTATTGTAGCTGGTAATGCAGGTTCTTATTACTCTGGGATTGCATTGATTAATTCCTTTCTAAATTTATGTAAATGGATCGTTTTACTTAAATGAGGGACTGTGATCCACAATCAAATCTATCAAATTGTAGTAGCAATCGCTTTTTTGGGTTGACTCAAATGTTCTCCCTTAGGAACTATTGACATAAAACCCTAAATTGGAGGCTGTTATTATTAGTTCAACTGATTCAATGGTTTTAAGGACAATATAAAAGAGATCACCTAATTATTGTTGTGTCCAATACCCTTTAATTTTCGCGAAAGAGGAGGGGGATTGAAAGAGGACAGCCCCAATTATTACACGTTCTATTTAATAGCCTTATTGTCATCATTTAAGAGTAAAGTTGGTTTGATAGCTGGTTGGAGGATGTCATTTAATTGCAAATCCCCTATTTCTTTAAGTGATAATGAATCTTCATTTTAATTTTTTCCCTTGCAAAGATATTGATAATGCGAGAGATTGGCAATAATTTCTTAGACTCTTCTTAAATGGAATCGGGCTGTTCTTTCATTAAACTCATCTATTTGATTGTTGAAAACCTGTACCTAATAAAACTTGCAACTTTCCTCCATCTGGAATGGAAAATTCACTGTATTCATTGATTCGCTATCCTTTATGAGAAAAGTAGAAATTTTGAAAGAGGGACAATATTGTGGATTCTGTAAGATATTGTCTGACTTCTAGTAAAGTCTCAGCTATCTCTAGGGGCCAAGTATATTTGTCATAGAAGTCTAAATACAATTTTACACTTTCTTCTTTTGTTTGTTTCATCTCAAATCGACCGCAAATTAAATTAATATGCAAAAATCCTAACTTAAATATGCTAAAACACCGCAATATCTAAGGAGAAGCTCATTGAATTCATAAAACTCATCAAGCCCTAAAAAGAAAGCAAATTAAACTCAAGACCAGATGACTGGCAGCCAACTGCAGTTAGAAATGTCGAAATCATAATAATCATTTCGTAGTTCTAATAGTCCTGTTGGTCATTGTCAGTCTGTTAGGTGAGATATGAGTCAATAATTAGCTCTAAAACATTTCCTTATCCTCCTTCTCCAACTAGAACTTTGTAAAAAAGACCTTCTCAAATCATATCAAAGCAATAACTTCAATCTATGCATGAACGATCGATCATCAAAATGTTAGGACTGAAAATGGAAGCTATTTGCACCAAAACTTCTCATGAGAAGAATAAGATGGTCTTCATTTGTCAATATCCAAATTGTGAAGCAGATAATAGGTTAGGTTGTTCTTATTGTTAAATTGAATAACATGGTAATCATGCATCTCAAAATATGGAAATATAAACATTTTGCAAAATATTCGATGACAGACGACAACAAGTAAATACAATATTTGATTATATCTTAGTTTGATGATCTCTGTAATTAGATTATGCGAGTTCCTGATAAAATTACTTAAGTAAGAACCTTTTTCGAGAAATTGAGAATAAATGTTTAAGAAAGATTATAATAGATAGAAGATAATGTAATCAAATCAATTGATGAGGAATTGTCTTGGCAACCTTTAGAAAGAGATCTTCAAAATAGAGTAAACTACTTGAGCAGCAAAAATATCTTTGACATGACCTAAGAAGAACTTACAGAGAGTTTAAGTTTTATTTAAGGTAAACATCTGTCCGAAGTTGAATACATTATCAACGAATCTGAAAAGTATCTTACATCAAAAGGTGATTAAGTTCAATAATCTTGGAATGATTTCAGAGAACAATTAGAATTTGAATTAAACACAGCCTTAGGAGACAATAACAAAATCTAAATTATTGATTCAAAATAAAGAAAAGAATATGCATAATAAAAACTCTAGATTTTAGCATAAAAACAGGAAAAGTATCTTGAACAATTTAAGCCTTTTTAATTGATAATGAATGAAGTTTAAGAAGAAGAAAGGAAGATTGAAGTTCAAAAATAAGAGGAAGCAAAAAAATAGACAGAAATTTAGAAATAACAATTAATTCAAATAAAAAAAGAATAAAAATAAAAAGAACTAGAATAAATCAAATTAAAAGAAGAGTTGAAGAAAAAAGAGAAAGAAATTGAAAGAGAAAAATAATTAAGAACATTTCCACACACTTTATACTCTTAAGATTGTCCTCACAGATTACCTTGCAACACTATTCCAATTTTCTCATGTTGTAACAAAGCTTATCCTTGCACATAATGTCATGGTTATTAATTTCACCCACCTAGAATCTCAATCCCAAGTTATAGATATTGTATGAATTGTTTAGAAATCTACTTGGTAGTTTTTCCAACAAATCAATCAGTTAATTGTCTGAAGTGTCAAATTTAATAATCATGATCATAATAAGATTAATTTATTATCTTAAAAATCAAAATTGGATCCATTTTCTAATCTTTATCCTAGGGTATGATATCTTCTCTTTATCTTGTTGAAATTTTGAGATGTTTTCTTTCCAAAATTATTTATTATAGTCCTTTGAGTATTAACATTGCTTATGATGGGAGCAGTTAACCCATTAAGCTCACCAGCAATAGGACTTAATTATAAATAGTAAATAATACGTTATATTTTAAGAATTCATTTGGGTTGAAAATAATGTTATTGAAAATTTTTTATCAGCATTTAAAATGCTTTTTAGTTACTATTGTTTTTAATTATTTTGTAAATCCAATTTTATTTATGAATTGGTTCTACAATCGTTTATGTATTCTCTAAGGTCACTCATACTTTCTAATTTTCTCTTCTATAGGCCCATTTTTCGATAATGGGTTTTTATCTTATTATCTAAAGATTGATATTTTTATTTCTATTCCTCGATAGCTTCTTAAATCCTTTCATTTTCAAACTACTTTCTCTAATTTCTTTCTTCATCCAGTAATATTTGTGCTTCTAGTTTCCTTTTTGACATTAGAGCCTTCTTGGAATATGGTAGAGTTTCATCATAATCTTCAGCTTGATCAAATTTCTCCAATTTCTTAATACTTTCTCGATACACCTTTTCTTCTTGTTTTAACTCCATTATCTACAATTTCTCTATAATCTATTGCAATCTCTTTGATTTGTGCTTCATCTTTTGGAACTCATCTCTCTTAATAAAGTTGTTTAACTTACTTTTATATACAAATCAGCACAATCTTAATCGCCAATAATCTCCTCTTGCTTATCCTTAATCTAAATTTGAAGATTTTGTATCAAAGGTATCATTGCCTATTGTATCTTATTACAAGTTTATGAGTAATTGAAACTAAATTTACATTATTCAATACTTGCAATTAGGAACTTCATCCAATTTATATTGACATGAACAACGAATCATTTCTTTATCAATCTTGCTTTGAACTTCTTTAGATTTCGATAGAGATGCTAAAACCTTATTGACTTTTTTGATCTTTTGTTAATGAGGAATTGATTTACTAGGGCCATCTATTCCCTACTTTGAAGCGATCAATTTTTTTTATAATAACTCTAATTTTGGTTTGAATTGATTCGTTAGCTTTAAGAAGTCTTCACAATATTGTTTTCTCCTTTGAGTATAAAATTCAATATTTTCTCTTGTCAATAACATAAATTAATCAATTTATTTTTTAAAATGAATAATACACTTTTTTAGTAGAAGGAGACTAAGAAAGTGTATTATTATCAATATCATTAAATCGTTTAAAGAATTAGAAAAGGAACATTCCGTAAATTTATTTTCTTGCAATTTTGTACTTTTTAGAAATTCAAATAAATCTTCATATACTAAACTTAAAAATGCTAAATGTATATATCCAAATACCCCATAATATTTTAGAATTTTCAAAATAAATAAATTATCATATTAATAAATCAAAATTATCTAATTTTTCTTCACTTATTAGATCTAGTAGATTTAAAACTCTTTTCAATTAAAAAAATCGTTAATTATATTTATATCCAGTTTCAGATTTTAAATTTCTTACTGCTTCAATATGGATATAAGGGTTTGCAATACTTCTAACATTATGTAGAATGAAATTTATTATTTCTGCATATTTGAATTTTTATTTCAGAGAATATCCAAAAAGATAAGGTTTCTAAAAATAGGCGATGTCTTCAATAGTAATACTATTCATTATTTTGAATAGGAACCAAGTGAATATTTGGAGAATATTGTTAGTTAGGCTTTAATAAATTAAAATTAAATCAGATTATATAAAGAAATGTTCGAAATGCAGGAGGACCAAAGTGATGTGAGTATTGCACAGATAAAAGATTCGAATCATCTTAAGCTATCAAAAAGGCAATCATTTAATTCAGATACAATTCTTCAATGGAATTGCTTATAGGAGAATCTTTAATTGCAATATAATTTGCTTAATAAGGGTACTTTTGTGGCAATTGCAAATTAGAAAATGAAACTAAGAATGAGCGCATTTAGATTCTCTTGAATACAGTGGAGAAGTATTACAAGACGTAGCTTCGATATAAGGACTTGCGTAGATTGTACAATCAACAATAAACAAATAATTATAATCAAATACAATGTTTATTAGGGTACAAATTTGAGAATGTTCATTTTGAGATACAAAAGTTTTTATTTCTGTTGATGGAAAACCAAGAACTTTTTGCGTAATTGATTCACTCATCTTTGGATATTGGTGCTCATAATTTGGATGAGTTTATATTTGATATTCTAACATTCCTTTATGATCCCATTGTAGGGGCTGGCCTTTAAGAAGGAGTTTTTAAATTATTAAGCGAACTCTTAAAATTAGAATTAATCAATCTTAAAAATCCATTAGAGTTGTTTCAAGATAAAACCAATCTAGTTTGCAAATTTCTTATAGGATTCAGCAAAGGACCATTATGTTAATCATATATACAGTAAATATGTGGATAAGCATTAAACTTACTAATGAATGTGAAAGAAGAGTTAGAATTAAATCCTAAGATGTATTATATGTCAATATGAATAATAGTATTTATGAATAGTAGTTGAAATTGAAAGAAAGCAAAGAGTCTGCAAAACTACTGAAATTAAAACAGGAGAATAAAGCAAGGAAAATAATGTTTAATATTCTTCCCATTTTAATGCAGGGAACACAAGAGAATAAAGATATTAATGTTTATGAGAATGTGAGAAGAACTAAAATTCCTGACTCGTTACTTAATGAAATAATTGAATAAATTAGTCCCTCAATTTAATCATATTGTCAAACACCATTATAGAGGTTAGTAGACCCATAATTAGTAGAGGAAACAGCTAAGATATTATATGATAGACGCAAAGTGACTGAGATGATTGTTAACTCGATTTGTGACAACATCATAAATAGTTTACATAATCTACCCTTTATAATGAGAGCCTTATTTAGACTGTAGTACCAAATCTTTAAAGTCCTTTATTAATCTTATAAATAAGAGGAACTATTTAGTTTGCTAATTCAATTCCTGATCAATAAATGGGTTTTACCTGAATTCACAGCGATGTTTCTTAATTAATAATAATTAGAGTCATCATAATACCAAACTAATAATATTGCAGTAGTGAGTAAAATCCTATTGAATGTCTGGAAGGGAGAAATAATTGAGGGTCTCAAAATTACATTAACAAGTGAAAATGTTTTAAATTATTTCAAAGGATTAATTGAACTCCCTCAAACTCAATTGAATTTTTATATCAAAGAAAAAACTGACAAACCCTTCATCTCCTATTTACTCTCCATTTCAGATTTATAAATTTTATTAAATTCAATATCAAAATCAAGGATTGATGGTTCATTAGGAGGTAAACAACTAACCAGATACACAGATCTAAGGGAATTGGCAGAGAATATAATGCGATATAATTTGAAATTGGGAAGTGATTATATGAATAATGTTGTTCAATGGAAAGGTTAGAAAGTACCTGCAAATAATATGCATTTTGCAGTACATAGACTATCTGATCTGTATAATGTCAATTATATTGATATTGCTTTTAAATTCACAGAGAAGTTCAGCGCTTAAGACAAAGAAGAACTGTTGTTTATTTCAAAAGCCAAATAAGTTGTTGCTTAATTTTTAATTTCCATTGAAAGAATATCCCTTTTGGCTAAATTAAGGAACAATATAATTCTCAGCTTTGACAATCTAATATATATGTATAAAGATGTAATTTAAGTTATGTAATTTAGTCTTATGAAAATAAGGGGTAAGTAATTAAACAGTATGAGAATATTTCGCCTTAATTATATGCGAATTATTTGCTTTCTATTTATAAGATGATTCCAAATCAATACACTAGCAATAATCTATCACTTTTATGCCAAGAAATGATTTAAGAATTTGATTAGAAAGTTACTTATGCTAAAAATCGTAAGTACTCTTTGTTTCTTATATAGAACAAAAGGCAATGTTAGAAGCATTCCTGAAAATTATAACTCAACTTAAAACTGAGAGAAATGAAATTAAATCTTTGAACAAAATGTTAAAAACAATTGAGTTAAAAAAAAAATTAACCCATTTTTTAAAAAATATTAAGATTCCATGTTTGTTGAATTTTAGGCATGGATAAATGAATTTGATTCCAATTTAAGACTCATCTAAAACTAAATCCTTAGATCCAAAGGATAACGAAAAGTAATAATTTTTATAGATTGTGAATGGAGCAGATCTGAATTAATTATAGTTGGAATTGCCATTTTAGAGTATAAGAGACTTTATCGATATATTAAGTGGATTGAAGCATTTGCAACTTGCCTTAGAAGGAGATTAGGATTACATAGAGAAGTAATATATAAATATTCTAATCTTTTAGAGTCTCAAAACTGTTTTAGAACTATATGAAGTTAGTGGAGGAAAAGTTATAATAATAATCATTTTTCCCATAAAATTAAAACCTAAAAAAAAATAATCAATATGTTGATTTATGTTTTGAAACAGTAGAAAAGTCAATTGTACGCAGAATTATGATGAAATATTGTACCATTAACGAGATTAAAGAAGATTAGCATTTTATCGAGTAATGTCAATAGAAATTGAAGCACCTAGAAGAATAATAAGAAGTTAAGATTTGCTTATCAGAATTGCCTATGTTATAGAAAATGAGTGAATGTATATATTGATATAATGTGATTAGCTTTTAGATAGATTGATTAAGTAATGACTCCTATTGAGAAATTACAAATGATTTCGGATTGTTTGAGTAACACAACTTAGTTATTGAAGATATCTGGAATCGATGATAATCCTGGCTAAGATGGAACACTGCCAGTTTTTATTTATTTAGTTGCTTAAGCATGTCCTAAATTTATGAAAACAAATTTGAATATAATCTAATCTTTATTCAACTTTGATCGTTGGAAGAATTCCACCTACCCATTTTCATCGACTTAATTATAAGGAGCATATGAAAATATTATAAATTGACATAATAAAATATATTTCATAATTAAATGAACTCTCAAACATGATCTAATCTAGCTATTACTTCTATTCCTCTTCCATAACTAATTACATCTACAAATGAAAAAATAAGGGATTCTATTTTAGTTACTAATAAGTTTAATTAAATTAGTTTACTATTTAAAGAATATACTACAATAGTTATTCAAATTATGATTAAATTAATCTTCTAAGTCATTATATAGAATTTTGGAACTAATATATAATTACTTCAAATGATATATTTATTGCGCTGTTTGTGTCTGAAAGAGCAATTACAGGAGTACTTGAGTTTTATTTTAAGAATATAAGTTAATTGTTGAAATAAGATGAAGACTTCTTCTACTCTAGAGGCTTGGTGAATTTGACAATATGACAATATGACACATTGATATATTATGAGTTAAATGCATTTACTGCAATACCAGATGATAATATTTGCTATTTTTGGATTATTGATTTATCGATACTTTAAGCTTTAACCTGAAGTTAGGGGAACTATTTAATGTAGAGATCATAAACTTGAGTTCTTAGTAATCAGAATATATGTTAAATGGAAGTGACAAAACATTCACCTACTCTTTGGGAAAACTATTTTAAAGAATAAAAATAATTAAAATATCTTTTTAATTTCATGTTTGCCATCACGAAGTAGGCATTGTTTAGGTAATAAGCAATGAAACTCATGAACCGATTTGCTGTAGTTGCCAACAATAAACCAGAAAAAGGGCCATCACAAGTAATAATAAATATTAAAGATTAAGGGTCATTTGACAGACAAATATACTGTCATAGATCACACTTATGATGCCGTAGTTGTAGGAGCTGGTGGTGCTGGATTAAGAGCAGCCTTTGGTTTAGTCGAATTAGGTTTTAAGACTGCATGCATATCTAAGCTATTTCCAACCAGATCACATACTGTTGCAGCATAAGGAGGTATTAATGCAGCCTTAGGTAACATGACCGAAGATGACTGGAGATGGTATTAAAGATCAAAATTAACATAGGCATGCATATGATACTATAAAAGGATCAGATTGGTTGGGAGATTAAGATGCCATTACATATATGTGCAAAGAAGCACCGAAGGCAGTTTATGAATTGGAAAGTTATGGTTTACCATTTTCTCGTACTCCTGAAGGCAAAATTTATTAAAGAGCATTTGGAGGTTAGAGTTTGAAGTTTGGAACAGGAGGATAAGCTTATAGATGTTGTGCAGTGGCGGATCGTACTGGACTATGCAATGTTAGTCGACACACTGTTTGGCAGAGCTTTAGGTTATGATTGCATTTTCTTTGTTGAATATTTTGCACTAGATTTAATGATGGATGAATAAGGGTAATTTTATATTTATTATAAATTTGTAGAGCATGCAGAGGAGTTGTATGCATGTCAATGGCAGATGGATCAATCCATAGAATTAGAGCTGGATATACAGTCATTGCAACTGGAGGTTATGGAAGAGCATTCTAATCATGCACATCAGCACATACTTGCACTGGTGATGGTGGTGGTATGACCATCAGAGCTGGTTTACCCATGGAAGACTTAGAATTTGTATAATTCCATCCTACTGGTATTTATGGATCTGGATGTCTTATGACTGAAGGATGTAGAGGAGAAGGAGGTATTCTTAGAAATTCATTGGGTGAGAGATTTATGGAAAGATATGCTCCTACTGCTAAAGATTTGGCTAGTAGAGATGTAGTCTCTAGAGCTATGACTAAAGAAATATTAGAAGGAAGAGGGTAATTATTATATTATTATTATTCCTAGAGTTGGACCAGAAAAAGACCATATTTATTTACATTTAAATCATTTACCTCCTGAATTGTTACATGAAAGATTACCAGGTATCCAGTGAGGCTGCTAAGATCTTTGCTGGAGTTGATGTTACCAAAGAACCAGCACCAGTATTGCCAACTGTTCATTATAATATGGGCGGAATACCTACAAATTTCAAAACAGAAGTGTTAAATCAAGTTAATGGAAAAGACTAAATTGTTCCAGGACTATTAGCTGCAGGTGAAGCTGCATGTGCCTCAGTTCATGGTGCAAATAGATTAGGAGCCAATTCATTATTAGATATTGTTGTCTTTGGAAGATAGGCTGCCAATTTAGTAGGTGAAAAATGGAAGCCTGGATAGAAACAACCAGATCTTCCCAAGAATGCTGGAGAAGCTGCCATTGCTAGAATTGATAGACTTAGACATCATGAAGGATCATAAACTATTGCCTAAGTTAGAAAGGATTTATAGAGAACCATGTAGAAACATGCCGCTGTGTTCAGAATTGAAAAGACTCTATAAGAAGGTGTGGAAAAGGTTAAGGAAATCTATTCAAGAAAGGATGATGTTAGAATCAAAGATAAGGGTTTGGTTTGGAATTCTGATCTTGTTGAAGGATTAGAATTAGAGAACTTATTATGTATTTACTATTTTATATCTAATAATAGTATAAGGAAAAATGACTATAGAAGGAGCACTTAATAGAAAGGAATCCAGAGGTGCTCATGCAAGAGATGACTTTCCAGATAGAGATGATAAAAATTGGATGAAACACACTCTCGCTAGAATTCAAGATACTAAGTTAGGAGATGTTCAATTGACTTACAGAGATGTATATATTCATTACTATTAGCATAGGTCATCACAAAAACCCAAGATCCTAAAGAATTCGACACTGTGCCACCTAAGAAGAGAGTCTATTGATAATTATAAAATAAAATATATATAATACAAAATTTATGACAGACGTTGAAATTACACCAAAACATTTGAAATTTTAAAAAATTGGATAAGAAAAGACAGTACACAAAAATATAATTATTAGATTACTGTCAAGAACAATAGGAAGGTTGTGCTTAATTTTGCATTCAGACTTTTCAAAAATTACGAAATAGCCCCAACTGCCCTTCAACTACTTCCTGGAGAAGCAACTGTAGTAACTGTTAAATTAAGGAATGTTGAAGCTCAAGAGGACTTTATTTACATAAAAGGAGATAATTTGGATTGTAGAATTGCTGTTACTTTTGAATGTGATTCTGACCGTTTGGATTAATACATTGATTAAGATATTCAAAATAGGACAATCACATCGCCAGGATTTGGAAATTTAGAGACATTTGGCAATGTTAGAAGTGAATAGTTTAATGCAGAAGAAAATAAAATACTTCAATAAAGAGTCAACTATCTAACTTAATAAAACCAGTTGCTTAATGATGCATTAGAACAATTTATGAACTAAGAGATGGATGGTAATTCTATCAAGGAGTTATTGAATCAATTAATCGAATAGGAAAGGTAGGACAATGAATTCAGGAGTCAAAGGGTCTTATTAATGATCGAAGAAAAAGATAGAGAAATTGAAAACTTAAGAATGCAAATATAGAAGCAACAATTCAACAGCAATACCAAAGATCAGCTCAAAGAACTAGTGAAGGAGAATGAAAAGTTATAGATGAAAATCTAAGACTATCAAGCACGAGAGTAATATTTCAATCAGCATTAACCTGAGAGGGAAAGTTATGTGATGTTATATAGGAAATATGAATCTGTAGTTGATTAAAATAAGAAGTTAGAGTCGATTAATAGACAAATGAATGAAGAAATTGAAGTTATTGCAAAAAGATTAAATGATAGTGGATTATAGAATTCAAATATCAGAGTTGAAGAAACTAGGGATGAACTAGTCAATAGATTAAATGCTCGTATCACTCAACTGAAATTAAGAGAGGAGAAGTTACTTGAAGAAAATGCTCATTTGGAGGAAATGCTTATTCAGTAATAAGGATCAAGTTAAAATTTTTCATCAAATTAATCTAAAAATCATACAGATGATCTATTAAAAAAAGAGTATCAAATATTAGAAAAGTCAAAGAAGGAATTAGAAAAAAGATGCAATGATACATTATCCAAATCTTAAATACTGGAAAAGTAGGTTGATGAATAAACCAAATAAGCTGGATATTTGGGAGACGAATTATGGAAAAGTCAAAGAGAAAATGAGAAATTAAAATAAGAAATCAAAAAATTAAAAGAACAGGATGAATTAATTAAAAAAGAAAGATTAGAATATGAGTCTTAGATTTATGCTCTCGAATAAACGCTAAAATAAGCTAGTAGTTTATAGGATGTAAAAGAAGAAGCCAGAAAAAGATGGGAAAAAGAAATAGGCAAATTGTAAAGCAGTTATGAAAATGAAATTGTGGCATATTAAGATGATGCATAAAAATTAAAAAAAATAATCAATGACTTAAAAAAAGAAAATGAAATTACAAATACTCAATTAAAAGAAACTCAATTTAAACTTGATTAAAAGATACAATAATTATCTCAATAGGAAGAATAGATGTAAGAATTACAATTCAAAAATCAAAAACTCTAAAAGGTTAATCAATAAAATTCAATTGATATTGAAAAAACAAAAAGTGAATTCATTATTCTCAAAGAAAAAACAGATGTTGAATTTTAAAGAAGAGACAACCTTGAAAAGTAATTGTAAGATAGATAATTATGTCTTTAAGATTAAATTAATAATATTATGAAAGAGAAATCAATTACTTAAAGTGAATTACAATTAGAAATGAATAAATTATGCCAATAGCATAAAGCATCTATTGATTAATTACTGATGGATAATAAATCATTAGAATAGCAGTATTTATTGGCACAAGATCAACTCAAAGTCTAAAGAGATTAGTATGCTTAAAGAGAGGAAGCTTTGATTAGAGAGGTTAGGAGTATGTAAGATAAAATTGAAAAATTAGTTTAAAATTAAAAGTAAAAGGACAAATAGAGAAAAAACAGTAGAAGCAATAATTCTTCAGTAGATAAAACAGTAGCACCTACTCTAAATAATATTGAGGAAGAAAGAAAAATCTCTGATTTATATATGTAGAAAATTAGAGAATTGGAATCAGAGTTAAATAAAACTAGACAATCAAAAATGTAAACCGAATTTGATTTTAATCAACTGAAAGCCAAAAGCACATATTTACAATAAGGATAAACAAAAGACTTTTACGCATAATAGTAACCTGTTCTGGCAGATGATTTAAATGAACTCAAGAAAACTATGATTGAAATGAGACTAGAGAGAGACAAAATAATAAATCAGCTCTAAGAAAAGGATTATTAGATTGATAATTTGAGTTCATAAATTCAAGACTATGCTTCTCTTGTATAATAATAACAAGGAAATCTTGAATAAATGGAAATTAAATTAAGCTATATTAATGATGATTTCAAAAAAACTCTTGAATAAAAGAATTCTGAATTACACAAACTCAAATTGGAACTCAATATAAGGGAAGAATAGAACTAAGTTTACCAAGAATAGACTAAGCTATTAACAAATGAAAGAAGAGAAATCAATGAGAAATGCTATATATAAAACTTTGAAATTGAGTAAATGAAAACAAATTATCAAGAAGTTGAAACATCGAGAAAACAATTGATCTAAGAACTTAGATAGAAAATTGATGTGTTGATTAAAGATAATGAAGAAAATAATGAGATAATATAAAAAATTAATACTGAGATTGTTAATCAAAAGGAAATATACGAGGAAATTATAGAAAGATAAAATAATACAATGGAATTGATAAGTGAGAAGTTCAATTAAGATATGTAAGAATTGTAATGTCGATAAAATTAATATTTTAATTAGAATGATGCCTATAAAAAAAGTTTGAACCCAACCAAAGAATAATAATGGTTTAAGGAATTGATTCAATCATATCATGAAAATGTTGTCTAACTTGCATAAAATATGTAGAAATAGAAATAAAATAACGAGAAGAACAAATAGTTACAGTAGACAATCAATCAATAGAAACAATAAATCAAAGAATTATCTGATAAACTAAATGTTCTTTAAACAGAAAATTAAAACTTGACAAAATAAGTTGAAAAACATAAACCTAAGATTCCCAGTCTCAAAAAACCAACTACAACTAAATAAATTTAGGCAGAAAAACAGAAATGCGAAGAATAAGTACCTATTACATTGTTATTACAACAAGGTAAGGTTGCAGAGGTTGAAGTTAAATCCAATTAATATAAAATCTAATTAAAACTTGCTGAATAAAAGATTGATCAATTGAAATAAGCTAATTTGATTTATGAGTCAGAATTAAAAAAGGTTAATTAATCGAATTCTCATTTATAAGACTTGCTTAAGAATAGAGATTAAACAATTTCAGAGCTTCAGAAGCAATACAAGTAAGAAAATCAAAAAATCATAAACGAATTAAACCAAGTCCAAAATAAATTTGTACCAGAAGATAAGGTTTAGGCTCTTAATGAAATTATCACTTAGAAAGATTCAATTATTAATTAATTAAAAGATGAAATTTAAAGGAAAAAAGATGTGGCTGATTAATTTAGAGGAGACAGAGAAGATCAAAAGCAGGTTGTTGAAAAGTTAAAAAAATAGAATGAAGATTTATAAACAGAGAATGACAAATTAAAAAGAGTTAATAAAGATAATGAGAGACAAAATAGCAATTTCAAAGAATTCAAAGAGAAATATGATCAAATGAAAGTTTAAGAGAAGTAAGTCTAAGATGAAATTAAGAACTTGTAAGAAAAGAATAAGCAACTTAAACAAGATAATACAAGAAAGGATACTAACATAAAAGAATTAAAGGATAAAATAGATTAACTTTCAAATCAAAAACCCAATGATGCTGAAAAACAAGATTTATTATAATAGGTTAAGAAACTAAAAGAAGAAATTAATAGAAAAGACTAAGCAATAAAACACTTTAGGTAAAAGTTTGATGAGAAATCTAATGAATTTGAAATTTATAAGAATGATTATGCTTCTAAATATGCATAGACTGTATCAGAATTAGGTAATAAATTATTTTATTTTTAGAAAAGGAAATGAGAAAAAATGAATAGGGAAAAATAGGAAGCAAGAAGTATGAGAATTAAGTTAATATGTTAATATTCCTTTTGAAGCGTATATATAGAGAAAACTATATGGAATTAAATAAAGGTAATCAGGCAAAGGTTTGCATAAAAGGAGAAAATAAACCTAAAAACATATCTAAGTTTTCAGAGTCTATGAACATCTTAAATTTAGGACCTGAAGACCTTGAAGAATTTTTAGAACCAAATATTTCAGTAAGCACAGTTAAAAAATCAAATAATAAAGATTTGGATAGATTTGAGACATTATTTATGAATCCAGATTAATTAGACGTAAATTAAATCTTTAATATGATCAATAATGTTATTACTGAAAGAATAAATTGCAGTTGAATGGAATGAAATTACTTAAATATTAGTTAAAATTATTATTTTATAATCATTTGCATTTCTCATTAAAATACACACTATGATAATCGTCAAAGTAGTTTCGTTAAGAAACAAAAGTTAAGAAGATTTTCAAAGCTTTAGTTTTCGGTTAATATGATATTCAGTTTAAAATAAAACCAATAATATATTATATGTTATTTATAAATGAATAAAATTTGAAGTCTAATATTCAATTCCTTTGAAGTGGAAGGAGCAATGTCAATTTCAGTTTTGATAACTTTGCTTAGGATTAGTTTTAGTTATTCTATTGAATCTGAAAGCAGAAAACCATTTCTATCCATTAATCATAAATTTAGTAGAGAATATTATTTAGGATTTACTCCCCACTTTAGGTAGAGAGTGTAAAATTAAAGAAAAAAATAAGGAGAATTAAGTCTTGACAAAATAATAAAAATATGGAGCTATTTTCTTAAATACATTCCTTGAAATTTTTTTCATGAAATATGAAGTTTATTTCATTTCAGTCTGATAACTATCAATTTATTAAGGTAGCACCTATATGTTTAAATTTATTAAATAATAAAAAGGATGAGTATGCCGTTGCGAGATGTAAGCGGAAACCTATAAAAATGACGATATCTCAAAAGCTGATATTTTAGATTTCAGTTTCTAAAATAAGAATTTCCAAAATTTTAGAAAGTTCATTAGCAAAAATTAACTAATGAAATAAAAATAATGAAGAAAGTCAAATAAATAACTATATTACATAAATATATTATTTTGTACATTATTTATACTAATCTAAGAAAGAGTTTGAGCCTTTTGAGTCTTTTTTATGAACCCTTAATTTATTATATGATTGAAAATTATATATTGATTGTAATAGTTTTTTGATGAATGTCATCTTTGTAAAACATATATAGATTTATATTAAGAGGAAATTATAAATATATCAATAACCATATTTTTTAAAAAATAAATAAAAATAAAGAAAAGTAATACTATTATTTTCTTTATTTATATTGATATATATGTAAGATTAAGAAAAATAGGGAATAGAAGATGCTATATTGTTGGGCAACTAAAAGAGAGGTATTGATTATTATTTAGAATAATTAAAATTAACTACCTTTCAAGTTCTATTTGTTATTCGTAATAGCGAAGATGAAGAAGGGGGAATGTTTGGATTCTATTTTTTTAATGCTCTTGATTATTTTCAGATGCATCAATTTCCATTTTATGTTACAATCTATTACCTTTGGAAGTAAGACACTTTTATGGCGTTTGTCACTCAAGTATAAAACCTATTACAAATAAGTAATTACATTCCAAGTTTAACGTATGATTCTCTTTTATTGACTGTTTACATATTGTTATTTTTTATTTTGTTGATCATTCTAGACATTATTTATGTTTCCTATTCGTTTTCTCGTAATCGATTTTATTGGCTCTGGCCCTTATTATTATTAAAACAGATTACTTCCTTTGTGGTAACTGTAGGATTTTTACCTATCACAGAGACCTTAACTTCCATTTTATAATGCTATGTAGATCCAGATACAGGAAAATATATAATATATGGTTACAATAATATCTTTGTCGAATGTTGGTAAAATTGGCACACTTTTCACGCAATTATAGATCTTACATTCATCGTAATATTTTCAATAATATGCAGTATTGTTGCATATGCATTTTTTGAACCAGCTATGAATACTAATGATAGATCTGCAAGATAGGATTCCAATGGGGAAGTGGCCTTTATTACAAATAAAATTACTTGCTAATTAATGTTTAGTTTACTTAGACCGAACTATCCTGAATAAGCATGGATTATGGTTATAACTTCTTTTGTTTTATCACTTTGGTTATTTAAACAATATAATTTTAACGATCCTTACTATGATTTTTAGGTTGGGTTATTCTATTGTATTTGCAGCACACTGTATTTATGGGCTTGTTTTATGTTGTTAGTTTGTAAAATATTGGAATCTACTGAATTTACTGGAGGATTTATTGCCTGGTTGATTGGCGTTCCGTTTATTATTAGCATTATGTTGCTGACGAAAAAATCGAAAATTGAAACTCTGATTAAATCTTAAACAAAATTTAGGAGTGGAGAGTAAATTTGGAGTCATATCAGATATGTATTGCAACTGATATAAAATCAAGAGAAAGATAGAAATTCCTATATGTTGCTTATTGGATATATAGAAAAACACAAAGAGACTTGTAATTATGATGACTGTCCTTTAAAAACTAAATTAAAATAAAGAAAGTCAGGAAATTAAAACGATATTAATGAAATAATTAGAGGGCTAATTTAAGAATTGGATAGAATGTTTGTATAGGGTTTAAAAAAGTTTCCAAATTCAACTTATTTAAGAATCTTTTATGGACTATTTTTGATAGAAAGAAGAAACAATAAATAGAAAGCTTTAGAATAATTTGAGCTTGCTCAATATACTAAACCAGCTCTTTATTAATAGTTTATTATTTATCGATATCAAAAAGATATTAAGAGTAAAGGGATTAATTCTTAATAGGAGGAAGATGATGATATTGTTAATGCAATCGCATTTAAAAATTACTTGTCTTTATGTGAAGAGAAAATGAAGTTTTCTGCAAATTTACATAAGGAATTTTGGATAGAATTAAAGGAAGACCAACCTGATTTAGGGAGATTAATGAATATTGGTGCTAGAATTAGTAGAGTAACTAATGAAGCAAAAGAGAATTATGAAAATATGTAAAAAATAAATTCAAATATGCCATACACGATGTAAGTATTTGGTAATTTTATGATTCATGTTATGAATGACTCTAAGGGAGGAATCAATTAATTAAATAAGGCAAAATAATTAAAAGAACATCTAAAGAAAAACTAATTAGGCCGTAAAGATATGATAAATTTTGAAACTGATTAAATCCCATTCATTTATGCAAGTGCTAAGAAGTCAGATCCAGGTAATATATTATAAATGAATTCATTATTTACAGTTTACTTTGGATACTCTAAAGAAGAGATAATAGGAAAGAAGATAAATGTTTTAATGCCTTAAAAATATGCAGAGAATCATGATAAATACATGAGTAACTTCTTTGATAATTTTGTACTTAATTTAAGATAAGAAATAGGGATATAAAGCGAATATCTTGAAGTAGATTAGAATAGATTATTTAAACACAAAAATGGATACCTTTTTCCATTAACTTATTAAGTAACATTACATTTAGATTCCCTTGTATATATTGCAACCTTCAAATCAGAAGCAACACTAAAAACTTAAATATATTTTGTGGTTGACAAATTTACATAGATAATAGAAATGTCTTCAGGTGCTATAACGTACTTTGAATTAGAATTGAAAAATTTGGTAGACAAGATAAAATTGAATGATTATATCCCTGATGTTTTGACTAAAAATGCTAAAGATGTCTTCTCTAAAATCCCAAATAAAGATGGCTTCTATTACTTCAATTGCTAAGTAAAAGAAACTATTTTACCAGTCTTCAATCCAAATGATAGTGATGAAGAATAGAAGAAAAGTGAACGCACTGGATTTTATGTAGTTCGACTTGATAAGATTGAAAAAAATGAAGCAAATCTTAAATATATGTTAAAAAAAGGAGTATAACGTACAGGAAGTATTAGTAATCCAGAATCAGAATAAATAATGAAAGCCACTTCTTAACAAAAAGTACCAAATTTGGGTAATATGAGTTCAGACAGTTAAGCTGCTCTTAGAAATTAAGATAATTAAGAAGTAGATACTAATTTATTGAGGTATATGCAAGATTTGTACGAGAACCCACAATTAGATGAAATTAGAGATTTATTTAAATAATGTAATGAAGAAACTGAGAGTGTTCCTTCAATTAATTTAGCTGGAGGCATTCTCACAAAGAGATACATTAATGGCTAAATTGTAAGTATTAATGAGGATTAGGAATAATTATTTTTATAAATCTTAGAGGAAGAAGAAGAGTATAATTCATTATTCAGAAATTAAGGAAATGATTTTGAAGATGAGGATGATTACAAATTATTTACTTATAATAATTCTGCTAATATAATTCAAATTGCTTTATAAACTCATCATAAACATCAAGAAATAACAACTTTTAAGATTTATTCATCTTTATGGATTGTATTCATTTTGGCTATGACAAGTTTGCAACAATACTTTTGTTCTCAATAATTCAATGATTATAGGATAGACGTCAATATCTTATAATAAATAAACAATTAGCTGATTGAAATCAATAGATTAACTTCTAGAGTTTTAGATTTGGCTATTTATTCTGCCAATCTGTACACGTATAATATTACTGAAATAGCAAATGATATATCAATGTCAGCTTCCTCTGTTATTGATTTCAATTCTGCTATGAATTCAATAGATTATTTAAATTTTTAATCATAATTTGAAGATGAAATATCATTTAGATTTTATACTGATTTTGCATATTAAGATGATGCTTTAAGACTTGAAACAGCATTAGTTGTTTTTTGTTCCTTAGCCTTAAATTCTTCAGTAGCCAATTATCAATCTATCAGTTTTGATAATATTTATTATTAAGGAGTAGTCCACAATTATTTTGATGTGCTTTATGAAAAATTATGCGACATTTCTGGTTCAACCTATTATAATATCAAAGATATTATGGATTACCCACAAGTGGATTTATTGATTTTATTATCAGCTTCAATATTTGTATCAGTAATGGCTATGATCAAATTTATATTTCTAATGTTTGCCATCAAAACAAAAAGAGAAAATATTTTATTTCTTTTTTTGGATATTCCAACCTATCATTTAGATGTACTATATAAAAAATGTGACAGATTTCTGAAAAACTATGTAAGTATTGAGGAAATGTAAAATAAATAAGAATAACAAGGTTATGAAAGTTCAGAAGATGAAAATGAATTTTAAGAGGAAAAAATTGAAGTCTTAAAAGCACCAGATGAGGATGAATCTGATATCTTATTGAGGTAAACTTAAAATAGAAAAAAAATTATTAAAAAATATAGATAAAATAGGCTAAAAGGAAATTAAGGCATTATTATTCAGTATTTCTATGTAATAATATAGATTTTTCGTTATTTCTGTTTTTACCTTAGTATTCACTGTTTATAACATACTTGGAAGCCAGTCCTAGTAATCATAGATAAACTTCCTTTTGCCTCAATATTATTAAAGCCTATTCACAATAAATAATTATGGCTATTATATAAATATACAAAAATTGATGATGCTTGATTACACAAATCAAATAAAGGGAGTTCAAGTTTCTGAATATGCAATTAATAACCTCACTATCTTTACTGGAAATGCTGAAAAAATGAATGCGGTATTTATTATTATGAAATTACTTAGTTTAACTTTGATATCTTATCTGAATTATAAGCATTCAGGGACAAATACATCAATATTTATTATGGCAATCTATGTGAATAAATAATCAAGACTGCTGAGGTTGATTAATGTTAGAAAATCATTAATTCAAATTTATAATTAGTAATTTTATTAATAATATCCTATTTAGGGAATTTACAACACTGAATCTTATTTTTTGGAATATTTTAGAATCAATATTCAAAATTTTTATTAGAATACTACCTAGAATTCTCCTTTATTGAATGCAACTCAATTCTTTGAAATTGATAGAGCATTATATAATTACGTATATGATGCTATTACCAATATCATCACTTATGAGAGGGATCTAATTACTAGTGGAATGGATAACATCTCATACATTCAATTGATCCTATTAATAATATTTATAGTGCTTTTAGTGGCCATTTTTTTATTTATATGGATTCCGTTTTTGAATGGACTAAATACTTAAATTAATTAAACCATAGAGATGCTCAATATGATTCCATTGGAAGTAGTGAAGGAGAATAAGAGCATACGTAGATTTGTGAAATCTTTGATAAAATCAATGAATAAATGATTTACTGTATTTTTCTAATTTATCATTAATATTTAAAATCTACATAATCCGACAAATGAGTGATTGGCCTGAATGCACTATTGCAAATCATAACTAAAATAAAATAATAGGATTTTGTTTTCACTTTAAATGTAAAAGCAAATAGAGGTTATTATGCTTCCAATGTATGAAATAAACTACTCATGACGATCACAAAGAAATGGAAGATGGAGTAAAAGAATGTAGCAAATTGCCAGAATGGTTATAAAAATAATAAGATGCTACAAAGAACTTTCAAAATAACTTAGGGTCTATTGTAGAAAAAATATATAAGCCAATAAAGATAATTGAAAAGACATTAGAAAATTAGCTAGAAATACTTTCTGAATCAAATTTAAAAAACCTAACGTATACTGATCTTAATGAGGCAATCCGAAAATAAGTTAACTTGGGAATCGTCATGGATCTATTTTCCAAGAGTTGTTTTACGAAGGGATTTGATATGTTTGGGGGAATGTTAGATCGTGTGTAGGAACTCATGACAGAGTCTAACATCACTTTTAGCACATGCTAGAGGAGATTAAATTCAATATTGATGTATTTGTTTGTTTAAATTAGTCCTTTTTCCTCAACAGGATCATTTAATTCTACTATTCAATTATAGTCAATAGGCAATAACAACTAGCCTTAAACTAATTTGTGTGGATTTATTAGCTACAATTAAATTCAAGATAATCTTTAAGATCCCTACTAATAATCCTTATAGTCTTTGTCTAGGATATACGATGATAATATAAATACTCAAATTGATTTTAAAACCGATGCGACATTCTAAGATGGTATAACTCTTTATTCAATATTAAGCCATTGAATACTTAATGGCTGGGGAAAACGAAAAAGCATAGAGTATATTCTACACTCTTTAAAATTAACAACCAAAGTAGGAAGTTTAACTTTGGTTAGGTTATTATCTATTTTTTATATTAGCTTATTGTATGTATGTTTAGAGAAAATACTCCGATACCATGAAGTTTATGTAACAATTAGGATAATCATAAGAAGAAATTAAATAAAACCCATTTTTCTGGTAAATTATAAGTAAGTAATGTGTAATGTAGCCCTAAGTGTGCTTGGCCTAAAAAATTATAAAGATGCTCTATATACTATTTAAAAGTACTTGAGATTACTACCTCGCAATTTTAAGGGGTGGATTTTGGCAGGTGAATTTAATTGTTATTAAAGGATGTATATTACTAAATTACGGTGAGATTGAGTTGGCAATAAAGTATTTATTACATGTGCTTAAGTTTGAAAAATAAAACATTTAAGCAAAGTACTATTTGTGTATTCAATTTATTAATTAATAGGCCTTGCATACTTATAAACAAATTAAAAGTTATTAGCTGAAAGGTAGTATTAAGAAATTTTATAAATTGATCCAAAAAGCAAATTTTTAAACTATCTTCAACCTTATCTTAGAAAACAAATTAGTTGATTTATTTATTTATAAAAAATATGAAAGAATATATCGTGTATTTATAGGGTCTTCTTAAATAAAACAACATCTAATTTGAATAGGAGGAGGACTTTGCATAGAGTAAATTGAATCAAATAAATAATGAATTTGGTTATGAACATATCAACAGATACAAAAGATAAATGATCTTATCTGAAATAGGATTAACTGGATAGTAGAAGATTCATCTTGCAAAGGTACTGATTGTAGGTGCTGGAGGTATAGGAGCTCCTGCAATTTATTACTTGGCTGGAGCTGGAGTTGGAACAATAGGACTAGTTGATGGTGATAGTGTAGATGTTTCTAATTTGCATCGTCAAATAATTCATAATAATGATAGACAAGGAATGAATAAAGTATACTTTAATATCTATTGTAGTGTGAATCAGCAAAAAAATAAATTAATTAGTTTAATCCTTTAGTGAATGTTATTACTTATTAGCATCATTTATCATCAGAAAATGCAATTGATATATTTAAAAATTATGATTTAATTTTAGATGCAACTGATAATCCTGCCACAAGATATTTAATAAATGATACAGCAATTTACTTAAATAAACCTTTGGTATCAGGTTCTTCGGTTGGTTGGGAAGGACAAATCACAGTTTATGGAATGTAAGGACCTTGTTATAGATGTTTATTTCCATAATGTCCTAAGACTGTGTAGAATTGCAATGAAGCGGGAGTATTTGGAGTTATGCCTGGGTTGATTGGACTCATAGAAGCATTATAAGCAGTGAAAATAATTATTGGACAGTAAACTTTGTCATAGAAAATGATATTGATTGATGGAATAAGAGATGTGTATAAAGTAGTCAAACTTAGAGGTCAATAAAAGTATCAATATTAATTAACACTTAGGGATTGCATTGCTTGTTAGAAGTAAATAAAAATAAATGAATATGATTATGCTTCCTTTGCATAGACTATTTGCAGCACTTCTATTCCTTTTAGGGGAGGCTACAAAGAAATAGAATGGAAGGATTTTCTACAAATTTAAAAAAATGATAATGTAGTACTTTTAGATGTCAGACCAAGTTAGTAGTATAACATAATTAAATTGGATGGATTCAAAAATCTTCCATATTAATAGATTGATTAATTTTAGGTGGAGGAGAACAAGGATAAGGAGGTTTACATTATGTGCAGAAGAGGCAACAATTCTCGGTTGGCATGTGAATTTTTAAAGGATAAAATACCCAATGTTTATAACATTGTAGGTGGAATAGATTTGTACGCAAAGGGATTTGATCCTAAAATGCCATTGTTATGATTTAAATTAAAGTTTATACATTTTATCTGATGGATTTAACTAATGTATATTCAATAAGGAGCGCTAAATCCTGGAGGGAGGCAATCCAGTATTGGGATCTGTGTTTTTTGCTCTTCTGAAGAGAAGAATGTGAGGTTCTGGTCTATGAGTTTCATAGTGAGACCATCCTCTGGATTGCTATACTCCCAAGGCTCTCCATTCCATTTCGTTTAATAATTTACCTAACATTTTCAAATTCAAAAAGTACCTTTTGTGATTTTTTTGAAAATATGTTTAGGTAGAATGACATGTCTGTATTCATAGTAGTCATCGAAGTACTTATCTGAATATTCAATTTCTTCGGGATAATGAGGCATTGATAATATTTAAAATTTAAAATTAAAATAGTTAACTCATCAATTTTATATTATCCCTTTAGGTCTAGATTTTGAAGTTAAAATTTATGTAATTATACTTTATTGTATTATGATATTTGAATATTATCTATTCAAATTGCTGGTCTTTCTCACAATCATACACTTTTATATAATATTTATGCTGAACTATATAGTGTTATGAGTTTATGACTGGATCGAAACATCAAAAAAATTAATTAACAATTACATGATAAATTTAGATTTAAATAATAACTTAATATCATACTGTTTCTGATAATAGAAATTATTCAATTTTTATCTACTAATAAACTTAAATTAGGTTGCTTTCTTTAATAATCTTTTGTAATAGGATTTTATACTTTTAAGAACTGTATTAAGGATAATAAATTTTCATATAATTTTTATTTTTGGTTCTTTCAATTAAACTAAAGAATAAGAACTAATTTATTTGAAGACGAAATAAATTTGGTAAAACATTTCTTTATGGATTACACAATTTAGCTGATAATAAATAAATTAAATGTTGATTTCAAAATATTAGTATGACTTATTATTAGAATTAAAAGAAAGATTCAATTTAAATAAATGAGTTGCAAGAATTGAATTTTTACATAAATTTTAGTGGGATTGCCAAAATTATAAACATACATCTGATTATACTAGATTTTGATGAATACACAAAAGCCCTTTCTTTAATGTTTGTTTGTAATTCAATATTGAAAATAAAATGAAGGTTTGAGGGTCTTTGATTAAAAGCTTTTGAAATATTTATTTATAATAAAGTTCTAAATATTAATAATTTAACGATATTGTTTATGTTGCAAAAGAAAAACTCAGATAAAGAGAATACTTGTTAAAATAATAAAGATATATCAAAGCAACGGATCATAGGAGATTATTAATTAGGTTTGGAGTTATTTGTATTTGAGTTAAAACTCTTGGGGTTGGCACATTTGGTCTCGTTAAATTGGGTTTGCATCAAATCACTGGAGAGAAGGTAGCAATAAAGATTCTGGAAAAGGAGCGAATAATAGAGGTGGCAGATGTAGAGAGAGTTTCAAGGGAAATACATATTTTAAAATTGATTCGACATAGACATGTGATTTAATTATATGAGGTAATACTAATATTAAAAGTAGATTATAGAAACAAAGAAGCACATCTTTTTAGTTATGGAATTTTGTGATAATGGTGAACTCTTTGATTATATTGTAAAGAACGAGAAGTAAATAGTCAAAGATAATTCTTAGATTAGATGAAATAGAGGCTTGCCGCATATTCTAAGAGCTGATCTCAGGCATAGAATATATTCACAAACTTAATATAGTTCATAGAGATTTGAAACCAGAAAATTTACTATTAGATCATTAGAACCAAATTAAGATAGTAGATTTTGGACTATCAAACACTTACAAATAAGGCGAATTGCTAAAAACTGCTTGTGGAAGTCCTTGTTATGCTGCTCCAGAGATGATAGCTGGTCATAGATATCAAAGCATCTTAGTTGACATTTGGTCATGTGGTGTCATCTTATTTGCTACTATTTGTGGTCAATTACCCTTTGAAGATAAGCACACCAGCGATTTATATAAGAAAATACTGGGTGGTTAATATACAATACCTCCTCATGTTTCACAAGATGGCTAATAATTCCTAAAAGGACTACTAAACACAGATCCTGCCAAACGTTTTAATCTGGAATAAATTAAATAACACCCCTGGTTTAGGCTGTATAAGAGAGTTCAGTCTATTCCCTAAGGAATTATTATTGGTTATAGCAGAATCCCTATAGATGATGTGATCGTTGATTAATTAGCAACCAAAGGATTTAGTTCGGATTATATAAAGAAATGTCTTGATGCTAACAAGCACAACAATCTAACTACAGCTTATTTTCTAAATTTAAAGAAGCATCTCATGAATGGCGGATAATCAGTTGCAGATATTAACTCAAGCAATTTTAATGAAAAATTATTGGAACCTGCAATTCGTCCTTAGAAACGTAGACTTTACTTTTATTTTTAGCACCTATCAGCACTCTTTTAGATGGTTCAATCATGAAAACTCTTACACACAATAGATCTGGCTCATGTCAGACAAATAAAAAGTCCCACACTCAAACCAGAGGACTTTCTATTCCTACTACTACTGAAGATACAAGATCCATCTATAATGGATCCAAAAACTACTAAACTTCATCATTATCCATAGATGTACAATCATTAAATGATTCAATTAGGATTAATCATTCCACATAGAAAGAAATAAATCCTAATCGTTTTAACAGACTAATAACAAGAAGATGACAACTGATATATAAATTAATGACACTCTAAATAAAACCACATATTTGGCCACTTGCAAAAGATCATCGAATACATCCACTGTATCTCCAGCACATTAGAATATACTACTTTAATATTTAAGTATCTTATCATGTCATTCTAGAATCATCTACTAAGAATGGGACTCCAACTGCTCATAGGGGTAGTTCATAACCTAAAATACCATATAATAGTAAGACAACTAAAAATCAAAAGAATTCTTATTAAAATTTTGATACTTGTTCTGGTTAAGATAAAAAAAAAGAAAATAAACCAATTAATTTAATGGATACCACCAATATTGAATGTAAAAAAAGATCACTACATATAGAGGGGGTAAAATAATTGAATTTAACCTTTAGGATCTTTCTATGCCAGCAAGCACAAAGCCTCAATCAATGCCATATTAACTTTGGTTGAAAATAAATAGTAGAAAAGGATCAAGAGATCATAGTGGAGGAGGCTAAAAGACTAAAAAAGCAAATAGTAACACTACAAAGGCTAACATTAATTAAAGCTTCAATTTTGACAAAAGAGTTTGATTTTACTATGAATAATTAATTCTATTTAAAACAATTATTTTATCAATTGAATTATCAATTTCTTTGTCACTTAAGGATAGTTACTTAATTTGTTTTTTAAGTATTTAATATTTTAAAAAGAACTCTACCATATTTTTGATCAGGAATTTATAGCATTCCAAGCTACACCTTTTTAAATAATTTACTTTATACTTTATTTATGTTAGATTTTTCGAGGTGATTAATTGTTTCATTTAGTTTTTACACTTTCTCATATGTTGGCTATTGCTTATTAATAAATTAAAAACCTCCATTGTATAAATTATTCTATTTTGCTTTTCTTATTGAAAATCAAATTAACAATCTTCAAAACAATATAATCTCTAAGACTACCTTCATAGAAGAATTTATAAGAGAATTGACATTTTTCTCATCTAAGTTATCTTTTGATTATAGAAGTACTCACTTTAAGATGAAAGGAATGACTATTGAATGTAATAATATTTTGTAATTAAATTTCACTATTAATTACTTCATTATATAATAATATAAAAATATTTGTTAGTAGTAAAGAGCTGCAAAAGGAAGATTGAATTTGTTTATGCTTATAGAAAATATTTTGTAACTATAAGAGAAGGACATAAAGTAAATAGAGAGAGGAACAGCTGAAGAGATGAAGTTTTACTGATTATAAACCAATATAATAAAATTTAATAAATATTCTTAATATACTGACAAAAAGGAATATAAGTTGTTCATTTTTCAACCTTTCCAAGCCATAAAGCCAAAAAGTGACTTTCCTTTAACTGCAATAATCTTAAATCTGACCCCTGGAATATCACCGACTGCATGTCCCTTTCTTCCGAATCCAGCTACAGTGACTTCATCGTTTTCATTTAAAAAGTTTAAGCAACCATCCTTGGGAACGAAGGCTGATATTTTTTTACCATTCTTTTTCAATAGGACTCTAACACACTTTCTGACGGCAGAGTTTGGTTATTTGGATTCACTAGATACACATTAAAAAAGTATATTTACACTCCGATCTTTTCGACAACCAAACCTTTAGCATGTGATGCACCCATGAATGGATTCTTATATCTTGATCCAATCATGGCTTTATTATATTCCTTATCAGCCCATCTGTTAACTCTTCTGTGATCTTTGAGCTTTCTTCCGGCTCTCATACCTCTGGGTTTACCAACTCCCATGAATAAAAGATTTTAATTAAATTTTTTAAATTAATTACAATCTTCATTCGATTTAATAATAATAAATATAATATGTAAAACTCAACAATCATAGATGTCATCCTTCTTCTTTTGGACTCTAGGTTATTATTGATATTGCTATTGTTATTGTTATGGTTTTTGCTAATTAGTATAGTTGTTATTTGCTCTTGTTTCGTAATTGGGATTTTAAAAATCTACTCTCATGGGTCCAAATACAACAGTTGGTAGATTTTTAAAGAAGTTATTAGTGAAATTCTCAAACATTTATCCAATTTCTTCATCCATTTAATTAAAATCAAATTCTGGATTATTCTAATTGTAGTTTTGGTTCCTTCTTACATAATTTTGAGATATGGGGAGTCTTTCTTCATATTCTTTTGTTTCATCATTCCTCTAACCATTAATAGTTGAACTTTCCTTTACGATATTTTTGCAGATCATAAAATTTTAATCTTAAGGATCAGGTCTGCATTACCTTGTAGTAGTCGAAGATTTAAAAGTTGAATTGACATTTTAGCTATAATTTTTATTTGCATCGTCATCATTGTTGTTTCCATTCCACCAACCCATTTTAAATATTTAATTCGCTGTTTAATAATTTATTTATGAACATAATAGTATATTATTTATCTATAAATAGTTTAAACCTTAAAATTTCTGATACTCTATTTCTAGAAATTTAAATATATATATATAATATAATCAATCTCTTTAAGTCACAATTGAATAAGAAGGGTACAATCTACTTTTTCTTTTTGTTTTGGGATTTATAGAGTGCGATCTCAATTTAGGTAATCTGAGTAAGTCTTGCTTAATACTCTCTTAATCGATGAAGCTTTGATTTGTAGGTGTAATTTGTTAAGTTTAATTTGTAGCCATCGACCCCATTTTAATGTAACTATCACCATCCTACTATTACAAGTAACTAACCAAACTGATATTATTAAGCTTAACCACATTTTTGTACTTTTTGGGTATTTTTTAAGAGATTGAACTTGCATCTTGCTGTTTGGACTTTTAAGTTTACAATCTGAAAGATTATTCCTAGAGTTGGATGGGTTTTAGACTGAGTCTGACTCCAGGTTGTAATTTAATCTCTTGTACTTGTTCTTCTTCGAATTCCATTATGGTTTCGATATTTTCAACCTGTCTCCTTTTTTATTTAACCTATTCTATTAACTTGGGTTAAGAAATTATAGAATTGTTATCAGTTAATGGAATTTCATATGGTAATGTTGTTATAACATCCTTCTTGACTTAATTATTGGATCGAGCAAGTGGATTGCAATTGTAATCGTAAGTGTATTCTTTAGAACCAATCTTCATTATCAGTTGAGAATGCAACTCCTTCACTTATCTCTTTTCTCTTGATTGTTGTCTCAGTTTTTATTCTTTGTACTGTTTTTCTAGGCATTTTTATTCCATGATCCTCCTTTCATCAGGATACTCCTCAATGTACTCTTTGGTCTTTTGTCTTATCAATTAGGGTTCGTAATCTTCCCACAATTGTGTGGGCATCATAAATATGTGTTTTGGAGGTTCTGCTACTCTGGGAGTCACTTAACCCTTAGGAGGTTATATATATTTGAGGTTGTAAGCTCTATGTCTTTCTTTTGACACATTTTTTGGTTCCCCTTCTTCCTATTCACAATAGTTTTAGGAAGTTGGATCAAAGGCAACCTGCTTTAATACTGTAAAAGCCAAGTCTAATGAAAAAGCGGCACTTGAGTCGACCTCTAACTTCTACACAATCTTATCCTCAACTCCCATCAAAATTTGGTTTATAACATAAGGAATTATTGTTTCAATAATTTCTAAATATTCCATTTTAATTATGTTTGTAAGAGCACCTGCTAAGATCATCATTTCAGGTGAGCATTCTGTTGTGTATGGTCATAAAGCATTATGTGCAGCCATTAACAAATACACTACAATTAAAATACACCCAAACCAAACCAATTCAATAGAGATTAGATGGGGAAACGATTGGCATGAAGTCTTGGATCTAAATTAAAATAATACCAATTCTTAGTTAGCTCAAGTCGCACGCATCTTAAATATGAGACCATCAATCATAGAAGTACAATCTGAAGTACCCATCAGTTCTGGTCTAGGATCATCAGCATCATATGCTGTTGCATTAACCAAAGCCATGAATGGATCTATTGATTAAGCCATTTAGATTGAGAATATATTTCATGGTAAGAGGGGAAGCGGATTAGATGTTTAAGTGACCAATCATGGAGGCCTATGTGTATTTCAGATTGGAAAACCTGTTTAGAAAGTTAATCTTCCTATTCAAAACATATTATTAATTGATTCTGGAGAGAGAAAATAAAAAGGAACTGAGGGATCAATAGCCAAAGTTAGAAATTGTGTTGAGAACAAAGATGGGAGATAGATTTTGAATAGAATTTCAGAAGTAACTGAGTAAATAATTAAAGAAGGACTTGTGAAAGAGTTGATTTATGAAAATCATGATCTTTTGAATAGATTAGGCATTTGCACTAATAGAATAAATGATATCATAGTATACATTAAAATTAAGTGTAGAGAATTTGTAAAAGTGAAAACATTCCAGCAAAAATGACAGGCGCTGGAGATGGTGGATTTTGTATTGCATTCCCTAAGGATGATTAGGAATCTGAATATTTGAAGTTAAAATTGTAGGATTACAACACTTTCAAAGCGACCATTGATTTGGAAGGGTGTAAAATAATTTGAGCAATTAATTCATTTGTTATTAATATTGACTTACTTATTTCAGTCGAATAATTTTATCCTCTAAAATAATTCTAAGAACTTTAATTTTCTTCATTAATTATCTAAGGAAATGGATTTGATAGAGATTGAGAAGCGGATTTAGTAATTTAGATGAATAGCTTTGTATTTTAGTTATACAAAATATTTAAAATTTCATGTTTTTAACTACATGCCTTCATTTATTAATTATATTAATAAAATTAAAATGCAGATTAATATTAAAAGTGATGTTCTGCAGCCTTTACCTATAAAGAGAAAGATAATAGGGTTGCCACAAAAAAATATGGAATTCAATGATCCTTTAAATTTAATATGGAAAGCTGCCTCTGCTCCAGCTACTCTAGAGCAAATTGAAACAATTAAAAAAGTTAGTAAGGGGCGGTAGTAGTTTTGCAAAAACCCTTTCGTGTTAATTGACTAGGCAATTTCTGAAAATTCTAAATCTATTCAGGAATTACTAGATGAAATTGAATGACACCCATTTATATATATATATATATATTGTCACACAATAATTTGTAGTTTATCTATTTATCATTGATATTAGAGGTCCTACTTAAGAATGTCATTAATATTAAATTAAAAGTCTCTTAAAAACGGATGTTGCAAACATTGGCTAGCTGTAATTCGTAAAGCGGGATCAAATTCTAGTAACTTCTTTAGTAAATCTAAGAAGTCTTCCATAGTGGCCATCTCTAATTATAAGTTTCTTACCAATTTGAACCTTGGATTGTTCTTAAACTTGATTTATTGAATTCCAAATACAACTCCTAAATATTAGTTATATTTTATATTCCAGGATCATGTAGATTTAGATTATATTCATTCTGATACTTCTTCAAATTTTTAAGAACATAGTTTTGGTTTTCCTTAATAAAATAATCTTGGCATTTTGGACTGTTTTGTATCAATTCTTAGTTGGTACTAATTTTAGTGATTCATTATAAAATACATAGAAATTAGGCCAAGAATCTTTGATAGTTGATCAAAGGATGACGTCCCTTGGAATAACGGGTATCCTAGGTACAACTAGGCTGCCACACACCCTACTGACCACATATCAATGGCGCAAGTCTTTTTGTAGCCGAGAATAATCTAAATACATAAATGTAATTGCACATACCTCAGGTGCTCTATAATACAAGCTCTATATGTAATAATACAAATTGATATTTAATTCAGTTGCAGATCCGAAATCAATTATCTAAATTTATTTGGCTGTATTACTATGATAAATATATTAATTTACTCTGTGAATAAAATATTTTCAGGTTTGATATCGCAATGCACCCAATGTAAAGAGTGCAGGAATTCCAATCCTGCTATTAATTATTTCAAAATATTCTTGATCATGTGCAATGAAAGGCCCTGATATTTAGTTTCCTGTAGCAATTCTTCCAAATTGAATCCTAATAATGGAAAAACTATGCAAACGTGATTTTTAAAAAGAAAATAATCAATCAATTTAATTATGCTTTCATGCTCTTATTTTTTATTAAGGAACCTAATCAATTTAATTTCTTTCATGGATTGTATATTGTATGCATTAATATTTTTTATTATTTTGATAGCAAAATTTGTATTATTCTTCACACATCTATAAACACTTCCAAAAGTACCGACACCTAACAATTCTTTAGCAATATATTAATTGCCTGTCTTTTCATTTATTATTACATCATCCAATCTCACTATTAAATCATAATTTTCATTATCTAATCCATCATTGTATACAGCTACGTATATCTCATTTAATACCTGCAGTTGGCTGAGTAAGAATTCTCGGAATCACAGAAATTGTTTAATTGAACTATAACAACTATCTAATTTTTATTGTGACAAGATGAATTGGTTATTTATCTCTTTACAATTGTTTTGTTTTTAGACACTCATTTTAACAATCATATAATTAAAAGTGAGTCTTTTAAATACCAAATTAAGAAAAGCTGAGGGTAAGGTTAAACATAAAAATCTTTATAATTTTATTAATTCAGAAAGATGTTGGGGTATATAAATGATTGATTTTATCTCCTTAATCTCATCCTAAGTTATTAAGTTCTCCTTCAGAAAGACAATTAAATTATCCATTCATTTTATAAAGATATGCAACCCCTTACATTAATTTCCGTATTTTCATCATTAAATTGTTTAAAACTATATACTCATTTTTAATAAAATGGAACAATCCATAGATTTACTTAGTTTATACTATTCTTAAATTTACTAAAGTATAACAATATTATGCATATAAATTAATTAATTTTAATACTTTTCTTAATTTATATTATAGCAGAATTTGCATCGAAATTGCATTCAAATTATCATAATAGTAATAAAACCCATAGAAGAACTCACAAAGATTGAAATAGATTTCTTTAATTACTTCATCTTTTTCCGGATTTTATTTAGTAAATCTGCATTTTGATGGTAAAGTTGAAGAGTTTTGTTCTCAACTCAATCCAAGGTATGACAAATGAATTAAATACCTCCAAACATGGTTTTTTTATAAATGCAAGTAAAAGTCTGATTAAAATTTGCTAAAAATAAGACTCAGAACTTTTAGAACTACAAAATAAAATATGATCAGGAATGCTATTTATTAATTAATCAAAACTATCATACCTTAGTTTATGGGATTCAATTATATATTATAAGTAAATAAAGTACATTTGCATAAAGAAGCTACTGAAACACTACAACCATATCCGTGCTTCTTTGTGTCTTTCAACAATCTATCTGTTTTATCACTAACTACTAGTTCCTTATTCTTTCAGAATTTTTATGTAACAGTTGATGAATTAAGCTTAAATAAATTAGAAAAGAGATCTAAGAATTATAGGTTATTACAATTAGTATTGAATTTATATCAATTCTAATGTTAGTATATGATGAGATAAAATAAATATTTTTGTATTTTATGGATATAATTGAGATAGATTCGTAAAGTAAACTAATGATATATATATAAATGTTAAAAAATTAAAAATACTAAAAAGTGATATGACTTTATTAACAATGAAAATAGAATGGTTAGAAGATTGCATAAACTAAATACTGTTTAAAAAATCATAAATCGTCATGATACATAGAACTTATGGATTGCTATTATTATTCTAATTCTAATTTTTATTATTCTCTTTTGGTTGAATATTCTTTGAATTCAATGATTTTATCTAAATAACATATGATTATTGTAATATACCTCCATTGGAATCATAATCTAGAAAGAATTAAGCAACAAAATCAGCTGTGTTATATGGGTTCTAAGTTGGAAATTGAGCTCTTAATTCATCATATTTAAGCACTTTATCCCCATCCTAATCAAACATCAAGAAATCAGCTTCATATGGTTGTAATCCAAGCACTATTCCTAATAGTAATAACACAATCACACGTCTTACCATTTAATTTAATTATTAATCATATTCGTTATTCCAAGAATTTAGTTTCTTTTCAAACGAATTTTCAAAAATATGAATAAATGAAAATAATCAATACAATATCACTTCATTTTTTTAAGATATAAATAATAACTCAATAAATAACTGTGCTAGGATCCCAACATGTGTGATAATTTTGATTAAGATTATCAATAGCATTCATGTCATCTTAAGAAATTTAAAAATCAAAAATCTCAATATTTTCTTTGATGTATTTTGGAGTCTTTGATTTTGGTAATATAATAAACCCCTTTTGTACAGCCCATCTTAGACTTACTTAAGCAACAGTTTTATTGTATTTCTTTGAAAGCTCAATCATTTTTTGATTCTAGATCAATTTGGGATCATTTCTAGCAATAGGAGAGTAAGCTTCAATCAAGATGCCTAATTATTTATTACTAATTATTACCTTATTGTTAACAAAATTGGACAGTAGCTTAATCCCAACATAAGGGATGTACTTCTATTTAGTTGATAACAGGTTTGATTTTACAATGTTACAGAAGATGTTCAAGATGGTGTTTTAGAAAATTGCTGACTCCAATATTTTTAATTTTCCCTTCTTAAAATAATTGCTCTAAAGCTTTATAAGTCTAAAGTCTCACAGTGGCATTTTCAGGACTATTAGGTTTATTACCTGCAGAACCTGGCCAATGAATTAGTAATAAATCAAGGTATGTAGTATCCAAATCTTATAGGATTTTTTTGCAAGCATTAATGGTATTCTCATATCCTTGTTCTTGAGGGGCGATCTTAGAAGTGATGAAAATATCTTCCCTCTTAGGAACTCTAATATCCTTGCCATTTCTATAACAGGAGGCAGAATCTATGTGAGTGTACCCGCTAGGAGTAGTAATTATAAATATTAATACGCTTATAAGGCATATTTGATTCCATCAACTAATTCATTACCCTTGGATTGGTAAGTACCATAACCTACTTATGGAATTTTGTTGCCATTATTCAAAGTTAAAATAGGAACAATAATTTTTTACATTTATTTAAATTAATTCATATTCGATAGCCATCAAAAAAAGAATGTGCCATAGCCTCTTCTGCAGTGAGTCTTAATTTATGATCATAGACCAACAATTTGCTTATCAGATCCAAACCTTCCTTTGTAACTAAGTGAGCATTCTCAGGATCTATATAAATAGTGAAAGGCTTTTAGGAATGACTAATAAATGTGTATATCTATACATGGGTGGATCAGGGTAGATGAGATCATACTTAGCTAAGTATTTAAGGAGATCTTCAGTTCCCAAAACAGCAACAATCTTATCTAATTAATCATAGACATCTTTGCCTTTGAATAAAGGTTACTTTTGAAATATCATGCTTGCTAATGTACAACCAAAGGCCCACATATCAATACTGTAATCGTATTGTTTATTATTGACCAACAATTCTGGAGCTTTGTAATAGCGAGTTCCCACTCTGGTGTTATATCTCTTTTTTGGGTGGTAGAACTCTCCCAAACCCCAATCAATTAGGTAGAGTGTGTCATCTTCTTTAATGATGATATTCGCCATCTTTACATCTCGATGCATGACTCCTTTACTATGCACTTAATTTAAAGCCTTTTAAGTATTGTAAATACTTTTAGCAATTAGTACATGTATAATTTTATCTTTGGTAATTCCAGTTTTCCAAATAAATGCAGTAAATTCACACTGCTCAAATATTAATAAATAAAAGTAGCATTTTGTTTCTTATTTTGATTTCTAATAGCATCAATCAACTATAAGGTATTCGTTGTCCCCTTGATAGCTTTCAACACTTGAATTTCTCTGTTGATTGCCTGCCATTTCATAGGTTTTAGTTCCTTCATTACCACTATCTCGCCGTCATCTCGAAGTCCGAGGAAAACTTGAGAGAAGGCTCCTTGTCCTATTTTATCATATTTCGTGTATCTTTTGATGTCTCCATCCTTGTAATACAGATATCTGGGGTCAACGTCTTTTAAACGCTTATTGAAATTGGCATTCCAATACACTTTGGATACATGCAGATGATTCTAAGCTTTTATTGTGGTTTACTTTGTAATATTCGTCATCGTAATAGAATATATTCTCGAAATGATTCTGATGAGGCTTAGTGCTCAGTTTGCACTACCCCAGAATTGTTAAGATCATCAATATTAAATGCATAATAAAACGATAATTTATATTATAATATAAATGTCATATTAATTTGGGGGTAGCCAATTGCAACAATAAAATGTGCCTAATGCCAAATACAAAACCATGCTTTGTCGTCATTACTAAGGTAATACCTACAATCAATTCAAGCAACTAAATAATGTGCCATTGGAAACAAATGTCAATTTGCTCATGGAACTCAAGAATAAAGATAAATCAATGGTATTCACTAATATCTTATCTTTTTCAGATCCTCTGCCTGCCTCTGCTCTATCAGCCATGGCCACAGTTATTGAATAACCCCTGAATAAACCTCAACCTCCCATATTTTAAAGTATAGCTTAAATTATTATTATTTTTGTTCCCTGCAAATACCATGCTCAAAACTATTGTAAAAATGGCTAAAATTGTCAATACATCCATGGTATTTCCCTATTCTATTTTAGACTCCGAGGCAAATCAACAATAGTCCATCCCATTCCAGCCATAGCCCCAGATGCCCTAGATGCCCTCACCTCCCCCTCAGGTGAAGCAAGAAGATCCCATGCAATTAGTCTTTTAGCACATTTCATTTGAGATGCAATACATATTTCCACAAGATGTGAGATATACAAATAAAATATATAGGATATTATATAAAAATTAAAGATAGCCTAGGAATAGGCAAGAGTTGGTAATCTTATCGCTGTTGCGGAGTGTATTAAAAGTATTATTCATGCTCCAGAGCGTACTCAAGAAGAAATACTTAAATATACAAATCTCTATAACTAGGCAGTCACATATTTTAATCAGATCTCATAAGCGAATTGAATTGAATATTAACATCATTATTATCATCAATAGCCAATTATTTCCACAATTTCTTAATTAATATCTAATATAGAACTTTAGTGCTTTTAAATGAGAATGCAAATGCTTTTAAATTTATATATATAACTTAACTTAGTAGAATATATTTTTAAATTTAATAATAGAGACCTAAGTTAAATTGTAAATTATTACAGATAATTATGATAAACATATTTAATCTTTTTATTAAGATTATTTCTATTTATTAATCATAAATTGTTGAAAAGTCTATTTTATTTAAGGAAATGACTTATAAAAGATGTAATTTATTATTAAATGCTTGAATAATTCTGTATTTCTACTGCTAAGACAGATGAAATTGAGTAGAAGTTGTACTTATCTAATGTGACTAACAAATGATAGGGATGACTTGGTGTGTAGATTCAAAGAGGTAATGGGTTGAAGTGATTTGTTAACAAGAAAATTGAATTTTGAATTTAATATTAAAAATGTCAATTTTGAGTGAACATACGATTTCAATAAAAAATGAAACCATTACTATGATGTCTGTCTCACACAGTGCTATAAGTCCATCCATAGCGATCTGTACGATATCTAGAGTGATGCTGTATAATGATTAAGGGGAGAAATTCGATTATGAATTAGCTCGTAATTAGAAACCTACTGCAATTGCATGGCATCCTATTCAGCCACAATTAGCAATAGGATGGCAGAATGGTAGATTCTACTATATAACATCTAGGTACAATAACAATATGGTAAGAGGATACACGTACTGCAAAGGAGGAATCAGCTGTGCATAAAGAAGAAATTAATTTAATACAATATAACACCAATGGATCTAGGATGGTGAGTGCAGATATATCGGGTCTAGTAGTCGTATGGAGAGGAATAACTCCAATGAGTACATACCAAAAGGAAGGTATAATGACAATTTGCATATTCGCCGATTTAAATAATATTATCAAGGCCCAAAATTTATTCTTCTTTGGTGGAAAATCAGGATTGGTATGTTTGGCTGATGATAGTAAACACTGTTCAGAAGTCTGTAAAGTAGTGGGTAGTATTAAATGCTTGATGATATACGAGAAATATAATTCAGTTATCATTATTACAAGTGGTTTGCTTTTGGTTTAATTTAAAATCAGCACAAGTGAAAAGACATAGCCAGACAAAAAGGTTAAATTATCAATAGCAGGAGAGCCAGAATCATTGCAATCAGTTTGGATAGGTTAATGTTTAATAGCAATTTCATCGAATGAAAATATGATAAGAATGTTTTAGTTGGAAGCTGATGAAAATTATGTTATCACTCTGCATGAATTTTAAGAGTTATATCCTAAGGAGAAGATATTGAATGACAAGATTACATGTGTTCAATACAGCAAGAAATCAAAGAATTTGGTAGCAGGAACTAAAGATGGTAGATTGGTATTTTGGAAAAACTACGCATTGACAGATGAATCTCCCGTTGAAAGTGAGTAGTGGAAGGCATTACAAATAATTGCTCTTAATAAAACAGTCAATGAAATTGCTATTGGTAAAAATAGTGGAGTTATTGCTGCAAGATCAGCAGATTCTGTTAAAATAGTTCAAGAAACTTTGGTTCATGGCAAAATATATGAGAATGTTAGAGTTTTGTAAATAGAACATAATAAAGTATTGATCTATTTTAAAAATGACTCCTAAAATCAAGACAAAGAAAAAGGACCTTGGTCAATGTTTTAATGGGATAGCAAATTTCCCATTAAGTCAATTGATTGTACTCAGTAACATCTTTTAGTTCAAAGTGCAAACAGGATTGAGATCAGCGAATTTACAAGTAAATAATATAATAAATCTATTTAGATAATTCTTAAATTCTAGCTAAATCGTCATTTGAAAAGAAGTGTGTGAAGGCTGCTCTCTTTTAAGAAGATCTTATCTTGTTTTATGAATACAAATTTGAAGTAACTAACTTTAAAGGAGTTTAAAAATACTTTGTTGACTTCTCAGAGAGTGATGGAATCATAGCTAATTATGAATTCAACAATAAAACAATGGTCATTTGGACACACAACAATTATTTTAGATTATATGATTTTAGTAGAAGAGAGGCTCAACTCTCAGGATTTAATTGCAAGTTTGAAAATGATAAGGGTCCTTTAGGTACAATTAAATAATGTGCGGTCAATTGTGATGGTTCCAATGTGGCTATTATTGCAGATAATCATGGAAATCAAAATGACTTATTTTTTGTTTATAATCCAGAGAACAACAACTTTTAATCATTTGAATTGCCATAATACAGAAAAGCTACTTAGATAATGTGGGACTATTCAGATCCAAGATTCTTTGGAGTTACTACTATCTGCACTAAAATTAAAACAAATAGTGAAAATGATGTTGAAGAGGAATAAGCTGATTTCAGAGCTAAAAAGTTTTTCACTTTCTTCTTCAATCCTCATACAGGAATCAAAGAATAAGATTGTTATGTACTTGATGAAAAATACGAAGGCGTATTGTCTATTCGTATTCCACATATTAATGTTATTCAGAAGAAAGAACAAACATATAGAATTTAAGAGATCCTAATGAATGATTTCACTGGCTTAGAAAGAGCAGATGAACCAACCAAAAGAGCTGTTATTAATTTCTCTTATCATTTATCTTGTGGTAATTTGGATGAAGCCTATAAATCTGTAAAGGCTATTCAAAATCCAACAGTCTGGGAAAAAATGGCTTAGATGAGTGTCAAAACCAGAAGATTGGATGTTGCTGAAATTTGTATAGGAAACATGAGATTCGCCAGAGGTGCTAAGGCAATTAGAGAAACAAAGAAGGAACCTGAATTTGAAGCTTAATTAGCTATGGTTGCTATTCAATTAAATATGATCTCTGAAGCTGAAAAACTATATTATTAATGCAAGAGATATGATTTACTCAATAAATTGTATTAGGCATAAGGATAATGGGAAAAGGCATTGGAAATTGCAGAGAAACATGACAGAATCAATCTCTTATCAACGTATTACAAATTGGCTAAACAATATGAAATTTCTAAGGAATGGGATAAAGCAATCTAATATTATGAAAAGTCAGGTAATGCACAAAAAGAAATACCTAGAATGTTTTATGAGGCTGATGAATTATAATATTTGGAAGGCTACGTCCTATAAAAGAAAGACCCAATTCTTTATAAATGGTGGGGCAATCATCTAGAGTCATAGGAACAATACGAAGAAGCAATGAAGTTCTACAGAGATTCAAATGATGCCTTGGGAATTGTCAGAGTGTTATTACACTAAGATAATGTGAGACATGCCAAAGAGACTTGTAATGATAAGAATGATCCTGCTGCTCATTACTTCTTAGCCAAATATCTAGAGGCCAAGAACATCATCCCTGAAGCCATTTAATATTATGCAAAAGCCTAATACTATAGTGAAGCAATAAGATTGGCTAAGGAGGCTAATTTGATTTCTGATGTGACTGCAATATCATTGTAAGCTCCTAAATTGATTATGATTTAATCAGCCATCTACTTTGAATAAAAGAAAATTATTGATAAAGCAGTTTTACTCTACATGAGAGGAGGATAATTGCAAAAAGCCTTGTATTTAGCTTAAAAGGAGAAATTGACAGATTATGTGAAAAAGATCAATTAAGAAATTGCACTTCAAAAATAGGAGACTGTTGATTTGGCCTTTACTAATACAGGTTCTTTGAAGGAAGCTCCATCATAATAGAAAATAGTTAATCAATAATAGCAGTAATAGCAATCCACTCAATCAAAGGATAGAGCACCACCTCCAGGATCAATATAAGACTTAATAAATAAGAAATAGTTTGAAAAAGTATTAGAGATGTGTGAAAATTAAGGTATTTAAATTAGTGACGATATGGTTAAACAAATGTTGGATGGTCTTGATGACAAACGAAAAAAAGAAGTGTAATTGTTAATTGCTGAGAAATCAAAAAAGATGGGCAATTTCGAATAGGCTTCTAAAATGTATATTTAGATGGGAGAAAGAGTGAAAGCCATGAAAGCCCTTTGTAAATTGGGTGATGTTGAAAAGATAATTGCATTTGCAAATAATGCTAGAATGGCTGAAATCTATATACTGGCTGGTAATTACCTGTAGACTGGTGATTGGCATAAAACACCGGATCTTATGAAGCACATTATACAATTCTATAATAAAGCCAAGGCATTTGATCACTTGGCCAATTTCTTTGAAGCATGTTCTTCAGTTGAAATCGATGAATATAGGGATTATGAAAAGGCATGTGCTGCATTGAAAGAGGCAATTAAATATTCAGAGAAAACAACTAGCCAATAGAAAACACAACAATTATAATAAAAATTAAAATTGATCTTAGATTTTGTTCAAGCTAAATAGAAGTCTCCTCAAGAGATGTTATAAATCTACTATAAGTTATTAAATGATGTATTTAGTTATAGTATATATTTAGAGTAATATTGAGTATGCAGTTAGACAGGGAGATATATTTGCAGAGTTGATTGAATACTATTATGCTCAAGGTCAATATGAGAAGGCTTATGAAGAGATGTAAAAGATGTAGAAGAAATCTATTGTACTCAATCCGTATTTGGATCAAGAATTAGTAACATTTCTATTCTATTTTAGATTTAAAAAGTTATGAATTACATGAAATAAAAAGTAGGTAGTCAATAATAACAATAACAATAATAAAATAAGAAACAACCATATGGGAGGTAATAAGAGTAAAATGATGATGATTTCTAAGAAGAGGATGTTATTGATGATGGAATATGAATCATATCAATAAATTAATTATTAGTTATTCAAAACTTATTATTTTTAGTTGATTATTATCTCATATAATTTTAATCTAGAGTAGGAAAATGCTTGGTTCAACCTCACTATCATATGGATAAAGAATAAATAATTAAGATATATTTGAATTAATAATATGTTCTACAAATGTTAGATCATTATTAATTTTTACAAGTCAGAAACATTTAATATGTGCAATTGAAGGTCCAAATTCTTCATATTCATGCTTTGTGATCCAAAACGGTTTAAAATTCGTTAATGTAGATAAAATAGATCCTCCAATCCAAGTTGAATTTAATCTATTTGGGGGTACAATAATCCTAGTTCGAGAAGGTTACTTAACTAGATTTTCAATTTCCTTAAGCAGTCTTTCTTAAAGGCCAGGGAATAAAGTTGTTCCTCCAGTAATCACAATATTATTATAAAGTTATTACTATAAATCTCTATCAGATTTAAAAATTGAAGAATAAGTTATTTAATGAATTCCTGGTAATTCATATCCAGCAATATTCGGATTGAATAAAATTTCTGGACATTGATATTTCTGTTCTTTTATGGTTAGTTTACTTCCATCAGGTAAAATGTATGAGCTCGATTACGATGTATTTCCTTGATATTTATTCTCTTCTAAAATCGGATCCAATGCTACATAGCATAATGATTCTTTTATAGCCTTTGCAATCCGATTCCTTTCTACTGGGGTATACATTCTCAGAAATTAATCTTTCAACAATTATGACATATAATTTGTACAGGCATATCCAGCCACATCCAATCTCGATAGCTAATGTCTCAATTAGAATCCTTCATATATTGGTACGCAATGTGTCATGCCTTCACCGGAATCTAATATCACACCTGAAGTTTTGCCTAATGAATATAATGAAAGCACAGTCTAATTGGATATATGAAGAAGGGGAATGTCAAAGTTTTCAAACATGATTTCTGTCATCTTTTCTTGATTCATTTTAGGGTTTCTAGGTGCTTCTGTTAATAATACAGGATGATTAGAAGGTGAAATTTATAATTAGACCTCAAAAATATATTTCCAAATCTATTCCATAGCCTCCCAATCCATTATGTACCCATATTGAATTGGATAACAAGGTTAATAATTTAATTGGTGTTCTTGCATCTGACTTCCAATTAAGAATTTGTTTTATTTAGAATCCTGTAATTTGAGAACTTGGGTTGGAAAACAACATCTAGGGGCTGCTTCTCCAACAATTCCAGCTCTGATATTGCAAGAAGCATTTTCAATTACAATTGGGGGATGAGATTCTATCATAATTTTATTTGTAAAATTTGATTATAACATTTTAAGTTAGATGTTATTTAAAATTAAGTTAATATGTTTTATAGATCTGGAATTCATAATTTATGTTTAACATTTTATTCAAAATAGAGTTGTTGAATTTGAATTCATAAGGGGTTTAGCTGAAATAATCACAATTAAAGTATTTATAGAACATATATAAAACAAAATAAATTTACAAAAAGTATGAGATTTAGTAATTATCACTATTTAATGCCAATATGGAATTATTGTAATTAAATAAAATAACATTTAAATCAAAAACTTAATAAATTAAATTATATTCCAATTTAATAGGAATTTCTAATATTCTGTTTTAATCACCTTATAGAACATAGTATAATTTTATGCTATTTAATTGCAAATCTTAATTGATTATCCCAATAAATTAAGTATACAACAAGCATGCAAGCAAATTATTAAGCAGAATTAGAATGTAAGTCATTAACCTAATATCTTAGAATTACAAGCTAAGGCTATTGAATTGGCATATTAAACTATTGAGGAAGGTAAATGGGAAAAGGAAATTGAACAGGATGGAGTTGTATTCTATTCTAAACCTGGCTCAACAGGATGGAAGATCTCAAGATCTGAAATTATAGCTGAGATAGACCCAAAAAAAGCTGTTGAAGTGCTTAAAGACTCGACAAGATTTTCAGAATACAACCACACAGCTCAAGAAGTATATTTATAATCATTATATTGTTAGATTAATCTAATTAAGAAAATCGATGATACCATTTCTATTCAATATATTCTAACCAAACCTAATTAAGTCTTATAATAATAAAGAGATATAGTCACTGTGTCTAAAGCCTCATCCTTACCTGATGGTACAAACTTTATTGTTGGTATATAATATTTTAGATATTTACTAGCAAAATCCATTGAAGTACCTGAAGCACCCGTAAAAGAAGAATATGTTAGAGCTGAGATAATCATAAGTTTCTTTGGATTTAAACCAATTGCAAATGGATAAACCTTAGTGACAATGGTGTAATCTTTTGATCCAAAGGGAGATGCTCCAAAAGATTTGTTGAATAGCTTGGCCAATAAGGTTGTCAATTACAATAAATTATTTGTTGAGAATTTGAAGAAGGCAACCCTTAAAGAGTGATTACAATAATATATAGATTGTAACATATAGAATAATACAGTTAATACAAATTTCTATAATTAACCTTCCTGTCTTTTTAGTATTTTTGAATTCTTGCATTTGTCATTGATGGTTTATGTAATATTTATGAGTATGGTTTACAATTATTTAAATTTAGATCAAATCTTCAACTTTTATTTTCTATAATAAAATAAGTAAATCTTATATAATTAAAAAAACTCTTTGAGAAATAATACTTATTGTTATTATAAAGATTTAGAATTAATTTAAATTAAGTTATAATAAATAAATTTATATTAAGTAAATTTATGGCTATTATTATAATTAATTATTATAATAGCCATAGATTTATAAAAAAGTCAGAACCAATCAGAAATATTTTAGATGACTCAATTTAAAACATTTAAACAAGGAAGAAGTTCATTCAATTTAATAAGTGTAAATATTTAATGTCAGATTAATTACCAGCAGTTATAATAGATAATGGTTCAGGATAATGTAAAGCAGGCATAGCAGGTGAGGATGCTCCTAGATGTTGTTTCCCAGCTATTGTAGGAAGAACAAAGTAGAAGGTTGCAATGTGTAGTATGGATAACAAAGATGTGTATGTTGGAGATGATGCATAAGCTAAAAGAGGAATCCTATACTTAAAATACCCTATTGAGAATGGAATAATTAATAGTTGGGATGATATGGAAAGAATTTGGCATCATGCCTTTTATAATGAGTTGAGAGTATCTCCTGAAGATTAACCAGTTTTGTTGACAGAAGCTCCAATGAATCCCAAATTCAATAGAGAAAGAATGATTTAGATAATGTTTGAAACTTTTAATGTGCCATCCTTTTATGTATCTATACAAGCTGTTTTGTCACTTTATTCATCTGGAAGAACTACAGGATTAGTAGTCGATTCAGGAGATGGAGTTACTCATTGTGTACCAATTTTTGAAGGCTATCAAATGCCTCATGCTATTTAAAGAATAGATTTGGCTGGTAGAGCATGCACAGACTATTTATCAAAAATACTAAATGAATTAGGATACTCCTTTACTTCATCAGCTGAAAGAGAAATTGTGAAAGATATCAAAGAGAAACTTTGTTACACAGCTTTAGATCCAAAGGAAGAGGAGAAAAAATATAAAGAAAGTAATTCTTAAAATAGACCCTACGAACTACCAGATGGAAACATAGTGGTAGTTAAGGATTAAAGATTCAGATGCTCTGAAATTCTATTTTCACCGGAATTAATAGGATTAGAAGTACCAGGCATGCATTAATTATCATTTTCTTCAATTATGAAATGTGATATCGATGTTAGAAGAGATCTATATAATAATATCGTAATGTCTGGAGGAACCACTCTATTTTCGGGAATACCGGAGAGACTAAGTAAGGAAATGACTAATTTGGCACCAACATCAATGAAGATTAAAGTAATCGCTCCCCCTGAAAGAAAGTTTTCGGTTTGGATTGGAGGATCTATTTAATCTACCTTATCAACATTCCAATCCCAATGGGTTACAAGATCTGAATATGATGAGACAGGTCCATAAATTGTTCACAGAAAATGTTTCTGAGAGTTTATAACAAATTATAAAATTAATTACATTTTATTATCTTATTTATTTCTGAAAACATTCTATATGACTTATTCTTTATTACTTTCTTCATAGGATTTCAATAGGATCAAGAAGAACGAATAAATTTTATGTAGATTTTTGAGGAATATAGTTCTTTAAGATTAAAACATAATTATAAATCAGATACTAGAATAGTTTAGAAAATATATTTCGTTCAAAATACTACCTTCTACTTTATTGTTTTTAGAATTGGACTCAAGAGACTAAACACAAGAAATTGAGAATAATTTGAGTAAGATTGGATAAAACGAAGGCTCAATAAATTAAAGCTTATCTAAATGGAGTACTATACATTAAGTAATATATATTCATTCAATCTAAGAAGTGTAAATATCATATAATAATATATGATCGAGTTCTTTGTAATAATTAGACTAACAGTTTTTGAATAATTATAAAAGAAAGAAAAATTTTCTTTTTCATAATATATCTCTAATTGAATTGTAAATAGAATAAAATTTTAAATTGTAACATTTTGTTTAGTGCTTTTATTTTTGCTATATTTATATCCAATAAAATAATACGAAAGTAATCTGATGATTAAGATATATTAAATCATATTAAGAAATCCTATTCTTTTATAATAGAATAATTTATCAAAAAAAGCGTGTATAATAAAAACATTTTCATTATTTCTTTATTCAGATTAATTAGCACCAATTGCATCCTCTCTCTTGAGAGCCTTCCAATTTACGATTGACAGTATTTATTCTTTCCCTAAATTAATAACATATATTTTTTACTGTATACGCTTATCAATATCACTCTATGATAATTCTTTTGCTTAAACTTTCCCGCTGTAAATATCACTGTAGTTTTAATCAGTTTAATTAATAGAGCATAAGACTTTTTAAAGAGTATCTTAATTGAATTCAGCCTTATGTTTAACAGGATTTAATGGTTCATTTACTAATATAGGGTATTCATTTAAACACTTATTCAAGTAACATTCGAGATATTTTTCAATTTAAGGAGCAAATTTTTATTCATTAATTATAATTTTTAGAAATTCCTTTACTTTACCTTTTTCTTTCATTAATGTTGCATTCAGTTGAGGTGAGTTTTTACATTATTATTATTAATCTTAATGAATTGAACTTGAAAGGTTGACCTGCAATATTAATTTGTTTTGCAACATAATGAGAATTTATTCCATGTTTTTCTTGTTTCCTGAATAATTTAAGCCAGCTTGATAATCAGCAGCAATGGTAAGAAGATTTAAAAAATCCTATCTCACTGTATATTTAACTATTTAATCTTCCGCCTCAACCTGCCTTGATTTATTCTGATATTTTTAGGATTATGTCTAGCTATTGCTACTTGATTGATGTTGATATACACTCATTACCTATAAAAATTATTATTTTTTAGGTATAGTTTCCAATAAATTATATTAGATTTTATTCTATTATCAAGGATATTTTATAATAGAATACTTTTTTAAATTTAAGCAATCTAATGGCTATAGGATAATTTAATTAATGAAGGGGAATCAGAAAAATAATCAAAACAAGCAAGTAACAGGATAACAACAACAATAAGATTAATTACAGAAAGTAGATTAAATCCAAAGAGAGATCCAATACTATATATATAAAGATTTGGAAAATACATTGTTAATGCTAGGTGAACTTGAACAAACCATAGAAACCTTCAAATACGTAGATGATAAGCGTTAATCTTACCTACCTATAGCTTTCAATAAAGCGATTTTATAAGCGAATTTATCTTATGGGATTAATTTTGATTAATATAATACAAATAAAAATACTCATGAAAAAGTATTTAAGGATTGTAGCGAAGAAGCAATTAAAATTTTTAAAGAGGTTTTTGAAACAAATGAAGATGGATAAAAAAAAAACCACACACATCCAATTATTTCTCAAATCTGTGAATTTTATAAGAATAAAGATTTTAAAAATAACAAAGAGTTTAAATAGCTACCTCTGTAACAAGTAGATAGGGAGGCATAATTCAATGAAAAATCTTTGGATAAAGTGATTTGGGGAATTCAAGCGGTGGACAAAGAATTCAATGACATTCGTGAAAAACCATATCCAAAACCTACTGCTGAAGAACTTAAGAAAAAAATATAGTACAAACTTTATATTAAAAATTAGGGAAAGGAAAAAATTTTGTGAAGAATAGTTAATAACGAACTTCAATCCGGATTTCACGAAACAACTTAAAAAAAATTAAGATATAGGACCATCTAAAGAAAATAATGATGATAAAATCTAATAAGAGAATGGAGAAAAGGAAGAAGAATAAAAAACTGACATTCTTACTTAAAATACTAAAGATATTTTGGAAGAAAGTAAAGAAGACAATAAAGATAAGATAGAAACTGAACCAGAAGCAAATTAATAGTAAGATAAAAGTTCACCCATACAGAACTCTCAGAATGAGAATACGGCCCCAGAAGAATAAAACTTTGGAAAATTGGGAACATAGCCCAAAGGAGTTTCTGGAGATATGGATGAGGAATTACAACAAGAAAATGAGAACGGAGGTTAGGAAGTGTAAGAAATCTAGGATAAACAATAGAGCAAGTGATTTTATTCTAAATCAGTGTTATGTTTTTAAATTATTTTATTCGATTAATATTAAATTAAAATATAAAATTTCAATGGGAACTTTACTATTGAACTTAGGATAATGTGGAAATCAACTTGCATTACAAATGTTTAATCTAATTGATAAATCTTCGATGCATGAGGGAAACATGTTTTTGAGAAGAAGAGAATCAAATATATATCACACTATTCTAGTTGATACAGAACCAAAAATATTGAAACCCATTGTTGAAGTATGTTATAGATAACATAATAAAAAAGGATAGAAAGTTGTACTCTCATATTGATGTCAAAAATGTTCTTTACTATTAATATGGTAGAGGTAATAATTGGGGCTTAGGTTATCTTAATTTTAAATAGAAATCTAAACTATCTAAATCAAATTAGTAGCAAGCTATTTCAGTTTTTAAGTCTTCAACTAATGAAGTTTCAATCCAGTAATATTGCTAAGAAAATGAGCAAATAGTGGAATAAATTATTAATTAAGCAAGAAAAGAAATAGAAAAAACCGATTATTTTTTAAGCATTTCTACAATAATGAGTCTAGCTGGTGGCACTGGATCCGGTCTAGGTAGTAGAGTAATCTAAGAATTTTCTGATATATTTTAAGAAGTTCATTAGAATGTAATAGCAATATTTCCAAATAAGACTGGTGAAACACCTCTTTAACATTATAACACACTTTTATCATCAGCACATATTTAATAGTATGCAGATTCAATTATTTATTTTGAGAATGACAGGATATATTAAATGTTAAGTTAGATTGGATCAAAGCAAATCGATAAAAGTGTGGATTTATCAAATGTAAATGAATATATAGGATCTTGTCTAATGAACTTATTTTGGATAAATGATAATTCCACTAATGTTCGATATTATTAAGATCTATTATCTGAATGTTGCATAACTGAAGGTCATAAATTCATTGAAGTAGTTTCAGCTCCATTTACATTATTTTCCCATTCAAATTTGGGACCATTGTGTACTTGGGAAGATTTGATTAAAAGTTCTTTGGAATAGTATGCATTTGAAAAATTTGAAGATGACAGTGATTAATAACAACAAATTGGAGAGGCAGTAGCAAAATCTCTATAGATTCAATCAGTTTAAAAGAAAGGAGAAACTACTTTGAACCTTTAATCTGTATTTAGATCAGAAAATGTTTTGAAGACCTTATAAGATTCAGATTCTCATATGAAATTTTTGGAAAGGAAAATTAATTCTGTTTTTAATCCTGTTCAGTGGAATCCTGATGCAGTTTAATTGCATTTTATTAATGAAAAGTCTTCAGTCAAAGGACATGATTAAAAAATGAATGTCACTTTAATAAATTCAACCAAAATCATTCCAATATTAAAGAATGTCAGTAAAATTGCCTATTAGAAATATAGAAGTGGAGCATATTTGCATTGGTATTGGAAGTATGGCTTAGAGAATCAAGATTTCGACAATGCTTTTGAATCTTTATAAAAAATACAAGATGATTATAATTATATGGTAGAATATTGAAAAATTTAGTAATTTGAAATTCATTTTTTATAATCTGTTCTCTTTTCATCATCCCATCTAATTCGTTTCCCATTCAACCATTCCCCTGTTCTTTCAAGTTCTCCAACCACGTACAATCCCTTTCCATGTTATTTTCCATCTTCCCACTCTCCTTCATATCTCCTTCCATCACTCCACTCATAAATTCCATAACCCTTTCATTAAATGCTTAAGATGTACATGTTTCTAATCATTAAAGTATTAGCCATAATATTTTCTCCCATCTGGCCAAGTATAAGTTCCCTTTCCATGCATATTATTATTCTAGAACTCTCCTTCATATTTTCTACCATCTGGCCAAACTAGAACACCCTATCCACTTAATTTATTATTAACCCAATCCCCTTCAAAATACTATCCACTTGGCCATATATATTTGCCTTACTTCTAAAATATAATTACCTTTTCCATGTTTAACACTATTTTGAAAGAATCCTTGATAGGATGACCCATCCGGCCACACTTCATGCCCGTATCCATGCTATTTATCATTGAACCATTATCCTTCGTATTTTGCTCCTCCAATATGCTAATAGGTTCCATATCCATTTGCCATATCATTCTCCCACTCTCCGTCATAGGTGTCTCCATTTGAGTGGGTGAATTTGCCTTTCCCTTAAGCTTTATTGTGTTTCCATTCCCCTTCATATTTTGCTCCATCTGACCAGACTTGTATGCCTGCTCCATCCCTGGCTTATCCTTTCCATTCTCCTGTATAGACTGCTCCACCTTTGAATCTTATACTTTTTATTTGTATACTTATAAGGTGGCCGTGTTTCTCTCTCGAATTCATCTTGGTTTATAGTTATTCCTGATTCAAATTATTGCTATTGATCAACATCATGAGTGTTCATAGTTTTTTAAGGAATCGATTCAATTATTTTTTAGTAAGTAAGCTTTTTTCTAACATAATAGCCTCGCCAATATTTTTAAATGGTTGTTGCCATTTTATTTTTTACAATTGCTTTTGATGCTGATTTCTAAGAAGATGTAGCTACAACGACTACATATTCCTAAAAGTATATAATGAGAGATTTTCAATTACTGCTTTTTCAATATCCATATATTTATCCTTTTCACATTTACAATTGTTACACTGTGATCCCATGCTACCTGACTAATCTGTAATTATTTAATAAATAATCAATACAAATAATCAACCGCATCAACATTAAATTAATTTGTTGTGGATGACCAATCAATATCAAGTTGAAAGAATCTAAAATTCTTTTCTGTTAATTGCATCTATAATAAAAAGTGTTTGATATTCATAAATAATATTTTTAGGAAGTTTAAGTACTGTACATAATATAATTTATTTAAATATTATAAACAATCTGATGTAGATTATTCTTTAGAATTGAGCCTATGTGTGAATGTACTTGAAATTATTTCGAATACCTCTGTTAAAAATAAATCTTCTCAATTATTTGAATTATTTAAAGACTGGATGTTAAGTTAAGTGATAAGCAAGCATGACATCAGATTAAAAAAGATCAAATCCTGTATTGGGTATAATAATTTAAATATATTATAACTAAAATAAATCTATAGAATATCTATTTCATAATCTTAAAATGTATTTAAAGAATATTGACTAATCATTATAGAAAGAAATAATTCATAAATATCATCTTGAATAATTATTAAAGTATATAATAACAAGAGATGCCGTTTTAGGTGATTTTCTTTTAAATTTATATAATTATCCAAAATCCTGTTTAAATAAGAACCTCCTTAATAAAATAATTGATTAACATATTAGAGAATAAATTAATATTTTTAAGAACATGCATAATAATAATACGTTCTAAATTTATTTATAAATTGTGGAATAATTGAATCCCATAAATATATTAATATCATTCTTCAGATGAATTTTTAATAATCTTAGTATGTTTTGTCTAGCACACTGATTTTATCAAAATAATTTTCTCGATATAACTTAGTTAGATTTTCAACAACTTAAACTTTAGGGTCTAAATCTACAGGTATTTAAATTTAAAAAAAATTTTTCTTAAATAAATCACTAAAACACCTAATCTTAAAATCTAGAGTTAATATCACAATGTGATGTGATATAATTTTATCTCCAAAGAATAAAGGTGGGTAATTTTTCTCAATATTGTCCAAAGTTAAGACCAAAGATTTTTCGGTATTTTCTCTAGTTATTTGGTCTTCTTTTAAAATCTTATGAGTTTAAGCAACATAATCATTACTTTCTTTAATAATAATTCTCGAGTATAATACGGCCTTAATTGCAACATTATTTATACCATCTTTAGCATACAAAGTTATTATAATTTTTTTCTATTAATTTTTCCATTCAATATTTATTGGGATTACTTCGTTTTAGCTTCTATATAACTTTAGATTTGGTTTTCTATATTCATAAACTCCTGTTGAGAGTTTGAAGCTTAATGGTATCTCAATTTAATAATTGACCTCATTGATTTAACCATATTTCCCTCTTAGTATAAACTTAGAGGATGATAAGTATTTCAAGTAATTCAATTTTTCTTCATTTACATTAGATGTATAATTTGTAGGTTACATTCTAAACCGAAATGCATAATATCTAATTTTTTCTTAAGAACTTTATTAACCCTTTGTATCTTGACGCCTCCTATCTGTAGTTGTCACTTTATATTTTTTTAAATAAAAATTGTAAGATGCATCACTTTAAATTTCGATCTAAATTAATTTTATTATACATAAGCATCAGCAGTACTTTTCCCATTTGAATGATTATCTATTATGCTCTTGTAAGCTGTTTTTTACTCTTGTTCTAAGCGATTGTCCTCTTCAATTTTCTTTTTTAGTTGATCAAAGTCAATCTTAAGGTTTCCTATTTTTTCTTTTTTTTCATCCTAATTTTAATTATTCTCATCTTAATTTTCATCATTCCCTTCTTAATTTTCATTATTCCCATCTTAATTTTTATTATTCCCTTCTTAATTTTCATTAGCCTCATTTAAATTTTCATGTTAATTTTCATTTTCTTCATCTTAAATTTCATTTTAGTTATCTTCTTTTTTTATCAACGATTTTTGAATTCCAAAATAAAGTTTAACAATATCCTTTTAATTTAATTCGAGCACATTGTTATTATCTGGCGATATTCTATTCATATTTAAAGATAAAATGAAAAAAAAGAAATGTTTTTAAAACCTTAATTGCTTTTAAAAAAATATTCTATTAAAAATAAATAGTAAATCAGTAACTAAAAGGGATTAAGGAATAGAAAAGACTCATTGACAATTGATAATTACTATTTCATTAATTATAAAAATCATAAGATAGCTTGTTTTAATTTTTCGCATCTTTTTTAAATGGATACGTGACTGAATTTTCATTAACATTCTCTTTATTTTAATAATAATAAAGCTCTGATTCCAAGAATATTATTCTATCCTTTTAGCTTTATATTATTTTTTCCTATTCTTATATGATTTTCTATTTTTGTTCCAATTAATCTTAAATAATTCCTAAATCAAAACTTTTACATTCTTGCTACATGGTGTATTATAAATCAGCCTAAGATTTCATTTTTTAATTTTTAAAAATAGTTTCCATTTATAATAGTTTTTATTTGAGTTGATCATTTTCTTTGATAATTTAATCATAATTTATGGATATCTCTTATATTTGGCTTATGCACACAACAAAATTCTAACCACAATCAAAAGTCTTAATTTATTTGTTTTTTAGCTGTTTTATATGTTAAATATCTGTTCTAGGAATGAAATCTTTTTGAGCTAATTCCCCTGATGAATTTTTTCCCCAAGAATAGATTTATCCATCATCGTCTAATATACAACCAAAACCATTCCCTAGTTTAATTTTCTTGATCTAATTTGCAAAATCAATTTTGGTAGGAACAAGGAATTCTCCAAATATTCCAGACTAATTTATTATAATTAAAATACTCCCCATAAATATAGTTCATTTTTCGAAGTGATGGCTGCAGAAAAATTAGATGCATATATCTTATTTACATTTTAAATTTTCAGAGGTTTTAATTAGTTATACGAGTGTTACTATTTCCCATTTCCTAATTCGCCAGTTTTATTCGATCCAAAGGAATAGACTTATCCATTGTTTAAAACCAATGTATGAGTTAAACCACATTTGACTTTATCGTATTTCTCTAAACTTTATACTTATTAAGGCACAAACTAGAATATTCTTAATTTCTCTTACACTTTCATAACAATTCAAACCCAATTAACCATAATCATTAGATCCACACATATATAATTAACAATTAAAATCTATTAATCCCATGTGATGCTCTCCACATGAAAACTAATTGATCTTCTTAATTTTGAGTAATTATGGTTAATTAGTATGGATGTTAAATGCTTAATTTTATCCCCATGTGTAAAGTTCTCCTGTATCTCTTTAAGCCACAGTATAATTAGCAGCTGCTTTGACTCTAATAAATGGTCCTTTTAGTTCAATTAATTAGGGAGTAGAGATGTACGAGAGTTGCCTAAATTCAAATTTAAATTCCAATTACGTGTTGAGACCTAATTGTCCTTGTTCATTCAAACCCATAGTGTATAAGCCTCCATTATTTACTAATAGGCATGAATGTTGAAAACCGCAGGCAATTTTGACCACAATAATTTTATATGAACAACATTTTGGATTATTTACATTTTATTTAATATACTCATCCCCTAATCCTAATTAGCCAAACTAGCAATCTTTTTATATTAAATAAAAATATTACTTCCCCAAACATACAGTTCTACAAATACTTAACTTAATTTTACCTGTCTATTTTCGAATTTGAGACATTTTATTAAAATTATAAATTATTACTCTAATAATTGTATTAACTTAAATCTTGAATGAATATATCTCCTATTCAAATGTGAAATAATCATGTGAAGAAAAAACTAGTTTGAAATAAATGGATTCATTTTAATTCAAAATTTATGCGCATTGATTAATCAAGGAAATCAAATCTTTCACAGTGAAAGACCGACCCCTAAAGATGTAATTGATTAAAAAGAGAAAGGAGTTCTGGTAAGTCTTGTGAATAAATATTTAGTTTGACATTCAAATTCAGCAATTGAAGGACATCTGATAGAGCATTAATTTATGGATTCTATACTTATAAAAAGTAAATTAATAGATTTAATTTTTCTTAAATGTGATTATAAATTAATTGATAAGAAATCATAATTTTCGTACTTGTTTGCAAAGTTAAAAAATCTTTTGTATACACAAGAAATTAGCTTCTCATATTTCGATAATAATATCTAATTACCAATATATTATTAAACTTAAAATTATAGATATATAGATGTAAAATAAAATGTAAAAGATAAAAATTATAATCTATACTGATAATTTGGAATTATAAACTTAATTTACAATAGATTTGTTTACTATTAAGTAAATATTTATTTAGTTTTTTTATTGTGGAATATAAATAATGTATAAAAAAATAGATATATTAAATAGGCATTTATTGAAATTAAAGATGGAGAAATATATTACAATTTTTTCATTTAGGTGTTTAAATACTTTCTTAACTTTAGATAGTCCAACCACTAATTTATCTAATGAGCTTGATTTCATTTTCTAAAGGCTAATTTTTAATTTTGTTGAAAATCTTAGTTTTATCGCATTAATAAGAGGTTTAATTTAACCTTCTGAAGCTAGGTGTAGTTTGTTCTGAGTGAATTAATTGATGGGTTAATATACAACATTGGGATTTTTAATTTTAAACATGATAACCTTTTTGATGAATGGCTTCTTTATTTTTTAAAATCACTTATCTTCTGTCTGTTAAATTACCGGGAGCATTTTTACGCATTCTCAACGGTGAAATTTATTCTGAATGGATTTCAGGTTTTCTATTTGTAGGTTCAACAATTCTATCTACAAAATTATATTGGGTGGGAGTAATTTCAGTTTTATTTCGAGTTATTTTATTAAGCCTTATAAGTTTAGCTGCTATCGAATGATTAGAGTCTCTTTGGTCTGGATTTTAAGATGTGATAACAATAAGTGGTGCGCCATTATTATCTTCTTTCTTGTCTTAATATATTGTTTTTAATTATCTACTCTCACTTTTTTCATTTCTGTCTTTGGATCTCAAAATAGCAAATATTTGTCTTATGTTAACACCTTAAGCCTAAATGGGTTTACGAGTCAGATGATCGATTTGTTTTTATCTTTTGTTCAGGTACTCACGAGCTTTTCTCAAATTTTCTTAATAATACATTAAATTTATTTGATATATTAAATTAATCTAATGGAACAACTTATAATTAATAATGAATATTAAATAATTAGCTACAAATTTCGATGTTCTATATCGAAGGGTAAATGACAGAAGCAGGGTAACAGAAGTGATGTTGGGCCAGCTTTTTGAAAGATCAGAAGCCGAAGAGAAGTATCACAAAGCATTAGAGAAAATAAGTGGATAAATGCAAAATGGAGGAGGAGACATTGACGATTTGATCAGAGGAGTCAAAATAGATCTGAATCAAAGGGCCCAGTACTATAAGGTATGTGGGTATTTGTAACTAAGCAATTCAATTAATCGTACAAGCATGATGTAGAGTAAGCCATCAATGAGCTTAGATAAATCCAAAGTCAATTCAAACCACTCATCCAAGATGTATTAAAAATGGATAAAGAAATCAAAATAACCTGTGATAAGTACGATCGTCAGAAGGATAAGACAGTCAGGGCATCGAAGGATTATGAAGAATCTGCAATCACATTAGAAGCGTTGTGTTGGAACAAAGAGTGCAATATGGAATAGAGAACAAAAGCATAGCACAGATTAAATTCTCAATTGTAATACAAATAAGAGAATGAATCTGTGTTGAGATAGGCAGCATCAGTTTATAATCAAGCTGTTCAATCATATTGCACTTCTTTGTAGAATGGAATTTAGTAACTGACTACATCATATAATCAGATATTTGCAATTGCTAAAGTATAACAATATTGTATTAGGATATTGTAATGAAGATCTTGGTTTATGAGATATCCAAAACTAGAAATCTATAATATGATAGTGAATAGTTCTTTAAATAGGCTGAGATATATTTGGACCCTCAGAATGATCCAATAGCTCCAGGTCCCTCAAGTTAGATAGGAATTTCTAAGGAGAATTATAACAAAGTTAATTCTCAATTAAATTCTTCATTTTTAAGGAATATTGCAGATAAAATCTCACTCAATCATAGATTGAACATTAAAAGAGAAACTACTTAATCCTAGGCATAAGTAGAAAATCTGGATTCTTTTGATCTGTTCCTAGCCAATCCTGAATTCATTGATGATTTAAAAATAGTAACAATTAAATTGATTGGAAAAGTCTACAATAAAAGTAAACCAAAGAATGCTGATGAACAACCAGCTGGGGTTCAATAAATGGTAAATAAATATAAAGATTAATATGGCGAATAATAGTTAGTTAATGTTTATAGTTTCATCAAATATGTGATTTAATAAACCTAAGATCAATAGATCAAAGGGTGGAAGAATATACCTGAATTACAAAAAAACAATTTAGATGAAATTTTTGAGTAAAAGTTCTTTAGAGAATTGGGCTGCATTATTCTTGAGTCATTTCGACAGGCAGGGTATACTTTAGATGTATTTATTAAGTTGCTCCAATTTAAGTTCTTATGGATTCAAAAATATGCACATCTTCACTCAGAAACTATTAGAGATATCATAAAAGGAGGGAGAATTAACTTTAGTCAAAAGAATTATCACTATGATTTCAACTATATACACAATTGATGAACATGAGAAAAGATTTTTCTTATAGGATAGCTTAATATCAATGTAGATTTGGAAATAAATTGATTTATGGGAAGGGCTAATTTATACAACAATTGAGACGGAAATAGACAAGTCAGCTACAACTAAAGATACAGTTCAATTTTAAAATGAATAGATATTGAAGGATAAAAATGTTATTTATAATAATTTATTGACATTAACCCTTGATATGATCAATTTTAAGTAGATATAATTATTAAATTTTAGAGTAGATAAATAAGAGATAAAGAATGTACTAGTGAAGTATGCAAGAGTATTTTAGCTTTATGATCTATAGACATAGGAACTGATTAAGTTTGCTGAAAATGATGGTAAAATTGAACCAAATCAAAAAGTAAGTTCTTTATCAGTTTTGCAATCATTATATCATTAACCATAAACAAATTTGAATCAATAAGGAAATATTATATAAACAAAAGTAGTTATGTTTGATAAAAAAAACCCATTGTAAGCAAATTCTAATATTCATGCTTAAAAGACAAATAACAATTAAGTAAATATTGGTTCCGAAACTCTTTAAAAGGAAGTAATTTAACCTCAAACTTAAGTTCAATCAAACATTCCATAATATTAAACATCCACTGTATAATAATAACCAATAACTATAATAACAACATAAACTTAATAATAATAATAACAGTAGTAATAATAGCTATAATAATAACAATAATAACAATAATAATAACAATAATAATAATAATAAAAGATATCATAAAATTCACCAACTTTATAATAATTATAGTCTACCTCTCCATAATAATAGGAATAAGAATAGCCTAAAATTAGATATAATTAGCATCCTTTAGAAGCACCAAAAGCTAATTTCTTAAAAAAGTTGCCATGATATTTTCATATAATAAATATAGCTTAAGAAAATATTTATTTATCCTTTTTATATAAAATATTTGAGATATCATACTTATTTTCATTAGGAACATGGTTTCGTTTTAGAAGTATAACTTCATGTTGATGTAAATTTAAAATAACTCACTCAAAGTTATTTTCTATATCTAATAAATTGAGTAGTTAACTGCGTTGAAATTATCATTAATTAAATTTCTATGGAATCCATAATTCTTGGAATCAAATAGGGAGATCTTAAGTATTTTGATGATTCAATTGACTTATAAACCTTGATTCCTTATAAGATTCACACTATAAAGATCTTTTTTACAAGTTAAGGGATTTTAGGCATCCAAAATTATTATTATTCATTTAGTTCTCAATCAATAATAAAATGCAAGGAGCACAAGTATTTATGTAAATTGATTATAGATCATCAAAAATGTTTGGAGTGAGTGAACAAAAATTAGTTTTGGATAATAGTGAATACATAATTCATTTGACATGGTATTAAAATGAGATTGGCATAAATCGATTAGAAATACAGACAAATAAGCAATAAATTTAGATTGGATAAAAGGATGGAGAGAAGAAGGAATTTAAAGTGGAATAAAATTATCAATTAGGGGCAATAGCAGGAGGATACAAATAATAATTATAGTTTTTGGAGTGGCAAATAGTTCCTTTGGTTGAACAATAAACTCAATATTAATCATAATTATATTAATTATACTTGTCCTAAAATGAAGGTAATCAAAAAAACAGCAAGTTTGAATATGTAGGAAAGTAATATAGAGTGTGTGATCCATAAATTATATAATAAGGACTAACTAATAAATTTGTTTAATTCCGCATAGTAGATAGCACAGAACAAGAAGTGATTAGAAGGTTTTAGGATGTATTGTAATTACGATAAATATTGCAGCTGAGATGGTATAATAAGCAGAATAATTAAAGTTTAGGCCTGGAGTATATATTCCACCATTGATGAACAAATCAACTTTTGAAGATTACTCAAATGAACATATAGAGAATATGAGGAAGGCTATCGAATACTTTTTGATGAAACTATCTAAGATAACGTATTTTGCATAATCCATAGAATTCAATGTTTTTATAACAAAAACAAATAAGGATAGCAATTAAGAAATGGATTATGTATAAAATAAATTGAAGGAGATGACTCAACAAACGAGCATTGATTAGATCGATTTAAGGTACAAATAGAGTTTTGAAGAATTTGAAACTAAAGAATCAGTAAATGAATAATAGAGATAAAAATGTAACGATTTTTCACTTTTGATGTCAAAATTAGAATAATTGAAGATTAGTGATTTTTCAGATATCAAAAAGCTATTTGAATAGCATTCTAAGAATGTAAATTACCTATCTAAATATATTCTTCCAGAGTTGCATTTGATTCATCTTAATTTGTAGTCAGAGGAAATTATTTAAAGAAGAAAATCAAATTCTATTGATAGGGGTTTATAAATGTAAATTGATACTATGAATGATGTTTACGATTATTTTGTAACTGAATAGAGAGAAGCTAGTGCTATGTCTTAGTGCATGAATTATATCAAAGATCTTGAATAATAGAAAAATAAATTGGAATAGAAAATTATGAGTTAAAAACTTAAGTAAGAGGAATAAGCAATTGCTAAAACTTAATTTCAGTCTATTTCATCCATTTGGAGTATTCTAATAAAATCATATGCTCAATATTATATTGATAAGTAAAATAAGATTATATATTTTAAGTTATTTTAAGGAAAGATATCAATTGTATCTATTGATGATTAATAGATTAGCCTAAATATAATTAAATAATTTGAAATTACGATAAAACTTTTGGCAGTCCATTTGATTTTATATATTTATATAATTTAATGAATATTAATCTGAATCGATGTGAAGATTGTGGAAATATACACCCTAGATAGCCTTGTGCTGCTTAACCAGTCAAATTTGTTTGGTATTATTGTGAATATTCAATAGGCCATAAGAAGGTAAAGAGGTATTGTTATTTGGATCATGGAATCTCTTCTAAGTGGGGACTAAATTAATTGGAAATAAATGCACTTTAAATTTGGCAGTTGGACAATATGAATATAAGTTCTTAGTAGATAATTAATGGAGATATCTGTAGAATCAAGAGACTGTGAATGACAATCATGGATCATATAATAATATGGTAAAAGTTATAATGATTACAGATACAAGTGCTTCCTAAAAGAGCATATCAGATCTTTGAATCAAACGCAAAACCTTTGATAAGACTGTTTGAGGTAGCTGAGGAAGTGATTGGATCATGGGATAATTGGAGTTAACCAATCAAATTATAAAAGCGATATAACTAATTCAAACTATGCGATGAATATTATACGTATGTGAATTTACAAGAAGGACGTTATGAATTCATATTTAAAAGGGGAAGTCAATACTTTCATGATAGTTGCCAGCCTACCATAATGAACTCATTTGGAAGGAAAAATAACATTATGGTTGTTTTAATAAATAGAACGGAATCATAAGAACTAGATTTCAATAATGTTTATTGGACCAAACATGACTTATTGTATCATACTTTTGATCACATTTATGGACATACAATGACAAGTATTGGGAATTAATTCTACATATTTGGTGGGGCTCCAAGTAGAAATGAAATGTATAAACTAACATTCGGAGATCATTAATTGAATTTGGAAGAAACTGAAGGAGAAATGCCAAGACCAAGAGCATATCATAATGCAGTAGCATATGGAGATAAAATATTATTTTTTGGTGGTGTAGATGAACATAATATCTTGAATGACCATTTTGTGTATGTGACATCAGCCAAAACTTGGTATTTGGCTAAAACTGATAAGAAATGGACTGAGAGAGAAAGAGCTAGTCTAACATTTTATGCTTAAGAAGAATTAGTAATACTTTTTGGTGGATATTATTTATCCCCTGATCTTGAAGTTGAATTGATATACAATGATGTCTATTATATGAACATTTAGAACATGCAATGGGTGAAACTGAATGTTAACAATTAACCTTCACCGCGATATGGACATACTGCAATCTAAGTTAATGAGAAGATGTACATATTTTGTGGGAAGAATTAAGACGAATATTTTAATGATATATGGGTGCTGAACTTTGATAGTGTTTAATGGCAATAGATCCAAACTCAAGGGGTTGCTCCTGAACCAAGATATGGCCATACAACCAATTTGATCAAATCTAAAATTTGTATTTTCGGCGGTAGAAATAGCAAATCTAATAGACTGAATGATCTACATTTATTCGATTTCATAACAAATACATGGATTACACCTACTTAATATGGTTAAATGCCTTCTCCCAGATATTTTCATGCTGCAGATATTTACAATGGCGAATAATTGTGGATCTTAGGAGGAAACATTGGGCTTAAGTAATTATGAACTATTATTTCAGACGCAATGAACATTTCTACATCATGAATTTTGGAAAGCAAGAGGACCAAACATAAGTATAATAACAACAACAATAACAACAATAATAAAATAATTGAAAGAACAGCAAATCCAAGAGCTTTTTTAAATAAAAAACAACAATATATTATAAATATATCATTCTTATTACTATTGCAATTCAGCTTCCCTTCTCTCCTATTCTCTTCTTCTTTCATCATCACTATCTGGTTCCAACTCGTCTGGCTACTCTCTGGGATTTGGTTCAGGAACTTCATCAATGTCTTCAGGATCCTCTTGCACATCCTTTGGGGCTAAAGGATTAAAGGAATGCTATTGATTCTTTAATCCATATCCAAAGTAAACACTTATGTATTCATTTGTCTTAGATGTTATACGATTAAATATATACATTGCTAACAGTCACTGCTCCAGGCCACAAAAAGTTTCTTAACAATACTACTTAATAACTTAAAGGTTATTAATCATCTGAATTGCCGGTATATTATTATGTTTCTCCAAAAATTTTAATCAACCAATTACCATCATTCTACTCAAATGCTATATAGTAGTAATCAATCATTACGTTTATCATCCTTAATAGATTTTAATCTCTCTTATTCAGGATCAGACTCCTTCATCTAATTCAATTCTTCTTCCTTTAAAGAAGGATCCTCATAGAATGTTATTCTTCCTTATTTTAAAATATAAGCAGGCAAATGAACCCATGCATCCATAGTTGCCAATTCAGTTGATTCAGGCATCTTGAATTCTTCTTCAAATCCTATTGTTTTTGTTTCATCTTCATATTTATACAACCCTCTAGGAGCTAATAGGTTGGCATGTGTAATTCTTAATATCTAAGCTTTCAATAGATGTTTTTCTTTCCCTTCAAAATATGGATATTATGTAATGTTTTTATTTAGATTTCCGCTGAATATATAAGTAATATATCTACTGGCTTCCATCTAATTACGTGTTACTTATGGCAACAAGGCCCAATCTTCCAAAACTAATTAATTATGCTATAAGTATTACGATCTTAAGTAACATAATGAACATATTCATTCAGTTTTTCATCACAATCAGGAGGTTAGGGTTCTTTTATTTGTTTATTTAGTGTAACTTCAATAACAAAGTAATCCTTTTGTTGTGCAAGTATTTTTCCCCAAAAACGTACGCTTGAAATATTTGGATCTCTTTATGCAATTTGTTTAAGGCATTGCTGTATTACGTATGCATCTTCATCATGGACTCCATACCCAACTATATTCAATAAGGTATTTAATTTTAAAAAGTTCTAGATGTTGGCATTTATTTATTTAGCTTTGAATTGCATAAGTTACATTAATTTTGCACAATATTCTTACCATGGGAAAGCTTGATCTTTTAAATTATTAACTTCATCAGCAGATTTGAGTGCTACATGATAAAATCTGTTCTCCTTAATAAAATTACTCAAATCTTCGAAATCTGCTAAATCTAATTAAATTAATATATATATATACTCTTCGCATTATAATATTTATTCTCCTGCATCTGATAGTGCAACTCACAAAAATGATTGTAGAGTGTTTTGTTTTTGTATTTAGAATTGAATATTTATTATAATTGTTCTTCCATTATCCTAATCTGAATAATAATAATAATTAAATTTAAATATTATAAATATGTAATACTTGGACAATTATCTTCAATCCAAAGGTGGCTATGATTATACAAATGTGAAAAGGTAAAGATGATATTATAATTAAAGAAATGAATTAATGAAAGCCTAAGGATTTAAAGAAATGCCATTCACAAAAACAGGAACAACAATTGTAGGTGTTTTATTTGATGGTGGAGTTGTGATGGCTGCTGATACTAGGGCTACAGCAGGATCAATAGTTGCTGATAAAAACTGTGAGAAATTACACACTCTAGCCCCAAATATCTGGGCTGCTGGAGCTGGTACAGCTGCTGATTTGCATCATTAATGCGCACATTTTAATGCTAAACTTAAACTCTAAAGACTAAATTTAAATAGATAAAGCAGAGTCAATGAAGTCATCACTAAACTTACTTCTAAGCTCTTTCCTTATAGAGGCCATATTGGAGTTGCTTTGATTATTGGAGGAATTGATTGCAATGGACCTTAATTAGCGTCTGTTTCTCCTCATGGAAAGTAAACCATACTTATTAATATAGTTATGTTTATCATCCATTCCAATCTATGGGAAGTGGATCACTTGCTGCTTTGGGTATTTTAGAAGCCAAGTTTTAGGATGGACTTACAAAATAGTAAGCTATTGATCTTGCTATCGAAGCCATCGAAGCTGGTATTTTCCATGATATGGGGTATATTGATATTTCTATTGATTTCCAGATCTGGAAGCAATGTAGATGTTGTTGCCATTACTAAGGATGGTGTGGACTATAAAAGAAACATTAGATAATACAATGCGAAGTCATATTAAAGGCAAGTACCTTATGATTTTCCAATCAACAACACACGTATCATTTTTTATAGATTATTCTTAGCTGCTCTTAAAAAATATTAGTTTAATATTGAAAAATAAGAATTAACTGAAGTTGGATAGGAAATGGAAATTATCGAATGATATAATAATAATATGTTTAATTATGTGCATTCATATATCCAATAAATTCAATTCCTTTGTCTTTGCTTAATTTTATTATTATGGTTATGATTAAATTGTAAATGCCTAAGGCTAGGGATTAAATTATTATTGAGGCTATGATTGATTTTGTTATCCAAATCCAAATTATTATTATTATTGTGGAGGAGCCTGTTAGAATGCATTCTACTATGGTACACTTGGTTGATTCCAAGAGTTGAAATCAAAATTACCCCAACTATTTTACACTGTTTAAGTTGGTTGTTATTTAACTGGTTATGAAAATTAACCAAAATCACCTGCATCAGGTGGAGGTGCAAATTTAAATTAAGACAAATTGGCTTCCCCTTTTTATTATGTTTACTTCTTTTATTCATTTCCTTCTCCCAAGGATATTTGGATTTTCTATCCTTATTTCAAACTAAAATCTTATGTAGGTTGGAATTCATTTTTAAATTTCTCTGGATTTCTTTCCATCTCTCTATCTGAAATAAATTTCAATATCTTTTCGTTGAAATCAAAAGCATCATTTCTATCTCTAAACACACACCCAACCCATTAGTGACCTCCAGTTGGAGTTACTAACCTTACTGCGTATCCTCTAATAATCAAAATTAATATATTGCCTTTAACTATCAACTGTTTTCTCAATTGCCAAATATGGGTTATCTGGTAAATTTACGAAGGTTTGGACTGCTGAAGTATTTTTGTCAATGAAATATAAAGTCAATAACCCCCCTTTTTCTGTTAATTTGATTCCCCCTATTAATTAGAAGTTTTATTTTACCTTCCCAAAACATCTCTTTCCAATCATCCAAATAGTGCCCCTTGATGGTGCTGACCGGAGGAATCTTGAATAGGCAAACTTACTATTGTTTCACTAAAAGCACATATTCAATAGACATTTTAATTAATTGAAAATTAATTGAGTTGGTTTATAATATACTATCCTAAAAAATCTGAATTTTTAGAAAGGTATCCTTCTAAATTTTAGAGTATTTTTATTTTTTAACAACCTCTACTCCATGTCATTTAAATTTTATCTATCGAAGCTTAAAATTATATTGAAACTTATATGCTTAATAGAAAAATATATTTTAAACAATAAATGCAAATAGGCTAGAAATTATAATATTCAAACTATTCTATAAAACTCCTAAGATCATATTATAAATTTAACTATTATTGATAATACAATTAAACTATAATCATTCAACAATCAGTAAAATGTTAATTTTTAAGAATACTGTTATCCCAAAAAGTGGGGTTTCTATTAATTAAATGGATTTTATGACTATATTTACTAAATTCATTATTTAATTATTTTTCAATGTAAAAAACTTAAACAAATAGATTGAATAAAGAATTGCAGGACTTCAACGAAAGATAAAAAAAAGTAATATGTTAATATTTATTTTTCTTAGGGAGAAGATTCTGGAATTTCAATTTTGTTGGTTGATTAAAATATTACTCATTGGAAAGGCTTTATAAATGGACCATCTGATACACCTTACGCTAATGGTTACTTTTAGGTTGACATAGTGATTCCTCAAGAATATCCATACAAACCTCCAAAAATGAAGTTCGACACTCGTATTTGGCATCCCAACATCTCTTCGTAATTTTCATCACTATATCTAGTTAAACTGGGGCTATTTGTTTGGATATATTAAAAGATGAGTGGTCACCTGCGCTTTCTATACGTACAGCTTTGTTATCACTTTAGGCATTATTGTGTGATCCATAACCAGGTAATGAATTTTCTAAAACTTAAATTAGATTCCCCATAAGATGCTGTAGTAGCCAATCAATACAAAACCTAAAAAGATTTATTTGTTAAAACAGCAAAGTATGTATTTACTAATTTCTTAGAGAATGGACATAAAATTATGCTTCAAAAAATAAGTAAGAGGAGAAGGTGTAAAATTTAGTCAATTTAGGGTTTGAAGTAGGCAAAGTTAGGGTAATTAATAGTATTTAAGTGAAATAGGAAGCTCTTCTTAGATTTGGATATGATGAAGAATAAGCAGCAAACTTTCTTTTGGGAGGTTGATTAATGTTTAATACAAAAAATAAATATTATCTTTTATTAAATCAGTCTCAAATGAAATGACAACTATCCTTATGTGATTTTTGGTATATTCATTAGGGATTACTAATTCTATTTGCATTAAAGTTCAACATTTTTTAAATAAATATTTATAATTCTGGCAAGTTATTAATTAAATAATTAATATATAATATCAAAGTTTACTAATAAGATTTCTACTTTAATTTAATTCAATAGTATTCTCTCATTATATTTATTCAATAAGTAAATAAAATCATGACTATCATTTAACATAAGAAAAGATTTGTTAATAATATCTTTCTCATCTAATTATTTTAACAATAAATAAGAAGTATATTAAGTATTTAGTTTATTTTGTTTAATATTAAGTAAGGAATTAAATAGAATATTAAGCAACTTAATTAAAACTAAAATATTAGATTATAAATTTTATATAAATCTTTAAAGAATGTTCAATTTTGGAATAAAAAATGAAATTTACAAACAGTAATTTCTCCTCAGAAATTTCTAGATTATGCTAATCTTTAATTATTTTCAAGAACCTTGATCTTTACTTCAGTATTAGATTAAGAATGAAAAAATAGCATATCAAAATATCAAAAGAAAAATTAAAATATAAATATAATAATTTATCTTTAGATTTGGCTTTGCTCTTGAAAGATCATAAACTCAATTTATAAAATCTGTAATGAAATGTTAGCTAACCATAATTCAAATTTTATTATAAATCTAATTAAGATAATTTTGAAAAAGAATGAGTTAAGGAGTTTATTTATAAGAGTGATAGGATTGAAGTCTTTCAATTATTCAATATATATCACGATTAATTAAAATGGATAGAGAAATTACAACTTAATTGAATTGCATGTATTATATTTCAAATAGATTTATATCGTAAATATATTGATATTATTAAATACTAATGTATATATTCTTTCTCTATAATTCAAATAATAATTTATTAAATAATTGAGCGCAAGAATGAGTATGTACTAATTCAATGTTCCTCAAATAGTGCAACCATAATGTAAGTTTATATTTATATATTATACGCTATATAGATTTCCAAGTATATTATTATAATACTTATTTTTATAGCCTTAATATACATTTACACCTTCACTTATTGATATGTATTATTACGAACACAATTATTTATTTATTTATATAGGCCCCAGCAGATGCCGACCATCAGCACATTTCCACCCCCACATCATGATGTTGATTGGTTTTACCTGGATGAAGATGGGAAATGGAAAATATTTGATTGGAGAAGATGCAATCTCCTAGAGAATATGCTTCATTACTGCAATCAAGGAGAGTTCCAGATCATTTTCAAGGACATGCAGTTTATAGTTGATTATGATCACATGGTCATGCATCATTAAATTAGTTATTATAAAATTAGGAGAGAATCATCCATAGTGTCCAGACAAATTAAAATATAGCAAGGTAAATGGTCTTATTATAATGGGTAAACGTGGATTCAATATGAAAAAGTGATATAAAATTAATTGGAAGATTTGATGGTTAAAGGAGAAGTAAAATAATTTAAATAATTGAAGCCTCTTATTATAATGTATGTAAATAACAAACAATACGTATTTGATTTGGAATAGAATGTGTAGGTGGAACCTATAGATGATAAAGGGTTAAATAAGAGAAAGATAATTACAAGACAATGGATGAACACACATTAATTATAAGAGTTTTGCAAAATAAGAAAATAATAGGAATTAACTTATATAAGGGAAAGAAAGGCATTGGAAGAATATATGAAATTACATCAACATCGTAAGAAAGTAGGTGGATCTAAGAAAGCTAATAGATTGGGAGATTTAGGAATATCTCCAGATCAGGAGAAATAGGAGAGGAAACAATAGAAATCATAACAACAACACTAATAGTAATAACAGATAAGGCCAAAAGATGAATGCTTTAAAATGATAGAGCATTAGAAATAGCCAGATCCAAAGTAATTGGAGGAATGGAATTTGCTTATCGAAAAGATGAAAGAAGAAAATGACGAAAATAATTCATGAAATAATAATTTTTTTTCCTTAAATATTCATCAAAAACCAAAATTATTTTCTTTATTATTTACCATAGTTTCCTGATATCTTGGAACTACTTTCTTTATTAGTCTTTCCCACATCTCTCTCTAATTGATTATAATTAAGATCTGAGAAGTTTACAGTTAAATAAAAATCATTTAAAAATATTTGATTATTGTAATGTTGATAGAATGTATTTTTGTTTAATATAATCGATTTTAATTTCAATTTAATTTTTTTTTGATTTAGTGTCATTTATAAGCTATTGATTTTCTAATACCAAGATAATTTCGGATGTAATAAAATAACATCATAAGATAAAATATAAAATTATACATTAAAGTTATTTTTTTATATAATATTTTATAATGGTATAGTTTATTTTGAGAATTGGATGCGAATTTTTGGCACTTTTAGGATTTAAATTTCAGTAGCTTGAAATCAATTGATTAAATAATAATTACAAAAATGCGTCCAACTAAATAATAGGATTATTAATTGATAACTCCACGATCTCCAGAAAGAATTCTGAAAAAAAGAATACTCAACAATTAAACATAGTACTTAATGAAATGGAAAGGGTCTGAATAAACTACTTGGGAATATGAAGAAAATGTTAGACGTTCAATGTTAGAGGAATTCCTTTAAAATTAGCAATCCAGTTAAGAGTAAAAATAAAAAAATCTTAAAAACGCAGCTTCACAATTACCGATATTGTAATAGGTGCAACAAAGTCTCAAACATCCTAGTTTTTCTGAAGAACTTCTCTTAAACAAATAAAAAGAAATGGCATAGAAATTTTGTAGTTCTTACCCTCAAAAATGTGATGAAATAGATAGTGTGCATTTGATGTTAACAAATGAAGATTGCGTATTTGAAGTTAAATGGAAACCTAGAGCAGATGGGGTTGTTCCTATCTCAGATTTCTACTAATACGACCAATTCAAATTGGCAGCTCCCCTACTCTTTATGAACTTCTTGGAAAGTTGCATAGTTGGTCATGAAAATAATACAGATATTAAATTCTATGCTCCTGGAAAAGACAATGTAGAAAGAGCTCAATTGATTAAGAGAATACTGCTTCGGAATCCTAAATACACAGATTCCAACAAGTAACACAGTTATGTAATTGTTGAAGAATAAAAATAATCGGATCCTCCAGTTTAATAACCAAGCAAGAATACAATCATCAACTTTACCCACTCCGACAGTAAAAAAGTCATTGTAAATCAACATACAGAATCCTCAGATAAGAATCAATGTCCTTTATAGGTTAGCGAAAAGAAAAGCACTATTCTTATTTAAGAGTCTTCTGAGATTCAATAATAATTGGATTCGAATTCATAATAGGAAGTTTAACAGTAGTAATCCACGGATGGCAGAGAGATAGGAGAATTAGTAGATCCTGATGAAAATTAGTAAAATGATGAATAATTGGAATAGCGATCTATTTCTTTAGAACCTTAAAAATGAATTATGAATTAAAATTATATATTTAAGATTAATATTCTTTAAACAAATGGATAAAAAGATATTAGAAAATATTGAATAACAATTAAAGAGGTTGCTAGAATAACTAAAAGATTTAGAGGAATATAAAAATGAATTAGATCCAGAAGAATACAAGTATGTTCACTCTTTTACAATTATAGATAAATGAAAAATGACACATTATAGGAATTGGAGATATTCTAAACTAAGTTATAAGAAATAGAACAGGGTGATTTAACACTGAAGAATGCAATTTAATAATAGTAGGAACAATTAAGAGCTGCAATTAAAAATTCATTTAATGCTGAAGAAATCAAACATCTTATGTCGTCATCATAAGGCACATAAATAAGAGAGAAGATTAAGAAATTGGATTAAGACTATACACTTTAAAGAATAAATTAAGCTTAATATGTGAAAGAAACTCTGAATTGTTTGAATTAATTGCAAGATATTGGAATACCTGTAAATTATGATTTAATTATTTAGTTTACTCAATAAGAAATTAATTTTATAAATTCTAACACAGGAAAAGATAACTTTGTAATTAAACAAGATAATGTATAAGGAAAAACTTTGTTAAAATCAGCAGAATAATAATTGGCTGCTAATAATATGAAATGATATGTCATATTAAATAAATAACAATTTCAAATAGAGATTAATTATTTTTCATACAATTTACTTGTGTTTTAGTTCTTGATTTCCAAATATTTATTGCTTTAAACGAGACTATTAATTTATTTTTTTTATTGTTTGCTATCATTCACTCTTAAGGGTTATTCTAAATCCCTCCTTGAATAGGGCATAACTAACCTTTAATTTTAACATCATACTTATTGATTCTATTCTCTGTTTGAGAATGGTTTGCCCTGTATTCTTTAAATAAAATTGTTAATCGTATTAAAATTGAGGCACAATCTCAATATTTGATAAATGGTCTTGTGCTTAAAACGCAGGAATTTTTGCTTGTTTCAATTCTTTTTACTTTAATTACTACATGAGTTTCTAATTATCATTAGTTAGGTCTTAGTTGTGTTACGATAGCTACTTAATCTAATTATTTAGTTTGTTGATAGAAGATTCTAACTCAAAAATTGAATTTTTTTTGAATTGTAATTCATTTTGAAGCTTTTTATTGGCCAATTATAAAGAGGTTATTGACTATATTAACTCTTAATCAGGATGACGGTTTTCTTTATCGAAGACCTATGCTCTAAGGATGCTGATAATAGTTTCAATTTTCGATTCAAGAACATTATCGTATTTGAGTTTCAATGAATCCAAGAGATTAATAGCTTTAGAGATGTTATTGGTAGGTTCTTCTTCATCATCTTCTAATAAGATGGACTTTTTTTTAATTTTGTTAGTTTCACTTTAAATACAAGTTTGCGATTTGGTTGTAATTAATTAAGGTTTTTCTCTGGCACTATTTCTTGTTTAATTTTGACTTGGTCTATTTGGGAATTGTGGTATGATATCTTTAATGGGGGAGATCTAATCGATGATAGTCCTTGAGATTAATACATAAACAGCTTTACATTCTTGATGGATATTGATTTGAAGTTTGAAATGGAGAGATTTGTAAATTTTGATTAATATTCATTTTACTGTTAAAATTAATAAAAAAAAGGCAAAGAAATTAAAAGTAATTATTATGCATTTTATATAACTCATCCTTAAGTTTCCCTTAAGACAATTTTGGCAAGTTTTTTAAGTTCTATAAAATAACTAAATCTATGAAAAAATAAATACCTATTGTTCGTAGGGTGATTATAATTGTTGATAGCCCGTTGCAATTCTAATATTTTATTTAATGGTAGTATGTCTTATAATTATTTTTTGGGGTAGAGTATGCTAAATGGTATAGTAATGAATATACTTCTATGTTGGTTTTCCTAAGTCTAGACTGGATCTTTGAAAGGATAATCTGCTTGAGATTTGATTAATGTGATGGGGAGGATCTTGGGATTTATTGAGTTCATAATTTTTGACTTGTTTCGGAGAGATGCTCTGTCTTAGCAATTGTTATAGATTGGATGATTGAGAATATACTTTTTTCGGTTAGTCAATCATATGGTTCATTTTGCCTCTGACTTCTTTCCTAAAATCATCCAATTATTCGAGAGGAGTGTTAGTGATGAATGATCCTTAATGCATAAAAATTATTATTATAATGAAGAAATTACCCAAATTACCAAGTAGTTATTTAGAACCCAAAATATTTGACAACAAATACATAGTCAAAGAGTAATTAAGTTCAGGTTCATTTGGTGTTGTGTATTTGGCAATCCACAAGGTGACAAGAGAGGAAGTGGCTGTGAAATTGGAAAAAGGATAATAAGAGACATTGGATAGGGAAGTCTATTTGCTAACAAAATTACAAGGCATACTTGGTGTAACAAAATTGTTTTGGTTTGGTCGAGAGCAATGCTACAATGTGATGGTTATTGAACTACTTGGAAAAGACTTAGGCTATTATGGAAAAACATATAAATAACTATCACTTAAGAGCGGATTATAGTTGTTGGAATAATTGATAACAATTTTTAATTGTGTACATTAAAGGGGAATAGTTCATAGAGATCTTAAACCTGAAAATATTATGATGGGCAAGACCAATACATCATAGGCATTTTTAGTTGATTTTGGGGTTTCAAAACAAATATTCGACAAGGGAAAGCATATGTAATACTAATTAGTGGTTATGTTATAGACCGTTCAAAGACAAGAAATCCTTTATAGGGACAGCTAGATATGCCTCGGTTGCAGCACATAAGGGATTTGAGATTGGAAGAAAGGACGATCTGGAATCCTTGATGTACGTTATAATTTATCTGATTCTTGGGTAAAGAAATTAACTGATTGAGGAAAACTGCCTTGGTAAAACCTATAGAATATTGGTGACAAGGACAGGACTGTTGCTGTCGGAGAAGTGAAAATAGCTACTTCTATATAAGCTCTGTGCAAAGAATTACCTCCAGCGTTTGCTGAATATTTGAAGTAAGTGTTGTAATATAGGAATTAGTTACCTAAAGGGATTAAAATACGAAGATCAACCAGATTATGAATTACTGAAAAAAATTATGAGAAAATGTTCAGAAATTAATACATATGATAATTAATTTGAATGGACAGAAAAATAATCATAACAATAATAAGATAAAATTGGAGAGAATAAATAACAAAGTTCGTTTTTAGTTGTCCCCAATGGACTAGGAGATTAATAGTAAAGACAAAATACAAAGAAGCAATCATATATGGGTATAAATGGATGATTTTAGGTTCTTAATCTTCTAATGCGGTGAAGTATGTGCCTTCCTTCTAGGAGGCTATATCAATCTAGGCTAAACCAGCTCCTCAAAAGATTATTGCTAGTCAACCTCATATTGAAGTGTTGAAATAGATTGAAACCATTGATTTTGATGATATTGAAGAAAATATGGAAAACCAACAGACCTTGGAATAGAAGTATTTGAAGTTGGAAGATTTGGATGCAAAATTTAAGGAAGTAGGGAATAACAAATCTTATTCGGCTATTCATATATTTGAGAATTGAATTATATTAAAATATTTTATTACTAAATATTTGGGTATAAAATAAATATTTGATACCTTTTTTGAAGCAAAAAAAAAGCAATTAAAAAAATAATAATAGATGTAAATGGACGAGGAAATGTTAATAAAGAAGGAAACTTAAGGAGAAGACATTATACAGAAAAAAGTGAGAATCTAAAATGATGATCTTGGGGATTATATTCCATTGCAATAACAACAAGAAGTTCAAATTCAATAAATATCCCATTTACGAAAAAGAACAATAAAGCCATTGACAGAAAAAGATCGAAAGAATTTACCAATCTATAATGTGAGTCATAAAATTTTGGAGGAAATGTAGAATAATCAAGTAATTGTGATCACAGGAGGTACAGGTTGTGGCAAGTCAACTCAAGTACCATAGATGATCCTGAGACATCATACTAATACAGAATTTGAGACTCCCAGAACAGTTAATATCTTATGTACTTAACCAAGAAGATTGGCAGCCAAATCATTGGCCAAGAGAGTGGCCTTGGAATTGGATTGTCAACTAGGCACTCTTGTTGGTTATTAGGTTGGGATGGATTCACAAATAAGTTCAAGACAAACCTAAATCTAATTTGTAACCACAGGAATTTTCCTATAAAAATTAGTACATGACAGAGAAGGAGTCTTGAGAGATTATACACACATAATAATGGATGAAGTTCATGAAAGAGACATCGATATAGATTTTTGTCTAATCATTATCAAAAATCTATTGAAACATTTCAAAGATACGAAGTTGATTTTAATGTCTGCAACCATCTGCAGTGACAAATTTGCAAACTACTTTTCTTAAAAATCAATTAATTAGGTTGATGATCTAACATATATACAAAGAGTAGATAGAAAATACAAATATACAGAAATGACATATGAAAATGATGTAGAAATAGCCATCAAATTTGAAGGGGAAGAAGATCATGATATTTCTACTTCATGGGGTCAAGCTTGGAAAGACATGGAGAGATAAGTTAAATTGACCTAAGAATAAAGGGAATTAGAGTAGAAGTAGAATGAATTAAGAGAAGTAGGATAACATTTCTTGGATGGAGATGAAGATCAGCCTGCACCTATTATTAAAGTTCCCATGTCTTAGAAATATCCTATTGAAACTTATTATTTGGAAGAAATACATTCATTTTTCAATGATGCTGACACAGCTAAAGTAGAACCTCATCAACCTTTGAGATTCCAAACTTCATTATACTTTTAAGATTCTCCTAAAATTCAATAGGATAGTGTCTCAGCCATGTTATAAATACTAGAATTCCTGGATTCCAATAAAATTAAAGATACTCAAGGTATGCAAGGAGCTGGGGCTGTCTTGATATTCCTTCCTGGATATTAAGAAATTATGGATATCAGAGAAGAAATCTATTAGAAGTTTGGAGAAGAGAGATTTATCATCGTCATACTGCATAGCACTGTCACTATTCCTAAAGATTTTGATGACATCCAAAAAAGAAAAAGAAGATTAATATTGAGTACAAATGTGGCTGAAAGTAGTATTACTGTTCCTGATTGCAGATTCGTTATTGATTTCTGTTTAACTAAAGAAATTATTTACAATCCCAAAAATCTCACTGAAAAACTAGCATTATAATACTGTTCTAAAGCATCTGCAGATTAAAGAAAGGGAAGAACTGGACGTTTATTCCCAGGAACTTGTTTTCGTTTGATACCTTAAAGCATCTTTAGACAAAAAATGACTCAATATTCTGTTTGTGAAATGTTAAGGTGTCCCTTGGAAATTATCATATTGAGACTAAAGAAATTGTATCAACTATCTATGGATAATCAAAATAAAACTGAAAAATTGGAGCTTAATACTGTAGTCGATTTAAAGTAGATTTTCTATGATCCCAGTCGAACCCTCAAAACTGCCATTGACCCTCCAAGTACTAAATAAATTGAAAATGCCATTTCCAACCTTTAAATGCTAGGAGCCTTATCTTATCCAAATAATCATGATTCTACTATCCATATAACTAGGTTGGGATAAATGATGAGTGACATGCCAATTGATATCTTCTTAACAAGATTCATTATGTATTGTAACATAATTGGATGTGCTTATGAAGGTGTCACCATAGCTGCCATATTGAGTTAAAGGAAAAACTACTTTTTACATCATTTTATGAGATCTTAAAAGTTGTTCTTCAATTCCTTATATCTATATGATAAAGGCAATGAAGATGATCTACTTATATAATTAAGAGTTTATTAGGAATGGGAAATTAAGTTTTTTAATATCCTTAAGTCTACAATTTCTTAACATGAATTAAAGAGGGAATTGAAAAGATTTACTAATAGAAATATTGTACCTTTAGAGAAACTATATTGTGAATAGAGATCAATTGATCCAAAAAACATGAGGGAAATATTAAATGTGAAATATGAATTATTTATGAGGTTGGATTAGTAATTTAAAAATGAACCTCTTGATTTGAATAATCCAGAAAATTAACTTAAAATTAAGAGTGCCTTTTGTGCTGCCTTTAAATAAAATACTTTTAGATTATAAAAGGATGAGAGATTTGATAAAAAAATTAAGTATTTGAAAGATTAAGGATTTGATTACACTCGCACAATCATGTTTGAAAGTGATAATATTAAATTTGATGGAGTCTCACTATAGAACAAAGAAATGATAAAAGAGAAGATTGCAATGATAATGGAACAATTTTGTGACTTCCATTAATTAGATAGATCTTAAAAAAGATTAGAAGATCAATTAAAAGATATATTAGCATATCATGATGAGTAAGCTTAAGGCAGATAGGGATTACCAAGATTCCACTTTAGGTCAGACTTGTAATTGCTAACTGAAATCAAAGCAAAATCAAAATTTACTAAGAATTGGGTCAAAAGTGTTATTCTATTAAATAATACAATTATAATTGAGTTTAAAGAGGTGGACTTAACAAAACTGAAATGTGTATTAAAAAGGCTTATGCATGAATGTGAATTAATGAAAAGATAATCAGCTAGGAAATAACCTTAAAGGATACCATGGGAAACATTCACAATGAGTAACCAAGTCGATATCATTAATTTTGTAGAAACAACTTAATCTTTGATATTCTACGGATGCTATTGTAGATTGATTCATTAGCATAAAGAAATCAATTGTGATCCTGATAGCATAAATTTTGTTTCATTAGACTAAAACAAGATGCTGGTAGCTTATGAAGTACAGGAGAAAGATTCAAATAAAAGGAATTCCACTAGACAAGTGATATCAATAGATTAAAATAAGTATTTGTTATGGTCATAAATATTGGCTATGCTTTTTGGAGTACAGGTGAAACTCTTTCATAATAACACTAAGACACACTTCATAAAGGCAAAGGTTGATGACAGAGACTACTAATTTGATTATTTTATCACTGAGGATGACTTGTAAACCATTAATTCAATAAGACAATAAATAAAATTATAGATTTTAGAATAGAGTTATACAGATAGTGGAATTTGGTAAAAAATACGATAGTTGGATAAAGTGAGATAGAGGATATTATATACTTCCGATGAAAGATGGAAATAATTATTTGATATTGAATTGAAAGATGACATCCTATCATTTTAAGAATCAAGTGAAAATAAGTAGAAAAGAAAGAGAATCTAACACTTTGAATTGGAAGAACAGAAGGCTGATAGTTTAGATTATATGAATCCAATCTAAATAATACGAACAGATTATGATTCTGAAGTACCTAAGCAATTTGATAACGAGGGAATTAAAATATATGTTCAAATTCAATAATTATACCAGACTTGGAAATAAAACATAGTCAATACTATAAAGAAATAGAATTTCTTTTTAAGAATGGGTAACACCACTCAGATTTGTTGTTTGGAATGCAATGATTATATGACTGTTGGTAGAACTATTGGATTATCATATATATCTGAAGACCCTGATATTAGAAGACAATTGGATAATGAATCCTTGGAATGGGCTAAGAGAATGGTTATGATTTTGGACGTGAGTTCATTTGGTGATTATTTCAATATCTCAATGAAGGTGGATTAAATTAAAGAGTTTCTGTCGGATCAAAGAATCTAGAGCATTTTTGAAAAACTCAAACTGATTTTTGAGCCAATCAATTATGTGTTCATTACATGTAATTCTGGTAAACATATTATTGGTTTCTATCCAAAGATTAAGCAGTTTAAAGAGATAGTGCAGATAGGAGATATTTAGAAATTCTATATCATAGATTAAAAATTGAAATTAGTATACACTAGTATGGAGGAGGAGAAATTTATATTTAGAAAGTTAACTATTGATGAGATCAAAAAGAAAGAAAATCAGGTATTAAATTTATATTAATTTTTAGGCTGTTTAATAGCGAAAAGTGTAGAATTTGACATTTACATGCAAATGTTGCTATGCAGAGTAAAGATATGATGAGAAAGGATATTTCGAAGGAAATGAATAGGCTTACAATCAGCATATCAAATAGGAAAGTCACAAGAAGGCTTTTGAGGAGTTATAGTTTACAATTATATGATAAATTATTGCAAACATTAAAGTGTCTAAATACAGATATTATAGTTTTTTCCTATTTCCATTATTATTTTAAACATATAATTAGATTATGCATCCTGTAGTATTTTATTTACTTTCAGTAGCAGCACTCTCTATATCTACTGGAATTGGGTTATTTGTTGTTAATTAGCAATATAGCAGATAAAATATCTACCCTTAAGTAAGCAAAGCCCAATGCGATCATAGAAATTATAAAATATTTACATTACCAAACTAAATTCATGTTATGGTTATAACATCCAATAGAACTGAGCTTAGTGCTGTTGCATTGAAAGAAGAAACTGGTTATATGAATGATCCCAAAGATTTTTAGGGAATGAGTAATTACATCTAATAATTGTTGTAAACCTCTTAAAAATATCCATAAGCTGATCTATTGAGAAAGATTATCATGTTAAACGCAGGAAAATAAACAAGAATTATCAATGAACACGAAAGCATTTATTATGCGCAAGTTTAGAATGATGCGTTTTTCTCACTTTTAGATGTGATCTCTAGATTATTCATTGATCCACTATTCACTAAACAGTAAATGGATAGAGTGCTATAGAATCTTCATGCTTAATGGAAGAGTATGGAATTATTTGATTATTCATAATAATTAATTTCCAAAAGCAGACATCCATACAGTTAATTTTACACAGGGAATTTAAAGACTCTATTTGAAATTCCTGAGGATGAAGGAAAAAACCCTTATATTGAGGCTAAGAAATTTTATCGATCCAAATATTCAGCCAATAGATTATCCATTGTGATTTACACCAATGAAGAACTGAAAAAGAGAGTCACTGAATTATTATTTGAGTATTTCAATGGATGTGTTGATAAATAATTACAAAAAATTACATATAAATAGTTTGGATTGCCTTTGAAGAACTAAAGGTTTTTTTATATTCAAAGCAAAGTCAAAGAGTTGAGGATTGAGTTTGATTTTGATATTGAAAATAACCATTTAACAAAATCATTGGAGTTTGTAATCCTCATGCTCATGAAACAATTTGAAAAAAACTTTTGTGATGAAATGTTTGAAAAGAAACTAGCCTTTAAATGCTATTATACATTAAAGGAAATACCTAAGGAATTTGCAATATTCAAAATATTTCTTCATCTACCAAAGCAAACCAAGATTGATGAGATTCTCACTTCCTTATACAAGAGAATCAATTACTTAAAGCAATAAGATAACTTAGAAGAATATTGGGATCATCTACTTTTGATGCAAGAAATTAATTTTTAATATTCTAATTATGATATTGAGAATATCATATAATTATCATCTAATTTAAAGCAATACTTTTCAAAGGATATTTTATAAAATAAATTACTTAAGAAATATGACAAGGCTGCCATATCTCATGTTTTATAATAGATGGAACCATAAAATATGACTGTAATATTGTTGGACAATTTCTATGATTCTTATTAAGCTGACATGGGATTCATGAAATTTGGAAACTCGTTTGTAGAACAATCGCACTGTGTAGAAGAAAAGAAAAAAGTATTCAAAGGCAGAGTCAAAAAAAGATATAGAGTCTATGAAGATGAAATAAGTGATCCAATTATTGATAGAGATCACCCAATTGACTTATCAGAAGAAGAAGAATTCATTGTTGAACCAGATGATGTCATCTAAACAGAATAAGATTATGATATTGATAAGGGATATTCAATACCAGAAATCGAGAATTTCTCTTATCACCAACTTTTTGGATTGCGTTCTTTTGAAGCTGGAATATCAGCTAATACAGTTCAAAAGCTTATAGCTATCAAGGATACAGAGCTAAAAATAGTTGATGATTCTCATATCCCAACAATATTTGAATTGCTACCTTAATCTCCTGATAGTTAAAGTGTAAAGAAAAAAAAGAAAAATTTTAAATATCCTGAGTTATTGATAACTACTTAAGCAGGAAATTTATGGCATATTTAAGATACAACAAATGGTGTTCCCAAAGTGCAATTTAGGGTTTTAGCTAGATTTTTAGATTTTGAAAGTCTAGGTGAAAACTTCATAGCAAAAGAGATTGTTAAATTGAATTTCAAGATTCCTTAAGGATTTCATGTTGCTTCTTTTTAAATAGATATTGGTGTTGGATAAATTGAAATTATCGTTTAATGTTTCACTTAATAAATAGAAGAAATTGCTAAGCAAGTCATGAAAAATTATTAAGAAGCTTTCACTATTAATAAGGATGACTTTTAATGGTATTTGGAGAACTTGGAATATTAAGATAGATATTGGGAGAAGAATACTACAACTATTGAGAAAGCCTTGTTTTATGCTAAATAAATTTTAACTAATTCATAAGAATTTTAATAACATAAATATGATGTTAAATTTGAGAAAATACAAGAAACCCTAAAGAAATTATGGGAAAATTAGCGATTTGATATCCTGCTTTATGGGAACATAGATACTGATTATTCAAAATAATTGTTTGAATCAATTATGCCAAAAGTATAGAGCAAGAGCAAATCATTTTTTACTGAAGAAACATATAAATTATCAAAAAGGGCTATTACATATAGGTTAGCTAAGTTAAAATCTGAGAGCATAGTCACTTTGAATCTTTATTAGGGATCTGATCCAAGTTTAGTATAATATGTGTATATGAGACTATTGTAAAGACTTATGAAATTTCATATTGAAGATTATCTATTTAATTAATTGTAATTAGGATTTGCAGTGGATGTTTCTTTGATATAAGTGAACCACATTGATTCCATTGTTATAATAGTTCAAAGCAATTCTTACGATCCAGAAGAAATAGACTTTTATATTGAGGAGTCATTGGGATATTTTGAATCCTTTTTGAATAGACTTCCTGACAAGGATTTTGATGGGTATTTCTGAATCTTACATAATATTAGCATCAAGTAGGCAATCCAAAAGCAATTGCAGTAGGTTCCTAATACATTAGAGCAATAGGCTGAGATTATCTGGAATTCAATTAGAGATGGTTCATATTATTTTACTTAGAGAGAATGCACAATTTTGGCTTTGGAAAAGATATCAAAATCTGATCTAATGAAATATTTTTTGATTTTCTTCAAGGCTAGAAATTCGAAATTGTCTTTGTAACTTTTTAAAGAAGGTGCATCAATTCCAATGGAAGTTTTAAGAGAATAGGACACATTTGCTTAGAAAACATCAGATTTAATTTTGAATTAGGAATAATTTCAATAGGCAATAAAGGAGACTTACAAGTTCAAACCAAAGTATATAGAATAAGCACCTTAGCATGTATGTTGATGACAATTAATTTATTTATTCAAAACTTTTATTAATTATTTTAACTGTCATGTCCGAAACATCATTGGGTTAAAAGAATGCTTTATACAATTAGCAAGACTATGAGCCAGAATTGATGGAATCCTCAAGATTTTAATAGGTATCATAAAACAAGTAAAATAGGAAAAACAATTAGAAAAATAATAGAATTAATAATCCATTTTCCAGCAACAATAGAATCCTCAATATCAATAACATCATGAGGATAATTTATAAGATAGAACAACCCCCTTTACATTTACAGTTTAGAATATGCCAAAAGTATGTATGGAATAAGACTTAGATAAACTGTTTTAATCATTAGGGATAGACATTTACTAATTTTTGTAAATGCAGGGAATGCTTATTGCCACTATGTCCTGAGTGTGTGAAAGAACACGTTTACGAGCATTCAGAATACAGGTCTTATCCTAAGTTGGAATGCTTGGAGAATATTTTAACTGATGTTCACAAGGAAGTCTGCTAACAAGGTAATTTTAGAAAGAATAACTAAAGCAAATTAATTGGTATATGCATACTTAGATATTTAAAAATCAATCTCTTAAGCCTTATCATACACTTAGGAAACAGTGTAAAAATTAAAGGAAGCCAAAAATAGAATATTGAATATAGTGGAATAGTATTTCCATGCTTTGGAGATTGAATTGGAGAACAAATAAAGAAAGAACTTTGATAACTTCGATCGTGATGGAAAATCCTTTACTTAAGTATTAAATGCAAGATTTATCTCTCATATAAATTTCTTAGACAAATTAAAATAACCAGATTGCATGTATTCTCTACTACCCTATCTGCTATCTACAACTAAAGAGGATAATTTATAATATATAGAGACAGCTTAATCATTTTCATCCAGATTTAAAGAAGCCTAATCATAGATAAACTTTGATTCCATAGAATCGTATATTATTTATCAAATAAACCATTAGTTCAAATTTAAGCTAGCAAATTGCTTAGATAGTTAATGTGGTCCATAAAGATCTGCCAGAATTTCTTGATATTCATAAGCTTGCAACTCCTGAAATAATATCTAACCGGGTTTTAACTGTAAAATCACAAAATTCCTAACTGCCACAACAAACTTCTAGAATTTAGGAACAAATTTAACTAAATTAACTCAAAGAAAAACCAGAACCTCCAAAGATGTAACAATAGCCTGGATTAGAGTTATCATATGGTTATTAATAATAATAAAAAATGCCTTTGTAATAGGTTCCTATTTAGTAAGTTTAGAATCCTTCATTTTACTCTGGATACCCGTAATAATAATAATAAGTTTATGGACAATAGCCATTTAAATAAGCCTAGTTAATTTCACCTAATAAATATTAAGGTTATTCTTAAACTCTATAGCCATACCAATAATTATAAGCAGCATATCCTAATTTTAATACTCAGTTTTCAAATCAAGCATATTCATCCTAAAGGTATTATTGAGCAAATTATTAATATATTGAAAGTTTATAAAAATTATTAACAATGCTAAAGGCTTCCTCTAAAAGTTCTAAACCAGAATCACATTAAAAGATTTCATAACCATCTAATGATTCCTCCAACCCTTTAAAATTGAGTAGAGAAAATTCAACTAAAAATGTAAGTAAGGGGTCGACTACAACTCTTATAAAACCTTTGCATAAGTCAACATAGAATAGTAGAACATCGTCTAGTTCAAAAATCCTTAATCTTTCATAAAGGAGAATAGCAAGCAAAGAAACGTCTCCATCATAAATGATTGAATAAGCAGTATTAAAAGCCCCAAGCAAAATTACGAATAAAACATCATTAAAGCAGAAAACTCAAAAATAAAATGATGGGAAGCCACAAAATCTAAGTGATTCTAAGATAAAATAGACTCTGATAACAAATTAATCATAATAGCCAAAAGATGGATCATAAAAATAAATTTCTGTTCTAAAAAAGGGAATAAACTAGTTGGTTTATCGTTCATCTAGTTTTAATAAATTAAATAAGTCACTAAATTCTAATTCATCAAGTCGTAAACCATCTCCATCAAACAAGGATATACTAATAACAAAATAAAAATTAAGTTCCTAATAAAGTTAAATAGAATAATAATCTCAAGAATAATTGTATTAATAGGCGGAATTGAATGATCAAGAATAAAAAGATCTGATACAATAGCAAGACTTTTAAGATGATGGTCATTAAACTGAAGAAAATTTAGTAAATGATTAATCTGAAGGATAATAGATAGATGGAACACTAAATGAAGACATGTCTGAATAGGATTAAAACTAACTTGATTAAATGCAATAATCTAATAATTACTCAGAGCAACATTATACTGAAAATGATGAAGAACAATAAGAATTAGTAAACCAGTAATTAATTTAAGCAAGTGAAAAACTGCAATATTTAAGTAATGATGATCAAGAATTAATAGAAAATGATGATGATCATTAATCATGTGGTCTAGATATCAATTAAGTAGATAATTAAGAAATTAACTTATAGGATGATTCTGATAACTAGAAAACAAAATATTAGCCTTAGATTGAATCTATTTAAATGGATAAAGCTAATTATTAAGTCAATTTATTATCATCTGCAGAAGACACAAAGGAATATCGGATATTGAAAGAAATTTAAACTTATCCAAATTAGATAGGGGAAAGATTGCACACAATTTAGGAGGACTTGCAAAGTAATGAGGCTATGAGTCAAATATAATTTAATGAGATGGTTGATGGAGATACTAGTGAATTAATTCTAACGCATAAAACAGATAACCCCTATAGAAAAAGTAGTGTAAATTTTCTATAGAAATAATCTTAGAATACATCAAGCACCAAATTTTTAGAAATTATAATCCAAGATGATCAATCTCAATTTTAATAAATCAAATCAGCTAAGGCTTCATTAACCTCATAATACTTTAAAGTTTAAAATTAAAACGATAGAAATTTTTTATAAGAGGAAATATAAGGAAATTAAAATTCATAAATAACTCAACAAATCTAAAATACAAGAGAAAAAGTATAATTTTTTGGTAAAAAAAGGTAAGAAATTGTTACAAAAACTTAGAGTATCGAAGATGAAGAAGTAAAAGTAGATAAAATCCAAACATATTAGGAGAACGGATGTTAAGAGGACCTAATTTACCATTAACATAATGATTAAATGGGGGGGGATTTATTCTTTAATAACGCGATTAAAAATAATAATTAGAATTTTATTCATAATTAGATATTTAAGGATTAACAATAATAATTAGTAAACGAATTAAACGAATAAGAGAAATACTAAATAAATAAGTTTGATTAAGAAGACTCACATAGTATTTAGAATGAAGAAATATCAAGGGATATAAAAAAGAAAATGTAATTTGATTCTCCATAAAACTAAACTTAAACTAAAGAATAATCAACTGTTGATAATCAAGATACATAATAAGAAAAAAAAGAAATCTCCTCTAGTTTCAATAAAGGAAATAATTATGGATAGAATGTGGAGAGCATCGATAATATTAATTGCTCTAATTTTGATGAAGTAAATGATTAAATCCATTAAAATTAAACTGGGATTAGAGATGATCATAACAATTCAGAACATAATATTCATATTCTTGAGCATGAAAAATCGAATGAAGATAAATATTTGTAAAATAAATAAGATTAAAAAACATTAGAATTCTAAAGTTATCATAACTAGTTACGTATGTAATCTAATAATATTGATTTGAGTGAACCTAAAATATAAGATATTGGCAGCATATATGTTGTTTAATAATAAAATGTCAAAATAAAAGAATAATAGTGCGAATTAGATGAAATTAATTTAAATGATTAAGAAGCAAAAGAGAAAAAATTACATTTAAATTTAAGTAAATTAAAATAAAACTAAGAAATTAACCATTCTAAAGATCGATTTGAAATAAATTAGATAGAGTCTTCAGTTAATTAAGAAAGTATGTATATCATTGAAAAAGATCAAAATGATTTAGAGGATTAAGTGTAAAATAAAAATACTATCATAAATAATCAGAAATTGGGTGATAATCATCAATAATAGAGAGAATATGAGTAAACTAATTGTAACGATGAAAATCAAAATTAGTCTTGCGATTCTGATAAAAAGTCAGTTAAATCTTAAAGGTCTAAGAAGTCAAGAATAACAAATAATTAAGAAATGATAAATAATAACTCTTCATTTCATAAAAATGATACTGAATTGGAATTTAATTGTAATGACATTAATAGTTAAAGAACTTAAGAATTTGGTGAGACATAAAGAGAGAGTGAAAATGGAATAGAACAATTTTCTAGTTCATAAAAATAAATAGTAATTAAAAAATAAGAATTTGAATCGGAAATCAATAAAATTCGTTTTTCAATGGCTCTTAATCTTTAAAATATATAAGGATTTAATAGAAATAATAGGGAAGATTAATTAGATACAGGAAGAACAGATGATAGTATGATAAACTAATTAGTTGGTTAAGATAGAGATCATAATAATGCTCATTTAGTGAGGCATAACTTTGAGGCAAGGCCATCAATTAAAGTGAAAATGTAGCATCTTTGTCTTGATGACATAATATAAGAAAAATAGGAATCTGCAACTCCTGATAATTATACAAGATCTATAAATCCTACACCTAAACCTGGGGGAAGTACTAAGCATTAAAAACATTTTCTTTCTTTTGGAGTTTAAGATGAACTTAGAGTTAAATAAGTAGATTAGATAGGACATTCCGAGAAAGATATTGAAAAGGACAGAAAAAAAAGAGAGAATTCTTCATTGAAAAAATAGTAGATCTAATCAGAAAAATAAGATGAAGAAGAAATCAAGGCACTTTAAAAAATTCTGTCATCCAAATTAGAAATAAAAAAATAAAAGGAGAATCATATTCTAGAGCAATCATTGAAAATTGAGGAGTTTTAATACATTCTTAATCACATCCCAGATATCTAGGAGTTAGATGGAAATATAGATTTATCCTTGAGTAATATTATTACTGATTTTCTTGATAGCCACAAAAGAAACCGATATAAGGATATATCAAATATGAAAGATCCTCATTTGGCAAATTTGATGAGAAACAAATTTTAGGAAATTTTAAGTAAGCAAGATTAAACTACACAATAAGATCCAGAGATAAAACGATAATAATAACTTGAAATTGAGGTTAAATAAAAATAGCAAGTTAATTTTGTGTTACAATTGCTATTTTAGGAATATAACACATTAAGATCAAAATCTTATAAATTAAATTTAGAACTTACTAATTCTCAATCAAAACTATTCGAAAAAATGAAAAAGCTAAGCATAAGGGAGAAATTAATCCCGTAATTAAAACAAATAGACATTCATTAACATCGAGTTACTAATGAATTGAAAAACTGTATTTTATCTTAAAAAACAGAATTTAATAATGAAGAATTAATAGGTTTTATTCAATCTGAATTAAAAGTCTAAGAAGACATCAATCAATGTATATAAGAAATTAGAAGTATATTTAAGGATAGAATTGATTAAATTAAGCAAGGAGAGATGGTTATGGAAGAGTAGCTTTTATCTAAATCTTAAAAATATTGATCTAATAATTGTGTGTATTGAATTTAATTTATATGAATTGAGTAAATAATATATTCAAAGTTTAATAATTTTAATAGTTTTGTTTGAATCTCCTATTAATATCTATTAAGATAAGGGTAGTAAACAAGTAATTTTGTCAGCAAATTAAAACTTCCGAGTTCTTTGAAAGGACTATATAATGACACATTTATCCTTTTGAATAATGATCTAATTCTTAGGCATAGCATATATCCAATCAGCATCCAATTCAATTTCTGAATTAAATATTAAATTATTTTATTAATCATCAAAAACAATTAATGATCTTTGTGTAGTAAGTATATATAATTGTTGATCTTCATAGAAGATAGTTTTGATATGTTTATCAAGTTATATTTTTTAAATATTAGTTATATCATCAATTATTTAATGTATTTAATTATCGATAGCAATAATTATTTGTTTAGGAGTCACACTAAAGCATTTCACATTTCCACTTAATGGTATTTTATAACTTTGAAAGGTCAAGAAATTGGCAGTCAAAATATATAATGATCCTTATTAATCTAAATGCAATTAAATAGGAGGCTCTTCTATTCTAATCGATTATTAATATTTAAAAGGTCCATGCATAGAATCAGAAATCCATTGTATTATCTAACAGTCACTGCTACTAGTATAAAATGTTTTGTTATTAGCCTAGATGATAATTTTAGTCATTTATTTAATCGGGCGATAATGTTATCCTATGCATGTGACCATCTTCGAATATTAGTTTAATTAATATAATTTGTAATTTTGACAGCATACTATAAGATCGGTTTGATTGGGATCATTTTAAATGTGAACAGCTATAGATTTTAGAGAATAATAATCCAGATCTTAGATTATTGATTAACTAGATTAGTGAATTCGATTGTTTCTAGTTGTGATGTTTTCAGATTTACTATAATCTAAAGAGCATTAGTTAATATGATTGTTATCGTTGGCCCATATCCAAGATTAATTTCTAAGACCACTATTAATCTTTTACGAAATATTTTAATTTTTGTTTTATCTGTTGCTATTTAAATATTTAAACGATTCCCTTTGATTTTTAATGTTGTTATGAGATCTTTCAGTTTCAGTTCCACCCAAATGACTGTAATTGGTAGCGAAAATGGTATGATTCTACTTTCTCTTAGAAATTGTTTATTTCTCTTGAGTTATAGAATCATAAAATGATGATGTATTAATATCTTACAAGTTTTGATTGAATCTATCATTGAAAAATTGCAATATTTTTTTATCATTCTGTGGTTTCTTTTTCTGTAAAATATTGTTGAGTGATTAACCAATTTCTTGAATTTTTTATAGTGAAAACTTCATTGAAGTTTAAGGGCGCTTGAATTGAGTAATTTTATAGTCCTCTAATTCTGTAATTCCAAACATCTTATTTGGAGTTGTTGAACGTATACTCATTTAATTAATTATTATATTAACATACAAAATAGAGAAAAGTAGTTCTACACTTAAGTTTATTATTAACTATTTTGATATCTTACAACTCAATTCGGAGATACATAGCTTTCTAAAGAATAATAGTTGAGAAACAATAGGCACAAAAAGAAGAATCTCATTAAAATTAACAATGATGTTTACTAATATTAGTAATTATTTTAATTGGTAGTATTAAAAAGTCTATGAATATAAAGTTGGGTTATTTTTGTAATAGTTTCAAATATCCTACAAACATGAAACATATTAATACAAATATAAGATTGAATTTTTTAAATTGGATTATAAGGAAGCAAAATTATACTAAAGTTCTGAGAAGGAATGCCTATGAGTTTTGCTATAAACGTGTTTAATATCATTTTAAATCTATGCCTTTTACTTAAATAAATTTTCCACTAAATTGTTTGACTTATATAACTTATTATAATATTTAATAATTTTTAAATTAAAAAATATTTACATAACATCTTAAGAAGTCGGACACTTAAGTCAAAGAACAAACATTAATATACTTTCTGGAAATATAAAATATTTTAGTTTAAATAAGTGCTTTATGAGAAGCAACTTAAGTTGTATTTAAACTCTATTTAATGATGACACTCTAAAAAAGTCAAATGTAAAAAGAGTAGAGTTGTAGTAGAATGAAATTTAAAAATTGTCAATGGAAAATTAGATTTCTTACTCTTTAAATTCATTTAAACCATAAATACTTCAATCAATAAAGATAGATATAAAAATCCTAATGGATTTAATAAAAATTCAAGCAAAAAATATATATATTTTTTTGTAAATTTCTTATGATCCATATCTATCTTGATTTGAATAATAAATAAGTTAATCATCTGTTATCAAACCATTAATAATATTCTAAAAATAAACTTATAAACATACCAGCCTTATTAACAGAAAATTTTAAAGTGAAAGATGATTTGTTAAGATTCTCCTTTATAGTTTTAATTGTATACTTAGATGAAAATATTTTAACATATAATCAATAGTTTTGACTTGAGATAAATTAATTAATTTCTCTATAAAATTTAATCGATTTCATAATTTATATAGGCAATTTTACTTAAAGTTAGAACTCTTCTCTTCTTATAATTTTTTCACTCAAAACAAACCCTTCGCCATTTGAGTCTTAATATCTATCTATGAGTAAGTATTGAAAACGTTTAGGAACATCTATTTTGACAAATACTATTTTTTGAGTTTGCCTGCTTACTATTGATAATAACTTGTCTACTCAAAAATTCACAATACTTCGATGTTCAATTTTATTAATAATATTATTTAATTAGCATGTATGTATAGATAGATGTTCATTAATTATATAAATTTGTAGAAATAGATGTTGTACCTAAAAGTAAATGAATTTTGAAAATCTCAATTATCTTTAGATAGATTATTTAATAAATTATTTGTGTTTCTCTGAAAAGAAGTCATAATTTTTATTTTACAATTACACACGCTTTTGTTAGATAGTTGTATTCATTAAGAAGATTTTAATAAATATTTAAAATTAAAAAAAAATATTGTAAGAATGCCAAACCATTTATTCAGAACTCATCCAAGAACCTACGGAAAAGATTCAAGAGGTTATCTATAAATAATATTAATAAAGAATGCAGAGTCTGCGCTGCTAGACAAGGTTTGATCAGAAAATATGGCATGAATGTTTGCAGAAGATGTTTTAGAGAAAACTATGAATTGATTGGTTTCCACAAAGTATATATTCATTAAGAATTATTAAGTATAACTGAGGGAATCGCAGTGAGATATATGTACATTATAAATATTAATTTTACATTCTCCCCAATAAATTATATGAGAAATAATCTTTTGAATATATAACAAACTTAGTTAAAGGTAGTAAAAATCAAATATTTGACCCATCTCTCGTCTTTATTCTTCTTCTGAAGAAGCCTTCTATTTCATATTATCCTGGACCCTAAAATGCTAGTTGAATTCATACTGGAATAAATTCAGGTTTTTGGTTTCCTTTTTATGCTTTTCCAAAAGACATCGAGGTCTTTCTGAGGCTAGTGTAATCGTTGATGTAACTGAAAGGAGTAGAGGGTTTGGATTGCTATTGTACATTTTATTTAGGAAATGAAAACTTAATTATTTATTATTCTTACGCTCACACTTCTGCTTTGAGGTAATTCATAATCACCTGGGCCTGGTAATTTGTCTTGATAATTCTTTGCTCTTGATGATGTACCAAAAACAGCTCTTGGAGATGAGTCAGTTGTAATTCTAGGGGAATAATCTGCTGGTCCTGGTCCCATAAGCATAGATTTTTCCATTCTCGGACTAGTTCCAATTTTGATACCCTTTGTTTTGTTATCCTAAAAACTATACTCTCCAGGACCAGGCAAAATGTCCAGCTTGTTTTTTCTTTAACTTTTTGGCATTTTGAAACCAATATCTGATCGTAAAAGCGAAGGTATATTGTAACATCCAGGTCCAGTTGAAAATGAATTTATTTTAGTTGTTCTTTCTGCTTTTGGAATGGCATAGGCAGGGGCTAAAGATTTATTGATTTGATTGTATTTAGCTGGGCCTGGAGAGTCATTGTAATTGGTCGCTTATCGCTTTTCTTAAGGAAACTTAAACCCATGGGTAGTGTATGACAATTAGTTATATTTTCCAGGTCCTGGTGAGTCACTTATTTTGTAGAAGGAATCTTTTGAACCTGACATGACTGCTCTTGGACTTTATCTAAAAGGGATTATTGGGTGGTATTTTCCAGGACCTGGAGTATCCAATATAAAATTGTCTTTTTTTCTAGATCCCATAGTATATGCAGGTGAATTAGGTATTTTACTGTAAAATGTTTAGGTCAATTACTCTTATTTAACTATTAAATTTACCTTATTTCATTCCAACAACTTAATGAATCAATAAAAATAAAATTAATTCATTCAATAATTAATATGTATTATATTTATTCATTTATTGTGTATATAGATAAATTCTTTATTATAAGTAAATAGTAAATAAATTATTGCTCAAAAATAAGTCCTAAGATAACCATTCTTATTATTTAGTTACTATAATGGTTAATAATATAGCCATTATCGAATATGGTATAAAGCATAAGAAATTATACAGAACTTGTTCTTCTTATATTCCATTACTACTACTGTAATTGATAGTAATTACATGAAGCTAAATTTATTATTTAAGAAATGAAATTAATTTATTTTCGAAATCTAATTTATAATATTCTAATTAGTCTATGCTTAGTTTCAAATATTTGCAACCAGATACCTTTCTGATAGAACATTTATTAAGTTAGATATTTATATACACATTAAATAAACTATTTTGTAATTTAGAAATTGAGCTTTTTGAGAATTCAATACAATTTTGTTTAATTGTAATTTATTTACTAACTATTCGTCATTGAATTTCAACTAAATAGAAATAGAAGATTGAAGATGGCCTATCTTCTAGAGTAGTTTAAGTTGTTCATGAATTTATGTTTTTATTTTTAATTTTCAAGAATATAATTTTATTTCTAATATGATCTATATGAAATTTATTTGGTTTATTTTTAAAAAGAGGGAAGGGGAGATTGGGTTCATGATATATTATTCTGAATAGATATTATTGATATCAAAACTGTAGCCATCTAGAAATAAGTACAGTAGTTCTTATTAATAATAGTGATTATTTATTGATATTATTAATATATTTCAAAGAGATATCGATAAATGTTCTGTTGTGGTGGAAAAAAGAAATAAAGAGAATAGGTTGGATCAACTAAAATGAAGAGTAAGATCTTAACTGTAATTTTTTTTTAAATGTTGTTTAGGAATTCTCTGAAGAAATAAATGATGAAGCAATGACTCTCTACTAATCACCATTCTGTCAAAACATATCAATAATGTTTTAATATCCTGTAGACCCTAATTCAATGAGGTAAACAATGTGGAAATATTGATTTAGAACGGGTTCCAATACTAAGATTACCAGATCTGTTGAACGCTTGACTAATCCTCTTCCGAAAATAGTGCCTAGAAAAACATCGTTCCTTAACTTTAAATACAGTAAAACCAATCAGAATACAAAATTTGTTTCGGCTAAAAAAGGATTCACTTTATTGGTGACAAAGACCAATCCTTGTTGATCTCCATATTATTTTTAACTTTATATTGTATAAATTCTCCCTCAATTACATTTATTGCAATATTCTTTGAGTTAATGACTGACAACAAGGATTTTAATTATAACACAATTTAATTTAAATCCTCTGGGTTTTATAATAATGAACTATGGTATACGTTAACCATTCAAATTTTTATTTGGAGAGTCAATTTATTCTAAGACAAAATAATTTCTAAGAAAACCTACTTTCTTAAATTCTAGTAACCAAATAATATTACGAAGAATTAGCCATAAGTGGGTCATTTAATTTTTATTTATTGAAAATAATTGCAATTACGCAGCCTTTATAAACAACTCCATTCTTAAAACACAAATTAATAAATAAATATAATCTAAGTGTTAAAATGTTAGCATTTTAATCATGTAACCTTTCATCAAGTTAATAATCTGGTCTGTCACTGTTAAATGTAAATTAATCACATGAGATTGAATCATCTTAATCATCATCATATTGGCTTCAAGCATTTAATTAATTCCCATCTCAAATACAACAGAAAGACTAGCTAATTCAACAAGAGAACTAGAAATTAAAAAATGACAATCAACTTCTGCAATAATAAGTGAATCATTTAGAGAATAAGCAATAAGAGTTGATTTATGAAGTATTATATTATTAGACTTTAGATCCATGATTTGAGATAGTTAATTAAGAGAGTATACTCTGAGAGTGAAATGACAGTTCAATTCTTAAAAACTAAAAATGTACATTATGAATTAATTTTAAAGGTCACACTTGAACATCTCAATGACAGTTTAGAAAAAGCCCTCAAAAATTTATAAAATAATATTAATATGTTTGGACAACTGAAAGACCTTTCTGAATTCATGAAAGACGGAGCTGATCTTTGATTACCCTATACATATTAACTAACTACTATTTTATAACAAATTAAGATATAATTATCATTTAAGTATAAATTTTTTTTATAATATTTTGATAATTAGTATTATGCATCCAAATTATGATTACTTTTCATAATCTCTCAAAATCAAATGTTTTTAATATCTAGAACACCTATTTAAATATTCATTTAAGTATATATATATTATTTCAATATATTTAATAAATTTATGTTATCTTCAAAAACACTGCCGGAACAAAATTTTGGAGAATTAGCTGAATCAGAGAATTCTAGAGAAGGCTCACCAAAAACTGTCAAATCCTCAAGTGTACTATCCTTTGAAGAATTATAAAGCTTTATCATGGATGAGGTCTAAATAAGCTATGAAGTAATAGAAAATTATGGTACTTCGAAAAATCAATATAATTTATTAAAAATAATAAATGAATCTGATGGTTAAAATCAAAATAATTTTTATTGTATCATAGTCAACTTTAATGATGAATTGCTAAAATAAAAAATAAAAATAGAAATCTCAAGGGTTTTATATATCTAATATTATTAGTATTCATTTGAAACTAAGTATTTTGATTTTACAGATTGGAAAGATCAAAAAGATTCTTTAGTTTTTAGTAATTCAACAAGTACTACAGAGCCCTAATCCTTTAGAGATTACGTTTCAATAAACTCTTAATTTTGTAGGGTTATAGTATTTTCTCAAGAATTTGATTTACAATTAATTGACTTAATTCACAACTATCCATACCTATACTATTGCACTGATACCAAATTAGTAAAGGAGGAATATTTGGAGGGCTTAAAACTGCATTAATAGTTTTAATTGATCGAAATGAATTACAAAATGATCAAACATTTAATTTCGACATCGTAATCAGTTATATCATTTCTTAGGTTATCGAGATTAAAAGATATCAAATTTGCAGGGATTTAAATCAAAGGATGTATAGATTATGTGGACAATATTAATCAGATTAAGATTCATCCTTAGATTGAGTATTAGAAAATAGGAAAAAAGAAGATTTTATTTAATTATAATATCCCTTTTATCACAGTAAACTCATATTTTTACTTACCACTACCTTTAAGGGTAAAGAATTTAGAAATCACTGATTATCTCACTTAACAATTTCAGACAAAAGCTGTTCGCACTTCTATAAGTACTACTCATATTGAAGAGTATGAAAAGATTTACATTTTATTAAATGTATATATAGTAATTAATAAAGTCTATTTAAGATCAAATCAAAAAGGATGAACTTTTTTTTTCTATCAATTCAAATAAAGAATTTAATTCTCTTGAATCTTTGCTCACATTAAATTAAGTTAATTAAATTTAAGACTTGAAAAATGAATTGATAGATGAAGATCAATATTTGAATTTAATAGAAAAAATCCTCATATATTTTTCATAGTGTTCTAAAACATAAATAGAAAAATTTATTTTGTTTGTTTAATTAAAGCACTATATCCTTTATAGATTGCATAACTCTTATCTGAATTATTGATTAATATGATATATAATCCTAATATTATTTAATTAAATATTTTTATGAATGAAAAAATTATAAGGTTTGATACAAGGAAAAATAACAGAAATCGGATTATAGAAAAAATCTTCAGTTAAAATTAGAAGAATTCCTTCAATAGTGTTAATTATAAGATTAATGTTTAAGATATGTTAAAGAAAATAAAATTAAGAGAAGTTAGAAATCAATTCTCAAATGAATATGATTCTAATTATACTTGGATTTCAAAAATGTCTCCACAGCCGAGACGTAAAAAATGCGTCCCTTAAAATCTCAGGCTTGAAACTCTACGAAATACGCAAAGAGATACATCAATGAAAAAGACATATGATGAGGATAAAATTTATAAGCAATAATTTAGTTTGAATTCGAATACTAGATTTACTACCATTCCAAACCGCTTTGATTCTAAATAAACGATTATAGTATCGCCTATAACGATTAAAGATACTGTTCCTGTGAAAGAATAGTCAATTCTAGAGGATTAAATACGTCTCTTTAATTATAATAACTTTAGTAAGTTTTCTAGTTGGTCTAGAAAATCATCAAAGAGTCTAATATGATTATTTTTCAATGCATTTCTAACTAGAAATTTAAATTTCATTTAATTATTGATTTATTAAAAAAGTATTATTAATGGAGATTAATAATTTTTATTGAAATTTATGTGCCTACCAATATTTAAAGGATATATGCAAGTGCTGTTGTAGAATGACACTATTACCTAAGATAAAGTAGAAAATAACTATACAAGAAAATAAGCTATCAAATTCAAAGTCATATAATCTATTCTAAAATAAATAAAGTGGAAAATAGGCTATAAATGAAGAATCTATTTTAATCATCATACTATTCTATTTTAATCAAGAACTAGATTCCAAAATAGATAGATATTGAAGTGAACTTAGACAAATTGGAGAGGTAATTGAACACATATTTCTAAATGATTATTTTCTTCTTATTTCGTAATGTTTTTAAATAATATTTAATATTTAGTGATTGGTAGCAAAATTAAATTAATGTGTAGAAAGATGTAGACAATAGAAAATGGGGTTAAACAATAGATTGCTACATCATTTGATAATTGCTAATTTAAATTGTTTTATTGTATGTAAATAATCTACTGTATGTTATTAATCATTTTGGTACGTCCTTCTTTCTTTATCTTCTTTATTCGACTTATTTCTTTCTTTCCTCTTCAATTAAGTCCTTTCTTCCTGCATGCCAATTTGGTCCCTTTCTCTTTTATTATGGTCCTGTTGAGGCTGCTGCTGATCCGAATCTAAAAGAATATAAAGAGTGAAGACCTTCTATTGAAGCAGATTCTTTTGTAGGCTCTTCCTTTTGGGATTTTGTGTCTTCTGACTTATTTTTCAATCTTTGGAGTTTGCTTTCTAACTTTACCAGCTTTGGCTAAGGTTCCGTGAAGTTTTCCCATAATAAAATTTTTTAATAAAAAGATTTAAATTTATTTGATTAATCAAACAAGGCTAACATCTTGTCATTTGTTAGGATTTAAAGACTTGAAAATTTGGATATTGATTTTGATAATATAATGCATACCAAGTAGATATCCAAGATTAAGTTAAGGTGCTTAACAAGATTATTTGTATTTTATCAATGGCTTTACTGAACAAAACCAATATACTTTTATGATACTCGCTATCTCTTATTTGATGTTATCAATTAAATGATTCAATATGATATCTATTTAGCAATAATTTAATAATTAATGATAATACATAATATTTAAAATATTAATATTAATGATTTATGAAGGAATTACATCCATCGTACATAGTGGTATTAAATATTTGTTATTTAAGAGTTCTACATAAAAAGTGGAAATGGAACATCTATTTAAAGGAACATTTTTGAAAATGTTGATTATGATGATTATGAGAAATAATTAATTGAAGAGATTAAAACGAAAATGAAGGAGAAGGGATTGCAGGTAAAATTAAAAAGAAGCATTCTATTGAAAATGTTAATGGCTGCCCAGTATAATATTGAAAAAGCGATTATTGTATGTCATTTTTTATACTAAAAGCACTTTAGAACTGCTAGTCTCATTTAAATTTCCTATAAGAATACCAAAAGCAAGATTGCATTAATGAATTAAAGAAAGGGCATCTGTATGTTTGTGGATTTGACAATTAATTTCGCCCTGTCATTGTAATTAGATAATATTGCGATATAAAAATAATGGCTTACTTTTTGGAAACTGTTAAAAGATAGTTGTTAATTGATTATTATGTTGAAAATTGGACAATCATCTTGGATTTAGATACCGATTTACCAGTCATAGAACTAGATGACTTATTGTATTTGTAGTTGCACTTTTATGGAAACTTAAATAAGATCTTAATAGTTAATGGACCAGACGATATCGATGACATTGTCAAACAATTCACTGGTATTTATTATCTAGATTAAACTATAGAAAAAATAAAGGATTTGTAAGTTAAAATAAAAATTATAACAGAATATTAGTAAATATTGCAGTATATCCCAAAAGAATAATTGGAAATAAAATATGGGGGTGATTTCAATAATATGGAATTATTTTGGTAAAATGTTAAATTTATTTTAGGCCAATTTTGAAAAGAGAAACTCATACTGGAACAAATAGATTATTAAAAAAGAACTCTCATTTATCACTTAATTCAATGGGAAGTTCAATCAACAAAAAGCCAAGCTTTATGAAAATTACAGTATTAGAAGAAAATGGAAATCCATTATTGAACCAGTAAGTGGAAGTCTTTGAAGACTAGATAGAATCTTAATAAGGAGAGCAATAATAGTATCAGAACAACTTTTAATAACAACAACAATAATAACAATAACAACAGGAAGATTTTGAAGAGAAATCTAAATCTTATCAAAGTTCAACAACAAAAAAATAAGATTAATAGTTTATATAAATTGATGATGATGAAGATGATTTGATTGAAATGGAAAGTGAAAATATGGAAAAGCGAAATGGCAAAAAATAAATTACTAAAAAATATGGTGAAGCAACTAAAACTACTACTTATTCTTAAAAATAAACAATTTTAGAAGGAGAAAAAGAAATACCATCCTCTTTTTCTTGTTGTTCTAGATCTTGTTCAGTATTTTGAATTTAAAAATGAAATGAGCATAATTTAACTATTTTATGTTTTTAATTATATTTATAAATATCACAAATCATCAAGGAGAATATTTTGCATTTACTGATTTTTCTTAAATTACTAATAACCCTATTCTTCTTCAAGAATTTAGTCTAATTTATTTGATTTCATTTAATTTACTAAACTATAAAAATTCATTAAAATTTTTGAAATATTTATCCGCTCCCTAAAACTCAAAAATTTGAGATAATTTATTAAGACTTCATCAGTAATATCTTTTATTCATTTTTGTGAGATTCCATATTTATAAAACATCTTACACTTTAATAAAATCTGAATGTCCCCCCACACATTAATTATTTATTAAAAATAATTGAAAACTTTCCTTAAATCTTTCTTTTATTTTTTAATTTTCCTTTATTCAATTTATTTAAATTTCATTTTCTTTAAAAAGGAA